GCTTTATAAAGTACCGAATTCCTATATAATAAGATTATTATCTTCTATTAAGGTATACTAATATACTAATATATAGTTTCGGATTCTTTTTCTAATTTTAGCTAACTTATTAATAAGCTTTAATTATTTATTATTACCTATAAAAAGAAATAATAGATTAATACCGAGATTCTTTTTACTAATTAGTAATACTATTTTCAAAATTCTTTAAGCTATTATCTGTTCGGAAATCGTTAATATAGATCTAGCTATAATTTCGGAATCTGTAATAATTACTTTAAATCCTATAATTATAATAATTATATTTCGAAGTTATATTTTATATATAAGAGATCTAAATATTACTTATAGAAGTATATACTAGAGAAATAAGAGGCTGAGAATACTCGATTTAAGAATAGAAATATTTACTAATTTAGATCCCGAAATACTTGTAATTTTAATAAATACTTTAGTAGTATTTATATATAGTATATTACCGAATTTAAAGAAGAAGAGAATAATAAGAATAATAAAGACAAACTAGTAAGTAATGCTTTTAAAGCCTTACTAGCAGAAATAAATAAAGTAAAGAAATATTATTTAGATTTCTATTTTATTTCTATTAAAAGCTTCTTAGCTACTTTTACTACTTTTACTTCTACTATTTCTATAACTAATACCTTATAAATAACCTTATATTTCTTTCCCTTATATATCAGATAATAGGCGAAAACTATACTTTAAAGCCTATTAAATAAATAGAAGATATCTAGATATTTATAATTAATAGTATATTAAAATATAATATTTATTATTTTTATAGAGTTATAATTAATACCGGAGCCTTTAAATTCTTAACTACTAGTTCTGACTAATTTCAAGCTTTATAGTATATTAATAATAGTATTTAATTTAATAAAATTACTAAAGATTAAATTAATATCTAGTTTAATATCGGATTTATATTTTTTATTAGATTTATAATAATAAGAATACTAATTAGATAAGTATAATTCTATATTATACCTATAAAGATTCTATTTCTACTTAGCTTAGCTAATATAAATAAGCTAGAAATCTATTTTAATAATCTTACTAATTATTTTATTATTTCTATTAGATACTTTATATCTATAGTATAATATTTCGGATACTCTTTTCTGCTTTAAAATACTGCTTTATAAAGCTTTATTTCCGAATTCTTTATTTATAATTTTTTCTTTTTTATAAAGATTAAATTATAATATTTATATTATTATTTTAGTTATCTATTTATTAGTAAGCTCCGAAATATACTAGAATAAGCAGGCTATAATATTAATATAGAAGCTCTTAAATATCTTATAAAGTACTATAAGTAATACTAGAAATTCGAATAATTACCGGAATAATTCAAGTTTAACCTAAGAGATAATATTAGCTTTAATTACTCTATTATTATTAATATTTTTTATATTTCTAGTAAGCCTATATTTTATATTATTAATAAAGGCACTTAATATTAAGCCGGCTAATAGCTTTAAAATATTAATATATTATATATTTGGGATATTTTAAAGTAGTATTAAATTAATATTTATTTAGGCTCTTCTAATTAGATTATAGTAGATACTGGAAAGCAATTTTCTAGTAAGAAGTTTACTTAACTTGTAAATACTATAGGAATTAAGGTTAAAATTATTTCTATAGAAGCTTATAATTCTATCGGAATTATAGAATACTATTATAGCCCGATTTAATATATTTACTTTATTATTATAATCGAAATTAATAGAATTAATAAAAATACTATACTTTAAATAGCTTTTAAGGCTATTAATAATTCTGCTAGATCTAATAGTATTATTCTAATTCTTTTAGTTTATAGTACTTTATCTCAAATAACTAAATATAATACCCTATTACTAATTATATTATAGTAATTAGTAGTACTTAAGAAAGTAATAATAAAAATTTAGAAGTTTCGAGCTAGATACTAGATTATAAATACCCTAAATATTCGAAATAGTTCTAGTATTACTAATATCTATAAATTTTTCTTAAATTCGGATATTTTTATATAATATAAAAGAAATACTAGTTAATCTAATAATTGAAATAGGCTATATAAGCTAATAGCTATTAATGGAAAGAACTATATACTAGCTCTACTATATAGTAATACTACTTTCTATTTAACCTCTATAAAGCCCTTTTATATAAGAGATATTAAGGTTATTATTAATAGCCCCGAACCTGAAACTATTTCCGAACTTTATAGTAAAACTAAAAGTAATATAAGTATAATTTCTTTTATTATTTCTGCTATTTCATTAAAATATAATAAAGGATACCTTTATAAGAATCCGGATTTTATAATATTTCTATAAAATAATAATTTATATAAGAACTTCTATTAAGTTAAAATTGCTAGCCTTCTAGAAAAGAATATATTTAAGATTACTTTCAGATTTTAGATATTAAAAAAGATATATATTTTTAATTCCCGGTTTATTAATAAGATTAAAAATAAGAGTATAGAGAAAGAGTTTAAGAAGTCGAGACTAGTTATTTAAGCTTATAATAATAGTAAGAAATATATAATACTAATATAATTGCCTATTATTTAATATATTAGCTAAAGAATTATTCTTAGTATTATTACTATAATAATAGATATTACGGAACTATATTTATATAATATCTTATAAGTTTATATTTAATTAATAACCTTATTTAACTATAATTTTCATATTAACCTATTTTATAAGCTTACTAAAGAGCTAAATCTAAAAGACAATTCTATTCTAAAGGTTATAAAACTATTATATAGTATATTAGAAGCTGGGAACTACTAGTTTAAGACTTACTATTTCTACTATATTAACGAGCTTTCTATAGAATAATTAACTTATAATTCTTGCCTTCTTTATAGCAAGTAATTCTTCGGAATTATTAGCCTTTAAACTAATAATACTCTATTTATTAAAACTAATAATTTTGTAAATATAAAGTAATTAAAGCTCTAAAAGGCTAAGTTCTTAGCTAAAGAATATAAATGCCTTATTTTTAACTATAATCTCAAGTTTAATAAAGGTATTATCTATATAAATACTACTAGAATTACTTTTATATAAAAATACTAGTATAAAAACCTTTGAACTATTTCTATAAAAAATACTATTATTATAAGTAATAGGGGTACTATTTATTAAAATCTCTCTATTAAGAACTAATATATTACTTAAAAATACTAGAGAAGTATATATTATATTAATTTATTAACTAGAAGCTTTATATAATCTATTAATTACTACTTAAGCTATTAAATCCTCAGAAACTAATATAAAGATATTTAATAAGTATATTTAATAGCAAATTAAGAATATTACTAGAAGACTGAAATTTGTAAAGCTAGTAAAGAAGTTCTTATATTTAATTATTTTTATAGATATTTTATTTATAAATAATAGAGATCTCTTTTCCCAAATCGGATATATTCTAGTTCTAGTAAATAGAACTAGATATACTAATACTATTTATTAGTTCTCTACTAAATATAAGAGAGTTATTAGAAGTATTCTAGCTTTAAAACTCTATAATATAGCTTATAGCTTTAATATAGGCGTTTTAGTTAAATTAATAATTAATAGAATACTAGAAATAGAACTACTATTAGTAATCTATATGAATTCGAAGTTATTATATAAATATTTCATTAAATTAGAAACTATTCGAGAAAAGCATCTAATAATTAATATAATATATTTCTATTAAGTATATAAATAACAAGAAATTATAGAAGTTAAATAGATTAAGAGAGAATCGAATTCTACTAATTCTATAATGAAATTAAAGCTAATAAATGCCCTTAAATACCTAATTAATACAAATACTATATAATTAAATATAGAGAAATAGATCGAGTATAGATAGAATAGGAAATAAATATATAAAATAGGAAAATATTATAGGAAGAGAAGTTATATATAAAAGGCTATAAGCTTTTAGTATATAACTAAAACCTTAAAAAGTAATATAAATATATAGAGTATTTGGGAAATCTAGTACTAGACTAGATTAGGGAATTTGTATATAATTAGAAAAAAGTACTATTTTTTATATTTTTAGAAAGATTCTAGTATTAATATAGCTATAATTATTAATAGTTATATAATATAGTTATATAATATAGAAGTAACTAGAAGTAATAGAATATAAGTAATAGATAATAATTATATAACCTTATATTATATAGGTAACTTGACTAGTAGCTAGTTTCTATTAGGCTTAGCAGATTTAGGGATTATATATTAATACTATAATACTGTAATTTTTATTTCTGGATAATAATAACTTTATTAATCTTATATAAATAGTATTCTATAATTATATAATAGTACTATATATTATTAGTAAACTAATAATTCTATTATTTTATTATTTATTAATAAATACTTTATATTTAATATATTTATTAAAATATTAGACTTTTTAATAACTAATATTATAAATATAATATTTAAGGCTTAAAAAGTAAAATAAAAGATTTTTTATAAAATAATTTAAAGTTAAAAAAAGAAAACTAAAATATAAGAAGTTATAAAAATATAAATATATATTTTATAATATATTAGCCTATATAAGGCTTAGTATTTTAAATTCGCTTATATATATTTTATATATATTTATTAAATAATAAAAAGTAATATATATATAAACTAATTAAATAATTAAATTAAACCCGAAATTATAATAATTAAAATAATTATTATTACTTATATTATATTTTTTATTTATTTTAAATATATTTTTTAAAAATAAATAAATAAATAAAAAACTATTATTTAATATAATAAACTCCGAAACTAGCTTCTTTATTAAATACTTTCTTAGAAAAAAATTGCTTTATTTTTTAATATAAATTCTTATATATATTTTTATTATTTTTATTATATTATTAAATTATTATTTATATATTTATATAAATATTCGAATAATTCAATTATAATTAAGGGAAAGAAAATAAGACAATTCCTCTTTTACTATTAATTATACTATATATAATATATGTTCTCGAAACTACTATTGCTCCCGCATTCTGGCCTGGACAACTCAAATGTCACGTGAGGATCACGTGACTCGCAAACCCACACACTCGGTTGACTACTCCTCATATTGCCTGTTTCTCAATCTCTTGAGTCGAGAAACGAATAGCCCTGCAATAACACCCAGGAACAATATTATAGCAAATACAATGCCGAGAATAACAGGGATCGACAGTGCTATGTGCGATGCTGCTGCCCCGGAACCAGTAGACGATGTCGGTGACTCTGCCACGGATGTCGGCGAAGCTTGGGAAGAGGACGTGACTCCAGTACTAGTTGATGAAGCGAGATAGCTTACAAGACTAGTTATCGGTACCTCACTTGTAAACGATTTACAAGCTGCCAATGCCTAGAGTTGTGTCGTGAGTTTCAATTCGCTACCATATAGAATGCAGCTTCTCGCACCGTATTTCCTAGGCAGAAGTCTAACAACCATAGCTGGCCTATAGCGCCGATACGGCTATTCAGGGCATCGAGCGCGAGACTCTGCTCTGCCGCCGCAGTACTCTGAATACTAAGCGCACTCGAAGCTTGCGAGTTCGCCGCGAACGCTGCGGTAACCATGGAGCTTGTAGCAGCATCACCGCTCGTACTAGCATTATTGGCGGCCTGGTAGGATAAAGGTGCCCAGATACCGAAGATGATTGCTGCGGCTACGCCGAGGACTTTGATACCCCAGTCAACCCAAAAGAGCAGGGTGTCTACCCATTTAGGGGTTGCGTTACTGGCGCGAGAGCTAGCAGGTTGAGATGATATTGCGACCACCCTTTTCCCGGCACTTTGCGATGGCAAGGCTGTCGGAGTTGACATACTCGAGCGCTTATAGTTTAAGCAGGTAGAATAGATAGGGTCTTTCGAAAACACAAGGTCAAGATGTAATCGTACTATTATAAGAAAATGTATGGGAAGGTACAGCAAATTACTTAAGTTAATTCGATTCTCGGCCATTTCCGTGTCTCACTAGAGATCCCGCCTCCACTACTCTACCATTGTAAGCATGGTGCATAAAGGTGGCTTGTCAAGAATATTGGCAAGCCACCAGCAGGGTATTGCTTTTTGCTAAAAATATACGCGCAATGAAAGAACGTGAGAAACCTTAAAGGCAGTGGTGTTGTTATATAGAGGTTATAATTAATCGATTAAGTGCATCGCGTGCAGCTAGGAGCGAAATCGGTGTCCTGTCTAATGTTACCTAAACTCTTTTAGACAGTTCTGAAGGCACAGACCTTTTTTGTTAACCGAGATCCAAGGTCAACGCACGCCCAAGGTCAATGCACGCTCAAGTTTAGCCGAATACTCGATATTAAATACTCAATTATTAAATAATTACTAAGTAGAATAATAAACTTCTTTAAGTTCTGTAAAGAGAAGAAGCCAGAGATTTAATATATAATTTTTTCTTAATTAATCTTTAATTTTTAATAACCTTAAACTTAGCTTTTATTAAAATATTTAAAAACTTAATAATTTTAATTCAATATTAAATAATTATATTTATATAAGTCCTTTAAGATTAATATTAATAAGAATACTTCACTATATATAGAAATATAAATATATAATATAAAAAGCTTATATTATTATATATTACTTATAAAATTTTAATTTTAATTTTAATTTTTAAATAAAATATTAAAAATTCTTAAAAGAAGCTTAAATTAAGAAATAATAAAAAAATCATATAATAAAAGCTTCTATATATAAAACCTATTTAAAATGGTTATATTTCTTATATTAAATACTTATATAATTTATTATTTATTATAATATAATTTAATAATATAAATAACTACTTCCTACTTTCAAATATTATTATATATTAATTTGTATTTAATATATTCTTTATTTTATATTCTTTACTTTATATAAAGTTATAAAATTATAAGAAAAAATAATTAAAAATACTTTTATTTACCTTTAATTTAATTATTTTTAATAAAAAAGGATATATTTTAAATAAAATATAAAATATATTTAATTTATTTATTAAAGTAAATATTTCTTTTTATATAATTCAAAACTATAATATATTTAAAGGTTTTTATTAAAGATTTTAATAAATAATACTATTCTTTTATTAATAATAATATTTTTAAAAAACTTAAAATATTAAATAAATTATATTAATAAATTAATATTTTAAAAAGAACTTTTAATTAGAACTATTCTCTATAATATATTATTAATATAAGATTAATTATATTTATTAATTTCTTTTCTTTTATATAATTATTTTATAAATATTATATATTACTAATTTTCCATTTTTAGCTTTAATATAAAAGAAGCCTTTTATATAAATATTAAATTTTTATATTATAAGTATCTTTGAAACATAGTATACTAGTAGTATAGAAATTTTAAAGTTAATAAAGTTATTAGTTCCTTATTTATTAACGTTCAAAAATCGGGAGTTTTGGTATAAAATGACCGTGCGTTGACTCTGGTCGTGCGTTGACCTTGGATCTCGGTTAACTGTCACCTGATGACCGGATATTTGTTTGACCGAAACCCGAATGAGGGCAGGGCCAATTCTGGCATCCGCCCATCCACCATCGATGACTCTACCACCATGGCACCAAATTTGGCAGTCTCAACGCATGAGCTGACCCAAACATAATCAATAGTAAGTTATAAGGTGGCCAAGAACCCACTAATAACCAAACAGCCAATATCGCCCGCTGTTCTGCACGTATAGTTAGGGCTCCAATCGAATAGTCGAATATATTCGAATCGAATCTACATATATGAATTCAATAAACCTACGTAATTTACACTTGTATTAAGTATATTAGTTTCTAGTACAGTTTTTAAGTAATATATATATATTTTTTGAAGCTATTTAAATATTAGGGATATTAAATATATAATTCTCTTTTATATTTAAACTTAACTAATTTCTAATTAATATAAGTAATTCTTTAATAATATTAAAGCCCGCAAAGTTTCTATACTTATTAATATATATTAAAGGCCTAAAATATTTCTAGTAATATTAAAGAGCCTTTTAATATTTACTTCTATTTCTAAAAATAAATAAATAATTATATATAATTATAAATAAAAGCAGAAACTCTTATATATAAGTAACTTATTAATTTAAAATTTATTAAACTTAATACTTCTTTTTATTTAAAATAAATTTAACTAAAAAAACAATTAAAGTACTAATTAATATTATTCTTTACTATAATTATAAAGCCATATTTTTATAAGAAATCAAACCACTTTGGCACCAACACTTCATCTTTTCCACGTCCGAGAGGGATTTGGAGTCAGCATTAAGCTCTGGATGGATAATTCTCTTTCATTAATCTACTTGATCAATACCTAGAAGATCGGACGTCTCACTTCTTAGCTTATAACAATTTCACAATGTATCGAAATTGGCACGCCAACCATAAGTTGGCAAGCCGCCACGTCGTCTGTTCTCTCTTACATCAGAATAGCAACAACCGAATAGTCTCTAGCAATATTCGAGATCGCGTTCGACTCTAGGTTGTTCGTCACATTCTTCAGCCAACAATACAAATAATCGACAATCTGAGTATAATCATACGCGACCGCCTTGCACTGAGTGTTTTGGCCAACCACGTTCACTGTATCGCAGTACCCAATGCACTCATCAAAATTATTGACATAGGAGTGGTATTGGAAGTCGACGTAACTGCCGGTGATGTCGAAGTAGCAGTATTGCATGAACTGGGCGCCTGATGCAGCGGTGAAGATGGTACCATTGATACCAGGACAGCCGGTATAGCCGAGGATATTTGTTGGGCTTTCACTGCTGGAAGTGGAAGTAAAAGAAGAAATTGTTGATGAACTGATGGTGGGAGTTGGTGTAACTGTTGGAGAAGGTTGTGAGGATGCTGAAGACGATGATCCGGAGCTGGATCTTATCAGTGAAACCGGATGTGAAGGCAGGTCAACGCGGACCCAACCTTGGTGAATTATTACTGCTCGACTTTTTCTTAGCTACCATCGATCCCGCAACTCCTCCACCTATAGCTGCCGCGATCACTAGGAGCGCAATTGTAAGCACAAGGAAGAATGTCACTCTCCGCAGGCCCAGTATCTTGTTACAATCGGATGAAGATCCAGGTCCAGTCAAAGCCGTAGCCGCCTGTTTCTCATGCTGAGGTACCGGCAACGGATTCTGAGGCCACACGTGAGGGGTAGGAGCATGTTCAAGGCCATATATCGGAACGGCTTGAGGATACCAATGAGAGTAGACAGGTGCATGTTCAAGCCCCGGCTGCACGATTTGCGGACCATCAGGGGACGACATGTTCCAGTGTCGGTAGCTAAACTAAGCAGCACTGAAGTTGGCACCCGAAGCCTACTCCTAATAGATTGGAGAGATTCCAAAGTGGGAGATTTAAAAGTCCTGGTTCCCGGAGCCTTGCGACGGCCCCCAAATTCTCAACACGCCACCATATGCAGACCTTCAGCTTTTGAATAGAGTAAGGACAATTCAGGGGTCTCTAGTGGCCTGGCTGCGACCAGAAGACCGCAATTCAGCGCCAATCGGACTGCACCTTAACACCTTAGTGGTCAAAAGAAGACCTGATCAGGCTGATTGCAGGGCCGTGGGCAGAGGCTGGCCACCTTAATCAAAAGCGGCGGGAAAAGGGAATTTGATCAGACCCAAAAAAGCCAAAAGAAAATCCATTCATGGAGAAGACCGGACGAATAAGGACACATTGCATTATCTGTGTAAGCATGGGTGAATCTAGTAAAAAGAATAGAATTCAGATCTGAAGTAATATTCTATATTCTTATTAAGTAATAATATTCTGGCTTTTTAAAGCTTTTATAATAAGAATCCCGAATAGCTAGAACTGCTCTAGAACCTCCCCTATTACTTAGACTATATTAAGAATAATATATTACTAGAACTATATAATATAGGCAGAAATTCTTTAAAATTATATATAAAAGGCTCTGGCTTTTAATATATAACCTATAACTTGAGAATTTAATAGAGATTTTCAAAGCTCGGAAATAAGCTTATTTCGAGAGAAGAAGTAATATTATAGTTATTATAATATATAGTACTAGTAGAAGTTAGACTAGAACTAATAAAGTATTTAGTATCTAAATAAAATATCTAATATCTAAATATAATATCTATAGTTACCTAATAGTTATATATAACCCCGAGTTTAAGCTAGTATATAGACCTATATATAGCTTGTAATTATTTAGATCCGAGGCTTCTTTAAGATTCTCTTTTCTCTTTAGCTTTAAATTATTAAAATAGAAATAGTTTAATTTTACTTTCTAGGTCTTAAATCTTATACTTATAATATTAAAGAAATAATAGTAAGAAATAATAGTAAGAAATAATAGTAAGAAATAATAGTAAGAAATAATAGTAAGAAATAATAAATATATTAATATAGAATTTAAAATATATAATAAACTTATATTTTATATAAAGAATATTTAATAGCTTTATTTTAGTATAAAGCTAGTAAATAAATATATTAGCTTCTTTAAAGTTCTAAAAGTTATAGAAATATATAAATAAATATATTACTTGAAATTATTATTACTATATTAAATTTATAATATTTTCTATATTTTTTTCTTAAAATTATAATACTTATAGACTAATATTATAATAGAACTAGAATTAGTTAAGAATAAAAATAAAAATAAATTTAAAATAAAATCTATTATAATAGAACTATAATTAGTTAAAAATAAAAATAAAAATAAAATTGAAATAAAATCTATTATAATTTATAAAAAAATTAAAAAAGAAAAGAAATATCTTATTTATTAGAAAAGCTATTTATTAGTAAATAATATATAGGAATTACTAAATAATCTAGAAAATATAACTTAAGAATTATAAGAATATTTAAATAAAAGTAATATTATAATACTATTAGTTAAATAAAAATATAAAAAATAAATACTTTTATTAGAAAACTATTAAAAAAACTATATATTTATTTTTTAGAAAAATTATATAAAAATTATTAAAAACTTTAATTTTTATATCTTATAACTATTTCTTATTATTATTATTATTATTATTATTATTATTATTATTATAGTTAATAAAGTTATTATAATAGCCTATAATATATATAATAAATTAGTTATATTTATTTTCTATTATTTTCTTTATTATATCTTAAATTCTAATTATATTATTTTCTGACTAAAATATAAAATTATAGTTTTAATATTAAGCTAATATAATAATAAACTTGAGCTATTTATTATATTTAAATATTTTATTTATTTTATTATATAATAATACTAGCTAATTATATAAGCTAGCTATTAAGCCAGATTTATTATTTATATATATATATATATAATAAAGTATATTTAGAGAATAATAGATTTAAAAAGGCTATTAAAATTTATTATAACTTAAATTAATAGTAGCTATAATAAAAGAATTTAAAATAAATAAAAAGAAATTAGATTTTATAATTTTAGGCTTTTTAAAAATTAGAAATATAAAAGATTTATATAGCTAGCCTATAAGTATTATTAAATAAAAATAGGCCCGGTTTTCTAATCTTATTTTTTATATTTATTTATTACTTATAACTATTATACTACTATTACTAGTTTATTTTCTATTTATAAGAAATAATATAGCTTATAAAAATATTTTATTTTATTTTATTTTATTTTATTTTATTTTATTTTATTTTATTTTATTTTATTTTATTTTATTTTATTTTAGTTTTATTTCTTATATTTTATAAGATATATCTTATTTTATTAGAATTAAAGAAATCTATTTATAAAATAATATTTAATATTATAAGAGATTTAACTTACTATTTTATATAAAGCTAAGCTTATATAATCTTTCTAAATAGTAAACTTATTAGCTAATATATTTCTTAATATTAGTATATAAAGAAAATAACTCTTATATAAGTTTTAAAATATTTAAATTTATTTTACTAAAAGTTTAAAATTAAAAGATTTCGAATTTACTTATATTTTATTATTTATTTTATTTATTTATATATCTAATTATATTACTATTAATTAAGAAATTATAAGAAAATTTATAATTTCTATTTCGAACCTAAAATAGGCTTCTTTATTTCTCTATTCCTATATTAGCTAGCTTAAATAAAAGAAATATAAATTATAGCTATAGCTATATTAATAAATAAAGTTATATAATAGGAGTTTAAAAAAAGAAATAATTGAGATTTCGAATTATAAGATATTAGATTTCTTTTAAGAACTTTATTTATCTAATTTTTTATTATTATATATATATATAGAAATTAGTTTTTCTTATTATAAATTAGTTTTAAATTCGAATATATATATATAAATTTCTTACTTTTACTAGATTAAAGAAACTTATTAAGATATTACTATTACTAGATTATATAATTAAATTCTATAATATAATTAGATAATAATAAGCTATATTACTATATAATATTTTCTTAATTAGCTATAGTTATAATATATAAAGATCTATTATTATAATATATTAATAAGTAATATTATTAAGAATTATAATAAAATAATAGTAAATAGAAAAGTAATATAAAATTAAGCTTATAGTTTATATCTCGGCTAATATAATATAATTCAGAGAATAATTACTATTATAAATACTTATAAGTACTAAAAATAGAATAAGGAATTAAGGAAATTAAGAATTCTGGCTTTAAACTATATATTACTAGGGTTTTTAGCTATAATAAGGCTAATAGAAATAGTAATAATAAGTAAAGAAAAGATAAGTATATAATAAGATTAAGTAATAGAACTATAAGAAGTATTAGAAAAGAATTAAAAAGGGAAATAATTAAAAAAAAAATAGTATATAGTTTTTATAAATATTAAAAGTAATAGTAAACCTATATATATATTTTATTTAATTAGGGAACTATTAAATCTAGAGGAATTAATATTATACTAAAGATTATATATTAAAATCTTTTTATTAAAAATTATTATATTATTTAATATATTAAAGAAATATATATTATATTAGTCTATTAATTAAAAGCTTTATATAACTTATTAATTATTATTTAATATTATAATAAAATATTATTATTATATTATAATAATAATATATAAATAAATTAAGAAAAAAGAAAATATAGTATAAATAGCTAAAGCTTAAATACAAGAATATAGTTATATAAGCCTATATATAACTATTAGTATATAGGTATTATATAATATTTAAGCTATTAAATTCTCGAAAATTAATATAAAAGCATTTAATAAATATATTTAATAATAAATTAAAAATATTATTAAAAAACTAAAATTTATAAAACTAATAAAAGATTCTTATATTTAATTATTTTTATAAATGCTTTATTTATAAATAATAGAATTTTTTTTTTAAAATTAAATATATTAATATTATTTATTAGTTTTTTAATAAATATAAAAAAGTTATTAAAAGTATTTTAGCTTTAAAATTATATAATATAATTTATAATTTTAATATAAGTATTTTAATTAAATCTATAATTAATAAAATACTAGAAATGAAATTATTATTAATTATTTATATAAATTCAAAATTACTATATAAATACTTTATTAAATTAAATATTATTTAAAAGAAATATTAAATAATTAATATAATATATTTTTATTAAATATATAAATAATAAGAAATTATAAAAATTAAATAAATTAAAAGAAAATTAAATTCTATTAACTTTATAATAAAATTAAAACTATTAAATATTTTTAAATATCTAATTAATATAAATATAATATAATTAAATATAAAAATATAAATTAAATAGAAATAATAAATATATAAAATAAGAAAAAATAAAAATATAAAATAAGAAAATATATATAAATATATAAAGTTTTTAAAAAGTCTAATATTAAATTAAATTAGAAAATTAATATATAATTAAAAAGAAATATTATTTTTTATATTTTTAAAGAAATTCTAATATTAGTATAATTATTATTTCGAGAATTATATATATAATTATAGAATTTAAAAATAATAAAATATAAGTTATAAAATATAAGTTATAAAATATAAAGTTATAAAATATAAGTTATAAAATATATAAGTTATATAAAATATAAGTTATAAAATATAAGTTATAAAATATAAATAATAAAATATAATTTAATTAGTAAATTAGTTTTTATTAAGCTTAATAAATTTAGAAATTATATATTAAGTTTTTTTTATATATTATTAATAAACTAATAATAAGGCTTTTTTTAAAAATATTATATTTATATATTTTATAATAAATATAAAATATTATTAACTTTTAAAAATTCGAATTTATAGCTATATAATAGAAAAATTAATAAATATTAAAATTAATATAAATTTTAGCCTTAAATAATTAATTTAAGGTTTTATTAATTAATAGAAAAAAATATTAATTCTTTTAAATAATAGAAATTAAAAGAAAAATTATTTAAAAATAATAAATTTCTAGAAATAGCTTATAATAATATTTTATTAATTATTATTCTTTTAATATTTTTTATTAAATTATTTCTTTAATTATTACTAAAAAATATTAATAATATAATTAAATTATATAGATTTAGACTTATTTTTTTTTAGCTATATAATATATATCTTTTATAATTAACTAGAATATTAATATATATAGCCTATTCTTTATTAAAAATAATATTATAATTTTTAAAATTTAAAATAATTATAAATATTTTATTTATTAATTAGAAGTAAAATTTCTAAATATTTTTTAGTAAATTAAGTTAACTTTTTATTAAAACTATATATAATATAAAATAAGAAAAAATATTATAGTTTTATTTTTAAAAATTATTTTATAAATTAATTAAGCTTTATATTAATAAAAGTATAATTTTTTATTTTAATATTAATAAAAAAAAACTTAATTTTTAATTTATTTATATTAATAATATAGAATATTAATAATATAGAATATTAATAATATAGAATATTAATAATATAGAATATTAATAATATAGAATATTAATAATATAGAATATTATATAAGCAGTTTCTTTTATTAAATAAATTAAGTTTATTTTTACTAAATTTATATTATAAGCCCTTAAAGTAAGAACCTTTTTTTTATTTTAGAAATATTTGTTTTCTGGTTTTATATTAGAATTAAAGCCTAAGTTTTTTAAGTTCTTTACTAAAATAGAATTTAGGCCTGGCTTAATTTTAAAAAAAGCTATTTTAGTTTTTTTAATATATTTAAATAAATAATATTTAATATAATAGCCAAATTTATTATTATTATAATATTTAATTACTAAAAAATCTTTAATTTTTATAAAATATTATTTATATTTCTAAAAAAAAATTTAATTAAAGTAATAAATATATATTTTTTAATTTCCTTTTTAGAAATATAAAGAAATATAATACTAGTAATAAACTTAATTAAATTAGCTTTTATTTCTTTTATATTTCTTAGTTTTTTTATATATAGTTTTAATTTATTAATTATTAATTATATAATACTAAATAAAATAAATAATATTAATAATAGATTTATTATAATATATATATATATTAATTTCTAAAGCTTTAATAATAGTTTTTTATTTAGTTTATATTTAATATTTTAAAGGCTAATATTACTTTTTATAAATAATTATTAAAAAAAGTATAAAACTTTTATTATAATAATAACGCAACGCCACGCCGCTACCATATATACCGCTGTACGGAAGTACGTAATCCCGAAGCCGAGAATGAGGGGCGTCAGTACTGGCATTATCCGATCAGCCACCATTAACTCTACAACTACGATGGCATCAAGCCTCGCAGTCTCAATATATTAAACATAATCAATAGTAAGTTGCAAGGTGACTGAGGACCCACCAATCACCCACTAATGACCGGACAGCCATTATCGCATCCGATGCCAAGCTACTGTGGCCAGAAGCTCTTCCTTCACCACGAAAGCCACCATCCTGTAGTCCTCAATCGAGCAGTTTGTACCGAACGCCCGCAAGAACCTGGAGTACAAGAGCTTGGATGCTCGTTGTACTGCGCCTAATAGCCGAGCCATGGCTAATCGTACGATATATACTCGAGTATACTCCAAACTCAGTACTGGGCGATTCGTCTCTGGTTAGACGCCAAAAGGTGGACCATTATCCGACGCGGCCCTCATTAAAGAGTTCCGAAATCATGCCAAGTTCCGAAACCATGCCAATAATAAAGAGAATGAAGAGATTCGAGAGCTCACGGCCTTGGTATCAGGCAGTGATCGCATCATCGACACTTTGACGCGTGCTTTTGACAAGCACTATGGGGATGGCGAGTCGCCAGCAGACATTTGGATCGCATTTATAGAGGTCTCACCTGCTATAAATGAAAATACTACCCGGATCCATTCCGCAAAAGAGTTGGCAGAAAAATGCGGACTTCCGGAACCCAATAAATTCTCTTACGAGGTCGTTTTCGAGTGGGCTATACCCGAGAAGTATGTAGTATACGAGGTCTCGTTGCAGACCTTAATGGAGCGTAGGCTTCAAGAGCGTCGCATTTTACTACCGTCCACTGCGGAAGTACGACGCTATATCGCGAAAGAACTCCAACAACAAAGCCCCTGGGAAATCGGCGTTACCCTAGGTTTCTTTGTACGAAAGTTTGGAGCCAGAGCACCCCTGGACTGGATCTCTCACCAGCTTTTCCGTAATTATATACAGGCGAAGATTCTGAATGACGACGTGGTTAGGCTGAATTATATACATGAGCATACCGATTATGCGCCTTGGTATACGGAAATAGTTGACTTCCAATTCTTTTGCGACTTGGATAATGGGATCGGGACTGCTTTATACGATTGGTGGCTTTTAGATATTGACTTTTTCCTAGATTGCGAAGAATTCAGGGAATGGCGAGATATAATGGAAGATAGCATGACTTGGAATCTGATTGAGTTCTGGGAAACTTGGTACGATGTCAATGGTAATGGAGCAGTCAGAGAGCTTTCTGCGAAGGAAAGGTTATCATATAATGAGGAGAAGAAGAAATTGTTGGTTGAGTATGAGAAGAAGAGGGCAGATATTAAAGCAGAAGCTATAAAGATAGGTTTATGACTTCCTATTTTTGGTTAGTGGCAACTATAATATGTACTCTCGTATCCCAAATATACTATACTCCTAGTAACTTACCACTACTTCTCGTTACTGTACTACCTCTTGGCAATGTGCCGTACAAAATGTAGGTCAAAAATAAACAACTATTGAGAGTTGGGCACAGTGCCAATGCTGTGTCGTCTAGCACTCACCCTAGTGCCCTCTTTGGATAAACCTAAAGATAAAGACATTCACCACTTTCCTCCTTCGATGATTCTTTAGTCTTATGCAGGAAACACAGATAAAGACATATACCACTTTCCTCCTTTAATAATTCTTTAGTCTTGATACAGGATAAGCAGAGACCTAGCTCCAGTTTCTCGCACTTCTCTATTCCCTGTTGTAACTCCACCTTAAGGTCCATATCGTTCAACTCATAGCAATTACACCGCCTCCCGCACCTCTCCAAACGGTATGACCGGAATTGTGAAGCCTTCTCGATGATACTTGAGAAACTTTGTGCCTCGAATGAATCTTTATAGGGAAATAATCCGCATTTCTTGAGAGAATGGAGATATCTCCCATTGGCTTTAGTAACATTTTCGCAGTCATAAGTTGCCATTCGTGAAGCTAGGTCTATAATACCTTTCTGAAGGTCTTTGAAAAGTGCCCTTTTCCGATTATTAAATTCGCCTAAAATGATTTAGATGTAAACTAAGCCAGACGTATTCCCCTATATACCGAGAAGGTCGCCATGAGTAACTGGGTGGTTGTCTACTACCCATAAAGAGGTAAACAGACCAGATTTGAGTAGGAGCATCTCTCGTAACACCGTTGCAAATGACTCTGGAAGATCCAGAACATATGCGAGCAATAAGAGGCGACTGAGGTCTTCAAGTGACCGAGACCCGCTATGCTTCTGAATCCATAAAGTGCCATAGCTAACCACGGAGCCTGCACATATGTATTTGTTACAGAAGATAGCCAGATTTTCTAGGCATAGTGGGCTCGGTGTTCGAGGGAGATCACGAGAACGGTGATGCGTAATCTGACAAAAAAGAGTCGTGGCTTCCAGGTCATCTTCCGGCAGAGGAATAATGAGCGGCTCCCCGAGTTGAAGATGGTGTTCGACGCCCTCCTTGAAGTGAGGTTTAAACATTGCCTCAAACACAGGAGACGCTAAGGAGAGGACCTTGGAGGAGACTAGTAGATCATATCCGTCGAGTCTAAAAACAATGTCGTGATCGGGATCAACAATAATCTTAGACATGGTTTCGTCCTAGTCGAGGTGATGGTAATACTGTAGTAAGGATACGCTAGGTGGGGTAAATATGATGTTGCTGGTGGGGTGACATTCATGATTCGAACCACGTTCGCTTCCGCTGTTCTGGTTGACCATAGCGACCAAAAGGGTCAATGCCTGATTTTCGCCATTTTCGCCATATTTCTAAGGCCCCAGCTAATTATTTTGACCCCATTATCTGAACTATACCAAATAACTATATGATTCACAGCTTTATATGACTATTTCTAAGACCCCAGCCAATTATTTTAGCCCTATAGTCTGAACTATACTAAATAACTATATGATTCACTGCTTTATAGCCCTATTTCTAAGGCCCTAGCCAATTATTTTGCCCGTATCATCTGAACTATACCAAACAACTACATAATTCACAGCTTGATTTATAGCTTAATCTGAATTATTCAGGCTCCCATTTAAGTTATTTTTGGCCCCAGATATCTATAAAATAGGCTTTCAGCTTCCAATTCTCCCTCCAATTTCCTTATATATATATACTTATTTTCTCTCTCTCTCCCCTTATATATACTTTATATATAATACTTTATATATAATACTTTATATATATATAATGGCAGCCCAAGCTTAATAAGATCTAGTTATTTGAACTTGTATAAACGCCTCCAATAATATTTAGTACTTCCTTTATATAGAAGGAAATAAGCTCCAGCCCTCAGTTATTAATAGTAGCCCTTAGTAGAAGTATACCTTTAATATTAATAATTCAGAACCCTTAGATATTACAATTAAGGGTCCCTATACTTCTGCTACCTTTAATATCCTACTTCTTCCTGAGGTTATTAATATAATCTTAATTTAATAAGTATAAGTTACTTCTCCTGAATTTATATAATCTATACTAAGTAATATAGTAGCCAAGTTAATACTCAAACTTCTTATACTATTTACCAAAATAGTTAAGGCATTTTTAAGAAGTACTTAAGAGTTTCTAGAGGAAAGTAATATAGAGTATATAGTAACTATATTTATTATAGTTATATAATCTAATATAGTACTTGAGATATTAATAATAATAGAGGAGAAGGCAATAGTAGAGAATAGCCTAAACCCTCTTAAATTATATAAAGTGGCCAGATTTTAAAGCCTAGATATTATTCTGGCTAGAGTATTTCTTCTATTATAAATAAATAAATAGAACTACTTTTATTATATTATATAATTGCCTGGCTTTTATATAATATCTAATAGATTATATTAAGCTCTTAATATTTGCCTTTTTTTTAATTTTAATTTTACTTATAATTATAATTTAATTTGGAAATACCTAAAAACTAAAAAAAAAGAGAATTCAATCTAGTTCTAAAATATTATATAATAAATATAGAATTTCTTAGTATTAAATTAAGTTAAGAAGCCTTATTTCTTTCTCAGATTCTTTCCTTCCTTTTTTAAACCCTTAGATTTAATTTATTTAGGTTTTTTTATAGATATTTTTCTAATTCTTCTATTATATAATATACTCTAAATAAATAGAATAGCCCTCTCTATTTTTCCTTTAGCCAGAGCTTAATTCTTTTTAGTCTGAATACAATCTGCTCTAACTTACTTTTTAGCTTATTTTTCTGAATAAAATACTTCTAAATCTAAAAGAGATTATATTTGCTTCTATATATAATTACTTAAGCTTCTCTTTTTCTTAAAAGTACGGCTTACCAAGTTCTAAATTATATCTTTCTTTTCTATAAAGTTCTTAAACTCTTAAAGCTTAATAAGAAGTATACTTTTATATTCTTTAGCTATCTTCTTATATTTAAGGGTTATAAATTGCCGATTTATATATTAATATATAGTTTCTAGAGAGTCAGGAAGTACGGATTAGAGAGGAGGAGAAATAGCTTCTTTTAGTAAGGCTAGAACTTAGCTAGAGAAGGTTTTTTCTTAAAGAAATATTAGTATATAAATTAATTAAATATTATATAATATATTACTAGTCTTAAAAGAGGTTAAGAGGGCTCTACTTTAATAGTAGGCTCGACTTTTATATATTTGGCTTTAGCTATTTTAATAGGCTAGAAATAAATATTAATTAAAAGTAGAGAAATAGCTTAATAAAAAAACTTACTTTTTAAGCTATTTAATTATATAATAAGATATAGCTTTATAAAACCGGATACTTCTCTTTTTTAACGGCTTCTAATTAGAAAAAAGTAAATTCTATTAAAGAAGAAATTAAAGAGAGAAGTAAGAGAAATAACTTCTTTTCTCTATTATATAGTAGCTTAAATAGCTTAGGTAATATAAAAATAGCCTTATATCTTCTTTAATAGTATTAAAGGCTTTTCTAAATAAAGTCTTTATTCTTAGTAAATAGAATTAAATAAGCCTGAAACTTATAAATATTTTTTTAAACTAATATAACTAAATAAGGTAAAAGATCCTCTATTATATAAATCTCTTTAGAAGAAAGCTCTTCTAAATCTTGTAAAAAGGGGTTATCTTTATTCTTTTAAGCTATAGCTATCTAAATCTTATACTTCCCGGTTTAAAGAACTAGCTTTTTTATATAACTATATATTTAGCTATATTTTCTATTTAAAATACTTGTTATAAGCTTATTAATAATAAAGACTTATATTAGGTTATTATTTCAATATCTAAATTTTAAAAGATTTATTTTAAAGACCTTATATTTAATATTATTTTTTAAGATAATATAAGTATTATATAATTAATAAATAAGAAAAGTATATATATATTAAGAATATAAAACTAAGAAGATATAAGAAAAGAAGAATTAAGCTCTTTATTAAATAACTAGATATAATATCCTTAAACTTTAAAGAAAGCTAATTATATAATCTTTCTTTAAGACCTAAACTTGAATTTTTCTATCTGAAATTACAAATAATAAGAAAAAGTAAAGAAGCTAGTATTCGGACATTTCTGCTCTTTTCTAATAGTAATAATAATAGAAGCTTAATATAAACCGGCTATAATTATTATATAAGAAATAATTTTTGGCCTATATAATTAGATAGTAAATATAAAGAGAAATAGGCTTGAATTGCTTGCTCTAGAGGGTTTTAGCCTTAATTTAATCTAATTAGAGTAATTTGGATATAGTTTAGTAATCTATATATTATATAATATAAAGGAAAAATATCTAGCCTTTTTCTTTTTCTTTTATTTAATTAGGAAGGCCTTTTATTTAGGCTCGGCCCGGGCTTAATAAAACTTAGTAAAGAGCTCTATAAGTAATAGAAGAGAAGAAAAAAAGGCTATATAATAAAAGCTATTAATAGAAGATACCGGATTACTATTTAAAATTTTAATAATAGTCTCTTTTATATTTTGAAATATAGAGAAAGATACTATAAGATTAACTAGAGAAATACTATAATACTAAGGTCTTAAATTATATAAATCAGGTAAATAAAGAATTTCTATATTATATTACTTATACTAGAACTAGCTAGGCTTATTAAAAATATTTCTATATATAGGATATTTAGAAAGAAAGCCAGAAATCTTTCTAAAAAATATTTTTAAGTAAAGAAAAAAAAAGATATAATTACAAGTAAATTATATAATAAAGATAAAGATATAGTAAGATCTTTAAATAAAGATTTACTTCTTTTTTTAGGCTTTCTACTCTAATAAGTCCCTCTTATCTAGCTGCTTTTTATTCTACTTCTTCTTATCTAACTTACTTAAATTACTTTCTCTACTAATATCTACTTCTTTAATCTCTCTTTATTAGAATTATATAGTTTCTATAAACTTCTAGTTTTCTGAAATTAGCTACCTAAAGCAAGATCCGTTTTATTATATCTTTTTAATATTAATTTTAATCTTTAAGACAAGTTCTAGCTATAGGCTTGAGTTTCTACTAGTAATATAATATTATATAGTAAGCTAAAAGCAGTAATATATCTTAATATAAAGTCTAGAACTATCTAATTTACTAGTTTCTTTTATAAGGCTTAAAGAATTAATTTCAATATTTATAAGCTATAATTTATACTATATTAAGATATTATATAGCAAGTACTTATTAATATCTATAGCTAATAATCTTAGTATATAAAGATAAATTTATAGTCTAGCTAACTAAAAGGCCCTAAAGCTAAAAAGAAAAACTAGTAGTAAAAAGATATTAGGGCTCGGTTTATTTACTTAAATAAGAATTACGCAAGCCCCTAAATTAAGCTATATTATAAGCTATTACCTAAATTAGAAAAAGAAAGAAATTACAGAAATAACTTACTTTAATTAATATAATTTTACTCTAATTCAGCTAAAAGCCTCTTATTTACTAGAAGCCTATATTACTTAATAGCTATATATTTATAGAGAAATATAGAAATATCTACTATATAGTATTTTCTCTTTAGATCTTTTCAGATCCGGTAGTAATTCTATATATCTATATATAATACTATAGTATATTATATAATAGATATATAAATAGCTAGTATAGTAATTTAGTTTATAAAAGTACTATTAAAGTCCTTAGCTACTATAAGGGCTTAAAAAAAGTTCTATACTAGATTAGCTTAAATAAAAGAATTATATAAATAGATATAAATATAAATATACTAGTAATATAGCTGAAATTTCTTAAATTAACTTTATTAAAACTCGATTCTTTAATTCTTTATACTAGTTCTAAAGTAATAGATCTTCTTAAAAGAAAGAATTAGTATTATTATATAAAAGAGAGTATATTAGACTTTAGTAATAAAAGAGATCTCTTCTTTTTTATTAGAGGGAATTACTCGAAGGTAATAGCTAAGCTTTTTAAATATTTAAAGGAACTAGCTAAATATACTATATACTATATAATTAGAAATATCTATATAATACCAGATAATATTATAAAAATAAATATTAATAGTAATATAGATTTGGAAGCTCTATAGAGCTAGCTTATTATACTAATTAAGAGACTACCTCTAATCCGGGCCTTTAACTACTATCTCTTACTTCTTATATTATATATTATTTATATAATACTTATAGCTCTTACTATCTAGGCCCTTAATAATATTATAGATCAATTTGCAAGAAGTAGTAACCCTTATTTAATAGAAGTATATCTTAATTAAGCCTGCTTTATAGCCTTTAATTCCCCTATAGTCTAGCTTCTCTTATATAATACCTATAAGCTACTAGTACTTCTACTTTCTCTCCTCTATTATTATTCTCCGAATAAGGCCAAGATCTAGCCTATATTACGCAAGCTATTAGCAGTAGAGGGGTATTCCCTTAACTAAAAGTACTTAAAGAATTATATTATTATTATAATTGCCCGCAAATAACTTAGAGATATATAATTTAATTCTCTTAATTTCAGAAGATCTATTCTTCCTATTACGCAATATATTCCAAGCCCTAAGAATACGCTCGAGGGTAGTTAAGCTATATTCTATATATAAAATTACCCTGATTTTACTTAAAATCTCGGAATATATAAGCTTCTCAGAGACCCAACTAAGAACCTTATTTTTGTAAGGCTCAAGACTAAGCTTTGGAGGCATTCTGAGTATGATCCAATACGTGCGATATATTAAAAGTGGGATAATAAGGGCAAGTTATGGTTGAGGCAAAATTTGATTTTGCGGCAATTAGTCATAGAAGGTTTTGGTCGTTGTGGTCACCCGTACAGGGATCGTGCTGAGTGGAGTTTTGGAATTGGGCAGTGCGTGATTCGGCTAATGATTGTGTAGAAGCGCCTTTGTGGGCTGTGCTACCGAAACCATAGGAAGCAGAACGATTGACTGATGGCAGAATTTTCTGCTAGAAGGAGATGAGACGGCATGCGCCTCTCTCAGTGGAGGCGGTGCATGATCGCAAATACCAGGCCACTAGCTGCGAATGACAAACTTACTGCGTAGGCAGCCCTGTTGTCTGTCTGCGTAGTTCTACGCTCTTCGTCAAATGGCATCTTCTAGGCCACAAATTCGTAGATAAAGACTATATAAAGCGAAATATTTTTTACTGTTGTAATTGATTATCCTACTAGAAAAAGGGTTGGTGGTTACCAAAGGCAGTTCGTAAGTCGGCCTGACTTTCCTCTTTTCATCCGTACGTCCAATAAACAGCCGCTCTGCGGGCTCGGGTAGCGAACGAATGGGGTGGCGAGGAATGAAACCAGTGTGAGTTCTATTTTGGAATACTGTTTAGGAGATAAATCGTACTCGGTGGGCGGAAGAGGTGGAATTGAGGAGGCGGGCGCACGAAAGTTGAGCTGAAGGATTTGAGCCCCATCTTTTCCCTGGCCCAGGGCCCAGCTTTTCTAAGGGTTACTACAGTAGGCAACTCCCCAGGCAGAGCGGGGTGGTAATTGGTGGTGAGAAGCTGAATTACCAGCTGCTGCTTAATGGCCTTTAGACTTTGCGCAAGGCAGGTTTCACACAGCGTGACTTAGCGCAGTACGAAGGCACCCGGCATAGAATAGCGTCTGCCCAGTTAATAATCGAATCTGTAGCAAGTATACTAACTTATCCCCAAAATATATCTATATACTACGGATACTTTTCCGGAAATATACCCTTAGTAGCAGGTTATACGGCAATTATATATCCTATCGCCTCCGCAAGCTTTAGTAACGCTTTTTTAGCCTCAGGACCTGCATGCCGAAGTTTCGGGCCCACGAGAATCGCAGGCTTGAGTTTTCCGTACAAGTAGGAGGCTGCTTTGCCGATTATTACGGCAAGCACCGCGGGATTAGTAGGTGCCAGGTCGATAACAGCGCTGATGGGTCCCGGACGCATGCAGGGTGCTCCGGCTAGGTTAGTAGGGATCTCAATATATACTGGTTTCTTGGAGAGGAGTGTAGTGCGGATTGCGCGGTTAATTAAACGGGATACGTCTGAGGCTCTGTCAACGGCTACTATATAGCAGGTGATCTTCTTCGCCATCTCGAGCTAATATGTGAAATTGCTCGTCCCGAGTATATAGTACAGGAGATGGAATTGGCCTGTATTATTAGTATTGGTAATCCGCTAAGGAGGATTAGAGGAAGGTTCTCAGCGTAGGCAGACCCGGTGCTATTGAACGCTGAGAGGGCGCCGACGCTGTAGGTTACGACGCAGGCGGCAGCGCTATTGGCTTGCGCGTAGCCTTCGGCGGCCATGGAGCAGTTGAGCTCATTAGCACAGCCGACTTCAATGAGGGCGGGTTTTCCGAAGAGGTCGAGTTTACCACCCAGCTTGTCGAGGAGGATGAGGTTGTAGTCGCCGGGGACGACGAAGTGGTGGCGGATACCGATTTGTACTAGCCTCTCAGCGAGGTAGTTGCCGACAGTGAAGGTTGAATGTGCCATATATTCGCCCATAAATATGTACCAGCTATTGCTTGACTGTTCGTAGAAATTTCAGTTAGTTTTGATTGAAGTTATTCAGTGAGGAAGCATTTGATGTGTGAAGGCGAGGAACTCCTTTAAATAGCTGAGGTTACGAGCTCCTAGCGTGCGTCCTCTTCGCCTGAGGATATTTCTGCATGAATGATAAGGCATCTGCTGATATGTGCAGCGAAGAATCTTTGATTCGGTCCTTCCTTCCGTTCTATTCTGCAGATTGTCTCATGATGTTCAGCGGACTATTTATCGTATGATGTTAAAGTGGGCCCTGGGCCCGCATATCGCCGAGTCTCGCTAAGAGTAAGGGGCTGCTAAGCGAGCCTCGTTGATATTTCCCCCCTAAATCACATCAATCCCCGTAAATAAAGTAGGTAGGCAAAGTGCAACTCACGCACCCCCGGAAGCACCAGGGCTCTTGAAGTTATGGTGAGGAAGTTATTGCTAAAGTTAACTCCTCTGAAACTCTCAGCTCGAGAATTCGGCAACTCTTGCAGCTGGTAACCTACAGACGTAACCATGCCAAGAATATCTGTAATCATTAATCATCACGTAGCATTGCTCCCAGATTACCAGGCTGCGACTTATAGCATTCAGAAAGACAATCCAAGAAGTAGGACTATAGGACTAATTAGAGGGAGTGGCTCAAGTGGACCAGTAAAGAATATGAATATGAAGGAGGAAACATTGAGTCGATAGAGCATGTAATGGAAAGCCTGTATCGGCATGTATTCGCAATTTTAACTGATTTCGAAGTGATATCTATATTTTACAATGTACTATAAGTGGGGCAAAACATGAATCTGATGATGTGAAAATTCCCCACAGGTCTACATTCTCATCACTACTAGCTATACACGATGCTCAAATTCTAGTAAAGACGCTCATTACCGCCATTATAAGTAAGGTCATCAAAGCAGTGATATAAGAAGAAACTGTGAAGGCCCCAGAAACATCATTCCTCAAAAGACTCCAAGAAATGCAAAAGATCAATCCCGAAACCGCCGTAAGACCAAATAGAATCCATATAATTAAAGACATATTTAGAGTCTCCACCATGTGAAGGCCCCAAGCTAGATTTGCTGTAGGGCTGTCATCAAGGATAAATTTGCATGGCTGTTTCTTTTTCTTAGGGAATCTTTTGGAATAAAAGTCGCCCGGTGCAAATTCATCTCTGCAGTGCCATAGATGCATCATTAGCTTTTGCGGGACTGGTGGTTGGGTCTGAGGCGGCATTGGAAGGTATTCATATTCGACGTTATCTGGCGCAGGTGGAGGTAGTCGATCTGGAATCAAAGAGTCGACCAGTTCTTTTGGATATAGTTGGAACTAGACCTCTTTGATTAGTGGTTTATGATTATGGATAGCAATTTCACTTACCTCTACAAAGTCGATTCTATGTATCTTGAATAGCAAGCTATTTAACTCACGTCTTATCACCTTGTAATCCTTCTTGAGGGTGCGAAAAATATCCCGATCGGTCTTTTTATCGCAGACATCGATATAATGCATCCTCGTCGAATAAGGGCCTTTCTCCACACATACTTGCAGAAATTTGCAATCAGCTCTCGGTTGGTGCGGACTCTGGCTGGTTGAAAGTGCCTGAACTTCGGAGACTGGTAGACTTATTTTCTTCAGTCTGCGAGATATTGATCGTTGTAGTCGATGGCCTAGAGTTAACAGCAAAGGCCAAGTCCTAGCCCCCTTAGCAGTACTGCCAGTACCCGTTTCTATGCTTGCAGCAGTCACAGAGCCGGAATTTTTTAGCTCTTCTAACATTTGTGGGAGACCATCTATTGAAAGTTGCATGAAGTCATCGTAAGACATATGCCCGCACTTCTGTACCCTTTTGTGTTAGCACTCTGGTTTACCGTCTCGGATAGGTGTCTTACACAACTCCACCTCAGTCTATGAGCTCCTGCGGGGATAGCAGGGTCCAGAAACAAGCTGGTAGAACGGTAAATAATTCCAGAGATAAATCCCGACAGTTTTGCTCGAAAGCCCCTCAGTATTTGTTCAAGGAAGTAGATTTCAATGCCATTATTACACGGCTCGGATGCTAAATCCATGTTCGTCTCCTGTTCCGTAGACATCATCTGGTCGGGTTCGGGCTCAAGCTGTTTGACTTCTGATGGATTCCCTAGATCTTGAATATTGGCGAGATAGTTCCATTGTACATGAGAAGAATCTATGCGGCCGTAACTTCTTTCCTCGTTTATATCCTCAGCAACTTCACTTTGCGTCGCGGAATCATTCTTTGGAAACTGAATCGATCTTTCGATAATTGGAAATTCTTTTTCCTTGGCTGGTTTGGGTTCCAAAAATGATTTTAAGCGATCACGCCGGTTGGGTAAAGTATCCCCACTAGACATAAACGAATGGACGTGATCGAGATTTAGAAAAGCTGATGAGCCTCGATCCTCTTCTTCGCTGGAATAAGACATAGATTCCGGGTCTGAATCTTCATCTTCAGCGTCGAAATTGCGCTCTACTACCTCTGAGGTTGTTCTTGAATTTTCGCTTTGGACATATTGTTTCAGGCCGTCCTCAGGATGCATGGGATAACCAACGGTCTGTCTTCGAAGCCCGTCCATGACTTGAGACTTTTTTGCAGCACTAGTAAAGAATTTAAGGCGTACAGATTCTGCTGTGCGCCTCCTTTGCCTAATGCCCAACAGAATGCTGGAAGGTGCATCCCGATTTATGTTTGGAGCAGAGAAGGTTGCCCCTTCTTCCCAATCTACTCGAATGCTATTGGAGTTGTTATATTGCCGACCTGCGTACCACAACTCAAATTTAATATCTGTGGGTCCAATGAGAACCTTAATTTAATGTACTGCAGTTCTGTATTGGTCCCTGGGAGTGATTCTCTTGAACCAAGATCTGTGTCCCTTCGCGAGATCGAAGTCGTCAAGCTTAACACTGGACAAGTCGGAGGTTAAGGTGCACAAGACGTGGCAATCGGCTTCAACAAGTCAGTATATAATCTCAAGACCACGAACTTGAGCTTACCATTCGCAAAATTTCCAGGCAAGCTGTCGGCTTCCATATGAGATATGATCACCTTGTCTTTCCATATCATATTGGTCTTGTTCGCAGCATTTCCATCCTTTAACCGACACACGATACGGACGAATTCATGTGTAACATCTTTACCGACGTACATCATTTCACCCTAATTCCAATCAGGAAGTGCTAGCAAGGAATCTCCACTATACTTAACTTCTTTATCATCCAAAGGATTTGATTTCTAACCAGTAATTTTCCATCAATAGGAGATTTGTAAATTTCTTGACCAATATGCAGTGGGTTGTTCCGATTATATGGCATATCGCACATAATGCCGTAAGATGCTAGGCATATCCGCCCAATCAGAATGTTCCTCCCCGTCTTGATTTTCCACAATCGATCAATGACAAGGCCTCTACAGACAGCTAATTGGCTGTTGGGTCTCAGCATTAACATTTCAATTGCCAATCCGATATCTGTACTTACGGCTCAGCAGACACTAGAATCTCAAGATTTGGTGCATGGAGATGCTTGTACCGTACAAATTCTTGGTAGAGTCGGGAAAAAAGGTATGGTGAACTCCCAAGGCCACCTGAGAGAATGAGATATTTCTGAAAATATTAGTTCAGGATACCACAAGAAGATTCATATGCTGGAATTACCACATCTTTATTCTGCGGAACGCTGGTATTTAACTGATTTCTGATTAGGGCTATTATTCGATTCACCTGGGGGTCAAAAAGTGCTCTGAAGTCGTCACTAGTAAGAAGTATCAGTATCTAGGTCAGAATATATAACATTCTTGGTCTTTCACTTACTGTGAGAAAGCCATCTCGCCTCTTTCAATGCCAGCCGCTCTGTTCGATACGGACTCGTGGAGCTGCGGGACAGGAACAAGGAATTTGGGAACTGCGTTATTCGAAGGATCTCCGAAGCTGCATTTCCACTCTTGGAACTCTGGACTATGCATCATCGTCCACGCAGTGTTCTCGGCAACTTGCACGCCGCCTGCTCGAAGCCTGGAATCGACCAATTCCTCGAATGCCAAGTCGATGTTTGTACTCCCCACATCAATACCTGGTATAGTGGCCAATTCTTGAAGTTTCGGGTTCTCTTCATTATCGGAAATTTGTTCGAGAAGAGCGAAATCGGTCGTAGCTCCTCCAGCATCACATACAAGCATAACATCTCCATGATGAAAAGTTTGCAAACTATCTTTCGCAGCATCGACAGCTGAAGCTTGCGATTCTGTAAGACTGAATTCAATTGTATGGCGTCCTTGGCTGAATCCAGCCTCAATAAGTAGTTTTCGAAGGCTTGTACTGATTGCTTGTGATCTGAACGTGGTAGGTACAGTCGGTCCGACCCAAACACGACAAAAAAAAATAAAAACCACCACAATACTAATTGATATAAATCGTATTAATTAAAACTATACTATATACGCTAGGAATCAATTCTATAGTCTCAAAATTATAATATCTTTATTATTAAGGGAGTTATAATATATGTAATTAAGCGAGCAAATATTTTTGCGCTTTGTATGGTCATTTTTTAACTTTGGCTGTCACGTGACTGCCCCCCCAGGTTGTCCGCTCTTCCATAATTATATTAATATCTCAACAACCACAAACCTAATCAACTATCCCTTTTATATACTTCCAATGGCTACCTCTGTAAGCCTTCAGAAGCGTAAGCGAGCTGATTCAACTCTTGATTCAATTACAGTTCTCACCATAGCTGAAGAAGCTGCAATCCAAGCAACTCTTGACGAACGGCATGGGAAACCCTCTAATATAGAGGACGGTTCTAATGGTTCAGATATTGAACAAAGCGATAAATTAGAGCTTGAAGATTCAACTCTCTTTTGGGTTCAGCAGAAGCTTATTATTGGTGGTAATGAGACGATTATTTTGGAGAAGCTTATATTCGCATAGCAAGAGCAAAGACTTACGGCACAGACTAGTAAGTTTCTTATCTTTATATTATAATATAAGTATACTAATACTATTTCTAGCTTCCCAGATGCTAAGGTTAAGGTAGTAGAGGCACTTGAAGCTTGTTCGATTGAGACTATGCGGAGGTTTTGCAACCGTATATTCCGTTGGATAGATGCATATCGGAAGGGATTAAGTATTAAACAAGCTGCTTGGTGCGTAAAGAAGCAAAAACGCCATAGAACGATATCTAAAAAGGTAATGGACGAATGGGATAATATGCAAAAGGAAGGGAAAGAAGGTAGCTAAATAAGAAGCTAGGTTTATGGATTTAGTTCAGCTAAAAGTAAGCTTGAAACCTATTTAATTATAGTCCCACCATATATATATAATATATGGCACTAGAAAAAGCTATATTTAGTACTTAGGAAGGTTCAATTAAGATTATAGGGCTTAATTATTATTATTTTATTAATAATAAGGCTGGTGAGATGCCCTAATCTCTCCTTGAAGTCCGGGCTCACGTGACCTTAGCGAGCAAATATTTTTGCGCTTTGTATGACGAAAAATCAAAAAAGTAAAAAGGGTCCGTGCACTTTAGGCCTTAATTATTAATGAACCACAAATTATATCAAAAATCTGATTAATAGGTATTTTTCGCCTGGTTCTATTCTATAATCGCATCACTTAGTATAAATTAATGAAGGTTGTGGTTGAAAAGTTATTATGGGCATAAAAGAGCGACCGTTTTGTCGTGTTTGGGTCGGACAGACTGTAGGCTGAAGAGAAACTCAATACGCTTGGAATCCCAGGCACCAATTTGGGTCTGAAGCACGCTACTGATGTAGAGGTAAATGCATCGCATGTAGTCTCTGTACCATTTTCTGACTTCTGCAGTGGAGGGAAGATCTGCTTCGGGTTCAGCGGTCCGAAGCTGATCCAAAAATTCTGGATCTAGCCACTGCTTGAACCACTCTTTCTTATCATCGTTAAATAGGCAGGGAAACCCCCATTCAGGATCGACTCCAGGGCTTGCATAGCGAATAATCGAAGGCACCTTCCGTGAGGATTCGTGAAGTTTTCCAGGCCATTTTTGAATGACCTTCGGCTGCAGCATATTCCTATTGGAATATGCAACACCTGCGAAGGCATAAGATTAGAAACAACGACGATGCCAATTATTCGGAGTACTCACCAGTAAAATTCATTCCAAAGTCAATTCCGACAATGATTTCCGGCTCCATCGACGACATATTGGAGCTGTTTCGACACAAGAAATGATATCAAAGAATGGAAGCACAAGTAGGTAAAGACTGTTCCGCCCACATTCCACTGCAGACGCTGCAGTGCCTAGAATTTGTGGCTTGGGCAGACAGGAAGGCTGTGCGTACGGCTTTTTCAAATACGAACTGCTGCAGTTTCCTGGTATTTAGCTTGGCGCTTACACAGCCTGATGTGGGGTGGTGCAGATAGGCAGCAACCCCTCTTTTGAGAACGCCCGCATGGTGGATTATTTTACTGGTGCCAGCATAGCAAGCCATCTCTTGGCCATACTTCAGCCGGGTTAGCCAGCAATTTTTTGGACCAAATCGAACGCATTGTTGTTCGGATTTTGTTGCCCATCTATTCTCAACCATGGAAGAAGATTCTATACTGAAGAAATCTTTCAGCGAACGACTTCTGGAGAAGATGGCTGGTTTGAGATTAAAGAAACCTCCATCCCGCAATGAGAAGTATCGCACCACATTAATCAACCTCGATTACTACCTTGCACAACTAAAAGGAGGATAGCAGTTAGGGTAAACGATGGGTAACCATTTCTAACCACCCTGGCCGTGCACTTTACCCCGCCACGAAGCAAATTAACCTCACATACGCTGAAAATACGTTAAATATTAACACTTCTAAATCAGGAAAAATCGCATTCAAAATCTAATAGAAATACAAAAAGTTATTCGCGATCGGGAGTAGCCGATCTAACTATATAGTTAACCATCGTTTACCCTAGATAGCAGAATCGGATCAAAGTTGAAGACTTTTCAGAACTACCTACATGCACATGCAAAGTATTATCGTGACAGGCCGGTGAGCCTGTCGAAGGAGGAAATTTTGGCTCTCTTAACTAAAAGGCTTTTCATATCAGACAAGGAAGCGATGCAGAGACTCGCGTATAACCTTTTTTGAGTACTGTTCTTACAGAGAAACCTTTATTCGATTGATAATATATCGAAATCAATCTGTATGAGCATAGATTTCAATGGGAATCCTGATATTTCTCTTCTTCCAAAAGAGATTGTCCTGCTTATGACTGCTTTCAAGGAGACCCCTCGCTGGAAGGAAACAACACAGGGTATGCAAGTTCGCTTGTGTCATTTAGAGTACCGAGCTAATATATATATTGGAGTCAGTGTGTCAAAAAAAATCGATTAGTTAAGGCGAATCATGAATATTCATGATTTGATTTGATTTGATTTTGATTCGTATAATGCTTAGTCAGTCTTGATTTGGCTGTTCGTGACGGCAACTCTGCAATGAATTGTTAGCTTTGAACACGAATGGCTCTGGATTCCTTACCCTGCTTGTGATACTACAGATTTGAATCCAGCGTGTAGAGAGACGGTTGTTGAAAATCGTATTGCATTCTCGTTTTCGCCATGAAGGGCATATTGAGAATCCTCTGAGCAGATGTCGAAATCGTTTTTGACGAGATTGGCAGTCATGCTGGGCTTTGGAAGAGGGGAGTCGAGGAGAGAGGTCCAGTTTGTCGCGTCGCTGAATTTGGGGGTATGGAACATAAACCCCGGTCTTATTCCATACCCCCAAATCCGTACTAGCTTCCACCAGGTGTCATGCACTCCCACACCGGCGGCACAATTTCAAAAGCGACCTATGGCGTCCTGTTTGGAGAGGGAGTTCCTGGCCCAATGGCGGATCTTCCGACAAGTGGACACCCCACATATGCCCGCTGTGCCTTCATACTAGACTCGATCATGAAGGCGTGGCTTTATGTGCCTCATCTCAACTTGGGAGGAGGTCGCTGCACAGTGGGTACTCTGCAGAGGGATGATCTGTTTTGGATTTCCTTTTGCTTACCATTAAGACCAGCCACATGTATCTCCGGGAATGCTTCGCGCCTCGTATTGCTACCTAGCCAATGAGATAGCGTCGACATCAAAAGCACGGTAATTCCGGAGCCGTCGCTGGTAAAGGTCCCCTTTGGCGTGTCCGCGGCAGGTCTGCTCCCCCTATCTCCTATAATCGGCCTTGACCCACCGACTGACTCTTACAATGAGACATATCCTTGATTTTCTTTTCCGAGTTTCCAGGCCGATATGGGGGTGCTAGTGCAACGCACTGAAGCGGTTGGGTGATTCCACGATAGGGCTGATGACAGTGAATTGAAATTTGAGTCCCAGAATCAGAGTATGATTTGCTCGAGACTGGCATCTTGTGATACTCCTTAACGAACAAGAGATTCATTCACCCCTTTCAGTAATCTTCTGGAAGCAAATGTTCACGGCTGCAGGTGTTTCTCGGTGAACCCTAGATGTTCCAGAAATGCGCCACTATTTGCGGGGTATTTCGTGTTCTTTCCTCCGCGTCTTCGCAGGGATGGCTGTTGATGATTCTACTCCGGCCTCCGTCGCATCCCAACCTTCGAAGGAAAATGACCAACATCCGCTCAAGAGCAGTGAAATCAAGGGTTCGATCTGGCTGTGTAACTTGTGAGTTTCATTATTTACTCTCGGGATGGATACATGACCAGAACTGACCAACGTCTAGGCAAGTACGTCTTCGAAGTTGGGCTAACTCTCCTTGCCCTTTTCTTATTGACAGATTGTCGCAGGATTCGACGCGTAAAATGCGATGAGAGGAAGCCTGTTTGCGGTTCGAGCTCTTGATTCTTTTATCCCTTCATTTCAACACATCAGTATCCTCCTCTCATACCTTCAAGAAAACCCGAGCTGATTATTCAATCTTGCAGATAGGTGTGCGAGTGCCGGCTATGAGTGTGATGGATACTGGTACAATACTTTGGCACGAAGACGTCCCTCAAATCCTGTTTCGACTCGAAGCACCGGCAAGAACTCACGAGTCGCTATACCAAGAATGCTCTCCAACCCCACCTTCACCACCATGCCTCCTCTTCAAAACGACAATCTGCCCCGGCAAGTTGCCTTAGCGCAAAGCGATCAGTCAGAAAACATGGCACGCTCATCAGGAATTCCTCTACCGCTACGGAATAAAGGTAAGATGCCCTCCCCATCCTAGACGCTCTGCTAATCCTGGGTAGAAATAACTCAACGGTCCTCCTCCTCCCTTTCCTCCATCGGCGATGAGGTAACAACCGTCCGAGTCCAACAACTCCCCAATTCAAGCCGACGACAACCCTCTGCTCCCCAAACTGTTCCGCAACCACGACAAACCACAAGCAGCCAAGAAGAATACGCACACGCCATCCCCACCACTTCCTACCAACTCGTTGTCCAGCCATCCGCAGGTCCTAAATTCAAGAACACAATTGAGCATCAATACTTCGCAATCTTCCTAGAGAGCACGGCTGCCCAGCTATCTGGATATCACGAGTCTTCCCTTTGGGACCGCATCGTACCCCAAGCTTGCCATGAGGAAGAATGGGCTATGAACGCAGTGATCGCTATCGAAGCTCTCCATTAGTATGCTCAGTCAGATACAACGGTAGATAGTGAAGGTCACCACATTTTCGCCTTACAACGATATGACGAAGCCATATACCAATTCATGCAGAAAGCTAAAGCAAGTTATTCAGAGTCTCGTCTTCGACTCGTATTGATCTTTACCCTTCTTACTACTTGCTTCGAGACATACATCGGCAACAACGAGGACGCGATTACGCAAGCGGAAATTGGCGTAGCGGTTCTGCTTAAATGGGCAGCAGAACAACAGAAAGAGCCAGCAGATAAGACAGATGAGTGGTCTAATGTAAGGAACGTTACATCTCGGTCGTTTTACCTTGACAACGACCTCTTAGACGCATTCCAACGTCTAGACTACCAAGTCCTACTCTGTAGGGGTCTTCAACCCGATCGAAAAGCACCACAAGTATTTCCAAGTACCCGCAGCCCATTTATATCCGTTAACGAGGCATACAGATTCTGTGATTTAGTTATGCGGCGGGTCCTATACTCTCACGCCATCAAAAATATCAGAGAACAACACTCTCCGCCATGCTATGATGGAAATAACGCCCAGTACTCGAAGCATGAGTTACAAGGGTTCAGGACTGCCATAGAGCAGTTTTTCCGCTCATTCGAGCCTATTTTCCAAAGCTCTAGACAAGAGCCTGGATCGAAGAAATACCTGCTAGCAAACATCCTCATGATTAGAGCTCTAGCTTGCCGTTGGACAATCTCACAAGGTCCGTCAGATAGCGAGATGTACACCAATGCTTACTTACTGGACTACAACCTCGTTAACAGTCTGGCGAACGAGCTGATTACAAGAAAGGTGAATTTCAATTTCGACATGACTCTAGGTGCTTCACTATTCAGCCTTTCACATTATTGCAGAGAGCCCACGGTACGCCGAGCAGCTATTGACTTGTTACATCAGTGCACAGAGAGAGCAGGATGGTTCGATACACCAGTTGCTGCGAAGATCTCGAAGTGGCTAATGGACAAGGAAGAACTGAGGATGATTGATGGATTCATACCTGATCCTGCGAGATTGAGACTCATCAAGCATGTACCTGGACAGCACATGCGAACAGCAGATCTGTATTGCTCAGAACTCACTGGGGAAGATGGAAATGCGAGAAGAGAAGTGCTCCATTCTATTACGTTTTAAAACATTTGAGAATTAGAGAGCATTTTGGAGTTATGGAGACACAAGATTTACCACCTCTGATTTGAGAGGGTTGAACATGTAAATTCAAGCAATGACGTTAATAATCACGCCAATCTCCTTCGAATTAGCCAGATTGCAGGTCCAAGTGATCCAGCTTGATTGTGTAACTGAGGGGGATAGGTGAGTAGTGTGTCTTCACGCCTGAAACCTGCATTGAAATGAGTCAAGCAAAGTGCAAATTAGGGGTCGTGGTGTTGAGGAAAATGGTTCGGTGTCTCCACCCCCTATCTTTCACACAGTCTCTTTCAGTGACTAGCTTCCAGCTAATAAATTGGGAGATATAAAGGACTCCGGATATTCTGGTCCTCCCCCTGGTGTCTCAGCTCGAAGCTTCAAAACTGCGATCCTGCCTCTCTATATCACACTTTATCCGGATCACGTTCTCATCACTCTCAAAATGGCTCTTCCTGGTTACTGTAACCATTCATTCAACCTCCTCAAATCCGAATCAACGCTCATTCAATGGGTCTGTTCCATGTGCCACTCTGGCCCTCATTGGTATATCTTTGAGTGCAAGTATTGCAAGTTAAAGACTTGTCGGCCCTGTACAAATAAGTTTAGCAGCAGGGTCTTATTTTTTCGCCGAGTAGGTTTGCAAATCCCTTCTATCTTTCCGTCATAGCGATAATACGTCTTTTTTGCTCTGGCTTAATGGCAACTAACCTGTTCTCAGGGAAAGAGATTTGGTGGTGGGTGGTTGATTTTGATCGGCGCGGTGGAAGAAAGGTCATAAGGGAGATAGAAGAGGGGGCATCTATTGGTTCTTCAACGGAGATCGAATCCCATTAAGGACGCGGGGGAAAACGATGTATTATAGCGGAGTATTTCTACATTTTATTTGATTTACACAGCCAGATCGAACCCTTGATTTCCCCTGCCGTGACCGATGCCTTTTTTGTTGTCCCAGTCTGGAGTTGACACTGGCCACCATTTTTCTTTGAAGGTTAGGATGCCACGGGGGCCGGAACTTTGAAGCTCTGGCTCGGAAGACTGGGATAAACTGATTTAACTTCCGGCCATGATTCAACTTCCCACGTTAGCGAGCATGCGCCTTCTTTCATTCGTAAAATTTTTTGGAGCTTACTGTTAAGAGCATGAGCCGAGTGAAACGCTCCTGAACGCTACTCGTTCACGCTGGGAGAGATTTCCATTTTGTTAGCTGGCTGAAAACCCGAATCGGGTTACGCTCCCCATTGGGGAGCGAGTGGGGACTTTTTTGTTTTTTTTTTTTACCGGATAGCTTTGGCGGTGGCGACCTCCTAGCTGCTCCGGGGACGTTTCGCTTTCTCAGCCGCTCTATCGATCCACTGAGGGCTTGACGTTCAAACTCACGCCCTTTCACCACCCTTTCACCACCCTTTGCGTATGATTTAGCTGTTGTTCCATACATTTTTCTCGCCACATTCACCACCCATTTCCCACCCATTTCCCACCCATTTCCCACTATCCCGCCATTTCCTTGCCACTTTTAACTTACAAGGGTCCCGTCTCCTAGCAGTGGCAGCACGCAGGTACTGTCTCCACAGGGACGTTTTCATGGTAGCGACATCTTCGGCGCGGCTGCTACTAGACAAAGGAGCCGATGTTGCAGCTGTAGATTGGGAGGGTCAGACGGTGCTACACCTGGCAGCCATGAATGGGCACGAGGCGGTAGCGCGAGTACTACTACACAGGGGGGCCGACGCGGAAATGGTAGGCTCTGAAGGAGAGACGGCGCTACACCAGGCAGCTGAGAAGGGGCGTAATACGGTGGTACAACTATTGCTTGATAAGGGAGCAAATGCCATGGCGACGGATAACACAGGACGGACAGCACTGCACTTAGCGGCCCAGCACAACCACGTCACAGCGCTGCGGCTGCTGCTCGATTTCATTCCTCAAGGGGGTGTTTTTGATCTAGATATCGATGCGGTTGACAATTCTTTATAGCCAGCGCTGCATATGGCTAGGAACAAGGTGACCTACATCCTGATGCTGCTATGATAAAGGACGAAATGGTCAATGCAGTCTGCACAATAGCGACGGGATTCCACTAACAGGGTAACAAGGTTAATCCTTCACCGCCAATGGTCCCCCTAAGACCAATGCTAAAGGATAAGGCAAGGAGGGTGCGAGCGTATTCTCAATACCGAGTCTGGGGGATCAAGTTCTTTTAGCTAGTGCGGCTTTTGAGTCCATGGAATGAGTTTGAATCTTCAACTTTTCAATTTCCTCCCTTTCCAGGGATGGTAGCGACTTTCTAGATGATTTTGATTCTTTCACGCCTCGTGCCATACGTGCATAATTGCTGCAAAGTCCACATATCAAGCCATTCACTTTCGAACACGCCAATTCTTTCAAATGTACCAAGAGTTTCTGGAGAAGAGTTTGCAAAGCCTTGAGGAGGGTGCGTTGAAGTGTAAAACCCATTCTCCGGCCCTAAACGTCGTAAGAGCAATCCCACTGCTCGGCATTTATCGAATCCTGCCAAGTTGTTATGGCGCTCCTGTGATTGTATTTGGATATTGAGAATTACACCAGTGGTAATATACGCATGAATTGAGTAGTCTTCTTTGGAATCCAATAGAACATCAATGGTTGCCGAACATCGAATTGAAACCATTGTGGAACTGTTGGATTCGAGGAGTGGGTTCCAATTCATGGTCGCGCAAATAACGTTCGAACCCTGCTGACGGTCAATTGGTACCCCGAGGTCAAGTAAACTTCCTTGAACAGTGATAAAGCCTGATTTAATCTCTGGACGTCCACTCTCGACATGTATCTCCTCCACTAGGGCATGGCTCACATTTCGCCACTCTTTTTGCTCATGGTACCAAACCTGTCCATCGATAGATGCCCACGACCAGGATGGTGAGCGATATACTGCCGGGTGAGAGTACGAGCCTCCAGGATAAGGTCTCCACATAAGTTCATCGAGCAGGTGCCGCTTCCAAAGACCAGCGACGCAAGTATCAGCTGACGTTGCTGCAAATCGCTCCACAAGGCCCTCGAGAGCCACCAGTTTATCCCGTGGATCCGATAGATTCCGCCCGCTGTACTCCTCGACCAGCCCATGCCAGAGCCCCAGCAGGTCCTCATCGACTTTGAAAGGCCGCAACAATTTCAAGTGTCCTGGAGGGGTGCTACGGTAACCAGACTCTTTCTGTAGTTTATGTCCACGGCACTCCCAATACATTTGATTCGATGCAAAGCCTAAGACGCAACGGGATAGCAAACGTTCTTGCAAAGTCCAAGCTCGCGAGTGAAGCGGACCATCGCATGAGTCACTGTAATAGCCATTGCTTGCTTTGTCTGGTTGAAGGAAGAACCGAATCGTCTCTTGGCCCGGATAAATCAAATCAATGCAAGCAAGTTTGCTTTGGCGGTGTCGTAGGAATCCTTGACTGTCATCAGAAGCCAGGGTTGCCGCAATCGTTAAGTATGCATTCGAATACATGTCGCACATCCTCGAGCTCTCGATCCTCCAGTCTTGTCGATCGTCTTGGATGATGCACAGTGAATCGATCCATAGATATCGTATATTCAGGCTTCGGGTCAGCGAAACAGCATCTCGAAAAGTGGTTGGTAGATCCGCCATCGCAAAACCACACAATCTCTTGAATATGGTGCCACGTTGCGTTGTGAAACATCTGTTTCCTCCCCAACAGTGGCTTAGTGCGACGTACGGGAGACGCTCTTCCGGCTTCAGGCTTGCTGTTAGGACCAGCCGAAGTGGAGGTTGACTGACATCGAGCAGACGAGTCGGATATGAAGTCGAGGACTGTGCTGCGATGTCATTGCAATGGGTGCATTCAGTCTCACATTTTTCGATCCACTGCTTTATCTTCTTCAGCGCTGTGGGCCCGCTGGGATCTGGCCGAACAACGCTGGAATACGGTTGCTCGGCCAACTGTGGAGCTGCTCCAGTTAGCTATATAAAAGCACATAACATGACTGGAATCTTCTCCTAACCAAAATCGGCTGCCAATCTATGTCTATCAAGAGGCTCGGTATCCGAAATTCCGATCTTGCAAGTTTTGGCACCCTTCTCGGACCGGAAGCCTCTCTCAACTTTCAGGAGTGAGAGCACTACAGCGTCGTCTTTCAGATATTTTGCTGATACCTTGCGGTCAAACGAAAGTTCGATGGCCCTTAGAAGAAGTTGGAATAAAGCGCATTTTGGTCTTGCTTGTACACCACTGCCAGTTCCGTGATTTATCAACTCTCTTTCAAACTCAGCGATGGAAATCTTTATTGGGCCCCAAATGCCTTCCAAATCATCCGAACTGTCAAGGGATCTCCAAGCTGAGGAGAAATGCGAGTAACCAATGTCTCTGTTGTTTCGCAGGAGAAAATCGCATGCCAGGCAAATGCTATCATCTTCAAGTTCACTCATCGCCGTGACCGAGTCTGACGATTGGAGAGCCAAACTTTGCTTCCCAGTACGCCACATGCTCAAATTTCGTGATGGAGTGGTTATTTAGGGGTGCAAAAGATGTGGTATTATTATCTACGAGATCTGGGCCGCTTCGCTAAAATTAAAACCTGGCGGCCCTACGCAAGCTCCGGGGCCAGTTTTAATTTTGCCCTGATCTCGATTCGAGATTAATTAGATAAAGCTCTCTCTCTATTTTTATAAATTACTATACTCCTTAATTATACTTGCAAAGCTCTCCCTCCCCTTTTATAGGCCCTTTTAAGCCTTACTTTTACTTATTAAGCTCTCTCTCTTACTTAACCCCCTCTCCTTTTTTTTTTAAAATATAGCCACATTGCACTCGCAAGCTCGTACTAATGTGACATATAAGCGTATAGTCTTTTAAAGGCTTTTATTTAAATAATTATTGACTTCTAAAGGCTGTTTTCTATTGTCTTTTATAAGATATCTATAGCGTTTTATAGCCCTTGCCTCCCTAAGCTCCTGCTCGCCCGATTTCCTAGTACGTACTTGTATATGTCTTTGAAGCTCGTCTCTCATAGGCTTATTTTCAAGTCTCGATATTCTTGCTTGCTTCTTTCTTTGAATACCACATTAATGATTTGACTTTTGCTTCCGTTTTCGGCATATAGAGTATATAAAGAATTATCCAAATTCAGAAAGGGGGCGTTTTTGATTATAACTAGAGTAGTATTCTAAGAGAAAGGTTAGTAAGTATTTACGGATAGGGTTTCCTACTTACGGGTTAGCTTGTCCCAAATTGATTTATTAATATCTCTTCGTTTGCAAGTCTCTCCTAATTATTTATAGATTTCTCTTTGTCCGCAAGTTCTTTCTCTTTATCCGCAAGCCCCTTCCTTTATATCTTCAAATATTGGCTAGTTATAAGCTAGTACTACGCTTCCTCTTGCTCTTGCTCCCGTTCCTGCTCCTGCTCTTACTCTTGCTCCCGCTCCTGCTCCCGCTTTCCCCTATTATACTCGTCCGTAAACTGCTATATATTAGCCCTGCTACTTACTATTTGCAAGCTTTTACCGGATCGTTCTCTTCCTATTTCCTCTCTTATTCTATCTCCTATTATTTCTTCTCTTTATCCTATTCCTATTTATTATCTTATAATTGAGCCTGGAATTTCCTTTATTTCCTTTAGACTTCTCCTTTTACTAGTGCCTTCTCCAAGTTTACAGGATCCTATATCCCACGCTTTTGTACCCGTAGCTTTACTTTCTTTGCCCGTAAGATCTGCCGGTTATGCCTTTCTTATATAAACTTGCCCATAGCTTTATGGTATTAGTTATACTTTTATATAAAGCAGATTTTGCAAGTATAAAGTCAATATCCGTTCTCGTAAAAAGGGAAGCTTATAATTAGGCGAAAGGACTTATACCCGGAGTAGTATAGCCGGTTTAAAGGGAGGGTGTCTATTGGGAGCCTGCAGAGCCTGTAAAGCCTATAAATTAGCCTATAAACCTTATAAAAGGGAGCCTATAGAACCTATATAACCTGTAAAGTCTATAGAGCTTATAGAGCCCGTAAAGCCTATAAAATGGAGCCTATAAAGCCTATAAAAAGGAGCCTATAAAGCCTATAAAAAGGAGTCTATAAAGCCTATAAAGTAAAGCCTAAACTATAGAGCAGGCTAAAGTTTTGGTATTCTCGTATAGATGCATTTATATAATAGTATTAGTTTTCTTCGGAAAATAGTAAAAATATAAGATAAATAAGTTTAGGGCCGCTTTACTAAAATTATTAATTGGCTCCGGAGCTTATATAAGGCTACTAATTAATAATTTTGCCCTAAACTCGTCCCGAATAGGATTGGAATATAATAAAGGCTAGTATAAACTCTTTATAGACCCTTTATAAATAGTATAAAAAGAAAAATAGCCTGTAAGTATATAAAGTTAACTATAAGTAAATTAAAAGCTAAGTAAGACCTTATAATATTTCTGGATATACTATATTACTTATATGGTTTATATTAGAGAATAAAAGAATATAAAGCCCTGCTTATAAAATTATTTATAAGGCTACTATATAGAACTGGCTATAAGAAAAAACCGGTAATTATAAATTTATTCTTATTACCTTAAATAACTAGCCTTATAACTTATTAATAGTTATTATAAAGAATAAAGTAAGTAGAAACTATTTATAAAAAAGTATAAAAAATAGTTACTAATCTATAAACTAGAGCTTAATCCGTGAAATCATTTGTAACTAGCTATTAAAGTTATTACCTAATAGTTATACCTGAATTAAGAATCTCCTAAAGCTATATATTAATATTTATAACCCGTTATAAAGCCCTTTTTATAAATAGAGATTTTGTAAGAATATTACGAGTATACTAATCTTAAATTATAGCTTAGAAAGAAGTAGATCTAGTAAATAAATACTTTATAAGATCTCTAGAGATAATTCTATAATTTCAGGATCTGCCTTATTTATATTAGCTAAATCTACTATAAAATATATTCATTCCTGGCTAGGAAATATATCTAGGATTATTTAGTTAAGCTTATAGACTATATTATTTAGGGTTAATAGGATTACTTGTCTACTAAAGGCCCGGTAATTATATAGGGCCTATAAGAGTTACTTTCGGGAATAGATATAATTAATTAGATTTATAACTAACTAGATATATAAAATAAAAGGCAGGAGTATAATCTGCTTATTTAAAGACAGGTTATATAGTAAATTACTAATCTAGTTTATAAAATCCTGTTTAGATAGATTATTATAAACCTATATATTAATCCGTAATAATAACTAATAAAGCTATAGCCAGATTTATATCTATTATAAATAGGCCTATATTATATTAGCCCGCAAATCATATAGAATTATTAGTAAGATCTAAGCAAAGTTCCTCCCGAGAATTATAGATATTTCTCTAAAGAAAATATTATCTATAACTAATTATAAATTAACTATTAGCTAGTATATTATCTTAAAGTAATACTTATACTATATAAATATCTCATTTTAGATAATTAGGTCTATAGAATATAAAAGAGCCCCGAACTAGCTTATTTTAGTAATTATACTTATAAATAACTTATTAAGTTCAAATAAAATCCGGAACTAGAAATAAGATATATATTTATCCGGGAAAAGAAGAGCTATAATATTTATTAATATTATATATAGGATTACCTTATCTTGGCTATAATAATAATAATAAAAGGTCTTATAAAGAAATATCTTACTAGTATTACTAGGGCCTTATAAGTAAAAGTAAATAATTTATAAATTATTTATAATTACTATTATAATTATCTAAAAGTAAAAATACTAGTTTATATTTAGCTAGGCTTATATTATAATTACTAGTAATATCTTATAAATATAATTAACCCGTAAATTAGCTATATAGTAGCTTATAGTCTAGTTAAAAGTATTCTTAGGCAGGGTAATATTTGTAAGTATTTACTAGAGATTTATAAGGCTAAGATCGAATAAGAAAAGGCTATAATTATAGTAAGAATTAACTAAGGATAATAGGAAGTTAATTAATAAATTATAGATAAGCTTATAGGCCAAGTTATTATAGAAATATTTCTTATACTAGTCTCAGATTATTTATATATCTGTAATTAATTACTAGTAAATATTTATAAAAAAGAATATTTATAAATTATAGCTAGTTATTAACCAAATTATTTTATTAAAGTACTAGAACTATTCCTAATTATTTTTTACTAAGCTATAAATAATACAGGTAATATAGTATATAGGATAATAAATACCCTTAATTAAGTAAAGTTTATTAAAGAACTATAAACTATATATAACTATTAGTAAGAGCTATAAATAGAACCGCTTATTTAAAAACCGGGCTATAGTAGTAAATATAGCTAATATTATACTCTTACTTATAGGACTTCTATATCCGGATCTTGGTAACTTATATAAAATACTATAGAAACTTGTAATAAAGGTACTAGTAGCTATTTTTATATATTATATTATACTTAAAAAAAGCTATTAAGATTAAATAAGTATTTGCGGTCTGGTCCGTAATTTACTCGGGTAAGAGATTATTTATAAAATAGACTATATATTATCTAGAGAAATAAATTACTAAATACTAGACTAGAAAGAACTCCTAATATATTAGGTATTTAAACAGGTACTAGAAAGCTTCTATAGGGCCTATATATTAAGCTTAAAAGTATTAGGTAATCTTATTATTTATTCCTAAGACTATAATAGTTATATAATCTATTTTTTTATAGATATACTTATAAATATATTTAATTACTTATACGGAAATATAAACCTTAATATTAATATAAGAACGGAATTTCTAGAAAAGATACGAGTTATATAAAATAACCTAGTAATTATTATAAATAATTTCCTGGCTTAGAAAGCCTGGTTTATAGACTATAAATATATAGCTATTATTCTAGTATTAGTATTCGGGATATTTATTTTTATAAATAATTATTATAGCTATAAATATCTTAGGGAATCTCTTCTAGTATATAAACGGAATTATAGGTATCTTATAAACTATATATAAGACTTTCGGATTATTTTCGAGGCTATATAGTCTATAAGATATCTAACTAATTATTATAATTATAAGTTTGCCTATAGGATCCTATAATAAGTCTAGGAGCTCGATATAAATAATTTTATTAACTAAATCGGGAATTAAGAAAACGGCTTCTTTCCTAAGAAATAAGAACAGGTATATATATAAGAGATTATATTTCTAGTACTTAATTATATATATATGGCCTATATATAGTTCGAAAAGGTAATTCTTTAGATTTGTAAATAGTTCTTTTATCTTTAATATAAAGATCTAGTAAAGGAAATCCGGATAGTTAATAGCTTATTACTTATTTAAAAGATAATCTATAATCTTAGGCTAGTATAGATTAGTTATAAAGGTAATAAAAAAGCTTGGCTTACTAAAGTATTATATAATAGCTATTAAGTCTTAAAAGAGCTATTATATAAAGTAATTACTATTTATAAAGTTTAATAGAAAAATAAAGTAATAACTAATATTATTTATATAGATATTCTTATAAATTAGAGTATTTATAAGTCCTATATATATATCTATATAAATATCTATATAAATATTTTACTAATATAAATAAAGCTAGTTAAATAAAGTAGTTTTATAGATAATATATATATTAATAATATATTATTAAAAGAAATAACTAATATAAAAGAATAAGGAAAAAACTAGATAAATATAGAAGTAATACTAGTAAAAAACCTATTATTTTAGCTATATTTACTAATAGGTTCTATTATAGTCCTATAATTATAAACTATAATACTAGCCCGGGTTATTATATAAGAAAAGTAAGATATAGTAAAATAGTATATATATTATATATATAATATTAATTATATATATTTATAAATACTTATAGCCTGCCTTATAGACTATAAATACTAGATTATAATAGCTTATATTTATATACTTATCCGGAATAAGAGCTATAACCTCGTTATTTATTAGAAGATTCTTATAATAATAATTAGTATCTAACTTAAGAATTAAATATATTTATGAGTTAAATAAGATCCGGAAATTGATTTACTAGCTTATAAGATACTTATAGGCTATCTTATAAATCATAATAAACGGATTATAATCCGTAAATATATTTATAAGCTATAAAAGAACTATATAATCTAAATAAGGAAAGTTAGTAGCTTATATATTAGTTATAAAAAGTAGATTATAAAAGAAGAGCTATATAAAGAAGAATTTAATATATAAAACGGGCTATAATAGGCCTTAGAAATAAAAGAGCTTACTATAGATCTAAAAGTACTAGATTCTATAAAAGAAATTAATCCGGGTATCTTTTTTATAGCTAATTAATATAAAGGCAAAAGTATAATTATATATCCGGATATTTATCTAGAAGGCTTAGTAAAACAGGTTATTACCTATAAAAAGGTAAGAAAGATATAAAGAAGGCTTGCGGATTAGAGGAAGTATTATATTACCCTTCTTATAATAGGCCTTAAAGTAATTATTTATATAGCCAAAATAAAGGGCTTTATAAGCTATATAGTAATCCGTAAGCGGACTAGTTATATATACGGGAACTGGCCAGAAGCAGGAGAGGAAGACAGGAGGCCGTATAGTAGGTAGGTTAGTAGGAGGGTTCTTTATAATATAAACTGGGGCCGTAACGGACGGTTAACGGATCCGTTACTAGCGCTATGGGGCTAGCTCGTCCGCAGAAACGTCCGTAATTGACCGTTATTATTGCCGGGAGGTAGGGAGGGTATTCGGATCAAGTTCTTGCAAGGCAGGGCGCCGCTAGGTATAATTAGTAGTATTTCGGGCCTATTAACTAGTTAATTAAGCCAGAAAAGGGAAAGGATATAAACTCGATAGTAAGAGCAAGTTTTATATGGCTTAGCCCGCTCTGTAATAAAGTCAGAAGCAGGCCGGTTTTGCCTATAGGAAGTATAAAAGCGGGGAGGATCCATAGTAATAAAGAGAAGAAAGAGAGGAGAGTAATATAAGGTTAGGGTTTCTTTTCTTAGTACCTTCTATGGAACCGCTAGCTTTAGATTTTCCCCCGAGCTTTAAAAAATTATAATAAAAGCCCCTCGTATCTCAGAACTACTAAAATATAGAGAAAGGTACTCGAGTATTCTCTCTATAATCCTAAGCTAAGCTCTAAGGATTTAGACGTAATCGCGTTCCGATGCGCGATTCCCTAGAAGGGGGCGATTCTGGTGTTCCTCACGTGACCAGTTTTTTTCCAGGAGCCCCGAGAGCCAACCGCTTAAGGGTGGTCCAAACGTACGATAATATAAAGAAGTGAAAGTGAAGTGATGGAGGAGAGCAATAGAGCGGATATTGGCATGCATGGAAGCACGACTCACGCTAGTCCTGATGCAGAAATCGCACGTGATTTCCATCCAGTGTCCCGGGACGTACGAGTGACCTGAGAGGAGAAGAACAAAGCCGATGATAGAGACTTCAGTTCGGCTGATTCTAAATTAGACTTTGTAGGGAGAACCGCACTCCTCAGGCGCGAGAATTATGCGCCGGCCTACTAAACGCGATCTGCCTTCACAGGAATATCAAAATGTCATGGCGAGCTTTTACGCCAGAGGCTACCCTGTCCCTTCCGATCACACAGCTTACAAACTCCGGGGGGAGTCCACGGTCACCCGCTTTGTCTAGTCCAATACGCTAGCAATCCAAAACTTCCCCGTCTTTTCAAGTGGCGTGCGTAAATGGGCCCTGTGGGTGAGTGGTGCGGTGCCTCCTGCAAAGTCTATTCTAGGAGTCGGCTCAACTAAAGACAAAATAGGATGTGTGAAGTAAGAGAGAGTGGGTGTGCGCTTGCTGGTTGAACCCAGACCAGATTCGCTTTAGAAAATCACAAAAGTGATGAGTTACGCAGCGAGTCTGTATAATACGCCCTCGCGCGACTAGTGAACGAACACTTCCGCAGAATCTGCACTTACTCATGGCATATGAAATGTAAGCCGAAACAACAAACACTGCATGTGGCAATCAACGAACAGACATGGCGATAAATTGACAAACTACCTACTCCCCCTCCTCCGTTTCCTCCACGCCCTAACCTCCTTCAACACCGTCATCACTAGCGGGACGCCGACTGGCCCCAGGAGCGGCATATAAACAGCCAGCTTATGCTCATCGGGGAAGTATACTTGCCCCACCATACTCTTCTCAAAGAACGCCTTCTCCGCAGCTTCCTCTGCGATCCTCGCATTCTCAAGGGCTTCCTGTCCTCCCAGCCCATCACAGGCTTTCCTCAAATGCTCAATAGTCGTATAAACCCCATCCGCCACACTTCGAGGGATACTAATACTCGGCAACGCGAGCGTTAATCGCGCTAGACTGCCCATCGTCCCGCTTGCTTTGAGGAGCAAGCCTGCGCTCCGAACACGAACTAACGTCATCAGACGCAGGGGAAGGGATCCTGATTCCGGCGCTCCAAGTAATGACATTAATTGGTTGGAGAAGATCAGCATAGCAGGTCGGAGATCAGAGATATCGGATTGGATGACCACGCCTCCCCATTGTGGGATCAGCCAGCCCTTCCCGCCGCCTTCGACTTCCATATCTCCAACATATATGATGAAGTTGATGGTTGGCGCGCCGCCGATGCTGGGACTGAGGGGCCATTCTGCGGCGTTTATGAAGCCGCTGAGGTCTTCTTTCTTGAGGACGTTGCCGCTTACCCCTGGTGTGGCATAGAGTTGGACTTGGGTGTCGATTGTGAAGTTCGAGATTGAGGAGAAGCTTTCTAGCAATGGCTTCAGGTGTTCTTCCAGCGCTGATGCGATGTCCCATGACGATGGGGTGGCGGTAGGCGTGAAGAGTGAGAATGTGAGGTGGTATGTTCGGGAGTACTTCATTGATCGCGTTGTCCATTTCGCTAGGGACTCGGCGACCTCTGGCGCCAATGCTTTGGGACTTCGTTCCGGAGGTGCGGAGCTGGTAGATAGGAGGTATGAAATCATTGCTTGCTCTTCTGCAAACATTCCTCGCAGTCTGTTCGCGATATAGTTGCCCAGCGAGGAGGATGAGGAGGAGCTTGATGGGATTTGGTTCGGGGTGTAATAAATGTCTAGTATGGGGGCATATGATTGTAGATCCGCTTTTGTTGTCGTGCCTGGCAGAAGTCTTATCACCAATGCCAATTCCTCATTCTCTACGCCTCCGGTGGACAGTCCAGTCGCGGCTGTTGACGCATTGGAGGGAGAGAGTTCTAAGCGCAAATGATGCGCTGAAAAATCGTTCAAGTCGTCCAGCGCATGTTGGGTCGTTCGCAGAAGATGCTGCGCTTCATGGTCTTGTAAAGAGTCTGCTTCTATCGATATTCGGAGGGGAAATACTGGTCGGCAGGCCTGGAGCAGTTAGCTTAGAGCTCCATGCTGAGGAGAGGAGATGTACTCTTCCGTCAGCCCAATCCATCATTTGATCCAACGGTAACCTCGCCCTGTATATTGCTGTTGTTTTCCACCATATTGGCAGCCCGATTATTAATATGATGGCCCAGAAGGACAGAACCACATAGCTCCGCTGTCGAATGCTCTCTGGCGATTCAGGAGGTGGCTCTTTTTTCTTGGGCGTGGCGCTCACCGCGTTGGCTGGCACATCTTCGCTTTTCTTCGCGTCTTTACCATCAGCATGGGCACCAGGTTCAAAAGCTATTGGAGCTTGTGACGAGGCTGACATCGTGGAGTTGTTCGTGATTGAAAGCAACTCTTGCCAGATGTCAGTATTTTGGGATGAGCACGGAACTTTCAAACGCCGATGCGGAGGACGAGGCTGGACGAGGCTGTGTCGGGGAGACAACAGAACAGAGTGATCCTTGATTCCCAACCTTGATTCTTCTAGTCATAACATAAATGCTGTTATCTTTGGAGGAGAAAAGCTCCCGTCAAAGTGCTTCAGACACGTAATCTCCTTCGGGAAACTGTCCTTAACACGCCAACGCCGCACTAGACATTCATCCATCATACTCGCAACCAAATCCAAAATAGTCCGATTTGCCTTTCCAAAAGCCTCTCGGCCTCCCGTTTGAATCAAAGTCGAGCGCGAATATCGACTCTTTACCCTGGGAATCGGTGCTTGTGATGAACTCTGCATATTCTCTCAAAAGCTGGAGATCTCAGAAGCAACTTGTGCACGCAATCATTCCACAGAGGCACTTCGCCAGTCCACACTCTGGGATAATATGAAAGGCACGTCGATCGCATCTGCCGCAGATATGCTCACCCACGACACGTTCCCACAAGTCTCCAGGTTGGTGCCATGGGCCTTCCGATGGCTCAAACGAGGTGCGGAAATTGGTGGCACATTTGACCCTGGAAAGAGCTTTCCAGTTGTTGATTGCCTGTCCACGTCTGTCGATGATGCTGAACAACGGAGGATGCAAATCGCGAGGACCGAGGATCTCCAAGGCCTCTCGGACTCTCTGTTCTCGGACCCTGTTTTCTTTGCTCTCGTACCGTCGTCTGTCATTCTCCAGCACAAGCAGTAATTCATTAAGTTTTTTTCGGGCATCGTCAATGGACTTAATTAGTCGAGCGGTGTATATCCGTCTAGCTTCGAGCAATTTCGAAAGGGTGGCGTTATGGTTTTCGATTTTGAGGCCTGACGATCTGGACCGCTCGATTGCATCTTGGATTTTCCGAGCGACCTCTTCCTCATCCTCCTTGTTCTGAATATCCAAATTCGATTGATGCTTCTCAATCAGTTGCTGACATTCAAGGACAGCTTGTAAGTGTCCTTTCCGAAAGTCAGTCCATTGTTGAAGTCGAGATAGGTAATCCTCTCGAGCGCTGGCCTGCCATTGTCGAGCCATCTCACAGCGTGCAGCTTCTTCCTCAAATTGGGCTTGTCCTTCACCGGTCGATTGACTCGATTCAGTAGCAGACCACCGAGCCCTCGCATCGCGATCAACTTCTTCCCTTCTCCTTCTGGCGCGAGCAGCCTCAGCCTCAACCTCGGTATCTTTCCCTCGCTTCCTCTTTGGCTTTGGCAGCCTCACATAAACCTCTCCGTCGTACTGCGCGCGCTTCGTCGCATCCTTCAAAGTCTCCCAAGCTAACCCGACAAGCTGGAAAGCAGCTGTTGTATCTTCGCCATTGTCCAAATTCTTATCTGGGTGGTACTTCAGGGCGCACTTCTTGTAGGCTTCTCTGATAACAGCCAACGTCGCAGATTGAGAGACTCCCAGAATAGAATAATAATCCTCGGTCACTACAGCTCTTGCCATGCGAATATTTGAAGATTAAGAAAGCATTGAAAAAGTGAGTTGAGAATGGAAGCGTGCTGACATGGGAGCCTCGGATGCTTTGTTGGGGGAGGCAATCCAACTGCAGGCAGGATGCGTGTCTGGGCGCCGTGCCGCACTCCATCTAGAATGCGTTCTATTATTGGTGAGCCGCTCAATCGCGGTGTCTGAAGGAACTGAGTGGAACCAGAGGAGTCTTCCCAATGTAGCACTGCATAGTGGCAGCTTCATGATTGGAGTTGTTCAGCTGCTCAACTGTTTCTTGATCGCTTCTCTTGTCCCGCCAGAAGGGTTCACCAACCACCCAAACCCACTTTCCGCCCAAGCGACAAAGAATTTTTCTCTCACCGTTTATAATACTTACTAATAGTATGTCTCTCAATTATAGGAACATTTATAAAAGGACTTCTTTTTAATAAAAAAAATTATATAGCTTTAAAATTCTTAAAATATAATTAAGAACTTAGTTTTATTATTAATATTTAATAATATTTTTTACTTTAAAAAATCAAGATTCAATTGAAGAATCTATATTTTTAGCCAAAAATGAAAAATTATAAAATTATGTTAATAACTGAGAGATTAATATTGAGATTGAACTTTGGCTTGGGCGGTTGGCGTGTGAACCCTTCTAGGTCACGTGATGTTATCGGCTTCGGAACCAAGCCTGTTCTAACCTTAACAATGAAATATCGACGGAGGAATTCTGAATTCACCCTCATACACTTCACTTCGATCACTGTGTCAATACTTCGATGCGACACCATCTGTGGCGTCTGGACGGGTGAAAGACTCGGCGACTCGGCCCAGATGCGGGGGAGCTCTCGAAACACGGCCGCAAGCATTGATGCCTCGGTATTTTGCCCAAGTCCAGCGCGGCGGGCTGAGGTCGAGGGCGCCAGGTAACGTATGTGGTATATAGCACCAGCTCAAAGATGTTAACTTTCCGCCATATTCAATCAAATATGCTTGCTCTCGTTCCCTTATCTTCATCTTTTATCTTGATCTCTCGCGCGCTTCATCATCCAGTGCGAAGTCTCTCTATCTCCTTGACAGCTTGTATCTCGAATCCAGAGGCGAGCAGCGCTCGTCTCCAATGATAGCGCCCCAGCTCTATTTTATCATGCCTGGTCGGTTCCACCTAAGATCCCAATGTTCCAACCTAACATCAGTGGCTGCAGTTCCGTTGGCATTTGCAGCTCCAGCTGCCCTTGCTTCACTTGCCTACCTCGATGCCAGAACAGGTCTCTCCTACGATTGGGCATGGCTCGGTAACGGAATATATTCCCAATTTACGACTGCACTCAAAGAGAAGAGGGATCGATTGAATGTCTTCTACAAACTCGAGGAGCATGCGCTGGGTAAACATGCAAATACCATTCTCCTCATCTTCGAGGGCCGACAATGGACATACAAGGAGGTTTATCAGACGGCTCTCAAGTACGGAACATGGATGAAGACAAGATACAACATCAAGCCGAAAGATATCATTGCCATGGACTTTGTCAATTCCGAGAAATTCATCTTTATCTGGCTGGGTCTGTGGGCGATTGGTGCGAAGCCAGCGTTCATCAACTACAATCTGACTGGAAAGGCATTGGCACATTGCATCAAAGTTTCGACTACTTCGGTTGTACTGGTGGATCTTAATATCAAGGACAACATCACTCAAGAAGTTCAAGATGAACTTCCCAATGTTCAATTCGAGATATTCGATCCAAAATTAGAGGCCGAGGCTGTCTCGACCGAAGGTATCCGGGAACCAGATGATGTTCGAACGGATGACAAGTCGCATAATATGGGAATCCTAATTTATACAAGTGGTACCACAGGGCTTCCAAAAGGAGCAATCGTCAGTTGGAAGAAGATATTGGTTGCATCAGGGCTCGTCCCGACCTGGATGGGCATGACCAAACGGGACGTCTTCTACACGGTTGGTTTACTTCAAAATTCAATTACCAGTCTGACTGAACACAGTGCATGCCTCTATATCACTCCTCGGCCTCCGTTCTGGGCTTCTGTAATGTGCTCATTCTGGGAGCCACCTTCTCCTTAGGCAAGAAATTCTCGACCAAGACATTCTGGCAAGAATGCCGAGACAGCAAAGCTACGGTAATTCAGTACGTTGGGGAGACTTGCCGATACCTGCTCGCCGCACCGCCTCAAATCGATCCTGCGACAGGAGAGAATCTAGACCAGAAGAATGATGTCCGAGTTGCCTTTGGCAATGGTCTACGACCCGATATCTGGAACCGCTTCAAAGAACGGTTCGGAATTGAGGGCATTGCGGAGTTCTACTCGGCAACAGAAGGATCATCTGCCACTTGGAACTTCAGTCGGAACGACTTCTCCAAGGGCGCCATCGGACGGAACGGTTTTTTTGCGGGACTGCTGATGAATGCCGCAGTTGGGATCGTCGAACTTGACTGGGCGACCGAGACGCCATATCGAGATCCAAAGACGGGATTTTGCAAGAAGGTTCCACGTGGAGAGACGGGCGAGCTGTTGTACAAACTGGATGCTGATCAGATCGAGTTGAAGTTCCAGGGGTATTTCAATAACAAAGACTCGACGGAAGGGAAAATCATGAGGAATGTCTTCGAGAAAGGCGACGCATACTTCCGGACTGGGGATATGGTATCTTGGGACAGTCAAGGGAGGACGTACTTCAGCGACCGTATCGGCGACACGTTCCGATGGAAGTCTGAGAATGTCAGCACGAGTGAAGTCTCGGAAGCACTTGGGAATCATGCCGCAGTCCACGAAGCAAACGTTTACGGCGTGGAGCTGCCACACCATGATGGCAGAGCAGGCTGTGTAGCCATCGTTCTAGCAGAAGAGCCTAGCGACAGGTTATTACATGACTTGGCCAAGCATGCTCATGCTAAACTTCCGCGATTCGCAGTCCCACTATTCCTGAGGCTCACCAAGAATATGGAGATCACGGGGACACTCAAGCAACAGAAGCACGTCGTGAGATCACAAGGCGTCAATCCCGACAAGACGGGCCAGGATGAGCTATACTGGCTGAAGAATGGAACCTACGTGGAGTTCCGGAGACAGGATTGGGAGGAGCTGAATGGTGGGAGGGTCAGATTGTGAAGACTATATATAGGGCCGGGCGGCGGCTTGGCGTTGATTGGCGTTGACTTATGCCCTAAACTACATCCACTTTCTTTTCCTCTCTACCTCAGAGGAGTCCCCGCCCTTTGAGTTATTTAGAAAGGCCCAGACCAAAGCAATACACGTTGGATTTTACATCTTACCCAAGAAGGTCAAGGGATAATCGGAGAAGCACCATCTCGTATGATCAAAAAGGGGCAAGTCACCCTTAGTCCCCTCTTTCCTCCTTCTCCTTCAACTCCACCCACTGCCCTAGCACCTCCCTCACAGACTCCTCAAAAAACCCCAGCTCCCCAAACGTCTTTCTCGACTCACTCGCATCGCATCAACCGCAGAATGCCAACCTCACTCCCCTTAACCAACTTCAGGGAACCCCCCCCTTTTCTCACAATCCTATTAACCTTCTCAAACACAGCCCTCTCCCTTTCATTCCATCCCTCGAAATGTACGTAGGGGGCTCTCGGTTCAATCCCTCCACTCGTTTATCTGTGCCTAAAAGAGCAGTCTTATATCGTATTCATCAGCAGCTTCGAAGTGGTCTTTCCCTGGACCAGAGTCGAGAAGGAAACTCCCTTGAAAGTGTGCAATTGGAAAGAACCCAGAGTCGGTCGTGGTCCCATGTCAACCGGATTTGAAACCCCCGTGGGTGCAAATAGTCCTGATTGACTTCGTACTCGCCCTGGATTTCCCGCATCCAATGCCGATATCGCTCATTATGGAATGTCATTGCCTTGATGTGTTCATTTCCGTCAAGTGCCTCAAGTGCCATGTCAGCTGCTGCAGTTTTCTTGATCTTCTCCTGGAGTCGAATCTGTCTATAAGCCTTGCCGCCTTCGCTGGTAGTGTTGGTGTAAGGAGAGAGCGAACGAAAAAGGTTCGACCGAAAGCGAAGGCGAACCCGTATCGATAATTATGACTTTTCTTTCCATATTTGACTGACTCATGAGTTTCAGAGAATCAAGTCCGGCCTTCCGAAATGTCTCACGAGACGGCGCTTTCAAAATTTTACCTTGGATCCGATATCATCCAGGTCATTATCTCCATTTGAGGCCAATAGCCTCCCGTTAGCTTGATTGCTCTTCTTGAATCTTACCTAATTGGTCAATTCTCGTGCTTGAAAACGACGGCTTCGTGCTTGGAAAATCGGTTCCGAGGCCTTTTTCAATCAGTGCATACAGTTACATGATAATTTGACACTACCAAGAGCTTACAAGTTCTGGCCTCCCGTCCTCCCAAGTCTTATGCTTCTCATCCCTGACTTCCGCATCTAATCCAGTTCCTTCTTCTCTAACCAAGCCTTGAACATTTTTCTGCTCAAAGTTAGTCTCGGTAGAAAAGAAACCAACCCATGAATCGAAGAACTCACAATGCTTCCACCGGCTTGTCCCAAGGGACCATATGGCCAGCGCCGTTCACTCTCGCATATCGCAGTGGACCACTCTCCCACCACAAGCCACCGCTCCAAACTTGCTTGTTGTTCTCTTGTTGATAGCGAAAATCTGGAAGGCCTTTCCAATCCAGCGACCCAAAGACTCTTTCGTTCCCAACGAAGTTGCAAATCCAGTCATACGTTCCGACATAAATAAGCGCCCGAATTCCGGAATGCAACAAATTGGCAACATAAGGTCTGGTGTCGATGATGAAGTCATTCACTTTCTGGAATTCACGGCCAACTTTATTGCTGCACCCAACGAAAACTGGTGCTGCTTTGTCGACTCTGAATGCTTCTCGGACTTCGTCCTTTCGCAAGAACTTGGTGATTGAGTTCATAATTGGATAGCACAGGTATCTGGTGATCTCCATTAGCATTCCTGGGGGGGAGAACATGTAGTTGAAGAAATATTTTCAAGGACCTACCCTTCACAAGGTCGACTGATATCATAATAGTTCCGTCCCGAATTGAAATATGGTCGTTCGAGCTCTTCACTACAGAATCCCTCGGCGGATTGACAGATGATTGGATCTGGGTAAGCGTGGCAGGCCTTCATCAAGTATTCGCATCTTCCGACAGAGACAGCCATTTTCTCGCACACACTTGATTCCAGAAGGGGTCCAATGCCTGTCACATTGGTGCAGGGGATATCGTAATACGAACTGGCTTGCTTGGTATCACTAAAGATGCCGTTGCCGATCAAGACAGATTCCAATGGAATTTGCTCGTCAAGTGTGGCAACCTTGTTCATCTCATTGATGTGATCGGCAAAGACGGGAATGTAGTGTCCTAGTTTGTTAGCAAAAGTCGGGTTACAGGCGGAGAGTGCTGACCTCCGTAAGACTCTCCGGCAATGGAGAATGGCAGTGACCTCGACTCTGGAAACGCCTTGTACCACAGTCTCATGAAGGCGTAGATGTCCTCGCTGGCTGCAAAAGTGCCACCTTTTCCACCATGATACGAATCATTGGTATGGTAAGAAAATCCTACACCAATCTATTTGGGGTGTTATTACCAGGGCAAAGGGGTGGGTCAACACAAACATACTGGCTGATCTAGAAAGAAAACATTGGCAGCGCTGATCCAACTGTGGGGATTCTCTCGAGCTGACTCGCCGTCTTCGTTCACCGTGCACGGGCCCAATTCCATGAAAAGACCTGTCATGCTCGAACATCCAGGTCCTCCATTGAGCCAAAGGACAAGGGGATCATCTTTTGGTTTCGAGCGTGATTCGAAGTAAGCAAAGTAGAAATGTTTGTCCCCGGAATTCAGGTACCCCGTGTATCCCGAAGTCGCCCCAGGGCAGATGTCAGCCACAGTGGGTGGCGCGTCGCTGTTGATTGATGGATTACTAGGACCGTGTGCTTTTATGGTCAGACTGTGGTCCGGATGAGCCTCGTGGGTGAGGATCCTGATGCCAGAAGCATCAGAGGATCCCCCCAGCGTATCAGAGGTAGGATCTGTGAGTGGAGCTTGAGATGCAAAGGAGGCTGTGGACACAGCGGCAAAAGACACCACGGCGGCCGGCCAAATGTATTTGATCATACTGTTGTAAGAGATACGGACTGTTGATGGTCGTGTTTGTGTGAGGATGCACCAGATGAGGATTACTTTGCTGCTTGTTGATGGTTGTTGGCAGCCTGAAACCCCGAGCAATCAGCGCTAAGATAAGGAAATCATTATGTCAGCCGACCCATATCTCCCCTGAATCAGTTTCGCTTACGGATTGCCCCCTAACCCTACGAGAGGGCAAAAAAAGAGATGACCTGTTCCAACTCCCAAGTAAATTCTGGAGAACATATGAAATCGGAGAATGAAATGGCAAAAAAAAAAGATTGGAGCGTCAAATAAAGGCCGCCACAGGGTTCGAACCTGTGTCCCCAGAAATTTCAACAAAGGTGTTGTCAGAATCTGATGTGCTCTGGTATGGTGATTAGGTCGGATCAATTCAATGCAATTTCGGGGTACTTTAACTTACAACCACTACACTAGGCAGCCCATTGGAGGAATTGGTAAAAAGTTCTAGATTCAATATATGACCCTATAATTCCAGCCGGGGAGTGAATCTTCACTTGACTCTGCCCCGTTTCATGAATAGGGGGCTTCCATATATATATTAAGTTCGAGGTCAGGTGAAGAGCCGTTGCTAAATTACAGCAATCTAGGCTAATCCGTCCTCTGCCTTACTCTCCCTCTTCACATCGCACCCATTTGCCTCACACCACAACCCTGCTCGGTGATCACCTGTCCACTAGGAAAATTTAATATCCGACCCCACAAAGAGGAATGCCACGAGATCCTTCCGCCATCTTCCAGCGACATTAATTCACTGGCTGCGTTTCCAACGAAGGTAGAACTCCAAGGAACTATTCCCACAAAATGGAGCCACCTCCCGTTGCTAGTGTCACTAGACTTGGCCCCAGCCGAGTACTCGCACTTGCGGCTTTGCAGCCCCTCTTGCTCTGACATCAAACTTCACATCTAGGAATAAGATGATTAACGACTATCACAGCAATAACCAAGCCCGCTTAGTCTGGCCAGCCGAGCAACCTGGCCTTTCTTCTTGAAGCCATGAAAAAGTGCGAGATAAGAGACTTTCCTCCGAACCTGCGGCTTTGCCTCTCTCACTCTGACATCAGACCTTCACTTCACTCCTAGCGCTACGACAGAAAAACTGGTAACAATCACTTGCTCTTCGCTTGCCGCCCGGAGGGACGGAAGACATGGAATCTCCCCCTCTATCGATACAATGTTATACGGAATAAGCGAGGGCTCTCCGGCACGTTTTACTTTCAGACAAGCGCGGCCATCCTCCCGAGAATAAACCCCCTTTATCACACCCCATTCAGGTACACCAGAGACTATGTGAACAATCAATCATCAACAGCAGGAAGTTCACATCCAGGCACTTGCACCTTTCCCTTACTTCACCCCTTTTCTAAGCGAGATGGTAGACAACACAACACCGACCCCGAACTTGCCTCACAACATCAAGCAGACAAGACAGTTGAACATGGGGATTTTCCCCCAAACGTAATATATATGACCTCTATCAAATATGGTATGCAAAAATCTCAAGTACGGTAAAGTTTCTTCGTGAGTCGTAAGCGTGATACCAGGTATCCCAATGTGCAATGCAGCGCAAGTTTTGATACAAACCCCCTCCCTGCCGCTCTAACTACATACAAATCTGGGCAGGGAGGTACCCCTCCTTCCCGAGGCGTCACCGCCTCCAGCCAACAAGGATACAACCACTAGTCATAGGTTCTAGAGCACTATTTCCTCCTGTGAGGAGCTTCTTTTGTGTAGAGTTGACGTCCACCGCTAAGGCGTCAGAATTTGATTGAGAGAACTGAAAGGTCGTGAGATAGGAGGTGTGTAAATCAATGACCACTTTTACGGCCATTATGAATCGAAAGGTTTGTTGGTTCTCACAACGAATATCTGGATGATGAGAGTTACACATCCAACCACCATTGCGATGGTGATGATTGGGAGATTTACGCGTGCAAAGTCGAGCCGCCGCACGTGAATATGTTTCCTGCCAAGAATGTCCCGCCAAAGGAGACCAGCTAGAGAGGCGCTAAATGCCGTGCTGAATGCTCCATAGTTGACGCCGAGGGCCATGGCATATATCGATCCCCAGAAGGTTCGATCGGAAATTGGCAGCCCTGCATCTTGACGGATTACTATCCATGTTTGGATAACGCGGCATAGAAGTATAGTGGTACCAATGTTGGTACCTGCAAACTAGTGAGGGTTAGCTGAGCCTGCTCATGTTCATGACCAAATCAGAGAACTCACATTGCACAAAATTGTCGAAATAAAAGCCATGCCGCCAATGGCACCGACAGTCCCTGTCTTCTTCACCCACTGATAACTTCCAGTCAGCATTACTTGGATTAGGGAATATCGATATGTCGGATCAGGGGCACCCAAAAGGCGGTTCCCTGAACGTCTCACAACTTGCGAGGCATTCAAACTGGACAAGGTAAAACTCGAGAAATCACATACATGATCCCATCCATAGGCAAATACGGGTACCCAGCCATTCGTCACCAAACCTTGTACTAAGACAAACATGGAGAAGGCAAAAGGTAAGAGCGCGTAAGGCAAGTGTGATAACACTGCTGTGACGGTCGGGAATGTCTCCTGGGACCACCTATGAAACGATTCCACAAGAGATACGAGTGTTGGACGCTCCTGCTGCCGTACGACCTCCTCAGAGATTGGCTCGGAGGAGACTCGCTCGGAGAAGACTCGCTTCTCCTTATAATCGCCGCTCAATGCTTGCGGCCGGTGGCTAGAGGCTGGGTGATCCAATTCTCGTTTGCCATCTGGTGTGCTTACTACGCTGGTCGATCGCTCATTCTGCGAGTTATCGTCTCTTGGTACCAGCTTCGCGACAGATGATGCAAGCTCGGGAGCCGCGTCATCGCCATTCTCAGACACAGCAGGCTGTAATGGAATGGCTCCGTCGGCGCCTTCCTGGCTCTGTTGTAGACTTTCAGACGAGTTATCATCCCCCGCAGCCGCTTGTCTTGCCTGTTCGGATCGAAACCTCTCTTTTTCTTCTCTGCCAACCCTGGCAATCTCGCGTGTCTTCTTCCGATTAATCCAACCGGATCCCAAATCCCAGCAGAACATAACAACGGCAGCTGGCAATGTTATGTAGAAGACGGGCACGTCTTTGCCGTTGCCTGAGTCGCTAGCGTTGACTGCGAGGAGGGTGATGAGTGTAGCGGACATGATGAGAGCTCCAAAGGCAGCGCCTTCCCTATCTACGAAAGGATTCATAATCTCCTCAAGCGATAGAACCTTCCCTTGTTCATCATTCACGTGTTGCTTCTCTTGCTCTTCGGCGATTCCTCTACCATCAGGAATGTTAGGGTTCACGGGAACCTTGGCTTGCTCTTCCTGGGTGAGCTGGTGCATCTCAATCTTCAACGGGATGAGGGTCTCTTCCGCAAAGACGATGTATAGTAGAAAGGGGAAAAGTACGATGGCTGTGACAAGGACTGGGACAATCATATTTGCCTAAAGTCTTATAAGCATTTTACTCTCCAGATTTCGGAAAGGGGGAATAATGCCCCAAGAAATTACTAACCGTGTACTTAATAAAAGTCACATGAAAGGCACCGGCAAGGACGAGGTTGGTTGGGTTGGAGGAGACGAGGATAGCTGAAGCTATATTGGCTACGGCGAACTGAGTGTGAATCCACGCGCGTGGATGGACTATATTGCTTGACACTCGGGTCATGTAGGCGAGGAAAGCCGTCCCAGACAGAATGATAGGGTCGTTTCCAATGCAGGTACCAAGGGCGAAGAAGAAGGCATAAAGGTAGAAGAACAGCCGGTGTCCGACCCCACCGCCCTTTTGAAGCACTTTGAACGCCAACCACCTGATCAAGCCGGACGCGTCGATCGAGATGGCGATGTATGCCAGTGTGAGGAAGAATATCATGATGTTGTAAGGGAGAATACTGTTTGCGCCGAGTGTGCCATCGTGCACTTCTTTTCTACCGATAGCGAGGATGGCAAGCAGAAAGAGGTCTGCTATCAAAGGCGCCGTTACAAAATTCATTGGGAACTTCAGCCGTACCCAAAACTGGGCTTTGCCAGGGTCAATCGTATCGCCATGCTGAGAGCGATCTCGCCTCGGCGGTATAATTCGAAACTTGCTCAGGGTATCCAGGAAAGCATTCGAAAGTGGTCGAGGGACGAGGATCGGAATATCAAAGGGGAAAAGCACAATGAGATCTGTGCAGAGGAGTTAGACACTTAGAATCTAACCTTAGCAGGGCCATCTCATCCACTTACTAGTGAGAATGAAGGTAATCAAGGTTGAGATTGATTTGTAGCCTCTGATTTCTCTGGTGTCTGTGCTAACGCCGCTAAGGCCGTCCATTGCGGCAAGCCCTTTCGGACAGAGATGCTAGATTTGGATGCTTTGATCGAGAGATGCCTGAGATGGAGCCCACGCTCTCTAGCCAATGCGAGAGCCAGTTTCTCTTAGTTGTAGCCCATCTGTGACCACTTTGTTCAAAGTGTAGGCCAGCGACAATGCATCGAATTGTTGAGACTATGTCGAGGAGCGTCAGAGAGAGATTGAGGGTCGATCAAGGATGGATCTCCGAGCACGCCGAGGGCAGAGCTTATGGCATTGATTGGCCGGGACTGGGAGAGCGATTAGACTGCCACACGTATCTAGAAGCATCACTGTCAGCAAGTGCTGACCAGAGGGCAGTGAAAGCGAGCCGGATCCGACGACGATGAGGTTGGTGTTAAGCAAGAAAAAAAAGGTCCGACGGAATCAACCGTTGACCTCACCCCGCCCCCAGACCGCGTCACGTGATTGGACTTTTTGCAGTGGCTGAAAAGTGGAGGGTACCGTACCGAGCCGTTCCGCAAGAAAAGGCCGAAACCGTCCAGCAGGAGTCATTCGCCCCAGATTGGCCGTCAGACGTCGCTGGCAATAGTGGGCGTTCAATTGTGGAAGCAATCACAGGACAATACTCGGTGCAAGGTGTCGACCTTTGAGCGTTTTTCGTGGGGCCGTGGGTTGGCTGGGGAGGAGCGGATAGAAGATAGGAGGGGAGTGAGGCAGGCGGCAAGTATGTACTTCTCGTTGGCTTGGCGCAAGGCTGTGCATGAAACGTATGCGAAGGTGAGGGAATAAGAAACCGAATTAGTAAGTGCTACTCGGTCAATCTCGGGGCGGTGAAGTGTGAATGGAGTGAGGCGTGCACGCTGCACCGCATTAAGCGAGCCTTCACATCCAGCTGGTGCAGGGCGAATTTTGCTGCGGCTGACGGTCGATCGATTGGGATCTGGGGGCCACAAGGACTTTCTTTTTTGCGCCTTCTGTCATCTGTCGATCCTCCGCAGCAAACACTGATGCCTGCTACAAGCAAATAGATAACCCGTGCCGGCCAACGTGTCTGGGCCTTTCTGCAAACTCTCAACGATGCCAGCACTGCCCTCAACCGCGCTGGGAGCCACTCTGCTTAGTCGCAACTTTATAGCAAGAGCAGTCAACGCCACGACTGAGGGAGACCAGGCTTTGCAAGTCGTGTGCGCGTTTCCCGTAAGCGGCCAATACGGTCCTGGTTCAAGGGTCTTGTACTGTGAGCTCCCCCCCCCCCTCCCTTTCAACCATTCAACCGCTCAAGAGACCTCCGCAAGCTTGGCGCGGGGGCAACGAGAAAGCTGCGAACTGACTCTTCACCCATTTTTTGCACTTCAGATATCCTAATAGCAGCTTGTGTGGTTGGCAAAGATCTGGAGTGGCTTCGGAATGCTTGCTTGGCAGCAGCATTGCTTTTCCCAGCTGTGGCAGCCCTCCACGGGATTGTACTGGCCGCTCTGCACCTCGACAGTAGGTTATGGATGCCTCTGATATGTCCTACGACTAACAAAACTCTCAAGATGCTGTCGACATGGATGTGTTCGGAGCGTTCCAATTATGCGCCATAGGCATATTGGCCGCTCCGATTACCGTAAAACTTAGTCGAACTTACTTCAACGATCCCGGAAGGAACGCCATCTTCGTATGGACCATACTGGTACTTATCGGTCAGTCTTCGGGTTATATATGTAGGTACCTGCTAACCAACGTTTCTCTAAAGGGTTACTGTGCTTGACTGTGGAATTCTTCCGGATCAACCCAGTTTCATGTCCATATGATAACTTTGGCCAACCAATGTCAACTGATCCAGGCCAGTTCAATTACACTATACAGCCCCAGTGTGGGCTCAGATGTGATACCTCATGGCCGCAGTCACCCATTCGGCAAAACTCTGCCAACAACATCTACGTGATCCCTGAACCGCAGAGAATCACCTTCGGCATGGCCACGCTTCTCGCCGCAGCATGTTGTATCCCTGCCATCATCTCGCTAGTCACCATGTGGAACAAAATCCTTGAGATCAACTGGAGGTCACGCTTCGGCAATCGAAATAGAGATTTGCTAGCCACAATTGAAGGAACAAATGGTGCTACCGAGGAGACGATGTCGAGAGTCAACAAGTACATCAGGAGGATCCTCAATGTCGTCGAGGCTCCGGTGTATGGTGCTGCCGTCTTCTTCATCCTCATCATGGGCGAGTTGAACTTCTTCAGTCACCAAGTCTACTACCAGACTGAACCCATGACAGCTATCGGCCAGTGGGCTCCAATGGTAACCTATTTCTCTGTTCTTTTTCCCGAGCTTCTTTCCTCTCTGGTCGGGAGGATGTTTCATGCTCCTGGCTCGCTCCCTCCTCTCTCCGCCCTAAAGAATACGTTGCTAATTCGTTGGTAGGCTGGTACTGGGCTCGCTGTGTTAGGGTCTTTGTACCTCAAGGTCCACAAGGATCTGGTGTCTGTGCAGGACGAGACGCCCCCAAGTGGCGAGGCGTATCCTCCCGAAGCTTCGATGAGTGAAGTCCGAGACGGATCTCCAACTCCACCCCGTCGTGTCAGGACTCGAGGCACGGATAAAGGGCGTGATAGCATTTCAAATGGCGGGGTAAGGGTATCAACCGAAGAGCATCCTAGGATCAACCCCATCCAGAGAGCCCAGACAGTCGCCGCTGGAAGAAGCTTCTCCGATCCTGCCACAAACCCGCTACAGCGCGCGTTCACTCTGCAGGACTTAGGTGGCCGACGCAGAATTGCCCGAACTCTCCTCAGGCTCAGCGACAGCCTCGGCAGCGCCACACAAAACCAGTTCGACGACTCTGCATTCAAACGCGGACCAGCACTCGACTACCCGACGCTTCCAGGAGAAGAGCAACGCAACGACAAGCTCCCCGACATCATGAGCCGATACAACCCTGGGCGCGACGCCGACGGCAACGCCACCCCTCGAATGCGATCACATTCGAGAGCGCCCAGCTTCAGCGGCAGCATGAACTCCGGACTTGGGATTAATCTTGACGGGAGCCCCTCGCCTCGAACGCACTCACCTCGAAGACCTACCTTTCCCACCGAACGAACCTCGGGCGAGAACGTCCTTTCACGAACCACTTCCGGTCCCAATGGAGACAGGCCGCAACGGCGGGCCACACTCGAGGTACCAACGAGCCATCACAACCCTATGAGAACCCAGTCTGGATCCTCTGTCACCTTTGATAATAGTGCCAGCGGAGGTCGTATCGAGCGCCATAGCATCAACGACGGCCCGGGCTCGCCTGCTATCGTTGTCTCCCCGGATCCCCAAGAATCAGATGATGAATTTGCGGTAGAATGAGACAGACCCATCAACTTTCTTCGTCATGCTACATGCCCTGATACGGGCATGCCAGCACCTCAAAAGCGACATTCGTCAAGTCACTAGCCTCTGTATGGAAGAATAGGAAGGACCCCACATCACGACTTGTCCACTTGGTCACTTTAGCAGCCTACATACCTGTCCTGTCAGCCACAACTTCCCTATCGAGGCTTCGCCCCTTTTCACAACCTCAACTACTCTTAGCTATTTTCTTGCAGCACCACCTCATTCGAGGCCGACACGTTTAGGATAGCTCGAGTATCCAAATAACGAAACAAACCTGCACCAGAAGGGCAAACTGCAACACGGTCAACAACCTCAAAAAAACAGTACGATCAGTAAATCCGGCATATCAGGAGATGATACCCTCGGCGTTCATGGTCCGTAAAAAGTTTATAGCAGGATAAATACAATGGGCATCTAACACAGGCGCCGGATTCTGAATTTACCTGTAATATTACCTCCCCCGTCCCGGTTGGGAAAACCGAGAGGATATCTCTCACTGAAAATTTACTGGGAGGATATTTGCACACATAGATGGAGTATATAGGCTACTTCTGAAACCAGAATATACATGTTTCTGGTACGATGACTTCATCTTACTGCTTGTCCTGTCGTCCATCAACTGAATCTTGGGCTGCTCAAATAGGGCAGCTTTGAAGTGACCATCTCCTTGCCTTCTCCCATCAAGCCCCTTCATCCCCATTTCAGCAAGAGCGATCAAGTATGGTGAGGATTCTATCGCATTTCCCTCATGTCTTTCTTGCTCCCATTCCCCAGCCCCTTTTCTTCCTCGCTAGAAACGGCTCGGTCCGCAGCCCCACTCACCCCGCCCCCTTTCCTGAAGCGAAAGCGGCCTCACTTGTTTCCAACACTCATTCACAACTCTCACCCACATAAACACAGTTACTACCTACATAAACCTCCAGCTTCTGTCCCAAAGATTGATAACGCTCCTTGCAATCTCTCCACTTCGCCGTGTACAAGACCAGTTCATACCTCCATGTCAATCAATCAATTTTGTTGAATTGGTACTAGCTTACTAGTCCTTCCAGTACCAGGTTCAACTACTAATATTAGCTTCGCCACTCTCATTTATAATGGTTTACTATGGAAGCCTATGGAATAGCTCACTATGGAAGCTCAGGGAACGCTCACTAATATATATGAGTCATCTGATTTATAATATACTGGAGGAAATCGCCACCCACTAGTGGGTATATAAGAACTGTACTTTAGATTCCTCCTCTCCTTTTTTACTCTTCACTCTCCTGTATCTAGTCATTTTACAGATTGTCAACCTCCAATATATCGATTTTCCATCAATAAATCGATCACTTTCCAATAAATTTCTTCGATGCTTGCTCGACCTCATGAATCGACAAAGGCGTTAGGAGAATGCCGGTACCATCACTTTACAGCAATGCGCTCACGTGAAGGACGCGAATTTGAAAAGGGGACTCTCGCTCAAGGTGTCTTGCATGACGATGTCCTTAGATGAGGTTTGAGCAGCCTATGCTTTCTTGAGTAAGTTGAGCGCATGTTTCCGTGCTAGTACCAGGGGAACGACTCACGGGAGGTGCTGTCTGTATTGAACATAAGCCGTTTCGAGTGTCCTCCGAGGGCTTGGAGCAGAAATAATCATCGTCTCGTCCTCAGACTGTGTGATTTCTTGATCTGCTAGCCGACGCAGATCCATTTTGGTAAATGGCAGCGCTTGAAGCCAAGTTCAAGAGGTCGGAGCCACGCGCGAGGGTTTAAACCTTCTGTGTTTTGTGTGAGGTAATTGATAATTGGAAAGAAGTAGGAGTAAGGTTGACTTACTGTGATTGCAAGGTTCAATATTCCCTGTTAAGAATGTCGAAATAATGTATGGAGAGTAATATTCGAAGTCGAAGTTGATGTTTTCAAGTTTCTCTCTTGCGTCGCCTTTCAACGATCACAACGTAAAGCTGCGGCGTGTTGCTCGAATGATTCTTCTTAATCCAATCTACTGCAGCGACCCACTCTTGCTGGAGAACGAGGTCATTATGTAGATTGAAATTGCGCCTTTTAGACTTGTCAATCTCCGGCACGAACTGAACCCGATGGCGTTCCCGGTCCAGATCCATCACCAAATCGTACTCGCATATCTCCTTTAAGGATTGCAGAAAGGCTGGTCCCGTGGCGTTGAGGTCCAGAGGTCCAGACACGCAGACATCGTCGACGGCCCACACGTATTCTACCACGAGAAGCTGCGAGCTCTGGCTGAGCTTGGAAGAGGTAGAAGGGACCGGGGTGGCTTGAGCGCGCGGTTGGGAGGGTGTAGGTGATCCAGTAGTTCTGATAGGTGATGCGGAGGGACGAGGGATCTGAGAAGGTGTTGGAGATCCCTTGCGAGTGGATTGCCCTCTTATCAGGCCGTCGACGAGATTGTGTGTGTGTCCCTCTCCATGTCTACGTCCTTGACCATGATTGAGTGAAGGAATCGTCGCTGATTGTTTGACCGTCTGGTTATCTGAAGTCGATATCGCAGAGCGGTGGAACGAGGGCTCGTTGATTTCATGGAATTTGTTTTGCGAACTGTGGAAACGCATGCCGGCGTCTTCAGCTTCGACAGGCGAGTCGTCGGGAGCTGTTGAACGACCATCAGCATCAGAGAATAATCTAGAAAGATCTGTTACGAACCATCGTCTTCTAATGCGCAATACCCGTAATCCTTGTGCCCCAGCTCGAAGTCGGCCTCTATATAACTAGGTGGGGCGATGAGGCACGTTGTATTGTGTGTTTTATCAGATGTACTTCTCAGCCATGTGAGCTGACACTTCTGAGTCACCCTGGGGCCATAGCCATGAGCCGCAGGCGACCGCGTCGGTAAAGTTATATCACAAGTAGTGGTAGAAAGTTTCAATTTCGCGGCCTTATTCTTGGTAATGAAGCTAAAGTCGGATGATATACGGGAGCGTTTCATCGTCAGTGTATATTCTTTCTGTTCTCCGAACCCTGCAACAACTGCAGTGATTATTTCTGGACTAGGACCTGTCTCACGATGAGAAGATGTACCGGACTGCCCAGATAAGGAAGTTCGAGTTGGTGCTCTTGGTATTGGTAGATCCAGCCCAGCGCTTGGAAGGCTATTCGGGGGTGATATAGGAGCAGCGTCTTGGGTTGGGGGCTGATATATAGGCACCGTATGATGCCTTGCTTCGCTGATAATCTGGTGGATGTTCACACCTATGTGGTCGCACTCTCTTTGGAGTTTTTGGTCAAGTGTATTGTCCGGACAGGTATGGAGGAGGTCCATTGTTGCTTTGGGAAACGTCTTAACGAGCGCCCTGGCGAGATCGGTTTTTGAAAACATGGCGCCATAGCGTATAACATGGGGTATGGATAGTTTTCAAAAGGATTCGTCAATCGATGTTGAATTCGATGATTCGCGCAGTTGGAGGGGTGAACTTGAGGGACAGCCTTGTGTCTCGGTGAGCATGCGATATGGTCGGATTGGCTGGCAGCGTTGGGGTGATTGATAAGGACGCTATTCTTGAGTTCTATAATAATGGAAGAACATCTGCAGAAGACTGGGACTGAAGTTTGAACAGGTATTCTCTCGGCAGCAACATTGCGCCCAGCTGAGGTGGGGGAGACGTTTCAAGCCTAACTGACTGCTTGATCAGACCCATGCACGGCACCTTGTCCGATCTCAGAGATGCCTCTCATACTCTGATTGGGACGGGACATTTCGGAATAGTGAAGATCATATGTAATCGTCAAGAACTTGCCCAATGGGGGCCACACTGCCTGTCTTAAGAACTGCTTGTTCCTAGATTGGTGATGGGGTTCATGAAATCCCCATGTTTAAAACAGCAGGTCGACAGGGCCAGATCTAAGACCCTGGCCTACGCCGCAGGGTCGGCCGGGCACCTTAGGGTCCTTGCACCTCGGGTAGGTACTGCGTCTTCAGCAGGGGAGGGGCGTCTCGTATGCCAATCTCGACGTCGACGCATAACTCCACTCTTCGTCTTAAGAATCACTTCAACAGAACCCTTCCAAGGTATAATTCCTTCCATCTCTACTGTTTTGGATGCCCAATAAGTCGTAAAATATTCACCTTGAAGCTAATTGGGTCAAGCAGATGCCTCGGAACCAGCCCGCAGAGCATGGCCGTCCTGCTCAGTTAGCCCTCTTGCAGAGAGACAAGACGAAAACCGTCCCTCCACGACGAAACCAAGAAGAAGATTGAGTGTCCCACAGCTCTAGAACCACTTCTTTTGCCGCAGACCTCTCTCCCACTAGTAGCACTGGATTTCCAATAGCAGAGGATTGTTTGCTTCGAATCGTACGACCGTCACGATTTTGACGAGTGCGAATACACATACAGAGAATATGAATTGTACGAATCCACTGGGCGTTCCCCCGCGGAGGTTTAATATTCTCTGTCGACTGCTCCAACTATAAGAACTCGCCAAGACGACTGCACACCGCCAAGGAGGCAAAGCACAGCCCGACTAGATCCAGTCCTGCAAGAACCTCACATGTTGCCACGAATGGCGCATATCATGTTCCACATATGTGCTCCAACGTTAGATGCAGATACACCGAAAGTACTCTCCGAGCGCTTCTATTTCGAACGATAAACGCCCCCAAAACATCAATCCACGAAAGTCTCACAGGCTTCTTCTATACCCCTATCTCCAAGCCTCAAGTCTTCTCCCAAAACAAGATATCAGCACCTAATAGCAGGTCAAACTTATCATAAGAGCTGTTACGAATAACGTGAAACTTATGATGACGCAGCTTGCCACTCCCACCCGAAGAACAGTGGAGTCCCACGACCTTGCCAGCCGATCTGAGAGGGGTTCCATCGAAAACGGCACTCTTCTCTGTGCCCTCGGCATAGGGTTCCAGCTCCAAGCGCGAGACTATCCTACGGGAAATCCAATTCTCTTGGACTTCGGAACGAAGCTGAGCGAGGACAATGTGAGGGACGTCTGACTTTGAATACATTGTCACGTATTGTTTCGATGGAATCGGGGGCTGCTTCATCGTGGGCTATGTCAAGATCAGCATGACCTCAACGTATTCCAGTTGGGAATAGTATTTCAAAACATACTGCAACGGAGTACGAGGAAGTTTGTGTGTTTTTCGGTGCCAGCTGAGGGCGGTGAGAGACGCCGCCAGGTGCTGTAGCTGATCTCGGTCGTGACGGCAAATCAGGACCGAAAGAGTTGCCACCCAAGGGGCACGTATGATTACCAACGAATTGATTGAAGCTGTAATTGATTGGCTAGTTAAATATGTCATTCTTTCGCTAAGCTCTCTGAGAGGTGCTGGCATACATACTTGACTACATAGTTGGTGATCACTTTATCAGCTACTGGCCCTGCGAACAAAATCGAGTTGCTCATGGCAGTGTTATCTCGGACAATTGTTGAGAAACCTCCCATAGCTTTTTTCACATGTGTTTCTTGGGACTCGAGTAAGTCAGGCTGGGAACGAGCCCCAGACTGTGAGAGAGACATGATGAGAGACGTGGATATAAACTCGGTTTCAGAAACCTCAAACACGAAGATATGGTCATGAAGGAGAATAAAAAGAGCCTCTAGTCACCTGACCGCAGACCGACTACTGTGCCACGTGGAAGTGCATAGAACGGTCACACGAGGTGGTTGCAAATCTCGTAGCCTCGTTCATCCACACCTTCTCAAAATTGCCTCGCCCGATTCTCCGAGCGCCTCCCCAGGCTTTCTTTCTTTGTTTGTCTCATAAATTTTCATCTGACATAGACATTGGGCGAAACAATCATGGTTAGTTTGTCAAGACATTCATCGCATTGCTTCTATTAACTGTTTACGCAGGCTGAAGTTCTTGGCACTGCTTCTGCTGTAGTTCAGCTGCTGGAGGCTGCGATTTCCGTTATGGGACGCCTCCGCAGGGCTTTCGAACGCCAGAAAGAAATGGCGGCTGTCCTTGAAAAGCATGACCTTGAACTCAACAACTTAATATCATTGGTTCGCACAATCGAAGATGAAAAAGATTTGCGGACAGACGCTGTTAGCAAGGAGTTGAAGAAGCTCGGAGATATTGAACGCGAACTTGTGGACTGCCTCAATGGCATTGATCCGGGAACCAAAGGCAAAGTGCATCAGATTGCGCATCAACTGTTTCATGGTTCCAAAGAAGAGAGAAAGCTGGCCAACATTATGAACGATCTGACTCGCGCGAAGCTGGATCTCTCTTTTCGCGTTCAGGTCGCCAGCGTAGGAGTAATCCGCGACGTTGGAGATGCTGTTCTTGTCAACGCCGAGACCATCAATCGGATCGATCGCTGTTTGAGGGAGTTATTAGGAGAAGGGAAAGGACTTAGAATTGCAAAGTTGCTCAGAGATGGCTGCCCACAAGGTTTACCTCTATCTCATCGGCCGAAGTCTGTCCATAGACTAAGAAGATCTGTAGATCAAGACGGCAATTTCCGCTTGAAGAGGGCAGATGTCGATGAAGCCCTTGAATACGACGATGGAAATAAGAGGTCAGGAAATGGGCCTGGACATTACGTTCGCGAGAAGGTCAGGAAAATTGACAACAACAAGGCAGAGAAGAATTCTCTCGTGGTTGCTGCACCGGTTGTAACAGACATATGGGCGCACATGGACCGAATTGAGATCAATGGCAATTCGGCACTTGACGGCGGTGCTGTAATTGGTTATCCAATGGGCGTGGAGGGTCTTGAGTTTACAAAGTATCTCCTTGATCGTCAAGAGAGGATCGCGGATAAAGAGAGACAAGCGACTAAAGAGGAAAGAGAGGCTGAAAGGGGGTCAATGACTCCCAAGGGTTAGTTTTGCATGGGAATGGAAGGACTCAGGAACCACATAAGTTGGGTGTTTGGAGTCTTTCCACTTTAGGGGCAACGACGGAGATATCAAGGAGTAATGTTAAAGGTTGTCCTTTCTCGCTAAAATTGTAAAAGAAAGGGGGCGGGGCAAATGGGATTGTTGCGGACCGCAATTCTAAGTCAATCCCACCTTAAAGCCTGCATATTACACACCTCGTTCAAACATAACTCCTACACTGTGAAGCAATTTGGAATAAGCAAAAGTTCAAAACTCAGCTACCGCAGTGTCAAGCAATTAGAAAAACAGAACTTCCAACGAGGCTGAGCAATTCAAAAGCGAATCTAAATACAAGAACATCTCGCCGACGCCGTCAGAAAGATATCTTATGTACAGGAGGACTACCCCCGACGTTTACATATTTGTACGGTCTATATCGTAGCCGCACTACTGATCGCCGTTCCCGCAAAATAGGTTACTCTGTTTCCCGCGGCAACACCAAGCCCGCCGGCACCGGCACACAAGGGACGTCCGGGATGCTAGTCGCATTCGCCAAAAACTCCCACGATATTCGTCTTCCTGCTATTAAAATTCGTCTGCGCCATGCCAATCAGGTTGTTTTGCAGGTCGTAGACCACATACGCGCTCCTCAAAAAGGTATCTCCCAGGATCGGCGGGTACTGCGAGGGAACATCGGGGCTAAACATTATGCCAAATGCACAAGCGTCTTTGAACGGTAGACGAGGGAGGGTGATGTCGGCAGGGATAGCATAGAGACCGGTGAGGTTGTACACGAGTTCGGAGATCGGGACCCTGATGGTGACCATTGGTGTAGCGGCCGTGCCGCCGAAAGCGAAGTTGAATGTGCTGATGCTGTTGCGGAGGGAGCAGTCGACGAACAGGAGGCCGGTGGTGTCGGAGTCGTCGACGCCGTTGATTGCTGTGAGGATCTCTTGGCCGATGACGGGGTCGAGGGTTGTTATTGTTGAGCCGGAATCCAGGACGACGGGGTATTGCTCGAGGTACAGGTCTGCGAAGGTCGTTTCTTTGCCGGCTCTGGAGACCATCGTTAACCCGGACATTACTACTGCTGGGAATACATAGGTTTTGGATCCGTTGAGGAGAGTACCGGGGATGATGGGAAGCTGGGCTAGGTTTCCGTAGTATTTGTCCGAGTCGAGTCCTCCGAAGATGATGGATCCGGTGGCTTCTTGAAGATCATCCAGGTAGAGACTGTATCCCCTGGAGTTGATCAAGCCCTGGTTGACCATTGAATTGATGATGCTTGGGTATATAAAGGATGATGCGGTGGCGCCGTTGGAAGCTTCAGAGAAGTTATATCCAATGCCCATGACACCATTGGAACCTACGAGGGAGTTAGAGGCTGCCCCATAAAGGTTTCGGGGGAACTAGAACAGCGTCTCAAAGTATTTTTTCTTTGTGCGTGTTCAGAATTTGGAGATTTCTCCCAATACTTACAGTAGTGTTGTAAGCAATTCCCATTTCGAGCCCTTAATAGTAGCCCCGCCCATTGCAAAATTGTCTTGAATATAGTCGCCAGATGACCCCTCTTTATCCACATATTGTATGCTGAATCCATTCTTATGAGAGACTTTGAAAGTAGAAGATTTCTTTGCTTCGACTAGCGAAGATATTAGTATAATGCAAAATGGAATTCTTTTTATCGACTCACAAGGAGATACACATCTACCCCGTAGTTGTCTTTGGAGCGCAGCATCGGTACATAAATCCGCAGTGGAAGATAATGCCCAATCATCACTACTTCCTGTATCGATCTGGAAAGTGATCTTTTGTGCAGGAGTGCCTACAGAAGCCTCCGCTGTGTACCACCCCCCAGTTTCATTGTTGCCAAGAATTTCGGTGATTGAATCTCGTCGTCTGAGCTGTGAACTGTCTTGAGGAATTCTGGCCATGGGGAGCGTGATTATGGCAAGTGCGCAAGACCTCAGAGTTGCTACTGCGAGAATTGCAGATACTGTAGGGGCCTTCATCTTGGTCTACTTCTTGCGGCGCAAACTTGGAGGTGCTTGCTAGGGACAAAATGGAATTAGATTCAGGTGAGCATGACAGAAATATCCAAGAAAACGAGAATCAACACGAGGTAGCCATTTTTTATGGAGAAGGAAGAGGGGACTCAAGCAGAGTCAAGGTGGCGAGCGGGTCGAGATAGAAAATTCCCCTATCTGAACTGCACAAGACCACGAAATGGACCATGATATTTGCCCGACGAACCCTGCCGGCAGCTCAAATGCCGTGCAGTAGACTGACGCCCTCATTTTGTCTGCAGAAACCCTGCCGATTTTCGAATGATTGGAGCTTTAATAATACCAGGACTGAAAGATAATTGAAGGGAGACTCTTGGTATAAGTCACGATCGACAGCTTGGTTAGCTTTGTGACATATAATTTGACCGATACTCGCGTAACTCTTCTTGGCCTGAATGATATAGATAATTCTCAATGTCTTATCTCGTAACTCCAATCTAATTTTTCTATATCACAAGCCATGCCTCCGAAGGGGTCATCTCTTGGTTGCCGATATCCTAAAGTGCTCTCGAGTGTGCACTAGCCGGAGATGCCAAAGATTGATGAACGACCAGGAACGTATTGACCAGCATGAGCAGCATGAAGCGGGGGTCAATAATATACGGAGTATTTTGAAAAGCCACTGTTCAGGCAAAAGCAGGGTTTGGCCGGTTGCTACCCAGAACAAGGTCGCTATTGGATTCGTCAACAACTACCGAAACGTGAAACAATCACTATCGAACTCAAGAAGATTGCACAATATTGCCACAACCAGAAAGTGAAAACTCGGCAAGCAGCTCACGTGCGAGGTGGAAAAAATTGCCTTCGAGAGCAAATGGTGGACACTTCTCTTTGCGAAACTTGTGGAAACGAACTTTACATTGGGCATTGGAGTCACTGTTAAACTTTTACTTGATACTTGAATTGCAAGCTTGCCCGATAAGTTGACATTCCAATTTATTGGGTTCTTTTGAATATATGGAGGCGAGCAAGAAGAGCAACTAGACTTCTGTAAGGAGAAAGGGGGGAAAAGAGAAGGGAGCAAAGATGGTTGCTTTTCGCAAGTTTGAGGACTACTCCATAGACCAACCTGCTCTTCCCGGTACCAGAGTCCCATTATTCTGCTCGGTGGGCCGTTCTGGCCTAGTTCTCCTTGTGCTTTCCATTGTTGAATCCAGAGAAACCATGTACTCGTGGACCCTGCTCCTGTTTCACCTCGTCAGCACCCCTAAAGATGGTCTTTCCTCAAGCTTAAGGGCGTAACATGAACGCAAAAGAAGTCCTCTTCTGTCCTTAGAGTCCCCCACTGGACAACCTTGATAACTGGCAGCTTTATTTCCTTCCCCTTATTCTCTTCCTCCTTCAATTCCCTCTTTACACACTTCTCCATTTCTCTCAAAATCTTCTGTTGCGCTTCTCCTCTTTCCAGGTGCGGTGGACTTCCCAGAATCAGTGGTGGAACTTGGGCGCCTCCTCCAATATCTGACCGTCGGAATCCGAGCGATGACGGGAGGACGATAATTAGCTCATCTAATTCGAGGTATTGCCTTGCCATGCCCGAATTCTTCAGGTCTGCTTCGTTAACTGCGAGGGACTTGATTCGCACGTCGTTGTGGAAAACGGCATCCTGTCCTCTTCCTATGGCTAAACACTCGAACATAGGCTCCTCGAAGAGCTTGAGGCTCAGATCACCGTGTATCCATTCAGATGGTGGCGTCATGCTATAAATTGTGTCCCTGTCGTTGTCGAAGGCCACACAAAAGCTGTTGGGGCCATGGATCATGATGTAGAAGTTGAGGGCTTCATTCCGGGACTCGCGGTTCACTGCTAGAATGGTCGGGTGAAGCTTGGAAGAATCGTAGCGGTGGACTCTTCGGCCGCTATCGTCCCAGCCAAGGTGCTTTGTATAAATGACGATCGCGCGGGGTTTGGGAAAGCAATGTCGCCATATCTTCAGGCGCAATTCTGTAGGTAGTTTCGAGAAATTGGTGAACTTTCGGGAGGAGGTGAAGGGGAATGTTGTTTTGATCGTTGGGGGAGGGTATTTATGACGAGTATGGAAGTATCGTGAAGTCATCGTAGAACAGCAGATCTTGCCGACGTGCAGAACTTGAATGAGACGTGACGGAGGAGGTCTTCTTGTACCGTTGAGGGAAATGCAAGTTGACGGCCTTTTGAAGGACGGCCTCGAGTTTAGTGACTCAGCCCTGCAGCGGTCCGCTGCTTCCCCAGAGAATGATTGGCAGCTCCATTTGATGCAGCCCCCCCGCCTTCAGCCTTCCGGGCCTACTGCATGGCGGAAAAAGAGAGGGAGTGAGCGAGCTTTGCACATCACGTGAAAGCGCCTTTGGCTGTGAGGCTGTGAGTTCCCTTGACAGTGCGAATGAGGAGGAGCTTCAACGGTCTTCGGGGCACACAGACGCTCGAAACATAGGCCCAGAGGCCTCTGTGTCTGCCGACGTGTTGTCTCGGACGGCAGTGTGGTTCGAGACAATTCTCCGTCGGAAGCAAGCAAGAGACGAAACGGTGGGTTCGTGTGATTCTTGATCTCGAGGCTGGCCAGTGCCCACAAGAACAAGAGTCGGAGAGTTTGCTGGTCGCGATGGTGTCACGTTGCAGGCCCCACTCCCACTCCCACCCGCGCCGCCCGCTGAACCGGCTACCGTAGTCGCACAGCCCGGAAATTGCGCCAACCACCACCTTTTCTGCTTCACACCTCACACCTCACGCCTCACACCTCACCCGCTTCACTCCACCCGCCCGCGCTGCTGCTGCACCCAACCCCTCCATTTCGCTGCACGCCGAGTGCTTGATAAAAGCATCATGATCCTGCAGGCCCGACGTGAGTGCGTCTGCTGCAGAAGCCACCCGTGAGATCTCCCACGCCCTCGTCCCTCTTCTCTCCCCCTCTTCTGCTTGTCGATCATTCCCTTTCTCATCGCGAGCTCCCTCCGCTGCCATCAAATCGCATCTCCATCCCACGTCCTAGAACCCGGCCCTCATCGACGTCATCCCCAACCTCTCGCAAAGAGCCTTGTCAGCTCACAGAAACAGGAACCATCCCAGCTCCAGAGCAGACAGTACAAACAACTTCAAGGCAGCGCACTGCGATCCAAGTGTCTTGGCAAGGTTCGGTAGAAGACCCCGATATAATACCTTGGACCCCTTCCAGTCTGCTCCTTGCCCTTTGAAACAGCCTTTGGACAGCCTCGAGCGCAATCAGACCTTATCGGCGCCGCATCATCGTCGACCTCCCCTCGATCCAGCCTCGTCGCGCCTTCATCAACAACTCCCAACCGCTTTCCGCACAAGCAAATAAATCGTCAAGATGCTCTTCGGAATCTTCTTCGCCTTTTGGCGCTTCATGGAGATCATCACCTTGGTAAGTTCCTCCGCACTCTCACGGCCCTACCATCTCCATCAACCCAGCCTCGACAACATCAACTAACATCCTCCCCCAGATCCCCACCCTCGGCATGCTCGCATACTTCGTACACATCTACGCCAGCAACAACGCCCTAACACCAAACTACATCCTCGTCCTCTTCATCGTCAGTGTCCTCGGCGCCGCCTGGGCAATCGCAACCCTCTTCACCTACCACCGCTCGAAGCACAACGCGCGCTTCGTATCCTTCATCGACATCTGCTTCGTCGGCGCGTTCATCGCCGGCGTGTACGAACTGCGCGGCATCTCAGGCGAAAACTGCTCCACCATCACCACCAGCGCGCCCTACCAGATCAACTTCGGCATCGGCAGCCTGACCTTCGATTCCCTGCATTTCACGGCGAACAAGCAGTGCAGCATGCTGAAGGCCAGCTTCGCGTTCGGGATCATGAACTGCATTTTCTTTTTTATTACGAGTATGCTGGCTTTCTTCCATGGGAACTCGAAGGAGGCGAGGAAGGAGACCTATGTCCGATCGGAATCCCACTATTCAAGACACGGTCACCGGAGGAGTGGGAGCCACAGGAGCCACAGGAGCTCGCACTCTGGCACCAGGAGACACGCATACGTATAAGCAAGATGGGAAGTTTGGGTGGAGAGAGTGGAGACGAAGAAGAGAGGTGAGAGATATGGATGGAGCATGATGAGAAACGGAGTCTACGGCCGACAACACTATGCATCTTGATGATACGATTTGATTGATACCTTGGGGTTTTGCTTTGATAGTTAGACCTTCTAGCTGTATCGAGTTAGTTTATTGTATATAGTAATGGATATTTGACAGAGTTCCTACTTCTCTCTTCTCGAGTGCCAAATCCTCATTAACACAAGTGAAACTCTTTCCATCGACGCAATCCCAGACTCGCAGGACTTGGAGATAGAAAGAGAATATAGGCTCAGCATCGATCGTCAATAGAAGTATTATATACAAAATCCCAGCTCAATAGATGTATGTATGTGTCCCGAGGAACATCGTCATACCTGTAGATTGTACAAACCAAGATGCAAATAAAAAGACAGTCTCACCAGCCCCCTCCCTGGGTATGGGTTGCAGCGAACTCACTTGCAGTCTCTGAGATAAACAAGTATACAGTTAGAGTCTCACTTCAAATCCATCATCAAAGTGTCAGGGGCCTACTTCTCATCGTCAATGTGCTTGAAGTTGGGATGATGTTTTCATTTTGTTTGTTTAACGGAGAGTTCACCTCCTTTCTCCATCCCCACCGACAGTATACCCCCTCGCAACACCGCTCCTCCCCTCCTCAATCTCCTGACTTGCCTCCGTCTCTGCAAAATCACTACCTAGGCCTTGCCACGTCCTCTGATTCCGCAGGTACTCGGCACCGGGACTCACCGTTCCGTTTACAGTTACCAGATCCCCTTTCGCCCTCCTCGTCAGGACTTTCGACGCTTCTGTGCTGCCTCCTGATTGACCTGGGCCCTGCGAGGCAGGAGGAGAGGTCAAAGAAGAGGTGGTACGCATCGGTCGGGAATGAGAGACGTAGCGGCCGGTCCGGAGATCGAATTCAGGGGGCGCGGATTCTTCTTCTGAATCCTCGTCCTCAACCCCATCCCCTCTTTCCGCTCCCTTCATCTCCTCTTCGTCCACTCCAACTTTGCTAGAAGAAGCACCAACCATCTCCTCCACACCGCCAAAATCGCCCCTCCAGCTCCCATCCCAAACCCTCTCCCCATCCCCCTGCAGGCACAGCCCCAACTCAAACGGCGTGATCACCGGCCTGAAAAACTCACTTCCCTCAATCAGACTACTCTCCCAACACCCAACAACAACCCATCCCCCAATCTCGCTGAAGTTAGCAATCTTGGCCGCGTTCACCTTCCCTACGACGAAGGTGTAGGACTTTTTCCCGGATCGGGTGATGAGCGAGCGGATCGAGGTGATGGTGGATAGGTAGTTGGCGACCGAGAGGGTGTTGATAAGGATCCCGAAGACGGGGCAGGTGGAGAGGCGGGTTAAGAGGGCGTAGCGGCGGCGAAGCGTCATTGCGGTGTTTGCTTGGATGGTCTTTTGAGTGGAGGTTGAGGATGGAGCTGGGGAGCTGGTGGGGTAGATGAACATTTCCCTGACTCGCGAGGAGAGTGTAAGGAGTAATGCTTGTGGTGGGTCGGAGATGTGGAATAATGAGTATTCTTTTAGGTCTATTGAGGTATCCAGTTCTCGATTCGGGATTTGGGATGAAGGGTCGTGGATTATTGGTGGTGTGAGGAGTCTTGTGTAGCCTGCTGAGAGGAGGGAGGTGTGTAAAGTCGGGATGTGCGTGTTGTATGTTATGTCTGCCATAAGGACGACTTTCTCTTCTTTGGAGGAGAAAGTGGATTCGAAGGCTTGAACAGCGTCTGGAATGTCTAGAGGATGGCTGGTGAAGACGTAGATAACTGGTAATCGTGCAGTGGGGGAGAGACATGACCGTCCGTAATGAACGACCACATCTGCCTCGACATGCTCGGCGGCGATTTCGTCCACGCAGCAGGATCCGTAGGATGTATCTGCCAAGATATAAAATCTGACTCGCTCAGCTGTGCCATCCCTTCCTTTCTCTATTCCATTCTCCCGAGCTTGTTCAGTCCTGGCCGAAGACGTTGACAGGTGGGTGAAACTCGTTACCAACTCATCTTCCTGCCTTACTTTCCCCGCCGGAGCAACGGTAGCAGGCGACCTCTTCAGCTCCTCCTCTAGCGCCTCAAATACCCTCGGTGAATCTCTCAGCATGCCGTCCGGGAACTGTAACGCGACTCTCTTATACCCTCCATCTCTAACTTCCCGCGCCGTCCGCGCGATCTCATAAATCTCCCATAATTCGTCGTCTGTCGGCCGAGGAGTGTTTTGGGCGGTAGAAGCAGGCGTAGGATCTTCGAAAATATGTGCCTCGGGCGTGGAGAGCACAGGAGGGGCTATCAGTTGAATCGAGTCGGTCATTGTTATTTGGAGGAGAAAATTTGGCGGGGTTGCACTTTTCTGGAGCTCCACAAAAATATGCGGCCGCTTCATGTCAGGGGTTGGATGAGAGACTTCACCGTCAGACCAAGCAATTGTTTTACAAGTTTATTTTCATTATTGTGACTTAAGGCCAGGAGTCGAACGCTAATTACGCTCAGAACAGTAGAAGTGTGTGCGTTCATTGACAGGAAACAATCCCATGCAAATAGCAGACCCAACTCCATCTATTCCACCCCGGCCATTTCGTCCACCATATCATTAGTAGTATGCATCCATTCTTCATCACCATTCCCCTGATATGCATCCCCATTCATTCCGTGAAATCTTATACCATGTCAACCGAAAATGAAAAGACAAAGGGCAATCCATAAGCAAGCCATGGGTATTGAATCAGAAACAAACATGCCTCCCAGGATCTCATTTAGAAAAATTCCCTCCAAAGCTCCCCTCCTTTAGAATTGGTAATCATCGAAATCTTTGATGAGGAATTCCTTTTGGGGTCTATTGCGAGAGAAGTCTTCCTCCTTGATTGGCCACTCGTCAACATTGTGAGAGGAGAAACCAGTGTATGGAGGGAGCTGGTGCTCGGTAATGTCCTTCCGATGGCTACGTCTCGATTTGCCCGTGATTGAAGCGGTCGCAGAGCTCATGGTTGGAGAACGGACCGAGCCCTCAGCATCGCTAGAAGCCACCGATGGGGCAGCAGATCGAACAGAGTGTGAATGGTGAGCATTTCGGCGGGTCGTGCCCATGATAAGGGGAGGAGTGTGATGTTGTGGCCAAGTTGAACGGATGGTCCAGCAGTGGCTACGGACGTGGCTTGCCTCATCGATGTCCTGGTTAGTTCCCATTGCGAGCCAAGGGGGAGTGCCACGAAGCTTAGGGCTCATGTGGTAGGAAACGTCATTGACGTAGCGTATGTGCGGCGTATCGACGGAGATAGACGCCAAGGTTTGCAGGATGAAATAGATCAGAACCCATCGGCCTCGTCGAGCAGCGTACGGATCAGTATCACCGGCTCTATCACCCTTTTCAAATTTAATGAACGCATCTACCAGGTCGTTGCTGACGAAATCTGATCCCAAGATGTAGATATTGGTTGATTCGGTGTAAGCCAATGCCGCCTTCCGCTCTGCCATCTTGTCTTCCTGGGGCTTTGCGGCCGATTTCTTCATCTTGAGAAGATTCTCCTTCGAATCGGATCTCTGCGGTAACGTGTCGGGAACAAGCGGATAGGGGCAAGGGATGTGTGGGTACTTGTGAAGATTGTCGAAAGCAACAAGGATATCAGTGAAGGGGCAATCGGCCGTATCTGCTTGGAAAGAGGCGTCTCCGTAATTGACAAGATTCCACTTTCGGCCGCTTCGTTCCTCCGAGCCATCCCAAATAACGTCTCGATTAACGAAGTATTCATATAGCGCACCAAAGTCACTCTGTAGCTTTTGGGTCAGGTTTCTGTGGAGCCACAGGTCATGTCCATGAGGCGCAGACGGAGGCCAAGATTCATAGGAGTTTCGATAGTGCTGCAAGAGAAACTTTTGACATCGTTGGAAGGCTGCTCGGCTAGGTGAATTGTCCTGCATTGGTCGCCACTGGTCAAGAAAGTCGAAGTCCTTGAGGCGTTCCTCACAGCCCCCAACGCGGACCGAGACCTCCAAGCTTTTTCCATCAAGGAGCGACCTGGTAACCGGGGTGAGGTATTTGTACTCGGGCGTGGCTTCAAGCCGATTGTACATCCCAGCACAATGGACAAATGATTCTCTCCATCCTTGCTCCCAGCGAATACCAGGACTCTCGGACCAGGCAAGCATGGCTACAGCCATGGACGGATTTTCTCGGACATTGTCAAAGCCTTTACCGACAACGTATTCAAGAAGCATCCCGATGGGGTCTGTCGATGGCATGTAAGACTCGAGGCGCTCACGAAGGTCATCCAAAGCCTGGTAGAGATTGAGGCCAACTAACGAAGCTTGGTACAGAACAGCGAAGACATTTCGAGTGGTGACATTGTGACGAATGGCTTCGGTCTGTGACTTATTGGTCGGCGTTGGGAAGGAAATCTCATAGGATATTTGCCCGTCGTACATGTCATAACTGCTGTTGCCTTCATCGGAGGTCGGAGGTGTGTGTTGGTATCCCTGGCGTGCCGGCTGAATCGATCTCATGCCTGGAGAATTAAGAGGGGAGGGCGGCATGCCGAAGGAGTTTGCATCGGTAGCACCTTCACGGAGCAGAGAAAGAAGGTGTCTCGACTCCGTAGCTTCAAGGACATGGGACGACAGCCGAAAGGAAGGCGGTGGTCGAGCTGACGGGCGAGTCTCCGGACCGAGGAAGACTAGAGTGTCGCCATTGGGGTCCCAAAGCTCTGGATCCTTTCGAAGCTTGTTCCATGCTTGTGGGGGTCGACCACCTCCAATCCATCGTTTCAAAGCGGGTCCTTGTGGAATAGGCGGGAGTTTCGTCTGCGGTGGGCCTGGTCGAACATAGTCTGGTTCGCTGAGTTGCTGTTGGCGGGCCTTGAATGAAGGGGGGATGTAGTCGCCAGAATCAAGCTCATGGGATTCCGGACGAAACGTGGTAGATGTCTGCGGTCTTCCGTCCGAGTCACCATTCTTCTTCTTCTTGCCCCCAAATGTCTTCGACAGACCTTTCCTAAAACTCTCACTCTTCTTGTCCATCACCGATCTGAAAGATGACTTCTCAATGCCGGAGACCTCGATGACTGGTACATGGGGCTTGCGTACACGAGCATAGGCAAGGTCATCCGAGCCGACTGACATGATAGTCGAGATCTCACTGCTGTTCGGGTACATGTGCTCAGCGTCATATGGAGAGTGCGTTGGCATCGGGAAGTCACTGATAGATGTGCCTGTCCTCTCGGAGTTTCCTTCAGACGATGTTCCGCCATCCTTGATCTTTGTCTTCTCCTTGCGCACATAGGCGCTCCTGCCAGACATCTTGATTGTTGAGGTTGGGAGACCTTAGATCGCCATGTAATTCCGTAATGCGGTGAGGGTGTAGACGCAACGCTAAGGCAGTGCACTGGACAAGTGCTTATGAAGGAGATATCCTGTCAAGCAAGTAGCCACCCCTCGTCGAGGACGGAAGCTCGGTGCAAGGTTGTGATTTTGTGTGTGCTCTGTAAAAGAGGACGCGATGTAGATCGACGGAAGATGAGATTTGCACTCGGAAGATAGCGCGGAGTGAATACACGGCAAGGCAGTCGGCAAGGCGGAGAAAGAGGAAAGCTGGTGATGTGGGGACGAGGCTGTATTCAAAATATTCACCTTCTGAATACTAATCAGTTAGCAAACTCTGGACAAGCGTCCACCTGACCACAGAAAGGATTACATACCCGAAAATAAGGGATGCCAATGGCCACGCTTCCCACCACAGAACCTTTCAACAGCCCCAGAGGAGAGAAGGGGATGGGACAAAGGGGTGAGGAGGGGGAGGATAAAGAGTGAAGGAGGAAAGGATCGACAGTTTTTGCTTTTGCATAGGCTGATGTCCTTTTGTCGGATCTCATATATCTGAAAGGCTCCTCCTAGCTTTCATGGGGAAGTGCCAGTGCTCTCTCTCCATGCAGGGAGGGGGCCAGTTGTAGGGTCTGGTTGGGGGCCCACCAGCAGTCAGCATGAAATGGCGGCCCTGCCCTGCCTCGCGGGAATGGAGTCTGGATTCGCAATTAGCAGCGCCCAGCAGCAGGACCAGGCTGACGGGATGCGGGATGGAAATGAGCACACGCAGGAGCAGGAGGAGAGGAGAGGGGAGTGGAGGGGAGGGGAGGGGAGGAGAGGGGAGGGCCGGGAGGGAGAGCCAGGACGAGATACGCTGATACGGAAGCACCCCCATCTCTGGAGGGAGTGACCGCGGGCTACTGTATTTCGAAGGCAGCGCGCCTCCGCCGTCATGGCCGAGGATGGATGCTGGGCCGCTGGGCCATTCTCGACGTTGGGAGAGGATCTGGGACCACTGGGCCACCGGCTGCCACCTGGAGTCCTGGACACCTGGCTGCAGAGTTGGGGGTTGGCCCGGACGAGCAAGTGTGCACACTGCACACTGCGCACCGCACACCGCACCGCAGCGTTCAGGTCCAGAGGGGGATTGGCGCTGGGTCGGACTGCATGGACGGGCGTCAGGGGGGAGGATAGGCTAGGATTGACGCCTGCAAGAGGCGCCCCGATCCGAGTGCAGATAAGGAGCGCGCTTGACCGGCCACTCCAGTTTCCATTTGTATTCTTGTTTGCACAACCTCGCCGACGCCACCTGCTCGCAACTCGGCAGACTCGCAGACTCGGCAGACTCGACCAGAAGGCCGCGAAGAAAGGACAACCTCAGGGCCAGGGCCGGAGCCCGTGCAGCCACGGGTGAAGTGTGTCTGAAGTACGGATACAGGCCTCTCCTCGGCCAGTCTGCACGTGAGGAATCTCACATCAGCCCGTGTAAGAGCATGTTCTGGGCGCTGCTGTCTTACCAGAGGCAGGCTCATGCAATAAACAATATCAGCTATCGAAAGCTCTGGCTCTGTCCCAGGAAAGCAAACCTACTACTGCAACAATACATTTCCGTCAACCACAAAAGCAACGTCTGGGCCCTGTCGCCCTATCAAAGTTCAAACACCGCGGCGACGGGATCGCCACTCTCTGGCTCCCAACCCGTCAAGTGCCAACCGTTTCAGCGGGTCCGTCCGCTCAGAGTTCAAAGCTCGTGGCTCTGCACTCTAGCACCATCTTGGACTCGTTCCTGGCTCAACGATGGCACAATCACCGACGGCGTGGAGACGGAGTCGGCCTCCTGCTCGTTCCTATTCGTGAATCCGTGTGTCCATGAGCTTTCTGCGGAATGCACGGTGATGCAAGGTCCAGCACCGCACAGACTTGCGTTTTCAGGGTTCCAAGAGCCGTTCTTCACCCCACTCAGAACCCCACCCTCTGCCCGATTTTCCCCTTTTCTCCCGCTGCTCAAGAAGGAAAAAATACCCCAGATACTTTCCACAATTTGGCAAGTGTACAAAGAGCAACAATCCAGCTCTCTGCCGTCAATCAATGTTTCTCCTTAATAAGACCCGGCCTCAGCCATGCACAGACACCAGCTCAGAAGACTTCCGTGCCCTGAAGGAGCAAAAGAAATCTCCGACTCTTCTCGGCAGCACTAGCCATCTCCAGATGCTTCCAGGCACCAATTCATGCTGTACCGGTACCATCCGTCAATTACAGCTAGCCGCGATAAAGCAGGCCGCTTGTAGCGGCCGTCCGCACCTCCAAGTGCGCAATAGCACGCAACGGCTTCCTTCCCTAACCCAGAAGTGGCGCTGGCAAGTGTCCCGAAACTCCTGCCATTTTATTGGCTTCACGTGGCGTTTTCAAGCTTTCTCCAATTCCCTCCTTTCAAGACACCGGCGCTGTGCTGTCAACAGCACTCCCGTCCTCGGTGAAACGAGAATCGAGACAGGATATCTAAGCTCTGCTCTGAAGTCTCAGGTTAGGAGCTAGAGCTATTTTAATTCTGTTTGGAGATAAAGGTGGGAAAAGCAAGAGAGGTTTAGCGACACGTCGGTCAAGGCTTTTGGCGCAGAGTTGTGGCCATCAGCACCTTGGAAGGAGACGTCGCAGGATTGCAACCATTCGATCAGATCTGCTTCATTGATCTAGAACTTCCTCGACATGGTCTTTCCCTTTTTGAATTCTCAATCCCAGATCTGCTCAGGTGCGTGACCGTTTTTGACTTCACGGATGGATCGATTTTTAGTATATCGTTCTCTCCTAGTACTGTTTCGATTCCGGGAAAACGGCAAAACTTTATTATTACATCTTCAAGCTGCTTCGTATTCGTTAGGATCGGAAGATGACATCCTGTTCTCTTATTTTCCTATCTTGGCCTCCCAGCATCATCCCGCAGAGGACTTGTATTTATTAGCGTGCGACGGCTTCGGTCGCAAGCCACAACGTTAGGAACCACGGCTAAGATATTTATGGCAAACTAAATCCTACTCCGCGGGCCAGGCTGTTACACGCGGCCGCTCGTTCTATTCCCCACATAAATTTGTCTCTTGGGTCCATTCAGTATCTGGGATATACTGAAAACCTCCTGGTTTCCTCCCAACAGAGCATGAGCTAGAAACCCCATTCGGGGACTCAAATATTGGATTCGTACTTAGCACCGGGAGGATTTGCACGTGTGGTAAGTAACCTTTCACAATCCTTCGGCAGGTCCTCTTTCATCGGCGGTACAAACAACTCGGAGGACTCAAGTAAATAAGCAGTAACATCACGAATCCTTCAGTCGCGAACAACGGTTTCTTATTTTAGCGTGTCTTGCTTCATTTCGTGTATCTCGTTCTATTGGGTGTACAAGCAATACGAGCAGAGCAATACGGATGATTCGAATAGATAGTATAGTAAGTAGCTCATCACAAATCCTTCAACAGCGAAGGGGATCCAATTTCTCGTTTTGAACCCACGGCAACACAACGCATTACTCTCGTAAAACAATCTCAGCGCAGTAGATGGTCTCAAAATATGCTTCCTGGGACGATTTGGTACACAAGCCGTGACTACGTCTTGTGCGACACAACCCCTATTCCAAGCAAGACCTCACGATTCCCCTCTAAGAAATACCCACGGTTGCAATCATCGCCACAATTGATTCTAACGAAACTCATATGTGGCAGCCACTTGAAGCACCCCATGCCCAGAGAGTCGCATGATCTCTGACTTCTTGCAACCTAGAAAAATGCACGACTTGGCAAACAAAATCGAGATTTCAAGACATAACGTAATATTCATCTATATTTTTAGCTTAAGCCAAGCTGGGATATCATGCAAGGAATCCAGCCTCCCAAGCACCAAATGTTCAGAACCTATACGCAAAGGAACATTTAGACCTCACTCACCTATACCTTCTGCTTCACAATCAACTCCCTCACCTCGGGTAGCCCCTCCCATCCCCTCCCCGCACCACCAAACGCTACGCTCTTCTCGATAATCTCCCTCCATCTCAATCCCGGAGCCAGCTTCCCAGTAATTGTATTCGGCCGCCTTACATCTGCATTCGTGGGAACAGGTAGAGCGCGACCGAGAATCGCTTCCATCGCTTGCATGGCAAAGCCTACTGCTTTCTTTGCATTTGACGGCACGCCCGTCGACTCGAACGTGCCAAATGTGGCTCCAGGAAACTCATTTTGGAGGTCTGCGATGAGTTGCATGTTCGACATGCCACGGCCATCAACGATGATATCTGCGTTGTTTATCGCCTCTCGACCAGGTCCGAAGACGAGCATTTGCTGAGCAATGCTTGCGGATGTGAAGCGTGTGAGGGTGGCGATGGTGTCGGCAGGGGTGCAGCCTCGATATGCACACATTTCCGCAATCCGGTGAGCCATGGCATCGCCAAAAATTTCTCTAGCTGTTGTTTTGGGCGGTCTTGTCTTCAAGTACTCGTCGTTCGTCAATAGTTCTTCCACCACTGGATGGCATATTTGGCCGTATAGCAATGACGAGGCTTGATCCGTCGTTGGATCGAGTCCAAATTGCCGAAAAGCTGAGTCGATCATGCAGGTACCTGGCCCGGTATCCCAATCGTACATAGCATCAATTCCCCCTTTGTTATCCGGTGGGATGAAGCAAACTGTTGTGATTCCTCCGATTGTTATACAGATCTGGAGCCGTGTAGGATGGTGCAGCAGTAAGCCCACGAGATATGCGAACAATGGTGCTCCCTGTCTCCCAACGGCTTGCTCTGCAGTTCGATAATCCGAGACCGTTGTAACGCCTGTCTTGGCCGAGATAACTGCCCCCTCTCCCAAGCACATGTTTGATCGATGTTGCCCCTGTGGAGGAGAGCCAGTTAGCGTTATTAATTGCCCACCTGATCCAATCATGTCGATATCGTCCAGTGCGATTCCGTGCTTGTGTGTGAAGATGTGTATAGCATTTGCAAAGGTGTGTCCCATCTCGGCGTCCATCTGGGATAGCATACTCGGTGGAGCAGCATCTTCTCTTAGCATGGCGAGGATATCGCTTCGAATCTTTGAAGGCATGACAACGGAATCGTACTTGAAGATGTTAGCAAAGCCAAAGAGCAAGAGACCGAGCAAAGTACCTGGACAATCTCAAGGCAAAGCGGTGCCTCGGGCGAGCCTTGCGTGAATCGACATAATGCGAAGTCGATATCGTCCATGGCGGTACCAGAGGTCAACCCAAGAATCAGCAGGTCCAGCCCTGGGTTATTCTGCTCCGCAGAAGGAGACGGTGAGCTCGAGGTATCGGAGTCACCATTGACCTTCGATTGCAGCGCCTCGAGGTATTTGTGTCCGACAGGAGTCCGTACTCGCCCTTTCGGCGCCGGAATCAGTCCCTTCATGACAGTGACCATCGCAATCTGCCCTCGAGGTTGTACGGAGTGAGGAGTTGTTATTTCGATGCCTCCTGGATCAAGCCCGGGTTGAACTCACGATCTCTAGTCTTTTTGACATACCTCTCGATGGTGTTGATTCCCATACTTGTGTCGTTTGACCGCGTAGTGCCAGATTTGTAGAGATCTGCGGCCCTTGTACGGTCATCTAGCTATAAAAAGATATTAGTGGGCTACAAAAGGATCAATTAGTCAATAGCAAGCTGTGAGAGATGGCGTGAGCAGATTGTCTAGTCCAAAATAGCATGTATTGGCAGTTGTTGGTAAGGGTGGGGAAAGATTTGACCGCAGCATAAAGTTGCTCAAAGCAGTCAAATTCTCCCTGCAGTAGCTTTCTTCAGACCAAGTCATATGCAAAAACACCCTGTTTTCGAACAATTTCACCCACACCCGTACCTTTTCTCGCGAACTCTTTCCTCGTAATAAAACTTTACTAGTTTAAGACTTCTTTTAGAATCCTTTACTAATTTTAAAAGAGCTCTCAGGCTCTTCTTTTATGCTACTTTTCAAAGTCGATTTTTAACCGTTTTCTATCAAAATTTACTCATTGCGAGCCTCGCACAGACAAAGCTTAAGCGAGAACAAGGAATACCAAAATTTCCTTGCTTTAACTATTAAATTTATTATAATACCCCTTTTTGAACTATTAGTCTAATAGATATCTAAGATATTTAATATAAAGCCTTTCCAAATATTCGCCTTTTATTAAGAAATTCGTAGTTTTAGTAAAAGTCAATTTGAAGTTTTAAAAGAGCAGGAGTCAAATTGCCCGAAAGCAGGGTGTTTCCACATATGACCGCAGCGGCCGACAGGGTCTTTACCTGCAAATTTTTGCTACCAAGTCCACGGCAAGGTGCATGTTTCGTGATCACAAGGCTTGATTGAGCACTTTTTCCGGTTTCTTATTTGAGTTGCGTCTGGCTCTTGAGCCTTTTGAATGTGTGCTTGGGACTTGAAGAACGGCGAAATCTGTCCTGGGGACTTGAAGTCAAGCCCTACCCCTTCTCCCGACTCTTTGCACCAGCAGCGCGCCCATTGTGCAAACGAGAAGGCGTCATATCAGGCCTTGCTGACACAGCTTTGAAGAGCATCTTGCGGGTCTTGAGTCGGGCGGGAATTCATGACGGGAGCCCCAGAGCGGAGTTCCCTTCCCAGAGCCTCTAAACTCCGCTTGACGCAACCGACCTTTATTGAGAGGTTCATGCAACCGGCTTCCCCATCTTTTCCCCAAGCCATGAGAAACGAAACCTTCTTTGGTCCCAGGAGAGAGGGTCGTAGATCGATGGGAGAGCTTCTGCAGGGATTTAATCAGATCTAATCGAGATCGATCAAGGATTGAAAACTTCTGATCATCGGATAAACATCAACCACTCACCTTGGCGTTTTCTTGCTGAGCAAATCCGAAGCCAGGAAGTCTCTTTTCAATGTTCTCATTGCCTTTGCTGTCAGCTTGATTCGTGAGCCCCATCTGGTTGAAACCCCAGTCAAGTTTCGCTTCCCCTGTTTGACCGTTTCAAGCCTAGCGGTCGAGCGTCACTGTCCGAGATGCCATGGACATTTCATCCCTGTATGAGACGATGGCTGCTGGGAACCAAACGCCGTCCAAACTTCTTTGGGTGAGCCTTGGCAACCTTATTTAAGCAATTCCCTAACTGCTCATCTCGTTGCCCTTGATGACAGCCCTCGGCCGACCTTGGGGGCGAGAACCTGGGGCCAGCCCCACCAGTCAGTTCAGTCAATGGCACTCCTATGTTTCAAAGAGAGCGGGTACCGTGCGTCGTCATCTCCTGTTCATGGTGGTATCAGACTTGGAATGACATTCAAGAAACGTTACACTGGACGTCTTTGACAATATCCACCTGTGTCTGCTGCAAATTCATCATCATACAGGGAGCGGTTCAAGTGGCCCTCTCTTACCAGTCCCAAGAACTCCAAGAGAAGGGTTTCTGGTTGGCTACCAAGAGGATTGAGCTCTCCTGGATTCGGGAATGTGACAGTCCGTTCTTGAGATCTTGTCGATCCCAATTTTTGTCTTGACAGAGCACTTAATTCGTTTCATGCAATGCCACTACCTTCTCTTCCGCCTTTCATGCCAATGTCAGTGCAACCTGAATGACATCGTGGATCTTCGTTGCAGTTTATGCATAGATGTTGCTCGAGCCCTGGTGAGACTCGTCCCAAGCTTCGATAAGGACTCAGGATGGTCGTTCTGATTTAACGAGTGTGAGGATACTATTATCCTCCAAGAGTCAAGATTCTGGTACGACATCGTAAATCTCATCGATGTGGAGATCGACAAGGCCAGCGCTGAGTCCAAGATTGTGAAGAAGTGTTGGGTACTTTCAACTACCTGCTCGGCTAAGGTGGCTCGGCCAAGGGGATGAATTAGCGATATGAAATTATTTAAAATGGAAGGTCAGAATGCCAGCTTCGATCCGTGTGAGTCTCGGAAATTCTGGAATAGACTCTTGCCAACTTCTCCAACATCTGAGCGGTCATGGCACGGGAATAGATCGAATACGGACAAATACTGGGATATACATCGGGAGATGGAAGTGGATCTCCATGACATCTCGATGTCTTGAGAATACTCCCTGATTTGTTTCTTGCACTGTCTCAGCTCAAGGGGAAAACCTAGTGCAGAAGGAAGCAGCAAGATGAAGACGGAAAATAAAGGAATCGTCAAAACCAGAAAACCTGGACTATCCACTTAATCTATTCCCCGAGTTTCCTCACCCCGCTTGCCCCTCCTAGCTCCGGTGGCGGCTAACGATCAACGTTGCAACCCTGACGAAGCGTATATGCGGTGTGACACCTCCGGCCCTACTCATAGCCTTATGTAGATGCCTGATTTGTTGTGAGGATCTGCTTTCAAATTGTCCAGTAGGTGCATGGAATTGAGGAACCTCCATACCCTAGAAGTCACGCGAACTCGCATTAGTGTTAAGTATCTCGAACATAATCTCGCTCTCTTCCGAGACTCGACGCTCTTTAGCTGTCCCCCAAGGATTCCTTTGCGGATCTCCTGTAATAATAAACACCAACTCTAGGTTCGTATAGTTCTTGAAACTTTCAATGAACTCGTGGAGGTCGTAGTGCCAGAGTGATATTGCAATACTTCTGATTTTGCCGAGAACTTGGCTTGCACGTGCGGCATCTTGCAGGCTCTGAGCAGAGATATCCACCGCATAATTCGGAACGAGGACCAACATGTCAAGTTCGGGATTGAAGACGAGGCCATGCGTATCACCCTTCTCCTTCAATTCATGGAAGCCATGGGCATTGAACGCATCGCTGCGTATCTCGCTGTTGACTTGCAGTTGAACCGGTACAGGATATTTGCGTTTGAGGAACATGAAGTGATCAGATGATGACATACTTAGGATCTGGGACATCTCGGGTCAGCATTACGTACTCCGAAGAAATCTGAGGGTTCCGCAAACTGCTGGAAATTTAGAAGGTACGGGAATTAAGTATCCAAGAAAAAGCCAAAAATGCAACGCGCAAACGGGAGCTCGAGAAGATTCCTACAAGTTTTCTTGGATTGGCGCGAATGAACTTCTTCCATATGTCAATTCTGAGTTCGGGAGGAAGCTTCTTGTAAAGCATGAATGATCTGTCAACCTTAGAATCCTGAACACGAGTTAGCTACGAAGTATCGCAAAGGATGTTCACCGCCTTACCTTAGACTGGGGAGGATTAAAGACTGCAGAGTTTATGATACCAACTTCACCATACGGAAGGAGAGACTCCAGATGGTATTTAGAAGCTGCGGAAAGGGGAGAGAGGGCCAAAATCATTGTTGAGCCATCGCTTTTCACAAAGGTCTTTGAAAGCGTCAGCATTGGAACATCTCCTTCACCTTATTCAATTCAGATTCAAAGTTAAATTCAGCTTACCAAGAGAGACTCTTGTGTAGCCAAATCGAGAGTAGGATCAATATGAACAGTTTCTGGAAGCAGAAGGGTAGCCATTGCTTGTGCTTAGTTGATGGAATGGGAGGAGCTGTTGTGTAGTGTGTTGGTGATAGATAGAATCGAAGTGGAAAATACTGGGACTAATTCAAAAGTATTCGGCTCAACCAATGATTTCGGGTGCTAGTCAGATGACTTTATCTGCCTCACTTTGAAATTTTCGGTTGAAGTGTTGAAGTGAATAGAGGATGTCCCCGCTTAACACGTTCGTCGGCTTTGTCACCTTCGTCGACGCGCTCCCACAACCTTACTATCCGCAACCTAAAATTCGCTTTTGCATTTGTATTGCGTCAAAGACAACAAATACATTGCATTGCTTGCAACATGGCGACCGCACGGGTTGCGAACTCTAGTCCCTTCAAGCTCCCCGTAACACTGGTCGCTCTTTCTTCAACATCGATTGTTCACCTGAGATCGGCACAATTCAAGGCCATTGATGGTGCCTCCAAGACACTACCGACTTTGAGCAGTAGGGTTGATCACGATGTGTGTACCATCGCAGTGTTATGACATCTACAGGAACAACAACTGATCAGTACTTACAGGGCGATCATGAAATGCACGACCATAGTGAAGATGACCGCGTCAAGGCACTCTCCGAGTTCACCATCTTCCCTAAGCTTCCCCTTGAAATGCGAGATGAGATTTGGAAGTATTGTGTTCTTCTACAGCCTCGTATTGTTGAACTCAAGTCGTTCCTCCTTCCTAAAAAAGCCGAGAAGAACCAGGCAGTCATACTTGGCCAGGTCAACCAGCATACCAGAAGACAGGTCTACACATTATATGGTTATGTTCAGCTGAAGAATAGAAAACTCAACAAAACCGTTGTCTTCAATCCCAAAGTATGTTTTGTCCTCCCTTGCGGTGAGCCAAAATGCTCCGAAAATTCTTCGTGATTTGTAGTACTGACTTTGTGAGCAGGTCGACATTCTTTACTTAGCACACAAGACAATTGAGGACAATAAAGTAAGTAATGGGATGAAAAGCTTTCTAACTATCATGATCCTCAAATAACATCCCGACCGAGCAATTGCTGACTTTGCCACAAATAGTGGAATAAAGAAAAGCTCATGACATGTCTCGAGCAAGCTGATGTCCTGGACAAAGTCAGATGTGTGGCTCTGTTTTGTAAGAAAGCAGCAGTGGCCGAATGGACCTGTTTCTTTCAGCACTGCACCTCCTTGGAACTCTTGTTCCTGGTGGTTGAGCAGGTGTATCCTCTGGACCCTAAGACATACTCCCCTTTGCAGCCAGATTTTATATTTGAGGATATCGAGCTGCACCAACATCAAGGCAGTAAGGAGCGATGGGGGCGGGAGCTTGGACCGTTGGAACAATATCGAAAGAATGTGCAGGAGTCTCTCGCACGGGGCAGTGAGAGAGTTGCACCTCATGTTGCCTTGGTCAAGGAGGTGTGGAACTTGCCAACTGGATCTAATTTCTGTGAGTAGTGGGGGTTGATCCCTTTCCTATCCTGAGAATTCTCACGATATTCCCCCAGATAGTCTCCCACTTCTTCTCGAGCACCTTTGTAGTGCATTTGCTAACTCCTCATTATTCAAGGGACCGCATCAATGAGTTGAGTGACTTGGGATAGGCCGAATGATATTCTGGTCGCTCGACATTTTCGCTTCGATTGGAAGTTCAGAACAGATTCGTCCTCGAGTCAGTTCTTGACGGGGAAGTTTGTTCGACTGAGGGAAATGGCATCCAATGAAATTAAATAGACATCTTTGAACTAATGGGAGAATCAAGCAACTCGCGGTACTTTACAACCACCTTCCCTAACTTCAGTGGCTTCATCACGTGATGTTTACTTCCCCCTTTTCCTCTCTCGCTTCACATTTTGCACGATCAACCAGCATAAGTCACTAGTTTGAGCAGACTTATCATGCAGTGGGTATCAATAATGTTTCACACAGCGTTCAAGAGTTCTTGCGAGGTATCGGGACACACCTTCAAAGCGGTTCAGATACACCCACGTGATCGCAGGCAGCAAAGGGAACCTCTTGGCGACACGACACCGAACACTGCCGCCTACTTCTACTAGGCCATCATCTAGGATTTATAGATGACCACCCAGGGCTAATACACACCATCTCGGAGGACATATTGCTGCACAATGCACTCCAAGAAACCCCACCAAGAACCGTTCACCCTTGCCGCGCTCTCCTCGCCCTCAATTCATCATCTCCGAGCTGCATCTGCAAAGATTGACGAGGATGATACCTTCCAGTTTGAGAATGAAGTGGAGGTTGTTTTTGATAAGGTATCCCATCTGTCAAGCCCACATTTGGGAAATGACTAATGGAGTCAGGAGAAGAGCAACGACAACGCCAAGTTTACTCTCTTCCTAGACCTTCCACTGGAGATTCAGGCCAAGGTCTGGAAGCTATTTATCGAGGCCGAACCTCGAATTATTCAACCTGGCTCCTTTATGAACGAACCGAATATCCTTAGACAGTTAAGTCGACAAATCAAAGAGGATTGCCTAACGCTGCATGGCTTTGTGGACTTGGACCAATTAAAACGGAGAGAAGAACAAAACAACAACACCATTTTCCACCTACAGACTGACCTCCTTCACCTCGGTCCAAATTCGCCCTGGATATGGGGCCCTCGGTCTTCAACCAGGCGGTTTGGTGCGTGTGGTGCTCTCGACAAAATCAGATGCGTGGCAATCATGAATCTAAGATCTAGCCTGACAGCAAGTATCTATTTCGAAAGCTTTCGAGAATATCGGAACCTTGAGGTCGTTTTTGTTGTCATCGGGGTTTTGGTCCGAGATACAAAGGATGGATGGAGAGAGAAAGAATGGGTGAAGTTTCGAGAGGTCGATGACGAGAAGGCGGTGACGTTGGTCCATTGGGCCAGGTGGCTCCCAGAAAGATTATGCAAGTCCTCTATCCAGGAGAAAAGAGATTGGATACAAGGAATGATGGCGAGAGGGTCGCAGAGGGTTGCGCCTCGTGTTGTGTTTGTGGAGGAGATTCGGGCTTGGGATGATAGTGTTATTCCCCGACCAGATGGTTTGGGATGATATGTTTCCTATGACACTCTTGCTCAAGTTCCACCGCGGATGGTAACAGTGAATTTATTGGATTGAGAAAATGAGAGCTAAGATAAAGCATGGAAGTTTCTGCGTTGAAAGTGTATCCATGGGGCCTTCTCGCATCAAAAGTCGAAATATCATTTTGGCAACCACTGCCTCCCTTTGCTGATTCAACCCAAAAATCCCAACTTCAACCGTTTCACCGACTAGATAACCGCTACAGAATCACCTGTGCGGTCATCCATTCCAGTAGTGAAGGAATGCAAGGAGCCAAAAACCCAGTCGAGTCATGCGAATCTCCGGGCCCAGGTCGCAAGTACGGATCTCGGTACAACCGCAGACCAAGAGAGCTCGAGACAGATCATGGCCAGTTGTCTCTTTCGTCCGGAAGTGCTTTTTCTAATGTCCCAAAAACTTTCGGCCAGCGTGAATGAAGACGTTGCACCTCCGCAGATTCTCCGTCCGCTGTGGGCCTCTATACTCCCAGCGATCATAAACATCACGGACTAATGTTATCTCAGGCTTTTCTCAACGGCACCGAGGCCGATGCATTGAGTAAATTTACACTCTTCCCCAATTTGCCTCTCGAGATGCAGGACGAGATTTGGGGCCATTTCGTCGTCGTTGTTCGAAAACCATGAATCGTCGAGCTTGCTTGGTCCGGGGGAATGTCCCACGTGCTAAAAACGAAGCGGTTATCCTTAGACAGATCAATAACAAGACAAGACGGGATGTCACTCGCTATGGGTATCTGGAACCCAGTGATCCTGCCATCAGCAACAATCGAATTACGCAGTTCCATCCAGATCCTTGTACTGTACCTTCTGCCTCGGTAATCAACATTGTCGCTCTTTCAGATTATTTCTTCGAGAGCCTTCCAAGTTTTGAGTTTCTTGAACGTTTGTACGTCTGATTCAAGTCAGTAAGATATCCACCTACGCGCCCAGAACATAGAATTCTCGCTATCCTGGGAGACTTTGAGGCTCCACAGGGTTAGAAGGAGCGAAATGATCGAATAACGAATAAGTCCCGTATGATGGGTATGTTGGGCCTGAACCTGGGGAATCCTTGTCGACTGCAGGAAGTTAATACCAGATGTATCAAGTGATACCTTGATCCATCACCGAGTCTTGAAAAAGGTGAGCACTCGTGGGAAAAAGGCACAGCGCGCAGCCGACGGAATTTGAAGTGCTTTGTCGTTTTGATCCGATGAACCTACAGTTAACTCCCTGGCCATGAAGATTGATAAAGATCAGTTTTGCACTAGAGAAATGAAGAGCTTTTGTCTTGCTTGACTTGAATTTCGTGATAGGTTATTTGTATTTTTTGCAACTATGCATCCCTCACTTCTCAGCCTCCTGGCAACACCGCTCGCGGTCTTCGCGGCTCCGGCAGCCAGAGTAGCAACGGATAAGAATAGCCTTACTGCTGGAAGCAATGCGGCGACCACCAGAGTAGTGGGTCTGGTCTTGCTCAATTTCGCGTGGAACCAAGCCGGAGTTGTTCGTTGGAAAGTCCAATGTACCTACATCCTCCGAGTTATGGCCATCTTGTTCTTTGCCGCGTTCATGTACTTCGAAATCTACGTCGCTCGGCATCTACTTGTTCCCATCAATATCCTGTCGCAGGAAGCCGTATTCGCGCTGTCCATTGTCCAACACGGTTGGGCGTCCTTTGGTATCTGGGTATACTATCTCTGGCAATTAATCGAGAACCTCCGACATGATAGCATGCTTTCATCTACAGCTCAGCAGATCCCCGTTACGCTCAGCGGCATCGACTCTTGTGGGGTTCTTGATGTCCAAAATCAGAGTTGCGTGGATGATGCTTGTCGTAATGGCTTGTTTTGACAGGACAGATCCTTCTTGCCACCACACCAGTCGGGCAGACGTATTGAGCGCAGACCTTTGTACCCCTCATCGTTATACCGTTGGGAATAGGTATGTCTTTTCCCCGCGACACAATCATTCTCACCGACGGGATGCCCAGAGAACATCAGGGAATCGCCGCGTCTCTGATCAACAACGTCGTGCACTATTCGGTGTCGATAATTCTTGGGATCGCTGATACGGCCATTCAACAGACGAATTGCGGAGGGAGCAATGTGCTCGGGAGTTATTGAAACGCGTGGCATTTTGTAATTGGCCTCGATGGCTTTGGGATGGCGATCGCGCTGTATTTCTTGTGGATGTCTGTGGTGAAAGGGAAAACAATTAGCTAGAGTGTTGGAGGCGGTATCTGATACTTTTCAAATGGAGAACTTGTGTTCCAGAACTCCAGCTTTCTGGGCGGCGTTGAGGAGATGGTTGGGTCGATCAAGATAATCTCCAGAGGTTTGGTCCACAAGGCTGTCTCGCCTAAAAATGCCCCTAACTTTCCAATGACAACCTGACTACAGTAGAAGCTCCGAAGTCGGCAAAACGTGCAGAAGCGCCAGAGGATGATAGATGCTATTAAGACCTGAACGCCAAAGGTAAATGACGGTCAGAGATCTCAGACGCCGATTTGGATATCAACCACAAATTTCACGGCGATTCCCTTATAAATGCAGTGAAGTCTTTCAGTCAGATCTACTCTTGAGATGTAAAGCTGATGGGCATTGGAGGCTCAATGGCTTGGCTTTGTTATTTACTCCTGGTTTAAGGGGGGCAACCATCTACTAAATGAAGCCATCCTAGGCAGATTAAGGTAGTCAAACAACAATTGTTCCAGGATGCCAGTCGCTCAAGTACAAGCAGATAGAGCCTCGACACCTCTTTATAAGACGGAAACGTTAACTGTGCTATTCCTACCTCGACCAAGGAGAGCAATGGCTCGCTAAAATATAAAGCGATAAAAAGGGGGCGATCATACGCTAATGAGTCCATTTGAAGCTTCACACATCTGAGCTCTCTCCGGTAAGCAGGTTGGCGTACTTCAAGACAAGACCAGACGGCCATACTGTTCCTTCTTTTCCCCCTAATTCATTTCGCTCTGGTCACGTGTGGCGATCTTGGCACGCACCGACCTCGTGGTGACATTCCTCGGCAAAAGCCAAAAGCCAAAAGCTGAACATGCTTCTTTTTGTGCAACAAGGAACCGAGCTGTCCTACGACTTTGGTCTCGCCGGTAGCCAATAATTCGGGGCATTTTACGCCAGCTGCGACATCCAAATGTGAGCCCTGTCTTGCTCTCGCGCATCACAGGGACCGAGTCGCAGCGCCTTCTTTCTTTTCCCACACTCCAGCTTACCTTTACCCATCGACCGATTCACTTACTCCTGAGTGGCCCGCGTTGTGCTCGTACTTGTATCGTCGATGGAGCGCTCCTCCTTCTTGGGGTTTGCCGCCTAGTTTTTGAACATCCCATCTTTGTACCAGTAGCTCGCATGCGGAAAATCGTATGTTTGCAAGCACCCCGCTGGATTCGACCTTTGACATCCAGAACTTCACGGCGCATAATATGATGACGTCAGGGGAAGTCGCTTCCAATTCGACGAATCCGGGCTCGGGCTCAAGGTCGATAGATGAGGCGTTTGCAGCCTTCACCCCAATCCCAAGTGTCCTCCTTGACGCAGCCTTCCGCATCATCCAAGTCTCTGCCAGCTTTCTGGCGCTCAACCATCTAACTTTAGACGAATGCCTCGGATCCAACGTCTATGACCTCGTCAGATCGAGGACCCTGGTCCCCGGCCCGACAGCGCTGCGGCTCGTTGTCGACAGCGCAATCGCCGCAAGAAATGTTTACGCAACCTCAGAGCAGCAGGCTACGGGACGATGCCATGCAAATCTTCGAGCTGTCCCGATTTTTGAGGGAAATGAACTGCTGTACGTGCTGCTGGAAGTCCAGGATACAACAGCAGAGCATGAATCACGCTGTGCAGTTAACGACCAGCTAGACAGAAACGACACATACCGTGTCCTCGTCGATACGGTCAAAGATTATGCCATTTTCATGCTGGATACCCAAGGGAATGTCAGAACCTGGAACTCGGGCGCTCAGTTATTGAAAGGCTACAAACCGGAGGAGATCATTGGCAAGCACTTCTCCGTCTTCTATGGCGAGGACGACATCATTTTCGAGAAGCCGAGGAAGGAGTTAGAGATCTGCTTGCGAGACGGAAAAGTCGAAGATGAAGGGTGGCGGTATAAGAAAGATGGCAGCAAATTCTGGGCTAACGTAAGTCTCACTCCCCAGAGCATTATTATCTGTCTCGTAGGGGTTGAGAACGAGTTCCCCCAAGCTACATAGAGCGAGAATATTATTCGAGCAGATTTTCCTGCCTCCGAATTCTGCCCTTTCGAGCGCAATACTGATCCGAAATTCTACGCTGTAGGTTACGATCACGTGCGTCACCCGAAATGGGGTTCATATCGGCTTTTCAAAGGTCACAAGAGATCTCACGGAACGAAAAGCAGCTGAATCGCAAGTTGTTGCCGCGTATGAAGAATCAGCAAAGCTTAAGTCTGCCTTCCTTGCGAATACGTCACATGAAATTCGAACGCCCTTGCACGGAATGCTCAGCGCCCTAACCCTGCTCATGGATGTAAGTTATGGATGGGAATTCCGACTGTCTCCCGGGACAATGCGCTACGCCTGGCTCACTCGTTATTCGAGCAATTGCTAACTCTTCATTTGCCCAGACTTCGCTCACTCCAGAACAACGAGAGCTCGGGACCATGATGGAAGAGTCCGGCTCCATTCTTCTGCAAGTGATCAATGATATCTTGGACTACTCGAAGCTCTCCTCTGGAATTTTCTCTATTTCATCTGATACAGCGGTTTCTATTCCGAACTTAAGTGCGTACCCTCAAAATTCCTCCTTAAAAAGCTGCTAATCCCGTTAGTCACCTCCATCGTGCGTTCCATTCAGACAACTGTAAAGCCTGGAGTCAGCCTAGCAACTTCTCTTGACCTCAATCTTCCGACGACTGCATTCGGTGATCCCTTGCGGTATCGGCAAGTCGTTCAGAATCTTATTACCAATGCGGTAAAATTCACAGAGTCCGGCTCAATTGATGTCCATGCGTCTCTCGTGGAGGAGGATGAAACATCCTTCACTATTCGGACGGAAATCACTGATACCGGAATTGGTATCGAGGATATCGCTATCGGAAGTCTCTTTAATCCATTCACGCAATTTGACACTTCTGCTACTAAGCGATATAAGGGAACTGGACTGGGTCTGTCAATTTGCAAGAGCTTGGCAGAGCTGATGGGAGGAGCCATCGGTTTTCACCCAAACCCCAAGGAGCAAGGAAGCGTCTTTTGGTTCACCGCTAAGCTGGGAAAGATCAATACATTGAATCGAGTGGACCGGCTGTCAGCGAAATTTGAAGCTTCCGTATTGTCCCCAGCCCCAGATTCTTTGGAGCTCGTCAGAGAGCTAGCACCCGGAAAGCGAGTTCTTCTTGCAGAAGACAACTTTATTAATCAAAAAGTCATGCTGGTAGGTCCTGGACGAGAAAGCCTTTTCTATTTTTTGACAGTTCCCCTATTCTTTGACAGTCTCCCTGAGACAATGTCTCATTGTCCCAAATATCCTCGGCCAATCTCAATCAAGATATGCTGACACTTCCCTTGTCCAGATGATGCTCAAGGGTTTAGGATTCGCCAATGTCGATATAGCGATGAATGGAGCCGAGGCGGTGGATCGAGCCAAACGAAAGCCTTTGTTCTACGATCTCATTCTAATGGATATTAGCATGCCGGTCCTGGATGGAGTCGGCGCAGCCATTCAGATCCGGGAAGCAGGAATTGACGTGCCGATTATTGCTATGACTGCGAATGCATTGAAGGAAGATGTAGCTAGCTATCTGGCGCAGGGTATGAACGACTACGTGCCCAAACCTGTCGACCGACAAATATTACTGAAGGCTTTCTTGAGATGGTTGAGGTAGCAAAAGCTATATTTTCAACGTTTTGGGAAGAGCGAGAGAGCGTAGGGTCTTCGAAATGCTAGATCTGGAAAGCGAGCCTTACGGAGAGGGCGTTTTTTTCTTCTCCTGATACACCAAGATTTTTGGAAAGGTTTTTGGGATGCCCCGCCAGCGATGGAGTAGAACGCTAGAAGGGAAACGGGTCGCTTACCCGGATACACGTATAAAGATGAAGTCTGGGTTCAGGAGTTAGGTGTGGAGCAGTAGGTATACAATAATAGGAGCATAATTTCTTTCAGCCATCGGAACCAGTTTGCCAAACCTTCCAAGGCGTTCCCCTAGTGCTTTTTTTCGAGCACGAATAGCCCATGTTGAGGCTATTTCGTCATCTTGTCTCAATTCCCTAGCCACCTTGGAATCATCTGAACGTGGTTGGGTTCTCGTCGGTCGTTGACGAAATGCTTAAGCGAGCGAAAAAGGGGTACCAAACCTACTTCACATCGTCAGTATTGTCAGTACCGTATTAAACTTGTTATCACCAGTAGTTTTTTCGGCCAGTCACATTGCTTAGCTGTCTGTCTTGCCAATCAGCAAATAGACATTCCTTCCGCCCAGCCTTCGAGACTTCCCTTAAGGAACGGGAGGCTTTACTTATACATATCATTCCGTCGATCTCTCGATCACAAGCGCTACGTCATGTTCCCTAGAAAGTCTTTCGGATATATATTCAGCTTACACAAACGTTCTTACATCTTGGCCGTGTAAGGAGGATCGTCTGATGTCACTGTATCGCTCTCAAATCGTTCAGTAACACAGCACAATGGTCCCGCACAGTTAAACTAAATGGCATTCATTTTCTCCACATTATAGAAAACTTTCACTGAATTGAGACGATATTGTTTCCAATTCAGGATATTTGAGCTAGGCACTACAATTTCAAACACGCTTCGCTTTTGGAAATAGGAAGCCTGTATTATCAAACTTCAAGTTAACTCATCTTCCCGCTTTTACACTCAGGCAGACAAGACTTAATCTGCCTGAAACGAGAGCCTTTGCTCTTGTTCACGGTGTTCTGGTATTTGGTATAATTTTTGAACTTCTCCGATATAAAAGTATATCCAACTACATGCAGATATCCATCGATGCTTGAATCGACTCGAATATCAGGTCGTGCGTTGTATTGTAACCGAGGCCCACTAAGTTCGGTGTCCGGGGGGGGGGGAAGATTTGTTCATTGGGACTTTCCAGTTTTCAAGGCGTACTCTTCACTTCCTTGAAATTATCTCTTCAGCAAGCCATAATGAGGGTGGGGAAAAGGAGAGCCACACGTGATCCGATCGACCAATACGTTTTGCCCCTCTCCTTGGCTTTCTCGCGAACCAACAATCTCGCGCGCCCAGATTTTTTGGCTAGCATCCAAGACTCCAAGCCTTCGCAAGCCTTTCATATCACTTGGCTCCTTCCTAAATCGAGCTGCAGCCGCGCTCTGCCCGAGATGTGGCTTAGATATCACTCAATCGCGCTGCGGGCCGACATTGGATCAGCGTGGCCAAGTCAAATATTTGGTGCTTGGCAAGCTTTCTGGTATCCAGGGACTACTATTCTGCGGGGTTCTGCTGCAAATATCTATTTGAAGTATAAAATAATGCGGTATGCCCCCAGCTTTCAAAATTTAAGTCCTCCGTACCTACTGCAAATTACTTCTCCATCATGCGGCTCTCTCTCCATACAGGTATTCTTGTAACTCTCGCTCTGCTTGCAGAAGCGGTTCCTACCCCTGAACCAAGGGCGCTCCCTTTGGTCCAATCTGTAAGATGCCAGGCGGCAGATTGTGGAACAACAAGTTAACAATATTTTCAGAACCAATTGCGGAGACTGCTCTTACGCTCGGAGCTTCTTAAGAAGGGCCAAACACTCCAAGACTTTGCATATGCTACCGTAGGGCGAAACCGATACATCGGAACTCCTGGTCATAACGCCACAGTCAATTACCTCGTTGACACTCTTACAGCCACTGGGTACTATGACATCGAAGTGCAGCCATTTACCGTTCCCAGCGCCAGTGCTGATTTGAGCGTCGACGGCGTGACTTACGAGGCTGCCCCAATGACATTTACCGCCGCAGGTACGCCTTCAGGTCCTTTGATTCCGGTGGCAAACATTGGATGTGATGCTGTGAGTTTGCAATGTACACTTGGTCATAAATTATCACTTGCTAAATGGTTTCCAGGCCGACTATCCAGCTGAACTTGCTGGCAAGATTGCTCTCATCAGCCGTGGCACCTGCACATTCGCCACCAAAGCCGCCTTGTCCAAAGCAGCGGGTGCAATTGGCACGGTAATCTACAACAATGTGGAAGGACTCCTCCAGGGCACTCTCGGAGGCGAAGGGAACTATGCACCTACTGTTGGGATTTCCCAGGCGGACGGACAAACACTTCTCGCTTTGGTGGCCTCCGGTACTGCAACTGCTGGCCTAATTGTTGAACTCAGCGAGGTTCTCACGTGAGTAGCCTCTTAGCTTTACCACATACGTCTAAAATTGACTGACAAACTTACAGCTATAATGTGATCGCCCAAACCAAGGGCGGCGACAAGGAAAACGTCCTCGCAGTTGGAGCACATATTGATTCAGTTGAAGCTGGACCGGGAATCAACGACAACGGGTCCGGGAGCATTGGCAATCTCGAAGTCGCACTGCAATTGACCAAGTTCTCCACCAACAACGCAATTCGCTTCGGGTGGTGGTCTGGCGAGGAAGAAGGTCTTCTCGGAGCCGAACACTATGTTACAACTCTCCCACAGGAAGAACGCGACAAGATCCGTCTTTATATCAACTTCGACATGATTGCTTCGCCCAACTTCGTGTATGAAATTTACGATGGGGATGGTTCGGCGTTCGGCACAACTGGTCGTAGGTGTTGGGGAGAAACTCTTTCCTATTTGCGGCTGTTTCATGAGATTTTCTTAAGACAATGTCCTCTCTCAAAACAAACCCATATTGAGCAATTGCTGACTCCCTCGTTACCTAGCACCGGGCTCTGCTGAGATTGAAAAGCTCTGGGAAGACTACTACAAGAACGACGTTAGGATCCCTACCCAGCCTACAGAGTTTGACGGTCGCTCGGACTACGGCCCTTTCCTGGACTTTGGCATCGCAAGTGGTGGATTGAGTTCGGGAGCTGATGGTGTGAAGACAGAGGAGGAAGTCGCGCTTTATGGTGGAACAGCTGGGCAGATTTATGACCCAAATTACCATACCGCTCAAGATATTCTTGCGAATACTAATGTAGGTGTGTGGGTACAGATGGCAAAAGGTATTGCTCATGCGGTTGCCACCTATGGAAGGAGCTTTGAGACTTTACCTGCTAAGACGAAGAGAAGTGAGAAGAGGGAGGCACACACGTACCAAAGAAAGGGTGGGAAATGGGTATATTAAAATTTGTGAAGGCAGCACATCATAAATTCTCCGCTGAGAGATATGAAGCTGGTTTATTAAGCTAAGAATTACTTCATTTTCCTTGCCTTACTTCAGGCGGACACGATTCAACTGGCGTGAATCTCGAACCTTCATGCCAGTTTATCATGTTCCAGTGTTCACTGTACTTTTGCAGCCTTTCGGATATGAAGACATAACTATTTACACGTGATCGGCAGCTGTGGCAGAGATTTATGCTCCGTAGGTTTCGGGCTATGCAGAATTTTGGGTAGATTTGAGGGTCACACGTCCAGCGCGAGGTGAAGTGTTGGTGGCATGGCGTTGTCATGAAGTTGGAATGTTGGCAATCGTACGTCTTGGTTAGCAGGAAACACATCTTGCTGATTCTCGAGGGCGTGAGAGGTGATGGTGGTGTTGAGGTCTTGAGATCTAAGTGTACGGAACGGATCCTTGAATTCCGGGGATTGCATTGTTTTAACAGCTCTGGGGACAATGGCTTTATGCTTTGTAGTTCACTCAAAGGGAACTTCTTTGTGCAGAGATTAAGAGGAATGAAGGCAATGTTGGAGACAAGGGGTCAACAAAGGGATTCGCCTTCACCAGGACAATAGACAATAGACAAAAAGCAATGGGAACAACCTCCGATATTCTGTATAATGCGTGTACATTTTTGATAAATTTCACCTGTCCCACTTCATCACCAAATTTCCCTGGCCACCATTCACCACCGTCTCACTCTATCACCGCCTGTCGCGCATCTGACTACCGAACCAGTCATCAAAATGTGTAAAATGACAATAACTGAGTATAGAGGTTGCGGTTGTATCAAAACCCGCACACTCCTCTGCAATAAACACGGTCTACATGCCTCTATGCCTTGCACTGTGCTTGATTGCTCCCACTATCAAGAAGAATGCATCGAAATGTCGGGGCGGTGCCGAAGCTGTGCAATGGGTTTGGGACGGTGGCTTTGCTTTCACTAGAAGAAGAGGGCTTGAAATCGGCGTGAGAGAACAGAGCTAAGTATAAAATGAAATATGAAGTCAATACTCAACTATAAAGTTAATCTTTGAAGCAAATCCCTGATTAAATGCGTGCCGTGAGCATAGTGAAGAATTTTTGATATTCGAAACACTGATGTACAGATTACATATGACCTAAGGCCCCCTTTGCTGAATTCTCGCTGCAAGTCTCTAGGTCAGAACAGCCCTGCACCTTGAAAGGGTGCTTCAGAACAGCTTCTTCTTTAAATTTAGAAGAATTAGAAATGTAAGACATCTGATGGTCCTCAGAACAGACTCGCGTCCTCCTTACTAGACTCTGCAGCACACTAGCCACGCCTTGACTTGATCATCCTCACATCTCGGAAATATATCATCCATTATCAACGTTGTGGAACTGAATCCCAACACATCGAAATGTGCATCATCAAAAACTACGACTATGGGTGCGGCCACAGGATCACTTTCATCCAGCCCTGCGTTCACTATACTCCTCACTTCTGCGGCCCAAGGACTACGGAGACCAGAACGGTGGAATACATTTGGGATTGCCCAGCTTGCGGGGAGCCCAAGCCCACACCTCGTTGGCAGAAATGCTATTCTTGGTTTCAAAAATGGAGACATATTGGGCGAAGGAAATGGGAAAGTTGTCTCGACACAGAGTCACTCTCATCGTGATCATAAGAGGGACTATTGCCTTCTCAACTACCTATCCGCTCAAATAATTTTATAAACTCAATTCAACACCTCCAAATTCCGACTAGAACTAATGGCTGCAACAGATAAAGGAGGGATTGAAACATGAGCTTAGCCTGCACTCGCAGCAAAGTATACATATTCTTTGTTTGTGAATTCGAACAGCGCCTCCGAAGCAAACAGCACCAGTGGGCAGGCCATAAAAAATCCATCCCAGCATATACCCCGTCATCCTTATCATAACCATCTATCACAACTTCCCTCCGCATCATCAAGATGTGCCTACTCATTAAAACTAAGTACAGGTGCGGATGTGAGCGTAGTGAGCTCTACATCGATATCTGCCCCCTCCGGGAACTAGGCAGCCATCGTGTTCTGGTCGGCAAAAGGTGTCCATGCTACAGAGTAGATCCAGAGACCAGTCTTGAGCAATGCCACACATGCAAATCAAATGAACACGCAAGACGAAACGGCGGTGGGTGCGCCTGGTGCTGTTGCTGGCGCCACTAACTTGACAAGATGATTTGAGCGGCTTGCTCGTGGAGGTATGAGCTTAGCCATGCAAGGCCCTTTCTGCGGGGCTATTCCTCCACAAGATTGGGCATTTGGAGAAGTCAACGGAATAGCAGAACAGAATAACGGCAGATTGGTCCATAGCAAAGAGACAATTCAAGAATCATTCCCCAAAAGAAAAACAGGAGGAATATGTTAGCTTGTTCCTAGAACACTGTGGCATTCCACCTTAAGACAGACTTCTGGTCCTGCAGAACATCATACTTCTTTATTCCCAAGAACAGCTCACCTCTGCCAGAAACAGCCTCGGTGGTCTCGGCACATATCCATATCACCCCATGCTCTTTCTCTCCTCATCGCCATCTGCCCTTCAACGCATCACAAGCACCATCAAAACGCCCGAATTACCAAACCACCAAGAACCATCGAAAAGACACCCAAACCACGAAGAACAGCAAAGATCGTCCAGAATGTGCAAGCTTACAAAAGCCAAGTTCACCGACTGCGGTCACAAGCACGACTTCGTCAATTGCTGCCCCGAGAATGCGCCTCCAGGTGCTTACGGCGGTGCTCCTATACACTCAGCAGAGAAGTGCTCTGACCTCCGTAAGTTCAAGGAGGAGCGACACGGGTTGTGTCCTGAATGCAGCGCCAAGCTGCACAGAGGGAAGAACGCTCCCACTACCGGCTTCATCGGTTGCCTCTTGCGGAGAACCCCATCAACTTACAAACCCTATCTCTCCGATGGGAAATTCGCTAAGCCAGAAGTAAAGGAGACCCTAAGAGATGATTCCCCTACAAATTGCATGAACAGCAGAAAAACAGAAGCAGGCAGGCCCCACTTCTAGAAATTGCATGAACAGTAGATGAGCGAAGATCCCCCACAAATCGCAAGAACAATAAACACATACAGAAGTGTGCAGGCCACATTTCTACAAATTGCAAGAGCAACAGATACACAAATGTAGAGTAGTCACACAATGCAACAATCATCCCCAAATCAAATTCCCGTCTTTCTTGACTAAAGTGACGTTCCCATTCATAACACCCACTCCCAGTTCTTCTCCCAAGGTTCAGATATTGAAGCAGAATCACGCTTTGATACTTTGACAAAGAAATCCAGCCCCTAGACTCGATATCGTGTCTTCGATCGTAATTCAATACAAAGAAGCCACGAGTCATCGCACAATCACATTGTTCAAAAGAGCAGAACCAGAATAATACCTCTTCTTCCTCTTTACCCCTACCGCCCCTTTGGCAATCTCAGTAAATCAGCAAATCACAAATCCTCTCAATGTGCCGCATGACCATGATCTCATACAACGGCTGTGAATGCATCACATACCGCACTCATCTCTGTGCTAAAGCGCCGCCTCGGGAGGTAATCACCTGTCATGACAGTGCATGGGATCACTTGACCCATATCACGTGCAAGTTCGTTCAAGTAGGAAAGGTTGAGAAGAGACGCCCGTGTAAGTTTTGTGAGCCGAATTTGGTGAGGAGTTGGTGGGGTTGCTTTAGGTGGGATCGGCGACGTTGATGGTGTTGCAGGAAGCGGTTTGCTTGTGTGAATAGTCAAGGCGAAGTTGAAAACAAAATTAGAGCTCGAGACCCGTCCTCGATAAGAATCAGACCCCTCTCAGACCATGTGAATTGAAATGAGAGCAATTGCAAGTTTGCCAAACAGGTGAAAGCGAGAACGGGATACCGGCACTTGCCAAGTCATAGCTCTCCGTTCCTTGGACGAAGTATCCAGATGGCATGAGTCGAGACCCAACTGAAAGGGAATTACATTCACTGAAAAAGAGACACGCAGTCAACAGAAAATGTTTGGATTCAGGAAAATCTCTCATGCTAATGCCACTGTAAGTAAATGCTCGTCTCTTAAACTTCTCAACGACGGCGAGTCCCGTCTCCACATAAATCCTTCTAACGCCAACCCCGTGCACCGATCCTCTTTTCAATGCACTCAATCCCTTAAAACACCGCTCATGACTTCCCGTCCCTATGCAATTCGCTAGATTAAGCGATGGTATCTTTCTCAATCGAAATGTGATGAATATTCGCGTCTCTCGTATTCGTCTTCTCTCACGGTGGAACTTTGAGGCTCTCTTCTGGTTTCGTTTGAGGTTGTGAATGGAACAACCTCTTGTATCTCATATCCGGACCGCTCGTCCCGACGCTCTTATTGAACTCCCCGGATCTTCTCGTCATTGAATTAGGTGATGTCGTGAATCCCACGTTCGATCGTGCCGAGAGAGGCGAGGTCGCCAGAACGTGGTCTGTTCCAGCGGTTACTGGCTGGCTTGCCGAGAAGAAATCTATGACTCCAGGGGCTCGCCGAGCATGGCTGTTGGGGCTGTGGCAGAGACCCACACCCGGAACCCCATCGTCTGCTGCGTCGGGCTCCGGGCTGCTTTCATCCGTATGGGAGTCGATATCTGCATCTGAGCTGGGTGGAGAATGCGTCGTTTCTCCAGCTGAGGAGAGATCGGGTAGCTGAAGATGAAGATCAAAGGGATTCTTCGCCGGTCTTGCATCTCCGATCTGAGGAGTTGGCAGAGGAGTTGCATGGACTGATCGAAACCAAGGCTTTGCTGGTTGTATGTATTTCCTTGATAGGTTCAGCTGTGTGCTCGCTGTTCTCAATGGCGGTCTCGAAAGGCTCTTTCTGATATAGAACTCTCCTTCTTCATCGCGCGTGGATTGCAGTGGCAGCACGTTTCCGCCACTACCTCTCCTCCGCCCCACTCTCTTCGTAAACGTATTTCCAGTCGACATTCGCCGGAGATCAACCTGACTTGGGCTAAACACCACCCTCGTCCGTAATGTCTGCACTGCTGCATCTAATTCTAATTCTACTGCACAATGATTTCGTATTCTGCTCAACTTCGGCCATGTCGCTTTCTCTCCACATAAACAGGCCTGGACCAAAAAATCCGAAGTCGGATTCTTGAGCATCCGTGGGAAATCTTTGTAATCTATCGCCGGAAGTATCGTAATATCTCCCGAGTACTTTTGGCTTAGGATGGATTTGCATTTCGTGACTAGATTTGGAAATATGCCCAGTTCGGCCATTACTTGCAGTCTATGTAACGCTTCGTCTTTGGCCAGATTGGTGAGAGTGTAGACGAAGCCTGGTCCAGCCGAATCAGACTGGGCATCCTTCGCGATGGCTTCCTCGTCCTTGACCAGAAATGGCACAACATGGGGGTTGACTTGCGAAACGATGAAATGATTGACATTGAACATCTCCGCCAACCGGGTCATTGGCAAATCATTATCCACACTTCCGTCGATCCAGTGTTGTGGGGTTGGGTTCCAGGGAGAGTTCTCGCCGGTGGCTGGATTCTTGACAAGCAGTTGCGCAGATGAAAAGACAAGAGGCACCGAGCAAGAGGCTGCCACAGCAGACCAGATCATAACATTCGGCGCAGTAACATAATTGAGAAGCCTAGGAAGTTCGTAGACAGAGGCCGACGAAACACAGATATTGAGAATTCGCCGGGTACGGTTGTAAGCTTCCTGGAAGGTCATGTCGCCAAGTACATCATGCATCACTCTGGTCAGATGCTTTATATCGATCCAAGATCCTTCAGTCAGTAATCTCCGCAGCCTATCGAGGATCCCGTCCTCCTTTCCTTGCTCCTCAAAGACTGCCAAATCACCGAAGGGAAAGGAAGCCAGGACATCTGGAATCTCCTCGTCTGTTCGTGTGCAAAGCACAGCGCATACAATGCTTCCAGCGGAAGCACCAGATATAATCCGCGGCAGGAGCCTTGTTTCGTAAAGCGCTTTCAGAACTCCGACATGATTCATGCCAAAAGTTGCTCCTCCACTCAATAACAGAGCACTCCTTCCAAAGGCTTGTCTAGCATAAACGACCTGCTCTAGGATGTCCTTCGTCTCAACGCCATCCGGTAGGCTGTATTTGCTCGTTTCGACAAGGGCTCGAATAGTGTCAATGGTCGAGTCGATGTACCGCTCAATCAAGTCCTTCGTCCCAATGTGCGAGTGCTGGTAAAGCCTTCGATTGCCCATCCCACCCAAATCCCTGACCAGCGCAGTCCGCACAAGATTCAGCATGGCCTTGATATCTACGTTCGTTCTTGCCTCATCCAGTTGCTTCAGTCGTGCCTCAATCAGCGGGCCATCGAATTCGGAGGACGTGGAGTCGGCCTTCCAGGCCACGTTGTCTTCCAGAACGTCCAACTCCCTGGCTGCCGTCCGCCATTGTTCCATGGTCTCCGCGTTCTGCATCCGCAGCCCCAGAATCTGCCTCATCTCTTCCTTCCTCCTCCTGGCCTCCCTTTCCTCCTCCATCAAGCCATCCCTCAGTGTCAAAACCGTACTGTTGACCAAACCCACGCCATTTCTCAAAATCCTAGCAGCCGGGCCCAGTAAGCCCCACCTCGACAGCGACGTGCGGTGTGTGGAACCCGAGTCGTCGTTACAAATAAATCCTCTAACTGGTGCCGACGCCGGAGGTTGTTTATGGGGGCCTTTGCTATTGTCGACGCAATTCTTCTGGAGGTATTCTAGTAGCACCATATCTCGTTTCGATGCGCGCCATGAACGCTGGCTGCTTCTCCTAACTGAATTCTTTGATATACTCTCTGATGGGAGTGAGACGGAGGTAGGCCCGGGAATAGAGTTTTAAAAGGGTGAGAACAAGTAGTTGCGAAAGGTTGAAATGCATGTACCACCACGCTAGGAACAGGCCCGAGAAGGCGGTGATGTGATGTACTGTACCAAATCAGGGGTGCGGAATTGGCGGAACCAAAATCCTGGAACGATTCACAACGTCACGAGGGGACCCTTCTGCTGTTCCACCAAATCATCTGCCCGCAAAAGCCGGACTGCACTGCACGAAAGAGATCCCTTGCGTGCAGCTGATTGCCCATAACTTGCTCAATTAGAGTGTGGGATGTGTATCAAGCCTCTTTCTAACTTGTCATTCTTCTGGATTTTCCAGTCTCGTTGGAGCATCAGGCAAAGATTCGCGATGCAGGCTTAGCTGGCTGACTGCTCTGGCCAATGCCTTTGTTCTCCCCCATATCTCCGAGTGTGGGGGGGAGCAGTTTAGGCTTACCTCGGGGAACCTGCTCGTCATTTTGTGGGATGGAGTGTATGCTCAGCTGATTCAGAGCGGTGTCTTATTATTTCCTCTTGAGACCCTGACAGCGAGCCTGGCTTCTGCAGTGGCTGGCCCGCACCAATTACGAATCAGAAAATGGCTGCCAGCTTGCCACAAAGCTTGTGAAGCGCTGACTGAGACATCCCTTACGTGGAGACTACTTACGGAGGACACAGCGGACCGTCGAGATCCGCTAGCCGGGTGTGTATCTTTCCTTCAAGCCATGCACGCCCCTCCATGGCTCCTCTAAAGCTTTAATCACAAGCTTCAAGTTGAAGATTTGAGCATTTTCTACACAGGTGTAAGGAAGGGCTTTGTTTTCGATGCACATCACGCGGCTGAGGTCTCGGGTATATGTCTGCTGGCGGCGGTGAGCTGGCAATGAAGTGGTTGCACCGCATTCGAGGGACGTTGTGTAACGGTGATCCCGTCGTAAGGGGAGAGGAAGCTCCAGCATGTGACGGCCATTCAAGTTACGTATCGCGTGTAAGCAACTACCAGCCATATGGCTGGATCAGTCAGACTCTGGTCACAAGCCCAGATCCAGTAGCTTGTATATTCGAAGCAGGTACCGTTATCACATGAAAGAGTTTTCAAAATGTGGAGCTTCCAAAAATTTGAGGTTCACAGCAAGTCATAATCTGGAGAGCACAATGTGCAGGAAAAACTATATTCTATTTCAAATTGCAACAAAAGCCAAAAGGGTATACGCTTTGTTACGTTCAAATGCCAAGTTCCTCTCCATTGAGGCTTAGATACATCCAAAACGCCGAGTTCGTAAATGCTCCCACAATCACAAGAAAGCAAAAGCATCATCAAGCACATGTCATCATCTTCGCTCCGCCCAAGTCTCAGTCATCCCCTAGTAGAGGATCCCGTCAGCTCCCATCACACCTTCGCTGCTTGCCATGTTGCACTGTCTGAACAAGCGGCGCTCTTCAGGGCTGAAAGCACCAACAACAGAGTGTGTCACACCTTGGTTATTGAAGAGGACGAAATCGCCCTCAACCCAGTCATGTGCGTACACATACTTAGGGGAGATGGCAGGGCGCTGCAATCGATGAACTAGATCCCTGGCCTCCTTCAAGTCCGTGATCACATCTCCGTTTGGCTTGTGAATGGCCTTGATAGCTGACGGGTGGATTTGAAGAGCGAGCTTGCCCGTCACAGGATTCTTCCAGCACATTGGCAAGATCTTAATTTGACTCTCGTCCACGGGAGGTAGCTCAGAAAGGGGCAATTCCAATCCATCAGAGATCATTCCCAGGCCATCCGTTCGGCTCTTGGCTGGACTCATCCAAATGTATGGATGCGCTGCATATTCGACTTTTGCTCCACGGACAAACTCCTTGTCCTCCTCGCTTAGGATGTCGTACATGTTCTGGCCTGAAACGAAAGCGGTGGTTCCAAGAGGGACGTCCATCTCCTCTCCAGTCCCATCATCATATCGAAGTGTCTGGCGTCTTCCAGCAGGAACCTTGACAGCCATTAGGGAGGTGACCTTTGGTGGGTTTAGAGCGTAAAGAGCAGCATCAATGTGCCATCTGTAGAATCTCGTGAAGTCCAAATCATCCTCCTCAGAGATAACACTCTTGTGGAAGCTCTTGTGGTGAGGATGCTTCAGAGTGATGTCCTTCAAGCCCTCGTATTCGTCATAGTGTCCATTACCAATTACTTGGACTTGTGGCTGGTGGGGGATTGTCTTGAGATCTGGGTGAAGAACGGATCGCTTGGCATCAAGGGTCTTTCCGTGGCCATAGTTGCCTTCACAAGCTGGGTCAAATCTTTTGGTGATTTCGTATTGAGCTGTCCAACTCTGTTAGCACCTTGGCAACAATCAGAAACTTTGAAAGCGCTCTACCTTTTGGGGAGACACCAGCTTGATTCTTAAGAACAATGACATGGTAGTTGTACAAAGTATTCCGGATAGTCTCAAAATCTGCGTCTGAAAGGTTGTCTAAGTCGACATTATCGATTTCAGCCCCGAACTGGGGGTGGGGGCCATCGAGAGGGTGGACTTCGAGAGTCTGGACTGCCATTTTGTTCGATAAGTGTGGGGATGAGTAATTGTAGATTAAATTGGATATTTGGGGTGATGAAGATTGTCTAAAGATGAGAAGACAAAACTTATATATACATCTATGAGCGGTCGGCCCCGCAGTAGAAGATGGACTCCGGCCGCCGCGGGCTTGCAAGCATAATAGCGACCCGCAAAAGAAAGATTCTGAGGGAATTCGCAGCCTATGAGACCGAGGAGAAAGATCGCCTGCACAATTGGCTTTGGAAAAGCGGAAACTTAGATAAGATCCGTACACTTCCGCTACATCGGAGCGCGCCGTCAGCCAAGCCACGTGATAGTTAGGATTGAAGATCACGTGCTTACTCTCGAAGTTATATTTCGTATAGTCAAGTGTTATTCACTTAAAGACCAAACTCGATAAAGTGTTTTCTATAGCTTGTGGACAAAATAAGCAGCCATCTTCGTCAGAGCATCAGTATATTCTTTCCCTCCTCTCCTACACAAACTCTCTGCACATAGACCAACTCATGACGTTACTCCTTCCCCATCCCATTCTTCGAAGCAAATATAATACTTATCGCTATTGCTCTTCTTCACCCAGTTATTATTTATAGGTCTGTGACATAATCCCACGAAAACTGCCATCAGCGACCTAATCACAGTAGAGTACCTAACTTCTGATACTTTGATCTCTGTCTCTGACTTAAACTGCAAATACGACGAAGAGACGAAGAGATGCGCCGTCTTGTCGTAAGCTTAAGGCAACCTTCTGGTGAAATTTGAAGAAGTAAAACATTACGAGACAGGAAGAGGGTCGAACTGAGACGTGTACTGAAGAAAGGAATAGTTACTGGAGGTCGGGGCTTTTACCTTCGCTGGTTCTAATGGGATATCTAACAATATATTATCAGTGACAGTAGTACAGAAGGTTCATGGAAGAATCAGAAAAGAAATTGAACCTTTCGTTGTGAGGTCAGACACTGAGAGTGAAGCCGATGATGGAAAAGGGGAGGCTTGCGCTAAGTGGCGCTACTACGGCGACCGGATTGCGCAAAGTCCCGAGAGACACCTTTCAATTATACGCGGCCTTGAAGCTCCACGAATTTCAAACCCTACAACAACACAACTCAACAATGCGATTCCTACGCTCATTAATCCCCTCGTTGCTGCTTTTGGGTGCGGGCGTTGCAGAGGCAGCTTCATCATGGAATTTTGACGAAGCAATCATCTCTGTAACTGGGAAAGGTAACACCGCAGGTGCATTCAAGGACAAGTACGTCGACAGCTTCATTTTTCGAAGAGGACATTTGTTAATCCCAATTGCACAGACTCTCGGATCATGCTCCTCTTGCGAAGCCCGTAACATTAGGCTCGGCAGATTCCCTTAAGATTATCTTGACAGCGACAGAAAATGGCAAGGCCAAACGACCACATCAAGCTTTCCTCCTACTTAGAGATCAGGACACTGGATTGGAGGCCACATTCCCATTTTCTGTGAAGGATACTGGCAAAGGAAAGGTTGATTTTGTATGTATTACAAAGTCCTCGCTTTAAACTACAAGCTAACAATAGCCAAGTCACAAAAGGACCTCCCGGCCCAACTCTTGATATCCTCTCAACCCCTCCGAGCCACCCTCCTTCTCGCCTCATTCGGTTCCTCCCAAGCATTCAGCAACCATGTCTTCAACCTGGACGTCAAGCCTGACCCCAACGCGCCACTACCAAAATACGAGAAGCCATTGAGATACGGAAAGTTGGAGGATATCCACCACATCTTCAGAGCAGATCCCAAGAGCGGTCCCAAAATCGTTTCTATGTTCTTCGTTCTTGCAGTATTGGCTACTGTGCCAGTTCTCCTCGGGGTTGTAAGTGCCAATGTTCCAACTGAAGTTTGTGCATTTGCTAACCAGAGACAGTGGGCTTACCTTGGAGCCAACCTCGACCACCTCTCAAAAGCCGTAGGCGCTGCTCCCATCTCGCACAGTCTCTTCTTCAGCTCAATTTTGGCTATGGAGGGCATCTTCTACCTATACTACTATAACTGGACTCTTTTCGAGATGTTACCTGCTGCTGGAGTTGTGGGATTGGTAGGTTTCCTGAGTGGAAGCAAGGCTCTGTCAGAAGTTCAGAGCCGGCGACTAGCTGGTGAGCGGTAAAGACATCTGGAAAGAGGTGCAAACAAGCAAAGGCCGGGCAGAGAATGGGAGGGTAAGCAGCTTTGGAATTATAAAAGTTATGGCTGGGTGTAGGAACTAGGAGAACGAGTGTACCATATCAAAAATATCCAAATGAGTGCGAACAAGAAAGTTTGGAGAGTCAATGTAGAGAGTGTTCTCTGTGATCTAGGTCCAATGTCCCGTCAGGATACGGACATTCACAAAGTCGCACCCCATTTTCATACTCGAGTTAACTTTAAACAATATCCTCCAGGAAAGAGTGTGATTGTGTTCATTTCAGAATAACTTTTGCTCATTTGTCCATGAATCACTGGCTTCAATCCGATTACCCATAACACCGTACCATGCTCACCAACATCACAGGCTTCCCCCCACCCCTTCCTTAATTCATCTTAGCCTTGCTGAAGTCGAGTTCAGGGTGCTGGTCCTAGATTTGAAAATCAGCTTCCCATTTCCAACATCCCAAACTTGCGTTCGTCCCATGTCATAGTCATCAACATGCATCAAGCAAGAAGACGCTTCATGACCAAGAACAACAAGAACCGGCGGATGCTACTAACCTGGAACTTCTTCAACATGTCCAGTTTCTTCTGCTCATCACTAGTCGGCTTCCCCATCTCCTTCTGCCGCTGATCATACATCATCTTCTCAACCATGCCCCTCGTCTCACCATCCAAGTCTCCCAACTTGCTGTTCTCCGGCTGGATCTTTGTGACATCTATCTTTGGCGCCGTGGTAATGACGTGTTCCCACCATTGCATCTTGTTCACCTTGTCCAAATGTAGCTCGAGGATTTTGGTGCCAGAGGGGGAGGTAGTGAGCGTCCAGGTTGACTCATCGACGTGTATTTCGTGTGGGAGGTCGCCCTATATATATCATCAACTTCTGATACTTTGGACCCAAGATGGTTCGAGTGACAAACGTTGATGATGGGCTCTTGGCCTTTGATTCCTAGGACAAGCTTCTTCTTCTTGATGTCGACATTGAGGTCCTTTCCTTTGAGGTTTCCGGGTACTTCGACGGTAATGTCCAGGTCACCAATTGCTTGGGCCCATTTGTAGGGGAGAGCAGCTTGCTCTTCTTCTTCCTTGATGCGTGCTGCTGCCTCCTCTTCCTTCGTAAGTTCTAGGCAATTCGTCAGTGTATAAATCCAAGAGGCAATGCGTCAAAAAAAATTCATATAAAGATGAAATACAATCACCAATGATCAAAGAAACAATAGTTTGACCCTAACCTTACCTTTGTCTGCCATCGTTGCTCTATTCCTGACAATGTTGGTGGTGGGATGTTCTCGAGGACAAGGCTTTGAATCACCGCCACCCAGAAATTGGAGCCAGTCAAAACCAACAGCCTCGTCCTTGCAACCTCACCTCCAGCTCTCATCCCCACCAAGCCTTTCCTCCAACTCGACCGCAATAATGATGCGCAACGGGGCCTCGAAGCCCATCGACAATAACCCCTCCGATGACATATGTCCCGTCTGCAAGTCGAACCGCTACCTCAACCCCTCCCTCCAATTCCTCATCAACCCAGAATGCTACCACAAAATGTGCTCCACCTGTGTCGACCGCATCTTCACCTCCGGCCCCGCCTCCTGCCCCGTTCCCTACTGCGGCAAAACCCTGCGTAAGAAAGGGTTTCATAAAGCATTCTTCGGCGACCTGAAGGTAGAACGCGAAGTCGATATTAGGAAACGAGTAGGCGCGGTGTTCAACCGGAGACAGGATGAGTTCGAGACGTTGCTCGATTACAACAACTACCTCGACGACGTAGAGTGTCTGATCTTTGATTTGGTGCAGGGGACGAAGGAGGAGAAGACCAAGGCGGAAGAGAGGCTGAAGGCATATAGGGAGAGTAATATGGGGGACATTGAGGAGAATCGGAGAGCGGGGCTGGAGGAGATTGAGATGGAGAAACGGAGGGAGAAGGCTGAGAAGGAGGCAGCGAGGCAGAGGAGGATGGCTGTTTTGAGGGAGGAGGAAGAGGAGAAGCTGGATGTAGCCAAGAGTAAGAGGGATGTGTTGGAGAGGCTGGCGAATACCGATGAGGATGCCAACAAGATTACGCAGCAGGCTCAGAAGATTATTCTGAAGAAGAGCTCTGCTAGGAGGACTTTGGCGGAGGGTGCGGAGAGTAATGGGAGCGCGAGGGATCCAGGACTCACGCTTAGGGGGCTCAAAAAGAAGGAGGCTCCTGTTGCTGAGAAGCCTTACGATCCTTTTGGAGGAGTGGATCTTACGCCTTCACGTTATGTTCTGCAGGGCGACTACGACAATGAGTGGTTGTCGAATGCAAAGAGCGATATACGACATATGGCAGGAGGCTACAGTCTACAGGAGTACTATGCTAGAACTATGTTCGAAGCGTTTTCCGGGCTCGGAGTCTTTATAGAAGACGAGGTAGCTGGTCGAAGTTTGCCAGCAGCACCTGCGAGTGTAGGAACTGCTGCCGCAGTTGAAGCATCAGCTGGCAAAATGAAGATCGAGCACAAAATGGAGCTGGATGATGTTTTCTGAGAGCCTTTAATTGCTACTTTAGCGTCCCGGAATGCATTTACGGAGTTCGGAGAAGTATAGTCACGGGCGTTCAATTTGAGGGAAAGGAGCATTTCAGGTGTCAGGTCTTTCATTAGATGACCCTTTCCATCGCCAATTCTCATCTAGAAGGGCCTTGTAATATCACATTATGCATTTAATGCCTAACCACGTCGTATTTCGACCTGACTTCTCTCGTAACGCCGTGCTGCAATGATCTTGATAATCGTGAAAAGAAAGACACTTCCCCTTGCCTACTGCCCCCACGGTGTTTGTTGTGCAGGTCTTGGAAATACTGGAATAGTTTCAACATTGTCCAAACCGCCACCTATCGGTTGCTGATTATTCTGCCAACCAGCTCCTGTCGCCGTATTTACAAATTGGGATTGCCGGAAGGGATTCGTGCTGCCAGTTGGTTGTGCCATTAATCCTGCACTCGTCTGAGGTCGTTGTGCAGCAGCATTCAAAGCGAGGTTCTTGGCAAATGGATTTGTCCCAGTAGCCATAGGGCGAAGTGGGGCAGCGGTTGGCTGCTGTTGTATTTGCTGCTGAAACTGCTGGTCGGGTGGTGGTGAAAATGGTTGAACTTGTGGAGGTATCGACTTGGCGAATGGGTTCGTTGATTGGCGTGTCATTGGAGACGTTATTGGAGGGGATGCAGGAAATGAGGGTCCATTCATGCCTGTTGGACTCGCCATCATGGATAACCGGAAAGGATTGGTTGTCTGCTGGCCAGCTTGCATGTTTCCAAGTTGTTGTTGTTGTTGCTGTTGTTGCTGTTGTTGTGGCTGGAAACTTGCTGGGGTATCTTGTGGAATTGACGAGAGATTTCCTGGTTGGAAAGAAGGTTGTGGTGTATAGCCACCAAAACCTGCTCCTGTGAAAGCCGTCTGGATTGGCTGGGGTTGCTGAGGCCCACCAAATCCAGTATTGAAAGGTTGTTGTTGGAATTGGTTTGGATTCTGGAATCCTGTTTGTTGGGCTGCAAATCCATTTTGCTGGAATTGCTGTGGCTGCTGCATCTGAAAGGGCGCACCATTGAACTGAGGGGCATCTTGTTGCATCCCGGGTTGAGTTGCCATTGGTTGTTGATTTTGTTCAATCGAATCAAAGAAGTCAATAAGATCTGGATCTGGTCCTTTTGCTGGTTGGGCTGGCTTCGAGGCTGGTGCCTCAGATGCAGCCGGGAAGTTTCGTCCTGCCGCAGCTCGAGATTCTGACTCGCTTTTCGAATTTGCTCCAAATGGTTTGCTCACTCCGTTGGTTCCGGATTTGCCTTTCTTTGACTCTTGCTCTGCCAAATACTGTCTCCTATTGATCTCAAAGTCCGGGTCCATCAGGTAGTCTTCCAGTTGCTTTCCAAGATTTACTGGGGCATGCTTCAATTTCGGTACCTCTACTCGAGTTTGGTGTTCATATTGTCGAGCAACACTCAGATATCTGACCACAAAGTCTGTCTGCTTGACGAAGTTGTTGTAAATCTCCATTGCCCTTTCAGCGTCTGGTCTCGACATTTCGAAGAAATGGCCTTCACTCCGGTCAGTTCAAACGCCCCACTATGATAGAAGGATCTTACCCAGTATGTTGATCATCGCTTGGTTCTCAACGTGGTACATTGCCAGAAGGTCCAATATCAACATTCGGAAAACGGTAATGGTGATCTCGTTCTCGGCCTCGTTTTCCATGACCTAGAGCTCTTTAGCAACAGTCTTTCGTTCCTATAGAACCAGATACTAACATCGCATTTCAGTAACGCCGTAATCTGGTGTTGAACAGTCTCGGTCTCTCTAAGCAGTCCTTTGTCAACACTCATCTTCTCCAACCTTTTCTCAGCCCCTCGGACAAAGTCGCATTTCGTTTCCCGGTATGCCCTTGCTCTCTCGTTCAAGTAGTTCGTGTAATGTCGAATGTTCCGGCCCTGGGTTTGTACTTCACCATGCTCTGTTAGCACGGTCTCCATAAGGTTGCCTCTCATGGCTGAACTATCGCAAAGCGCGTTGATGTTAATTCTGGGTATACATACCATCAGAGAAGCTGCTTATGGCAAGCATTGATCTATGCCGTGCTAGATAAGCCAAAGTCACATCTGGCGATCCCTCCCTGATCATCAGATGAACTGTGATCAAACTCTTGAAAACTACCGTCCATGTTGAATCTCGCAGGCGGTTCTGCAGCGCCCGGAACACCTCGCCCACACCGGCTTCTCCTGAATGCGTCGCTATTAAGATGTGTTCGATATATCTATTCCGCCGGTATGGTCAGTTTACTTCCGGACAGTTCAGAGTCTAGGGAGAACCATACTTTGACTTCGGAGGTGCGGCCTGTCGACATCGAAAGTTAGCAAAGTCGTGCAAGGAAGGGGTGCTCAAATCTGGATTCAATATCCTGCTTACCTTTATCTTGGTCGCCCCTTTCACCGACTTCTCGAATGAACTCGCCATCGCAGCTCAGGGCAATGCTGGCAGGCTTGCGACAGCTTGTGGCCAATACGGTGAAGCTGCCCTCTATTCTGCAGGGACGAACGGCCGAGTGTGTAATTGTTTCACGTATCCAAGGGCTTGTAGGACGGATGAATCTGCGGTCCAGAATCGCGGGTGGAGGGAATGTTTGCGTTGCGGGTTCGTCGTTTCGTGAGGTCGGCAGCTTGCTCGTGTCTCTTGGTCCTGAACAATCTCTCTCGAAATGATACAGAGCGGAGCTATTACGACTACCGGATGCCCCCCTGAAACTAGAAGTTGGCTGGAGAATCACAGACCCTGGTACGTGGCATCTTTTGCCCAGTCGTGGAATCAATATGCTGGACTTTGGCCCGAAGGTGCGCGTGCTGGGAGCCTTGGTTAGCAGTGGCTGAGTTGGCCTTGTGAAGTGTTGTCAGTTGCAGGCTCGCAGCGTCATTTTGAGGGGCGCCCGTGATTGGCGAATGAGACAGGGCCAAACATTTGCCAGAAATCAAGGTCAGGGCCATCCGCGGTCAGTGCGGGGGAAAGTGAGGAGAGTAGAAAAAGCCACTCGAGAGAATGAATTCAGTATTCTGATACAATAGTAGCCTGCTTTTGGCTTGCAGTATAATGAATCGGATCCAAAACATCCTCGAAACCTTACAAGAAGTTCCAAGCTCGCCGCAAAATCCTCCGAGCACAATCATAGCACAGCTCCAATCATATTTCTCAAAGCCCTTATAGTTATATGTCAAAGAAAGGACAAGAGGGAACAGGGGAGGGGGTCAAAAATCTGTACATTCGCCTTGCTCCAGAGTCATCATGGAGCAAACAAAAAGTTCCAAGCCTCCGCAGAATCCTCCGAGCGACAACCATAACACAGTTCAATCCAATCTCTCAAGGCCCTCGTAGTTGCATGTAACATAAGAAAAAGACAAAAGGGAATAGGGGGAGGGTCGGGGGAGGGAGGGGTTGCACGTTCGCCCTGCTGCAGAAAGCGTTGTTGGCAATCGGCCTGCAGCCATAGAATAGACCAGCCCATTGTCCTCAGCCGCCACAGCAAGGCCTTCCAAGCTTCAAGGGTCAGAGATGCCTTCATCGCGTCCGGTATCGAACAAGGTGTGTGTCGAACGCTTATTTCACTCTTCCTGCCTCCTCTCACAACCAAACCACTGAGGCCCGGTAAAGGGAGAATTTGGAAGCTTGAGGAGGAGGAATCGTACTCATAATAACACGCTGGCTTTTCATCATCTGCGAAAGACGCGTTAGTAAGAGCGGACATGTTTCTGCGGCGTTGAGGACTTACGTGTTTAAAACTTGGAAGGATGAAGAGGAAAGCAAGTAATTCGGTCAAGAAATTGCGTATGAAAATCCGGAGCAGGGAGCACCCTGTGGAGCTAACCGAATAGGGACAGCTCCAGATACCTATCTGCAATCACTTCGAACAACGTGCCCGCAAACAATTGAAGGAGCAATGAGTTTTGTTTCTTGCCCTGTCGGGCATATTGCGAGTCGCCAAAGTCGACTATGTCTCCGATACTCGTCATGGAATCGCTCATCCCTGTTGGCAAGCGTGCCTGCACCACGGCGCAGATGTTTCCACTCCACAAGCAGAAGGCTTACGGTGGAGGGCGAGGGCGAGGGTTTACAGAGTGTAGCTGATGCCAGTTTTTGGAATGAATACAAGGCGTCTTGTATGTTTCTCTCCGTCCAGAATTCTAGTCTGACATGGAGACATAATAGTTGCTTCTAGCCACGAGTTCAAAGTTAGAGCTCGAATGCCAGCTGAAAGACTAGGCAAAGAAGCCGTAGTCCGTGGGTTCCTTACGAAAATAACGAGTATATCCAAGGACCTATGCTTTGCCGGTATACATCGTGGCACATTGAAACAGGAATTCCAGGTTGTCTGCCACGGTACTGCCTTGTGTGAGCAGTTACGAAGTATTCGACTCCACAGCGCCGTCCGTGTGAAGGGGAAACTGGTACAAAAGCGGAAACAAAACGATGCAGAGCCTCGGGAACCCAATACCAGAAAAAATGTCGTCCATCACAGGACTGTGGAAGTGGTGGCAGCAGAGATTTTGTGCTTGAATTCCGTCGCAGACGACGTCCACATCAGCAAAGACCACAACTACCCTCCTCAGAGCAGACATTTGCAGATTCGGTTCGATGAGAGCCTGAAGCGTAGATTACATATTCGTTCAAGGGTAGCGTCGTACATCAGGGAGCAATTGATAGGATCATTCCTAGAAATCGAAACTCCAATTCTGTTCAAGTCAAGCCCAGAGGGAGCACGCGAGTTCCTTGTTCCTACGCGGAAACCTGGTTATGCATACGCTCTTCCTCAAAGCCCCCAGCAATATAAGCAGATATTAATGGCTGCCGGGGTCGAGAGATATTTCCAATTTGCTAAGTGCTTTCGCGACGAGGATCTTAGGGCAATTAGGCAGCCCGAATTTACTCAGGTGATTTTTCCAAGTATGTCTGCGTACATGACGCTAATTAGTGTCTAGCTCGATGTTGAGATTGCATATGCGGATGGGGGGGTAGTGATGAGAAGAATCGAAGCCCTGATCAAAGGTATTTACGCAAAGTTTGTTCAACCTCGAGGGCTTCTCGAGAAATCGCTGCCTGACTCACCTTTCATCCGAATGACCTATGAGGAAGCCATGTCAAAACATGGCTCTGACAAGCCTGACCTTCGAATAAAGGGTTTAGTAAGTATTTCTTTGCTTATCTGTTAAAAATCGTGCCTGATTTCTCCAGATACATCGCATCGATAATGTCATTCCTGATGAACTCCGGGGCATGCTCACCTCGATAGAAGACCCAATCATCGAAGTGTGTAAGCTCAGATTCGATTGCGAACCCGAACGAGTACAGGCATTCATGAGGAAGTTGATGGATTCTCCTGACGCAGAACCCTTCATCTCAAATGTCGATGGTGCCCCAGGTTTCTGCGTCTACGATTCTCGCAAGCCTGTTGAAGGTCTCCAAACCTTCGGATTCGAAGGTGCTGAAAAGCTGAAAGCGCTTTACAGCGATCTCCGTCATCCAGGATATCAGAGTGAGGAAGTGCACGCGATCAATTCCACCTTCGAAGATGGTGACCTGTTGATCATCCAAGCCCGCCAGAACCTCCCACATTCAGGAGGCTCTACCATCCTTGGCAAGCTCCGTCTTGCGATCCACAAAGCCGCAGTAGCAGATGGACTCATCAAGCCCGATCCAGACCATCATTACCTCTGGGTCACTGAGTTCCCCATGTTCACGCCAAACAACGATACCGACCCAGGCCAAGGCGGGACGTCAGGATTCTCAGCAACACATCACCCGTTCACAGCACCACTGTCACCTGAAGACGTAGATCTCCTCTTAACAGATCCACTGAAAGCGAAAGCCGATCACTATGACCTCGTTGTCAACGGTGTAGAACTAGGTGGCGGGAGTCGGCGAATACATAGTGCTGAGATGCAGAAGTTTGTTATGAGAGATATCATCAAGGTATGAAATCCGCCAAGATAATTACTGTTCACCACACTAACTTTTGTAGATGAGCGAAGAGCGCATGAATGACTTCTCGCATCTCTTCGAAGCTCTCAGATCAGGCTGCCCTCCTCACGCAGGTCTCGCCATTGGATTCGATCGTCTCATCGCCGTCATGACTGGTGTCGAGTCAGTGAAAGATGTAATTTTCTTCCCGAAAAACTCGAAGGGGGAGGATGTGATGGTTAAAAGTCCGGCTCCGATGACGAATGCAGAGTTGAGTCGATACCATCTACAACTTAAGTCGCCCGTAAGAACTGAAGAGGCAGGAGAGAAGGGAGAAACTTCCTCCGAAGAGAAAGTTGAAGAGATGAAGCCGGAGCCTCCATCTCGGGCGTAGATGGAGAAGAAATTGGATTGATGTTTGAGGTGAACTATTATGAATATGTAATCAGAGCTGTAAGATGATACGAATGAAGTGTGCATAGAAGGCGTTGGAAGAAAAAAGGGCATCCTGGTGTGTTCATACCCCTCTCTTCTAGTAGATATGAAATATGTAGTAGTAAAATTTTTGTACAACTTCGGTGGATAGCCTCTTTATTATTCATGATCTCAGTAGAATTCATTTCCCGTCTCACCTACTCATACAATCATACCTTCTCATTGCGCCATAAGTTCATCAGACCCTGCTCCCAAATCTTCAGACCAAGAACCCAAACACACCTCACACCCAAGCTTAAGCACAACGCCTCTAGCTGGACATAACTCCAGTCGCAATTCAACGCCATATTCCGGAGACTTCCACACTTCCCTTGTTCATCTCTGAACCTGGCTGACACGTTCTGTCACACGTTTCTCCCTTCCCCACTTCCTTCCCCATCTCTGAACCCAGGTAGCTCATTCCGTCACACCTTCCCTACCACGTCCCTCAACATCTCGCTATGCTTTCTCCTCGCTGCCTCCTGACATGGGTCGTAGTCCTTCACCGCGTACGATTTGTAGTCTCTCTCATCTTGGACGTAGCGTTCAACCCCCTCTTTGGATGAATGGGAGTGTTTGTGCGACTTGCCGTGTGAGGAGCCAGAAGAGCGGGACGAAGTCGAGCGCGAGGAGCCGTTGTGGGCTTTCGTGGAAGGTGAATGAGAAGAGGAGCCCATGTTGACTTGGTGTTGCCGTGCTCACGTGGTATGGGAGTACCTTGCTCAACCAGGAAGATTGTCTTAAACAGAAGCCGGAAGATCGGGGTCGTGGTGGAGGGTTATAAGGGTGTTTCTTGTACTCCTTGTACTCCAAAAATACGAGATACGCGGTTTTGTGATGGAGTTGCCGATTCGGCAGGAGACTTCGGTGAGCAGAGGCGAGGTAAGAGGGATGGTCGGCGAGTTGTGGTATGGTTGATGGAAAATTGCTTTCTTGCACAGCAACTTTGAATGCCGTGGAAGGTCTGACAGTTTCGAATGGCTATTTCGAGATAGGGAAGATATCACAACAACTATTTTCAGAGATGTGTCTGAGAAAGCTCAAGAGGAGAAGTTGAAATATGTGGAGCAGAGTGAAGGGACCGAGTGGGGTGCAACAAACATGCCATTTATACTTGCTCACTCGAGCAACCAGGCCGAAGAACCAGGGCGACGTCGAGGGCGATAGTATGAGAGCCCTTTCTCATGATATTACAAATGGGCGGTGAAATTGCTTTAGGCTTGCCTAATTGAGGGCAACCTCTGCCGGAAGCAATTACATAGGCCAATTCGCCATCCCGAGAGCCCTGTCTGTAGCACGACACCAAATGACCGTGATCACTTGCAAAAACGAACACAAGGCGAGACCAGGGAAGCGGGGGGAAATCGTGAGATGTTCAGTGGCTACGTGGAGGGAAGAGAAGGGCGGTAGGAATAGGGCGTCAAGAGTGCCATCCGCGAACCAATAGATCTCGAGCATGCCGCGGCAAGATTGATCTGCATTGACTCAAGTGAGTGCGAGGGCCATGACGGTAGATGTCATAAGGGCAGGATATGCCCTTTAGTCTGAATGCCGGAATAGGAACATGAGAGTGGGCTGGCTGGCCCTATTGTTCCACGTGAGTGGCTAGGCACTTTGTTTGCCCTGCCGGCCCAACTTTCAGATGGGCCGAAACGTTTGCGGCTGGCTTGAGGGCTGCGGGCGGACCAAAAGATGGCACGAACTTTGGAAACATGGAGTTTGACAGGTCGATCCATATAGATGGGATTTTTGTGTGCCCGGGGAATGCCTCAATCGCTTCCGGTGCAAAGCTTTGGTGTTCATGGAAATCGAACAGGTGAACGAAGGTTGGGTGCACGAATCGAACGGCAACGCAGAGCCATGATCCGTAGAGGCTGAACCGAGGGAATTTCGACAAATTGTGTTTCGGCGGGGGATACAAGACGTCAGCAGATCATTCGAAGGCCCAGTCTTCGGAGAAGGGGAAGGGAAGAGGGCGGAGGAATCACATCCCAGCGCCCTGTCGCCCTGGGGTTCTCGCTTATCTGTCTCAGGAACCCCTGAACGATGAGTTGGGGCTCCTCGGAGGGCGATCTTGCACTCGAGGGCGAAAGTGCTGGAGTGAAACATGTTGGAAAATAAGATGTTTGATGAGGGCAAGAAACCGGAGGTTGAAGCTGCTGCCTTGGCAGGAATTAAGAGCCCTGCTCGCCCGGTTAAGGCCCTCAGGAATTGCCTCTCGCCTCGGAGGCCGCCGAAAGGGCCTCTCTCGACCGTTCGACGTCTTCTTTACAGTAGTGAGAGGGATTATTCCAGCCCTATGGCGGTACAGGGAAACTTCACTTGCTGACGCCATCCAATCTCGAATTTAAACCACGCAAAAATTTCTCGTGTCTTTGAGGCTTTGCAGACAGACACTGCACCTGGTTATCGCACGGCTATTATAAGTCGACTCTCACTAAACCAATCGGGCAGCGACCACTCACTCACAACACCGGTTCATGCGCACACTGTGGAAAAAGATAGAGAAGGAGAGTTTTGGATAGCCAGCGCAGCGGACTAGAAAGCGTATGTGGCATTTGTTTCCTCCCGAAGACATGAGCACTGCGACCGACGTAGGGGCAGGATAGCCTCCGGAGTGGACGCTTACCCTGAGTTATATTTATCGTGAGCATTGAAGTTCTTGTGGGACAAACTTCCTAATCCCCAGTGACTGAGTGGTCGCTGCCCGATTGGGCTTAGTGGCAGTCGCTTAGTCGGAGTCGTCGGGGTGGTTGGCAAGTGAAAGCCTTTCATATTCGTTTCGCTTTCGCGCGCGGTGGCCCTGTCCCTGGGTCTGACCAGGGACGGAATAGATATTCATCCAATCGAGCCACATCTTCCTATCGAGGCAGGTGCATGCTGGGGCGTGTTGGTCATTCGTGTTGATTCATTGGTGAACAGTGTGGAGCTCAAGCCAATAGGATTGAGTTGGCATCTTTGTGCGGGGCTATGGGTATTAAAAGTGATACTTCCCACCATCTACTTATCTAGCTTCCTCAGTCTCCAGCATCTATCGATGCCTATAGTGGTGTTGTCCCAATACACTCCGTCATGGCACCGGGAAGGAAATCAGACAAATATTCGTTGCAAGCGCATGATATCTATTTCAAAAAGCGCCAAGCGGTAGGCAACTGCCCGGCAGAGCTGCAAGACTTGTTCAAGCTCGTGATTGGCATTAAAGATCTCAGAGCCGACCATTTTGGTGGTTACGAAACAGCAGGCTCCAATCATTTGCTGGTTCCAAGCAAGGCATTCGCAGCATATAGTCCTAGACAACAGTATGAACGGGAGTTGAAGTTTGAAGCAGACGAGTTATTCATAACCTGCAGTGACAAACGCCGCGCGGATGACAACGAGGAGAAGTGGGTTCAAGAGCTCGGGCCGATTGTCTTTTATCGTTTCGATCAGGAGCGGGAAGAAAAGCATGAAAGGGATCGACACCATCACTGGCAAGTCATCCATACAAGAATACAATATCCTCCTAACATCAACTCAGTTTCATTTGCAGAAAACACTTCCCGATCAGCAGTCGCCCATTGATCAACAGAACAAGTGAAAGGAGTATTATACGGCGAGTCGAAAAGTGGGCTAATGATTCAGAAGAGGATATATGGTAAGCCATACAATTACGAGATATAACGATAAGCCAGTTTCGGTTGGAAGAACTACTGCTAATTTTGTGCAAAGTAAGGAGCGGTTAAAGCACTTGAATTTACCAAATTTCGATACGGTTGGTCAACTCGCATACCCTGAATTCGAGAATGAAGGGAAGAAGATACCGGATCTAACAATTGGTCTTCACTCCTACGACTTGAATCAATGGGCTGATACGCCCGACCTCATGCTATTACGCGATGATCGGGTCCGGATGTTCGATCAGAAACTGCTCAGAAAACTCGAAGACTACGGTTACATCACTCCTCCGTTCTCACAGCCTGGATCACACGGAAGAAGCGTGGGCGACATATCTCTTACCTTTCCCTTTGCATTTTGGGAAGCAAAGCGTGAAGGAGGTGGGTCTGACCACCAATCCGCCGAGACACAGAATGCGATAAGAGTGAAGATGATTCTTGACTGGCAAGACAATATCGGCAAAAGCGCAGATATCCCTTGGTGTCCATTGGTTTGGTATTTTGTTAGCATTGGGTCCAAGTGGGAATTACATGGATGCCATTTCCAGCCCAACACCAACGCATCGGACGGCCGCATTTGCGTTAGTATCCCCAAACTTTGAAGCGTTTTCGCGCTCATAACATGACAGGTACTTATAATGCTGTGGTCTGGAGACTCGGCCAACATCGATGAAGCCCTGCAACTTTTATATATCATCGACATCATTGCTCTGTGGGGTGAACACAAGTATAAACCCTTTTCTGGAGCTTGCATCCGCCGGTTTGAGGCTGAATTGAACAACAAAGCTCCTCCTCCGTTGGACGATACACTTCTTGCGCACCAAATGGAAATCAATAAGGAGACATTCTCATGGTTATTTCCAGAACCACAGAGCCAGCTTGCGTCGCCTGCACACCTCATAACTCACCACCAATCACAGAATTTAATATCAAGGCGTCTCGGTCATTCACCAAATCCGGAGTCATCGCAATTGCTACGAGGGATAGGACAGTTGTCGCTGACATCTTTCGCAAGGGACTATACCATCCCGGAGCGCGACTATTTCATTTGGCTCCATGATCGAGATCACTATGATGGAGATCTTCTGATTGTCCGTGTTGATCGGGAAGGCTACATTTTGCCCCCACTCGTGGTCTTCCATTCTTCACGTTGGAAACGGCGCGATTTTAGAGAAGTCCTTAAGGAAGAACGAGCGAGGATCCCAGACAACGTCTTGACTGAGTTCAGAGTTCAAGAAGAAAGGACTTCATACGTTAAGAATTGCGTGCTCCAGGGTCCTAAGTATTTTCGCGAGCCTCAGACTCAATTCTGTGCCATTGTTCCATTGGATCGCAGAGCTTACGAGCGTCAACGGGGCCTTGATTCTATGGAAGAAACACCTTTTGCAAGCTTTGAGAGGCGTCTAGGTCTTCCTCGACTTGTCAGGGATGCCGGAAAGGCAAATGACCAGTGGTGTGAATGCGAAGCTCCATATAACGAGTACAGCCCGAGCATGATACAATGTGATAACCTCAAATGCCCCATGGGCTGGTATCATAAGAAGTGTGTCGACTTGGATGAAGACTTCACTGCTGACCGATGGCTCTGCGACCAATGTTTAAGGAATTGGAAATCAAACGAAATGTCCTACTTTGACGACAAAAAGATCAGTGAAAAAATACGCGAAGCCAGCGATGCCCGCATCCAACGGGCGAGGACCCTCGCCCGCGTTTGGGAAGAACATGATTGGCCGAGCGCAGAGAAAGTCCGCCGTTTCGTCAATAGACTCTCCTGTCGGATCAATATCAGGACAACCTCTAAGAATACGTTCGACACTGTCCCGGATCTCAATATCAAAGATATCGGAGAATCCAGATGCTGGGCCATAGTCAGGGATGTCCCAAAAGTGATGATGGCAGTTCGCCCTGTCGGACAGGGAGTTGTCCGAGGGACAAACCAAAGAGCCAGGCGTATCACCGATCGGTGATCTGGCTGCGGAATATTGGGTACTGGTATGTCTGGCAGCTTAACCCCATAGAGCGTCTGGAAGGCCAGTTCAGCTATGTGTTTCAAAATGGAGACATTTCTGAATTGAGACTCAAGACTTACACCTTTTCCAGCAGAGAGGCGAACGGCATTATCCACTTTGCAGCCTCCTATAGGACAAGCCACCCTGCACAGTAGGAATATATAGTATATATGGCCTCCGACTTTTTTGAATGATGAAATATCAGGAAATTCTAGGACATTATTACCACCAGCACTTAGCGTCGGGAGTCTTCGAGGTAAATGATTGTGTTATAGGTGTGGTCAGTGGCGAGCAAGCCAAGTCCTATTTCATAGATAGAAAGTGGAGTGCTGAGGCAAAGATGAGAATCATGTATATCCCTAAGGAGGAACTCAACAGCCTTTTGAGTGACCGCATGGCAGCATTTTCGCAGCAGAAGAGATGTCCTGGTAGACTATTGGGGCCGGAATGGTTTGATAAGCTCATGTAGTTATCAAGCAGTGTGATTAGATAAATTCTATTTAAACAACAAAAGACTATTTTTAAATTTTAACCTTTTTGGATCAGAGGCACCTTGCACTAGCAGGCGCATGAGTGCCCCTCAATACTAAGCTCCAACCACGACAACTATTCGGTATTCTCTAATCGGACGAAGACAAAATCATAGAACCAAAGCCCGTTGGTTCATGACCACACAGGTTGGGACTCTGGTCTACGACCGCTTATCGCAGTGTCACTTAACGCATAAATGATAGATAAACTGGTAGAGGTATTTGTTTCACCTCACTTGCCTGTTGCGCTGATATCCAAAACTGTTCTATTAGCCCACTGTTTAGAATCCCCGCAGCACGACCAATATCACAACCCGCTAAGTATTCTCTGTGATTCAATATGTATATTCTCCAAATCTCTATCAACGATGCCATTTCTGATTTGAGGGGCTTTCGACAGCACATTCCGCCTAATGCCATGTCCCCATTCTAAAAATTTCTCGCCCTCAAGCAACCTTTTTCTCCACTTATGCCACCAACCGCGTCCCCGCAACACCACAGCACTAAGCAGAAACCACCGTATTGATGCTGTGCCTACCTCCTCTGCGCCCCATCTTCGTTGCATTCCAGTGGTATCCAAGATATGGAAAGAAAATGGGTGCACTTACCACACCCACCTTCGAGAATCTAGGGAGTAATAGTCGAGTCCGACTATTACTGTTTTTATTCATGCTTAATATATGTCGCTAATTGCCGCAAATGAAACAGAGACAATTTTTTTCACATAAGCAAAAGGCAGTGGAGGAAGCGTTAGTGCGATTCCTTTTCTGTTTGGCCTCGTGGCTGCTAGTTGAAAATAGAAGTTGGGAATTCGGTCTTGTAACCCCACGCAAGGGCTTTCGGCGCTCCAGAAAAATAGAGCCGGAAACCAGATCCAAATAATTTGTATTGAAAAGTAATCGATTTATTGATGGAAAATCGATATATTGAAGGTTGACAGACTGCAGAATGACTAGATACAGAAGAGTGAAGTCTAGAAACAGAGGAAAAGTATCCAAAGTAAGGGATTTATTCCTATTACCCTTCGGCGATACCGGTGATGCCGAGCCCGCTTTCTCCGATATATTATCAATTAGCTGATAAATCAAAGGTAATCAAAATGACGATATACTAGTAAGCTTGGTAAGCTCGGCGAGTGACGCATGACAAATGAGAGTGGAGAACCCTAAATTAGTGGTTGAACCTGGTGCTGGAAGAACTGATAAGCTAGCTATGGCAGCATACCAATTTCAACAATTTGCTACCATGCCCGATCTTGTCCCCCCATCATTCTCCGTCTCGATGACTTCTCTTCCTCAATCTCCATCCACATCGCCCTCTTCAATAGCGTTGAAGGTGTGATTCGAGTCATGTATAACTGCAGCATCTTCAATACACCGGAAGCAGAGGAAAAATTCTCTACAATCCTTGCATTGGTAACAAGGACCGCATATTTCCTATCATATCCGATGAGTTGACGTAGACTTGTAAGTGAACTGGATGGCACTTACAAAAAAGCAGCTATAACACCCAATATCATGTTCATACCCTGGAGCAAGTATTTTTTGCTTCATCTCTGTACCAGTCGACCCTTGTAGTCGAGACAGAGTGAATGCCAGACTGCCATTGCCAGAAAAGGTTGCAACATCAAGTGGTGTCCATAGCTGCATGTTTTCGTTCTGTAAGTCGGCTCCAGAATCAATGAGCAACTGAACAGTGTCGACGTCTCCGTTCCGGCAAGCCCAGTGGAGAGGTGTCCAGCCTTGTGTGTCTGACAAGTTAATGTCAACCTCAATACCAGAAGATAAAATGAGATTCACAGCTTCGGCAGACCCCCCCGAAGCAGCAAAATGAAGCGCAGAACAACCTTGCATGTCTGTGTAAGTCCAATCGGAGCTTGCACCAAGACTCAATAAGTACTTAACCATGCTTGCCTCATCTCCGCTCATGGCAAGCTGAACCGCTAATCGACCTTGAGGGTCCCTTCTGTTAATATCGGCTCCTCGGCCGAGCAGAAGCTCAACCCCAGCCTTTCCCCCCATATATGCTGCTGCTTGGAGTGCATTGCCGTACTCTCCACCTTGGGCATTAATATCGGCTCCCCGATCGAGTAGAAGCTTAACTATAGCCTCGTTTTCACTCCATGCTGCTGCTTGGAGTGCGTTGCCGTATTGCCCGCCTTGGGTATTAATATCGGCTCCCTGATCGAGTAAAAGCTCGACCATAGCCTTGCCTCCCCTATCTGCTGCTGCTTGGAGTGCATTGCCATAGTATCCGCCTTGGGCATGAATATTAGCTCCCCGATCAAGTAAAAGCTCGACTATAGCCTTGCCTCCCCTATCTGCTGCTGCTTGGAGTGCATTGCCGTACTCTCCACCTTGGGTATTAATATTAGCTCCTCGATCGAGTAGAAGCTTAACTACAGCCTCGCTTCCCCCATTTGCTGCTGCTTGGAGTGCATTGCCGTACTGCCCGCCTTGGGCATTAATATCGGCTCCCCGATCAAGTAAAAGCTCAACTAGAGCCTTGCCTCCCCTGTTTGCTGCTGCTTGGAGTGCATTGCCGTACTCTCCACCTTGGGCATGGATATCGGCTCCGTTATCAAGCAGGAGCTTAACAGTTACCCACCGTCCTTTCTCTGCAGCCCCTTGTAATGCACTTCCTGAATGGCCGGTCTTGAGATTCACATCTGCACCATTTCCCAGCAGCAGCTTTACTACTTCCGCATGGCCACCAGCTCCCGCGCGCTCCAGTGGAGTAGCTTGTGCGTCGGTTCTTGCATTTGCATCAGCGCCTGCTTCAAGTAGCCTACCCACTATTTTCTTGTGTCCCCAACGAGCAGCATCATGCAAGGCTGTATTGCCCTCCGCATCTTTCGCTTCCGAAGACGTATCTGAATCCAATAATGCTACAACTATGCTCTCCAGATTTGATGCGGCCGCCACATGCATTAATGTTGTCTTTTCTTGTGGACATCTGTTATTATAGTGCTTGAGAGTTCTGGAGAGCTTGATCCAATTTGGGAAGTACTGCGCAGTCGGCCATTGGAATCGCTGAATAAGGTCGCTTTGGGGAATATTCCAACTTTCTGCCTTTTGTGCATGCAAGAACCAAGACCTAGTTGAGTATCCTAGAAAAGGCAGATCTGCTTCTAGTGGCGACTCCACCAGTGAGCTTGAACTCGCTGCTCTTTCAACTTCTCCAAGCTTCAGGTAGTTGATGCAAGATTTGGTGAGTCGATCGTGTCCTCTGCCGATGGCATTTCCAGTGAAATTCTTGTCAAGCCATGCAAAGCCATCCTTGAGCAGGAAGTCATTCACCGATTGGTGGATGAATTGAACAATTTGTACTTCGGTTTCCATTCCGCGGTGTCTTTCGCGGTGAAGTTTAACTTCAGCTAGGCCTCCAGACAACCCAACAGTCATACCTTTCATTTGCATGTCGCTTTTAACAAATCCTGTAGATTTTTGAGCAGAGTCTTGGTAGGGAGTAACCAAAGAATCGTCCATGGCTAAGGCGAAGCGCAACTCCGTTGGAGAAAGTGGTCTCTCTGCGAGACAAATCCATTCCATCAAATGTAATGTCTGGCTTCTGAATGTGGGGTCTACAAGCCCGAGGATATGCTCGTAAATGGTTTTGAGATCCGATGGGGCTTTTTCGAGTCCCTCGAGTATTTCTTCCAACGATCTTCCTTCGTTGTATTGTTTTGCGATTGTTGGAATAACCAGAGACACCCATAGGAATACCCCGGACGCTTTGTTTGAGATTAGTTCCTGCATCTCATTCAAAGGATCGGATCCTAAGTTTTCGTCTCTCGGATGGACCTGTCGGCGGAGTTCTGAAAGAGCATATGCTGAGATATCGTTGACATTCTCATCTTCGACGCAGATTTGAATGCCCTCGTGAGTCCGTACGATAGGGTAATGACGACAAGCAAAGCAGATACTCGTGGCATGCCTTGATTGAAGCAGCTCTTCATTGGCCTCGTGGAGATATTTTACGATGGACCGAGCTGAGTCTTCGCCTGCTTCATCAAGTGCGTCCACAAAGATCACGAGGGAATGGGTCTTCGCTGCCGAGACCAAAGAAGACTTTAAGACCCTGCGAAGTTCCGGCTCACGCCATTCCCATTCCCTACTTACATCTCCTTGAAATCTCCTCTTCTCTTCGCAGAGGCTTAGGAAATCAGCGCTAGCCGACGGGACTTGACTTAATAACTGATGTAGCATCGTCCGAAACATACCCAGGGGAGTGTGTTGTAACTGAACACCTCGTCTGTGGAAAAAGAATGCAAGATGGATTCGCTTTGGGCTCCGATTCTCCCTACCAAAGACCTGAAAGATCCTTTTCATCAGGGTAGACTTCCCAGAGCCTGGCTTTCCTTGGATCCAGAGAAGGCCGTGATCATCCGTGAGCCATTTCTGATAATTTTGGTGTTGAAGTATCCATGTACATGAATCCGCGCGTGCATCGAGGACTTCTTCTTGCCGATAGTTCATCTCTGGAAACGCTAAAGAGTCAAGATATGCTTGAAATATGTTAGTTCAAAAGACGAGATGGCCTTCTGAGAGGATTCAGACCGAGTTGTGTTTTATTGACTATATACACTCATTAATATTCAGACATATAGTAGGGATGCCGTTCACTGACGCTCTTGATGCTTTAAAGCTTCTTCCTCTTTGAGGCTTTTCTCAATCTCCTCACACAAAATGCGCAACTCGCGGGAGACCTTCCTGTACCCATCATCCTCTCTGCTCGAATACCTACACATCTCCATATGGTTGGCATTGATTGTGAACCTTCTTCCTGTGTCAGGGAATTCCGACGAGACACCATCCACAACCTAAAGCTGTAAGTATATACGTCACTGCAACCCCAAAGATCTGCATTATACCTTCCGGTTGAGACCTAGTAGCGAAGTACCCTTCATGCCACATGCCTCTTGAAAAGTACATATCTCAAAATTTCTGCGATTGTGTAGATTGAGAAAGCGTTCGCGACAATCCTCCAACATTGGACTATCAATAGCAAGATCGCGAGTATTTTGGTGGTTAGTGTCGAAACCAATAGCACTCACGATTCTCCTTGCAGTTTCGCCCCAATCAACAAAATTGCCGCCTCCGTGTGGAGTACCGAGAAACAGTATTGCTTTCGTAGATAGGTAGATATTCTTATCCCGCTCTCCCTCGCTCTCGCTCGCGCGGAGAAGCATCTAGTTTCAGTTAACGCATATTGTACATCGAGATATTGGACTTGCAACCCCTACAGCTTTGACTACAATGCCTAATGCACCCAGTGTTAGCACTTAGTCTACGTATCTAGATAGAGGATATTTACCTCCAAGGGAATGCGCAACAAAAATTATTGGTCGAGTTGGCTAATGGTGCAACCTAATCAGTTTCGGGGGTGGGAAAGGAAGGTATGGTGTTTTCTCCTACACATGATCTCCGCTCTCCGGCTAAATCTCCCAGCAGGTCGCGCGAGTACGACAATATATTGCCTTTGTTCGCAGACCCACTGAAGAACTCCGAAACATTTGAGTTGTAGCCCCACGTAAGTATGCGTACATTCTTGCAGTCCTCGCGGAGAAGATGGTACGGCCAGAATGTGAGGCGTTCTTCGAGGTTGTCGGTGGACTTGGGAGTGCTTGCATTCGATGATCTCTTATTTGACCAGAATTTGAATCCTCTGCTTGGTGCCTTGTGTTCAATCTTGGTCGAGTTTGCACCCTCACGGGCAACAGATTTCGACGTCCAGGTGTTCTTCGGGTGGCCCTGCAGCCCATGAACGAATACTATGCTTGACGTCTTATCAGCTTCGCATATCAGGGGAATATTAGAATACTCACTCCGCGATTGCTTCCGCTTCTTTTGGCTCATGCAGAACCGTAGGGCCAACATTGAGAACGAAGTCAGCGTGTGACGAGGATGCCTGTAAATGCGAGTGGTGAGGCTACGCTCGAAAATTTGGAGAGTTCCTGGTGCGACCTCTGAACAACTGACCATCTTTTATTTGCATTATAGCTGAAATGAGAAGATGCGAGAGACACACTGCAATGTTTATGTTTCGAGGCCTAACAGCAGAGCTGAAAGCACTTGGGGACGATGCTATGTCGCTGGCTACAGACCATGGGGCTTGGGCTTGGGTTGTGCCGCGAATGTGGTGCGGCTGGGTGGTCAGTAGAAGGCAGCCAATCCAATCAAAATCCAAACCCCAAGGCTGAAAGCTATGGACTGGCAGCGAAGGGTGCTTTTCTTTGCCTGATCGATTACAGTACGTTACAGTATTTAAGTTCACGGCCTTTCCCCCTGATGCAAGCTCCCCATCGCATAGGCCTCCCTACGGATCTACCCATAGGGGGCCGAGGCGCAGGACAGAGATCCATCCACCGGTCCCAAGCCCCCAGGGCCGACTCTTACTTACGAAGCTGGCGGCTTTGAATACCGGCCATTTTCGCTACGACTACGAGGAGCGGGAGGAACACCAAAATCTCTTGGGTTTGCAAATTGCGCATCACAACGCCATCACCTCCAAATACTTGATATTAAGTATCATAAGATATAGAAGAAGCACAAGTATTCTTTATTTGTGTTGCGGTGATTATAAAATTCTAGGGAGATTTGCTGCGACTTTTTGAATGCGTTTCCAAAGGTTCTCGCTGAGCGGAATGGCCGGTTTTCGAAGCCGCCCGCCTTCGTGCAGTAGTTCTAGGTCCCGCCGCAGCACCGAGAAGCAGGGCAGGGCCGTGCACTTCATGCTATCCCCCCCCCCCCCTTTAATACTTATTGTGGGCCCTTAGGGAACGCCACCCCGAAACCTCGTTTATATCCCTAAACTAGGAAATATCAGGTGCCTTCAAGAGTTTCTACTTTGTACAGTACAGCCATATCAAGTGCCTCCGAGAGTCTCTATTGGCCACAGACCTTAAGTTGGCCAGTGCAGATGTGGTGTTACTTAAGGGCCCACAATGAGTGGTCGGATGGGGGGTGGTAAATTCGCCTTGCCAGCCAAGCCGAAAGTCTCACTTGCTGGAGGGCGGGGACCTACAGCGACGTACGGACGAAATAACTCGTACTGTAACGGGGGGTAAAGTGAAGCCGAAAAGTCGACTGCTGAAGCGGGCCATTCGGGCCACAGGCAGCCCTTTCTTTGATAGGTTTCACGGTCGTTGAACTTCTCGTTTCGTGTGAAGCCAGGCAATATTACACGGGGAAGGAAGAATTCGTTGTTTTGAGGTCTTGGATTCCGTCCTACCTGAGATACATGGGATAGGAACTAATTTATAAGCTTGTTAAGTTCAAAAAGAATTTTGCTGGGTCTTTTAGTGTTCTTTTTTCTTCTTCATTTTGGCGGGGTTCTGGAGAATCGACCCCAGGCTTTTTGAACTTTCGTGGTGGCTTTGGTCGGAGCAGCCAGTGTGGTTTGTGCCACGTCAAACTCAGCCCACCGTCTCCTTGGATGGAAGACCACGCTGCTCCACGTGATGAACGGCTCAGCCTCACAGCTGGAGCCTGGTGACCCTCGAACGTCAAGATTCGAGCTGTTAACAAAGAGATTTCAATCACCTGCCCTTGCCAACGAAGACTCCGAGCTTGTGCACAACCCAGTGTGTTCAAGGCCAGCCATTTTGCTAACTGAAGGCATTGCCCCCCGACGGATGTCTCTCGCCTGCTCTTGGCTTACCGGTACATCTTCAAGAAAAATCGATAGTATACCAGTGGCAGAAGCTCCTGTCCTTGCCATTCTTGTTGCTGCCATCCTGTAAATCGTCGATTTCCACTGATCAGTGCTCGGGAGAACCCAGGATTCCCACTCGGACGTGAACGAGGCCCAATTGATTGCCTCCTCTACAGATATTACCTCCACTTTGATTCAAAGACGTCGTAGCATCTCATCAAAGCTCGAATCATTTCAACTGTCTACATTACTTCACCGCCATTACGCAACAATCAAGCTATGGACCTGCATTCACACCATCCTGTACCTGGGCGGGGCCGAAGCTCGCTTGAGGTGGTCCCTCTAACCGGGCTGACGGTCCTCGTGGATCCGGACGAGGCGTCTCTGGAGTAAGCTTTTGGCCCTACCTGTGTATTTAATTCTTCATGCTGACTATTTCAAGCATTGTGTTTGTTCATGGATTTAATGGTCATCCAGAACGGACATGGACTCACAGGCGAGGGGATGCGAAGGTTCTGGACGAAGATGACGAGTCCGAATCGGTTGAACCTCCATCTAAAGTTCGAAAACTCAATCCGTTCTCAGGGATTCGTCAGAAGAACAGCATCAGTCACGCGGCGGTTTATTGGCCTCGACAACTGGTCCAAAAAACACTCCCGGACGCCCGGGTGCTGACGTTTGGTTACGACTCAAATGTCAGACACGTACTTGGTCGTCCTGTGGCCAAAAACACAGTTTACGACATTGCATGGGATTTTCTGGTAGCTCTAGAGGCTGAACGTCGACTGGAGCCATCGAGGCCAGTACTGTTTATCGCACACAGTCTTGGAGGGATTGTCGTCAAAGAGATGCTACGAAGATCCAGTTCTTGCCACCTCTCTCAACCTCAGCTTCACGCAGTCTTCGAGTCTACAGTTGGTATCATGTTTTTTGGTACTCCACACGGCGGTTCTGACCCCCGTGGTTTCCTTCAGCATATTGCCGAGAAAGCTATTAGAGCTGCTGGATTTTCGGTCAATAAGCAAATTGTCGACACACTCTTGCCGTCAGCAGAGCGTTTAAAGGAGCTGAGAGACGAATTTAGCCCAATCGCTCATCAACAAGGATGGATTATACATTCTTTCCAGGAGGAAATAGGTGTTAATCTCCTCAGTGGTAACAAGGTACGTACAATTGTTCACTGTGCATGAAGGCTGGCGTCTGACTTTGTAGGTTGTCGAGGATGAATCGTCGTACCTAAACTTTCCAACCATCGAGACTACCCAACACATTGGTCGCGATCATATGGGCATGTGTCGCTTCACTGGCCTCGAGGATGTCGAGTACAAGAAAGTAGCTGCGGCTCTTTGCAGAATGACGAGTGCGATCTCCAGAGGATCCAGAAGTGGGGAGTTTCCGTCTCTTGATGCAGAACAAAGACGAGTATTACTGGACTCCCTAAGATTTGACCAAATCGATGGCCGACAAATGACCATTAAGAGCGGCCACGCCAAGACATGCAAATGGCTATTGAAAATGCAAGAATACCTCGACTGGCTCGATGTTAACAAGCTCGTGGAACACCACGGATTCTTATGGATCAAAGGGAAACCGGGAACTGGCAAATCGACACTAATGAAATTTGCCCATGCCCATGCACGGAAAACTATGAAGGATAAGATAATTATCTCATTCTTCTTCAACGCCCGAGGAGAAGACTTGGAAAAGTCCACAGCTGGAATGTATCGATCCTTGTTATTGCAGCTCCTCGAAAGAATCCCCGAACTACAGTGCGTTTTTGACTCACTGGGATCGACGGCAATGAGCAGTAGCGGATCTCATCAGTGGAGTGTAGAGACGCTAAAAGAATTGTTCGAGCAGGCGATTCAGCTGCTCGGAAAGCGGTCTCTAATATGCTTCATAGATGCCTTGGATGAATGCGAGGAACGCCAGATCAGGGACATGGTAGCATTCTTTGAACAACTCGGCGAATTGGCCATCTCTGCCGGCATTCGATTTCAGGTGTGCTTCTCAAGCAGACACTACCCGCATATCACGATTAGTAAAGGGCTAAATCTAGTACTGGAAGGTCAAGAGGGCCATGATCAGGACATCACCAACTATTTGGATAGCGAGCTGAAAATCGGGCACGGAAAACTTGCCAAAGAGATCAGAGGCGAGCTCCAAAGCAAAGCCTCTGGTGTTTTTATGTGGGTTGTACTTGTCGTGGAGATATTAAACAAGGAGAACGATGGCGGCCGCGTACACGTCCTTCGCCAAAAGCTTCGAGATATCCCAAACGACCTACACGAGTTATTCCGCCAAATTTTAATGCGCGACTGCTACAACAGAGATGAATTACTGTTGTGTATACAGTGGATCCTATTTGCAAAACAGCCCTTGAAGCCGGAGGAATTGTACTTTGCTATTCTCTCCGGCGTTGCACCCGAGGTCCTAGGAAGCGGAAATATCGACGAGATCACAATGGACGTAATGAAGAAATTTATTCTCAATTCTTCGAAAGGCCTCGCCGAAATTACAAAGTCGAAGACTCCGACAGTTCAATTCATACATGAGTCGGTGAGGGACTTCCTTGTCAAGGAGAATGGACTCGGGGAACTTTTTCCCGATCTTGGAGGTAATTTTCAAGGGCAAAGCCATGACCGATTGAAGCAGTGCTGCCTTTTCTATATGGGCATCGACCACTCTGCGCATCTAGACATGGGAAAACTACTCCCAGAAGCATCAGAGGAGGAGGCTGCGGATCTCCGACAGTTAGCTATCAAAAGGTTTCCCTTCCTCGAATACACCATACGCATGGTGCTCTGCCACGCAGATTCAGCAGAAAGTCGTGGAGTCGATCAAGGCGATTTGATTCGGAGTTTTCCTCTCGACAATTGGATCAAGCTAAACAACCTATTTGAAAAGGCCAAGGTACGCCGATATACACAAAACGCAAGTCTGCTTTACATTCTGGCAGAGCACAATATGTCCAACCTTATTAGAATCCACCCCAACAACCTATCATATGTTGAGGTCGAGGATGAGCGATATGGACTGCCACTTTTTGCGGCGTTGGCTACAGGAAGTAAAGAGGCGGTCCAAACATTCATAGAACTTGAGACAAGCAAATTGCGCGAGATCTATCGTCAATACCGTTATGATGAAAGCAAGGATAGCATCTCTGGACGTGGTTTCAAGTTCTCGAAACGCAGGACACTGCTTTCGTACATGGAGGAACTTGGTGATGAGATGATATGGGCATTCATGCTCGACGCAAGAAAAATTTCCGTGGCAGATACTAAGGGTAAATACGGACAGACACCTTTGCTTTGCGCGGCTCAGAAAGGCTATACTGTAGTCATTAAGCTCTTGCTCGAGACAGGTGAGGTAGATGCGGACTTGAGAGATGATATCGGCCAGACTCCGCTCTCGTGGGCAGCTCAAAATGGCCACGAAGTAGTCATTAAGCTACTTCTTGCTACGGGCAAGGTAGATATAGACTCGAGAGATATCTTTGGCCAGACTCCGCTCTCGCGGGCCGCTGGAAATGGCCACGAAGTAGTCATTAAGCTACTTCTTGCTACGGGCAAGGTAGCTATAAACTCGAGAGATTATAAAGGCCAGACTCCGCTCTCGCGGGCCGCTGTAAATGGTCACGAAGCAGTTATTAAGCTACTTCTTGCCACAGGCAAGGTAGATGTAGACTTGAGAGATAATAGTGGCCAGACTCCGCTCTCGTGGGCTGCTATAGGTAGCCGCAATGCTATTGTTAAGCTCTTGCTCAAGACAGGTGAGGTAGATGCGGACTCTAGAGACAATGAAGGCCAAACTCCTCTGCGGCATGCAGTTGACGCGCATCCTATGCACGAAGCAGAAGGTGTTGTATCAATGCTTCTTGCAACCGGCAATGTCGACCCGTCTGCTATAGACAATTTTGGGACATCGCCTCTTGCAAGGATAAAAGCAAGTTCATTCAAGGACCGAGACAAAATATTGGAGCAGCTTTCATTGTATATCGAGAAGTATAGGACGTAAAGGCCTGGGTTCTGCCAGCTGTCTCGCTGAACACCCTCGATTAAATTTATCTTAGAGAATAGCTCGGCGTTTACTCGCTTAGAACAAGATCGCTACTCTCATTAACAAGGCCGAATACCTCCGGTTCTTTCCTGCTACTTCCTTTGTGAAGTGCCTTTTCTTTTTGACGCGATTTGTCTCTAAACTGCAAATAGGTATTAATCTATTTCTCCCTTCGTTGATGCCATTATATATTGTAATAACAGACCAGCTTGTACTTTTTTTCAACTTATTTACAACTCGCAAGACTGGAAAGGGAACGTAACCGCCAAGTACTTATCTTCCTTGGCTTCAAATTACTACGGCCTACTCAAGGTTGCACTCCGTAGGAGACAGTGTATATTTTATGTTATATTTTGGTAATGTTTAAGCACCATCTATCCACGTGCCGTACACTCTGACTGCTTTTCAATCGGTTTTCAAATGCACTTCAATACTCTCACAGCCGCACGAAGAATCACAAACGCAGTGATAAGACAAAACCGGGAGGAAGAGTCATCCAGAGCTGTAAATGGCTATCTCGTGGAAAGAAAACTAGTTCACATCGAGGATTTTTGCTAAACCGCTATTTAATGGCAAGCGGGTCTAAAGATCTGATCTGATAAGGGTTATCAAGTTTTCATTGAGGATAACTAAGAAACTCTAAGCAATGTGGCTGATAACTCTCTGTTCTGTCCTTGGTTTTGCGCTTGCGGTTTCGAATACTTTTCTGCTGCAATTACTACCTCTCCACGGAGGCGAGGAGAAATTGTTCTATACACGCACGAGGAATTGACGACATGGCGGAGAAGAAAGGGATGACCGTAGAATAGCAAATAGTACATAGCTACTTACAATTAATTCAGGCAATGGAGAAGCAGAGTGTTCGGCAGTACAACGCAGTCAAAAGCAATACAACACACGAGGGTAGCCTATAAAAGATTGCTGGTGTCACACCGGAGAATATTGCGGAGCACTCCGCAGGCCGTGATAGGAGTTACACATGTGAAGAATCGTTGAACGAGCAGAATACAAGAATTAGGCAATTGAACTACTTGTTAGTAGTGAAAATAATCCTCTGATGCTCTGAGAAAATCAGATCAATGAATCTGTATGGAAATCCAAAACACCTGGCAAGCTTATGTTGCCGACGCGAAAGTTGCCGCCGGATTCAAACAGCTAGTGATTTAATTAGAGATCTGCAGGTATATGAGCATCAATATCACCATTACTAAATTCAGGCTCCTGATCATTCTCGTGTTCGTTGCCTTCATCGACGTCGTCACTCTCGCGTAAACCATCCACCATGCTAGTTGGCCCCGATTCCGGTCGTCCAAAAATATTCTTGACGGCAGCTTCAAGGAAAGACCCTGCAAGAGACTTGTTCTCCCTATCTTCACTTAACATGGTTGCTATGGCCTCTTTCTCTTCCCTATCAAGTTCCTCACGCTTCTTGTTGATCGCCTGAAGCTGTTCGTCCAGCCTATTCTCTAAGAAGTTCTTGTTCAGCTCCATATCTCGGATACGACTTCCCATCTCGAGACACAATTTTTCCAACTCTGCAGCTCTTGAAGAGTCGCCGAGTGCATTAGCAAGCCTCGATGCAGATTGGATCATTTTATATATCCCCCGTGCACTCGTTACAAGCCGATGGACAGCCGTGTGTCGGAGCACATTGGTGGAGGAGAAGACCTCACTCAGAGGTGCCTCTGAAACTTTCCATATTGCACCAGCAGGAACTTTGCCGGAATGCTTAGCCAGTGTCCTTGTCCACTTTATCAACTCAGCTGCCTCAGGGCATTCCCACTTCTTCTCTTTCAATAGCGAGGGTAGCCATTTGGCTGCAAAATCGAAGCAACACTCCTCAAGCTGCCGCTGAGCTGTTGTAAGAATGAGGTGCTGAGTCGTATACGGAAGGAAGGAGGGATATAAAGACGGGGCTGTTGATACTGCTGGTTCCGATGCTACTCCAAATCGTCAGGGTCCTATCTGATCTTGCATCCGAGAGAGGTAACTTGCTCTGTGGTACATCGTCAACTGTATCTCCCATGCCGGCTCCTCCCTGTTCACTCGCAGACGACAGTACTTCTAAAGCTTCTGCCTCGGACCGGGCTGCATCAACTTCCGACGCGCTACGCTGGACATCGCGCGCTGGCGAGGACCGGAAGAGTTCCGGGAAGGTGATCTTTGCCTGCAACTCAGACTCAAAAATGCTTTGGTCTAAGAGGCTCTTTACGACATCGACCACTTTATCAAAATCCAAATCCCTAATCAATGGTTCGAAAGACTTGTTGTGCGATTGCACAACCTCTCGGACCTTCTTGATTTTCCGAATATGAGCGTTGGTGCCGTTGAATACGGTACGATAGGCGAGAAAGACCCGTCTCCTTTCCGCTGGCGTATAAGACATTGGGGAACCCTTGGATGGAGAGAGAGCTGGACTTGACGGGAGTGGAGAGCAGTATTAGTGGCAGAGTGGATCTCTCTTTATGAGTTTTGCACACACTTTGTTGCCTAGAATGTGATTTGTGTCACTTGTGATTTACCCGCATTCTCCGTTCCAACTCTCTCTGACCTTACTCATCGGCTTGCCTTGGCGGTCGGTTACCACCCAGCCAATACCTGGGAATATGTAAAACGACACCCCCCGGCTGTCGATTGGGGTGTTGATTGGGGGGCACTAACCCAGAGTAGAGGCGCTCGGTCAGGAACACCAAAAATCTAGCTTTCTCTTTAAATTTATTTCATTTGATAAGGAATTAATAGAATTCAATATTTTCTTCGTTTCCTTATAGCGCTAATTAAGCGTTATTTAAGTATAAACGTTTTATAAATTTTTAATTAGTAATAGTTCTATAAATTAAAGAAGTTAAGAGTAAATATTTATAGCTTAAAAGTAAGCTTAAGAAAACCTGGAAATTTAGCAAATAAGTCCCTAAAACTGGACATGAGAGCCCTATAAGCCCCTAATTTAAAGGGCCTTATAGGGCCTAAAAACTAGAACTTGATCAATTAGTATATAAAATCCTTTAAATTAAAATTCTATTTTAAGAAATCATTTTATTATGAGTTAAGAAGCACATAATTATATTATGAGCCTTATAATATACTAACTTATACTTATATTTACAAATCTGACTTAAGGTCCCTAACACCCTGGCCCCAATCGACACCCCAGTCGATACCTGGGGTGTCGTTTTACATTTCCCCCCACTCTCTGCTTTGAATGAGTCGAATGGGGGTCAAATCAACTGGCCAGGCAGACTCTGAATCCGGGGCTTTCAAGGTTGTCGCCGAGTCGGTTCCAAGGAGCAGGGCACGAATGATCTGGAGGGTACTTGAGTCAGGACTCGGCCTTTGCTGCACAACCCTTACAGTCAAGGAGCCCTTGATCACTCTTGAAAATCATCTGGTAGCCGAGTGCGTCTCGATACTGGGTTGAAAATTGGTTACCAATCCCGGGAATGGGGAGAGACGTCTCTTAATTTTATCCGCTGTATTTATGTTGCATCTTGCGTTCTGGCATCTTTGATTCAAACATCGCAAGGCAATAAGTTATTCTCTCGATGCTGGCAATTAGAGGGTTTTATGACCAATCAAGTAAGCAAATTCATTTGGCGCTCGAACTGCAAAGGATTCGTGCCTCTGGTCTGAGTTTAAGACCCGCTGAAAAACGGCTGGCAATATCAAGGGATTATGTTGTGTTCGAGGAGCTGGAGTGAGTAAAAAGGGGTCCTAAGATTTGGCGAGTACGAGATACGAGGTTCGGACTGCGCCCTGTTTTCGATAACCGATTTTTTGGCTGAAACAAATATTTAATTAAATAAGAAATTCTCGCTAAATTCTTCGTCTTGATGGTCTAATCCTATTAAAATCAAATAACATCTTTGATGGTCTAACGGTCATGATTTCCGCTTGTCAACAGACAATGCGCGGGAGATCGGGGTTCGACTCCCCGTCAGAGAGAGTTTCTCTAGAGTTCATGTCCCTGAGCATTGCTCAGACACCTAGTTGCTTTTCTTTTTGCATTTTTTGAGAGTGAGCTTGTGGAAATGGGGAGAAAGGATTGAAAGTAAAGTTGTCGGAACCGAGGATATTCACCGCTACCTGATACGGCTAAAGGTCGACATCCCGCCGATTAGTACGTCCCTTGGCGGCAGAAAAGGAACATCAAAATCTGAGACTTGCTCCATAAACTGCCGGAAGTGTCACCTTTCTGGGAACGCAGTTCATGAACACCGAAGCGAGTGTCTGATAATGAACGCGACTTCAATCGACTTGGCTTGATGTCATTGGCATTGCCGGAATCTGTTCACCTTTATGGCCAGTGTGTCAAATGATTAGGTTTGATTTGATTAGACCCCCCTACTCAAATCAAATCAAGTCAAAATCAAGCTAATCAAATCATACTTAATTATAATCAAAGATAATCAGAGATAATTAATTAGATTCATCACGTGATTACGCACATGACTCTGGAGCTTCGGAAGCCGAGATAAGGCTAAAATAAGGTCTGGGCTAGCCGTATTCGGTATTGCTAAAGGCGCTCTTTACTAAACCAGGCCTAGCGCTAATTAGTAAGCGAAGCCAAAGGCGCTAGAACCTCCTTGATTTCCAGTGTTATAGTAGTAGTAAAGAGCTTGAATTGAGCTAAAGGCTATCTGCCAGGCTAAGGAAGCACTGGCCACATGCTGAGTCACGTGTAATAGCACCACGTGACTGGTACCACATAACAAAAATTAGTTTGTTATTTTAGATTTAGACTAATTTTTAGAAATGCCTAAGAAAGTATACTTTTATATTATCACGTGATGATTATAATTAATTATAATTAATTATAATAAAAATCAAGCTAATCAAATCATACTTAATTATAATTAATTATAATTAATTCTAATTAATTAGCCTTGATTATTTTTTGACACACTGTTTATGGCCGGAATGCTAAACAAGTGCTCAGGCCTCAAGAGCTGCTTCGGGGGCGGAGCACTTCATCCACATTCGCAACTTTCTTATCCGGATTCTTTCCTGATCTCGCCGCTTTCAAGAGATGATTAAGATTAAAGAATGGGTTTAATTAGGAATATCTCGTGCGGTGGAAATTCCTTCGCCGGTATCCCTTCGTCCGGTGAGACATAGTCCACGCTAGCAAGGGGGCCTGGCTCAGACTGTAAAGTCATACCTTTGCTTAAAAAGTTATTAGTCATCTATCACCTTTTCGCCCTGAGCCAGGCCCCCTTACTAGCGTGGACCATGTCTCACCGGACGAAGGGATAACTTTAGACACAGCCACCCACCCATACTTTACTAATTAGTCGCCAACAACTTGCAACAAAACATCAGTGGCGGAGTATATAGCAATATCTCACAGTCGCACTTGCTTTTGAAAACTTCCTCGATCGAACGTGATGAAGTTCGTGAGCAGTTGAAAAGGATAAAGGAGTGGGCTTCCCCATAACCAGGACGAGGAATTTTTTTCATTAAACAGACCTATACACTGTTGAATCTTCTGCAACCCAAGCGTACTCAACCAAGCTTGAAAACCGTGAGTTCTGCCTTCAATTCGCTGCTCCTTTTACTCGTGCAATATATTGTTTAGAGTTTCTCCATCGCTTCTTGCCTTTCTGACTTTATCTGCCCACCTTGCCGCTGCCCAGACAAGCTGCAACAACACAGACATTTTGAACTTTTCGAACCTCCGGTCTGGTCGGGAGAGTCTCAATGCTACCGAAATTGTATGGATCACAGGGTCGCTACAATACTGTGGTCTTGGGATAAATAATTACACCCCTGGCACCTGCTTCTAGCACTTTCGACCCCACAAATATGTCAAATCTGCCTTTCGTATTGGTTATCTACCCCATTTGAGGCTGACACCAAAACCCCCAGGGGTGCGATTATTTACCCAAAGACCACAGTATGTCCTCGCCAAACCCCCAAGACCACCCCTTTTCACCATTCCCACGAGCTCCAAGTGTGAAGGGCGGATCACAACGGATGCTGATGGTGTTTCACTCCGAGCCATGCACATTGACCCATCCCCACAACTCGGCCGTGCTCTATGACGATATGGCTGCCACGCTTGACGGGCCATTTGCTCCACTTATGGCTCCTGCTATTATCGATTGTGGTACTGGTGGAGGGTTATTGGGCGTCCAGTGGAATTCTAGCGACGCAAGGTACAACGATATTGGGCGAAGGGATACCACTGACCAGCCTGGGGAATCATGCCCAGGGTGGCCAATAGAATGGCTGGAAACTGGAGTCGGATCGAGACTTAGTGGGGAGAGGGGTAGCCACTTGGCAAGTGGTGCATGGTGTAAACGCAACCTTACTCATGTTATCACATGGGATGATTTCTTTCAATAATCGGAGCCTGATCTGGTGGTATTTCTTCCACTCCTAGGGCCCCTCCTGCCACCGCCATACACCGTTCACATACGGAGACCATATGCTAGTCTCAAGCTTTGACCATTACTATTCCCACTACCACGGCAGGTCCCACATATGAAGGCTTATTTGAAAAAATATGGGACCACCATATGGATCGCCTTTTTTGTATGATTTTAAAACCCCGGACCAGCTTTTGGCCAGGATAGGCCCATACACCCAGCACGTAGCGCATATGCCCATAACTCTAGGGCATTAACGGCCTAGAAATAACTACAAGAATATCGATTTCTTTCTTACTAATTAATTTCTCTATAGTCTCTTATAAGCTAACTCTTAAATAAAATTCAAATAATTAATAAATGCGCAATACTTCACGCCTAATATAGTTTTTAAGCCCGAAGGCCCTAAAGACAACTTGAAATGGAAACTGAGCGGAAGACCGTGCGTAGTAAATATAAAGCGGCCGCATACCCCACAATTCTCCGATAAAAACACCTGAATGGTTTGGATTACAGTACTATCCCCCCCCATGAACAATTTCGAGTGGGTCCAATATTCGCCACACTCTCATGCCACGATTCACACCACTAAAGGCACGCAATCGAGGGTCTATAGCGAATAGCGGCTCTCGAAAGCACCTGATATTTCCTAATTCGGGGATACTGGCGAAGTTTCAGTGTGGCGTTACCAAAGGACCCACTCGTAATTATTCAAGGGGGGGGATAGTAGAACCTAGTGATCCATGTCCAGCCCGCCGCCCAGAATTCGGGAAGTCCCGAGGAGGACAGCCCAGACTCTTTCACATGCCGAAACGGATTTGCCACGACAACAGCTGGGTAACAGAGCATCACAGCGATGCGGCGAAATTTTTAACCTTCTTAACTTTGATACTCAGTGACCTTGAATCGTTGCCTGAATACTGGTGTTTAATGGAGAGTCGCGAGTGCGTCTAAGTTAGTTTACGTGGGTGCTTCCCTCTACAACTTGGTACTTGAAGCCAAATCACATGGTAGACAGCCAAGAGTTGGCTTGCACGGAATCTTTTCTTTTTCCTTGGCACTTTCCAGCTCCATGTTCGAGAACCTTTCGAGATTTTGAAGAGGCGTTTGTCCAGCCTGCGAAGTTCCAGAAGATTGGACAGCGATGGCTACATGATCCAAGAGGGCCGACTCTGCCATCCTTGAAGGACGAGCTAATGTCTGCGTCCATCTTGAAAGCCAGTCTACTGTGCAACAGTGCACCGATGCAGCAATGCAGCCATGTGAACTCGATCTCTCCTTGGCCGCCGAAATGCTGCAGCTTGCTGGATCTGCCTACATTCCGTATGGAACTTGTCAAGTCCTCGACCATCACCTTACTCCTCTACGCCACCTATTTGCCCACCTTTCTCATTTTTCGCCACGTTTCTCATTCCCACCAACCACGGAACCGCCTTTTCTGCAGGCCCCCTACGCCAGCGGAACTTCAGAGGAGAGTACAATCAAAAAATTGCGCGCCAAGTGTTTCCCTGGCTTGCTCAGCCGCACCAAAGCTGAGTACTGTCGTGTTTGCTGTGTTGGTCCACTCCCCGCTTCCAGTTCTCAAGCGTCGAGCTCTGTCATTTCCCTGGAGCGTCGTGTTTTTCGACCATTACATCCATCTTACAATTTTTGTCGAAACCGAGTCAATCTTGAGAGTTTCAAGGCAATATTGCTATCACAAGTGTTAACACTACTGGCTACGGCGCTGCTGAGCGCAGCACAGTCTGCTACCACCGGTTCGGCCGTGCCTACACATACTGTTGCCGTTGGAGTGGTAATATGCGCCCGCACTGGTTATATGACTATCTGAAGTAGGGGTTGACAGTCATTAGGACCCTCACAAGTTCACTCCCAAAGAAGTCAATGCTAGTATTGGCGATATAATTGGTCCGTCTTCCTTTCTTTTCTGGAATAATCATCAAAACTAACCAGCTATAGAGTTCCGATTCTATCCCACAAACCACTCTGTCGCACGTGCGGAATACCTCTTGCCATGTATCCCTTATGAAGTCACCGGTATAAATAAAGTTGGTATTTGGAGTGGCTTCAAACCCATCTTTGTCGTTGGCATCGATGTAGGTTCCCAGTCATTTCCACTCGGTCATATATCGGATTGCTAAAGTTCGTAATAGCAACCCCAGTACCAAGTTCGCATTAACGACACTCAACCATTGTTCTACTATTGTGGGGCTCCAGGAGCCTGCTTAGTCGATGGGATGGTGGGAGTAATCAACCCGTATGTCTCTTTCTGATGTGGAATTCAGTCAGCTAATCATTAATATCTACGTGGTAGAAATGCAACCCAAACCTGGGAAGTTCAACACGCATTCGCATTAAACGCAACTCAAATGTTTGTTCCAGGCGAATACTTCTCCCCAGAGGGCACGCCAACTGGTTCTCCTACGACATCGGCCACAACCCCATCTTCAACTACATCCTCTCTCACTGGCATCCCCACACAAACAACGGTGGTGGTATCTCCTGGAACGCCGAGTGGCCTTTCTACTGGTGGGATAGCCGGAATTGCTATTGGGGCTGCCACTATTGCTGTGCTGGCGGGTGCATTATTCTATCTGTATGGGCGACAGAGAACAATGAAAGAGGTTTTACAGAACTCACAGAATGGGCCGGGGTTCACCGGCAGAGGGAGTTATCTTTCCGGACTTGGGAATCCAATGTCTCAGTAAGCGCATATTGTTGCTCTATCTGTGTGCCGCACGATGTATAAGACACAACCGCTAACCCTCGGGCCCACAGATACCCTTTCATTGACCACAAATTACCAACTACTAATACTCAGGAAAATTCATCTGATGGCCGTGATCGATATTCTGGCGTAGGCCAAATTGATGGTAAGCCTTCATTTTTGATTTATTAATATCGCACCTCCCTAGTCCTTCATCACGAGCAAGTGTCTCCTTAACACCACTCCCTTACAATGAAAGGTTTGTTCCTTTCTCCCTTTCAATATATGTGGCCAAAATTACACATGAGTAACATGTTGACAATCGAACCAGGCCATCACAATCGTAGTAACCCGCCAGACTCTGAAAGTTACCGCTCTCGCTCTCCGCCCATTGATGACCGTGATCGCGACATGCAGATCCCGCCCCTGAATATGATTTCCACGGGTGGTGCCCAGAGCCCTAATTCCCCACAGGACTACGAAAGACGGCACGATTCCATTAACGGCGCTTATTTATCACCCACCCCAAGGGGGCACTTGCCAGAAGGGGAGGAAGAGCAGGCTTTTCGTCAGCGTGACTCCGAGTTGCGTACGGATGATGTTCCTGCCATGCAGAGAGTCCCAATTGCGGGCTCCCAAGGGGCAAATATGACTAGAGTTGGCGTACATGAAATGCCCGCCCCATCCCTGAATTCGAGTGGGGTAAGTTCATATAAGCCACCTGGCCAGATAGACACCCGGCCGGGAGGTTATTAAGATTAGATAAGGAACAAATGTGGAGTTTGTAGTACTAGTAATACTGGAATCTGATAGTATGAAAGGATTATATCCATTCATTATGGTGACAAGCCCTGCAAGACAAAAGAACAAGACTTCGCTGAAGAATTTCAGAGCCTTTTGGTCCTGGTATTCAATATCAAATGTCTTTGTCAAACATAAATAAGAATAACTTGCGTTGTTGCCCTCAAAGTTCAAACAAAACCACCCAAGCATTGTTCATTTCCTGAATAAACCATATCTGAATGTATATTCCAGTCACAAGTCAGGTAAGACATTGAACTCCACGCAACTATACATTTACTATCATCCATCATCTATCATTCCAACATAGCTAAATATTTCGAGTATCGGATCACACTCGTGAGAATCGACACTAGCAGCATGTGTCAAGACTCCGTCTTTTCCTACCCGCTAGGCGAAATCGAAAGTCGCCATTGTGTAGTTGCACCCTGGATAAAAAGGCTTTTTAGGAATAATTCACAGTACTAGTCAGTTGGAGTTCTGCCTAGATCGTTTCCTCTTGGCCGATCCTCGCAGCTCTCCCCGAGGAAAGCCTCTACAAACACTACCTTGGCAAAGGAGGCGAGGAGAACAGAGGTTGGGCAGATCTTGATCTGGAGGCAGACTTTTGGTTCACAAGAGACGTTTGCAATCGCGCAGGGCTTTTCAATGTTGCAGTTCCTCACGACGAAGATATTCACCTTCTCGTTGCCGTAGACAGTCCCAAGCTGGATGGAAGAGTAGAACGATCCTCTCCGACGTGCTTCGATTCCTCATCTGGGATTTCTGGGAGAGATTGGACGAAGGGGCTCACTCACCTAATCCACCCACCATCCAGTGACCAGAAGATTTTGATCCTTCAATTGTAGAAGGCGACGAGCTTGCTCGCTAGATTTCTTAGGTTAAGGTACGCTTGAACTCTTCCTACTCGATTTAAATATATTTCCTGTATCCACGATAGTAATCCTCCCGTTAATGTCCAGTGAAGCAATGTCCCGGCCCCCTCTCCCCAAATTTACTCACAGAGGGCACATTGAGGATCAATAAGAGTCCAAATTTATGAGTTCATTGCACTGATCTCAACTCGAACATTGCATTGGAAAATCTTCATTTCATCCATTGTTCCTAGTCTTACAGAACAATCGTAACAATACACTGATACTACTGATACTGTTTTCAATGTCCAAACCCTTTTCGTTACAATTCATTCAATCACTCTCTTCAATGCCCTCCCAGGGCAATTCCTCTTCTTCAATGTCCAAATCGTGCAGGGACATTCTGGTCAACGTGATATCAACCATCTCTTGCGTCATCTCCTGTCCCGCTTCAGCTTGTCCCTCGAGGACATCGTACAATGCATAAATCTGATCAGACTTGATGTCAATCTTCTTGAGGAGATTGTCAATCTCGCTCTTCAACGCCTTCCGCTCACGCCTGCCCAATGACGAGTCATGCTCCATGTAAGTCTTTTGCACCTCCGAATGTCTCAGCTTCAGATGAGCAAGCTCATCTTCGAGACCTTTCAGCACGGTTGCCAAGGCGAGACCCGGAGAAACTGCTGGACGAAGTGTAACCTCTTCCTCGTAGGGTACCGGGCTGGTTGGGCGCTGGGTAACCGGGATTGGTCTTTGAATTTGAATGGTCTTCTTGCTTGCTGGCTTGGTGTTGAAGGATGCAAGGCGCAGACAGATCGTGCAATTTCCGCGGTTGTGGTGGTGTTCGCAAAGATTGTCAAGGACCTGGCGAGCAGTGGCTGAGAGAACTGGCCGATCTTTGTTGTTGCCCTGCTTGGCAGCATCGATGTCTGCAACAAGGTAGGCCGAAGTCATATCGTCACCGTCTGTTTGGCGAGGTGTGTTGGTGTGAACGGCCGTCTCCGAATGATGGCGACGATGAGAGGTGTTGGATTTGGTAGTGTAGTCTTCTTCAACCAGAGAACGATGGCGCCGGTGAGTGTTGGATCTGCTGGTATGATCCTGTTCTGTGCGAGTGTTTGGTTTCGCCGACTTGATGCTGAAGTGGCCAGTGAGATCCTCCTGTGGGGTGTTGGAATTCTTCAAGATGCCACCGGATCCTTTGACGGATGGAGCATGAGAAGAACGGCCAGATTGAATGGTCTGGATGGTGTCATCGCGGACGGTGCGATGTTCAGCCATCATCTTGACAGATGGTGCGTGAGAGGATTGACCAGATTGAATGGTGTCTTCGTGGGCGGAGGCTTGATCGGCAGCTTCGAGCTGTCTCTTCGCAGTTTTGAGATTTTTGAGGTGCTGGTTAATGTCTGCCATAAAACCATGCCCAACGATGCTGGACAGGTTGGAACCGGCGTCGGAAAGGGTTTCGTCATTGGATTGCTGGGTGTGTTGAAGGTCTCCCGTGTTGTCATCGAAAGACGCTTCTTGCGTGATTTGAGTGTCATTCCGGTCGTTTCGAGTGATGGGAATGTTTTGAGATTGCTGAAGATTCTGGCCGAATGCTTGTTGGTGAAGGTCAAAATCGAGCGCTTGGAATGGTGCCCGATCCTTCTGAGTGTGATTGCGTTGTCTGACCGGAGGTTGCTGACTACTGGAGTGAAGGTTACCAGACGCGGCTTGAATGTCCTCCATGTGATTTTGTGCCTGCTTCATGACTTTTGATGGCAGGTCTTGATCGTGGTTTCCCCTGGTCGACTTCTGCTTGGTACTGCGACCAGAGAGCGATTTTGATGCTCTGGTCTTTGTGACACCTTCGATGTTTTGAGTCGACTCCTTGAGGTGTTGGGTGACATTTGTAAGGCGCTGGACAGCTTCATCGCGTCGTTGTATTTGGATTTGAAAGGTAGTCTCCTTTTGCTGCCATGTTCGAGTGTCTTGGTCCTTCTCCTGTCGCAGCTGTTCGACTTGAGTTGCGAGAGCAGACTTTTGATTTTGAAGGGCGTGCGTGTTTCGAATCAACTCTTGCTTTTCTTGAGAAAGTGAAACAATTCGACGTTGGTAGTCGGACTGTTGCTGTTGGAAATTATGCTCATTCTCTTCTCGCTCTGCGTGGAGTCGATCGACTTCATCCTGTATTCGATCGACTTGATCCTTGAAGGCAAACTCTTGCTCTTCCAATGAAAGAGTTGCGTTTTCTTTGCCCTGAACCTCCTGAGCGAGCTGATTTTTAAGAATCCGAATCTCTTCCTTGAGGGATTGGTTCTCAATAGAAAGTCGCTCATGCTCTTTCTCCAATTGGATGCCTGCCTGCGTGCGCATTGCAGCAGCATCGGCATTGTCTGCTCGAATTTCGTCAATGGTATTGTGAGCAGACTGAAGTGCAGTCTCCAACTTTGCAACCTGTGCTTTGAGCTTCCGAGCGTACTCATAAATATCCTTCTCGTCTTCTGGGAGGTCGAAGTTGTCTGCTTCATTGAAAGGAAGAGATTTGCCGCCATTGACGACCTTTCCATGGTGAACCGCGGGGAGGGCGTTGGTCTGAGTGTTCGAGGCAGAATTCAGTACACTAGCGACAAAGAAGGACTGTTGCGTGGCATTGCCTGATTTGCCGTTGAGACTGGTAGGTGTGAAGATGTGTGTTTGGGTGGTCTGCTTCTTCTCCGTGGCTTTGGAGAAGCGCGTGTTCTTGGGTTGAAAGGTGACGGAAGCAGGTCGTTCTGTACCAATAAGTGAGCCATCGGACTCGTCCGCGACTCGGGCATGAAGGTCCTTGAAGGTCCGTCGGTCGCCGCTGATGGTACGACTGGCGTTGGAGGTGTAGGAGGATCGCTTGAAGCTTTGTTGTTGAGGAATGGGAGGAATATTCTCCTTCTGCTCTGTGGCGAAGTGAGTTGGAGGTGGGTTGTTGGATTTGTTACGCGTGTTGAGGTTGGTGTTGGTCTGAGCATTGGTGTTCGATTGAGTATGGGTGTGGGCTTGGTTGCTATTGTTGCGGACGTTGGCATTGTTGCGCGTCACGTCTTCGTAGATTGTAGGTTGAGTGGGTTCGACTCGCTGTATTGGAGTCTTCAGAAGGCGGAGATTGCTGGAGAGGTTGATCATGGGAGTATTCGCGTCGGTGGTATATTCGAGTGCGGAGGACGTGACTGTGGTTTGTTGTTTGCCCTTGCGGCCGCGAGGGGCTTCTAGGGAGAAGGTATCGTTCGGAGAACCGGCTTGAGAGAAGTCGGGGAAGGCCTGAGCCAGAGCCGATGTGTTGATAATGACATCGTGTTGAGGGCGTCGAGGAGACCAGCGACCGTATTTCTTCGCGGTGTCTCGCATCTGGGGAGACGGATTGACGGTCTGCTTGTAGTTGCGTTTGACCTCGAGGGTGGAGCAGATGGCATCGTCGCGCTCGGGGTCGAAGTCAATTGGGAAGTTGGAGTTGTATGTGTCGTCGGGGCTGATGGTGATTGATCCATGGTTTGAGCCCGTGCTCGACGCGACAGAGTCGATCGTAGCCATGGTGGTGGTGGTGAATTGAGGTTGGTTGATGAAGAGAAGAAGTGCGGCCAGGATGTAGACGATCAAAGTAAACATTGAAACGCAACGCGGAATTTTGGCTGCAATTCTGGTGGCGGAATTGAGAGTGAGTGGTTGGTGAAAAACAGTGGGTCTGGGAGGCCTGCCTTTATATAAACATCCGAGGTTCTGCGCTGATTCGAGATCACAGACTTAATTCCCGCGCTAGTACAGTTCTGGTGGACGGCCGTTGAGCCGCATCAACTTCAATTCATCTTCTGGAGTCCCACACTCAACACAGAAGTTATGAACTAGCTTCCAAGATCGCTGTTTTTGGCGACTGAAGACTCACACGCCCATGCAGTATTCGCGACTGTTCAATAGTATGGGTGAGGAGATAACGAGCCAGACATTTGTGATTGGCTCAATGCGTCAGTGCTAGTGCCAAAGCTCATTTTCTCTGATCGCTCTGTCAAACCCGAACTTATGGGCTCACACTAAGATCGAGGGAATTGTACATTAAAAACTGTATCCGTTTATCAAAAATGGAGATATTCTGAATCAACTTGGTGTACTTCTACTGCGTTGCGTTGTCATATGCGATCTTGTCAATGCACTCAAGCGAGCGCTGAAAAGTGTTGCGACCAATCAGTGCACGACGTTGTTGCTGTCAAAAGCACACTAAAAGCTGTCCAAGTGTACAGTTTGGCGACCAATGAGGGAGGGAGGAAGGGCAGAGAGTGATTTCTGGAGTAAGGTTTAGCGCAGTGCTGGTGTTGGGCATCTGGCGAGGTAAGCACGATTGAGCCAGGCGTGGGCTTGTTGCCATGCGGTTGAACCGTGCAATCTCAATTTTCACGCATCCTCCTCAATCGTCTGAAACTCAGATGGAAACGAGACCAAGGATGAAACCCTCTCTTGAAGTTTGTCAGGCCTGCCAAAGAAGTTGCATGCGACGGGGAAACTGGCAACTGCAGATGCAAAGTTCCACCTTCGTCCGCAACCCCAGCTCCCCTCTCTCCTCCAAAACAATAACCTGGCAGAGACCATTCAGAACACCATTGATGAATACTCATAACGCAGGTAACGCCACTACCATATCTGCAACCGCTCTAGAACATCTGCTAATACTTGGCAGAGGCAGTCTGGACAACCAGAACATGACAAGTCCTTCAAGGGCGTGCTGCTTAGATAATTGATGCAAATTCATCTTGCCCAGATGATCAGATCGACGATAGACTTGCCCGTCTTCCCTTCAACGAAGCTAATAATTACTTTTTCCGCCTCCCAACGGTTCACCATGGAAAGGTCATCCATGGTTGAAAGCCCAATTCATTCGATAATGTCGATAACTTTGACCCTCCGGAAGATGAGGATGATATTTATGAATACGCTCGCAAGTTTTTAGCGGAGGCTATATAGGTGGGGGTGTAGACAGGATAGAAATTTTTTAAAAAAAATGTCTCAGCAGGTGTTGGAAGTGATCTCGAAGAGAAACCAGGCATGAGTTGGACATTAGAGACGCTGCCCTGGGAAGGCCCTGAGTAGAGCGACCAATTGGCGTCACGCTGACCATAATGGTAGGTATGATACAGGAGGTAGAACTTGCGAAATGGTTCTGGAGAAGAAGCTCGTGCTTGTATCCCTATGGTGAGTACGCGCCAAGCTCGTGGGATGAATTCGGTAGAACAGAAGACAGAACAATCTATAGCATTTGACCATTGCTGTAATGGAAACAATCCCAAAAATTGAACAACATGCTCCCTGCCCATTATCTGTATTCGATACTCACGGAAAATAGTTGGATCTCTGCGTATGATCAGGCAATTTGAGAGGACAGGCGACTGAAGTACTTCCACCGAGAGACGAGCAGGAACGGAAATAAGCCTTGACAACGTACTGCTCATGTGAACAGAAAGACCAGACACCTTAGCAACAGCACTGCTAAAGGTCGAATGGCGTTGGATAAATGTTATGACAAATATCCAAAACTATCTCCAGTACGACATCTCATTAGCATCCTCATCAAGTGATTGAATGTAAAGGGTGAAACGAATCCCCGAGATCACTGAATTCCAAGGATCACGGCGTCAGAGAGCCCTAATATTTAATCTTGGAACGCAACAGTAATGTGAAAGCAGATAGCTTACTGCTCCCCATCAATTGTCAGAAAGTGCATTCCTGATAAAAGAAAAGATAAGATCAAAGAAATCGAGGGAGAAGGACATCAGGTCAGAGCTGAGAGCAGCAGGTCACATTGAATGTAGTCGAATTGTTCTATTATAGACTCTGACAGATGTCGAGTGTCTCAGTAGTTAAGCTCTCAGTTTCTTGCCAATCTTGCGGCCTTGAACCTACTCATCTTTTTCGGGCCGCCTTCCTCTTCTGTGAAGGGTACGATCTCGCTCTCTTCTTCTTTCATGAATCCTCCTTGCCTATGGATCATCGTATTTCGCATTTTGTGGTATTCAGTGGCCACTTCTTGATGCAAGAGGTGAGGGTCCAGCTCGTCGGGTTCGGCGGGAAAGGAATCGTGAGGAATTTCACGCTCGACAACGACGGGTGCTAGGGTTGTGCCTTCTGGGCCCGTGGGTACTGTACGAGTTTGGTCTTCCGCAGGGCTGAACTCGAGGGGTGGAGCAGTTCGAGCTGACTTGAAGCGTGACACCTTCTTGTTCTGCTGTGGCGACGCGGAAGATTGTGCTGGTGCCGTCCTCTCGACGATGTCGTTGACGGGAGCAGTCTTCCTCCGAGCTGCTGGAGTTGCAGCGGTGGCTGGCTTAGGAGCTGGCGAGATATCAAGTTCTTCTGAGAATCTGACCGACTTCTTGAATGATGTTGTGCTGGAATCCTTCCGAAGGCTCTCCGCAGCAGCAGCCGCTGGCTCGTCTTCTGATGCCGTAGCGGTCTCTTGACCATTGATCGTAACACGCCCGATGCCTTCCCTGACCACATCATAGTCGCTGGCCTTCTTGCCAATATTCTCCATCATCCTGACACCCAGACGTTGTTCGAGTTTTATCATCTGCTGCCTAATATCCTCGTCCACAACTCGGCCTCTTGATCTACCAAACTCGTCTTCATCGTCCGTACTTGTTTCGTCGTAATCCTGCTCATCTGTCCAATCGCTGTCATCCTCCAGGTCTAGCTCTGCAACCACAGCGCCAACCTCAGACACCCCATATTGGAGCATCTCTCTTCGAAGAGCAGCATCCTCAGGCGATTCGTCGGCGGGTATGACGGGAGGCGCTGAGGGTTTGGTTTCTTGCTGCTTCGCGGTATTCATAACGCCTTCCAGTCGTTTCGTTGCCTGGGATTTCTCGGGTTCAAAACTAGGTTTTGCGTCTTCTGCAAATGCCGCTGCCTTCTTGGACTCCGTGGCATTTTGCTTCGAGGCTTCTACCGGCTTTTCCTCCGAGGAGCTCGCAGGTTCTGCGGTTGTCGAGTCCGTCGGAAGGTTCGTCACTCCCGCCTTTTTCAGCACCTCCAACAGCTGTGGCTTCGCGCTCCCAGGCGTAGATGTTCGACACGAGACAACATTCCCCTCTTCATCCAGCTCCTCAATTATCTCTGTCAACGGTAGGCCTTCTTCGTTTCTCACTTCAGGTGTGCTGATAACAGTCGCCGCTGCCAACTTGTTCTCTGCAGCCTCGATCTGCTTCAGAACTGTACGAACATTCTGCTCGACGTAGTCAATCCTCCTGTCTAGTATGTTCACGACCTGCGCAGCGTTTCGCGACCCCAATATATCCTCGACCTCCTTTTTAGTGACGAGTTCACCTTCATAATCGCGACAGATGGCGGAAAGCTGTTCTTGGTTCGGGTTTGGCTTTGCGACGAGAATCTCCTCTTTCAAGCCTTCATACTCTGCTTCCCAAAGCTGCCAGTGACGAAGTGACTTCCAGAGCTTCTCGATATTTTCCTCGAGCAGCTGCCGATGCCTTTCCAGATCCAGAAAGCTGTCTTTCAAAGTTTGCGCCATTTTGCGAGAACATGGCCGTTTGTTGGGCGTCTTGGTCTCGCAGAATATTTAATGCCCCAATCGGGCATAGCTTTAACAAGGCGGCCGCTAGGGACACGGGAGATTCGCCTCCCTTCACTGAAAATTCACAACATCGGCTTAACGCTTGTCAAATGACTTTTGCTGTTTGTCTTCATTCTGCATGGCCCTTCGTACACCTTGCTAGTTGTGCTAAGAAATATTGTCTGTCACTGTACTCAAGTGAGAAACAGACAGCCTCCGTGGGGAGGAAAGAGAAACTCCGAGTTCCCTTGCTATACCTAGTTCAATCAATTCATGGAGATGGCAGAGACAGGCTCTTCGGCTTGAAGGATCATGCAGCGACGATCAGTTGCCAGCGAGTAAGCTCCACACACGTTGTTCATACTACGGCCGAGCATTGCCTTTGCCATCTGCATCTCAAAGCAAGTCAACGAATCAGGCGAAAGAAGTTACAGGGCATCTACGCGATGGTGTGTGGACATTGTTTGGATAAATGGAGCTCGTGTTGCACCTCTTTACATGTTGTCTCAAACTTCTCAATTGCCCTTTAGAAGCGTACACGTTACAAGTTCCATAAATTCTAATCAAGCCATGTCCACCCCTAACGAGGACGAGGCAGATCGTGATAATGGCACTTACGCATACCGTGAAGAAGAGGAGGAAGTGGCGCAATATTACACTCGACAAGGCATTGGATATCAGGATCCTCCTCAATATGAAGACCATGAGGGCCATCAGCGTAAGTCACTCTTCCGATTATGATGAAAATGGCTAAGACAAGGACAAGTGCGGAAGTGCTAATCAAATTTGAATAGAACCTGGAAACGCAAACCCTCCCGGCACCACCATGGATGAGGACGATTTCTACTATGGCATGGGAGGAGAAGGCAGTGCTCCGAACCAGACAGATGCGCCAGAAGATGTGCCGAGCTACGATGACCCTGAGCCTGAAGCGACTCATGCTGCTGGCGGGGGAACCTACTTTGTTAGGGGGGGTAGGCCTTCAAGCGTTTAGATCCAGCCGTATTGCATTAGCGCTTGCTAACTTACAGTCATAGGTGACGGCGCGGAAGATGAAGAAGACCTTGTCGAGGAGGAGGAAGTCGAAGACTTCGAGGATGAAGAAGTATACGAAGACGAAGATGAATACTAGTCGGACATCAGCCTTGATTGAGCAAATTTTGAATAAAGAGCCCACTTGATGTAGTTATCACAGTAATGCAGTGACATGAAAATGAAGAACAAGATGGTGAATGATCCAATTTACGAATGCGGACGGTTTTGAAATCCGGATGTGCCTAAGCGAGAGCTCAGAACACCAAAATCTCTACCTTTTCAAACACGTATTTTGATTCAGTCGATTATATAAAATTTTCAATTGGGGGCTGATGGGATAGAGAAGAAGCAGCCCTCTTATTATATATAGATTTCGAGATAATTAAATCTGAGGTGAATTTATTATTGCGACCGAAGAATGGGGTAAGCGCTTACTTGAGGGGCGTGCGGATTTCAAAGCCGTCGGCCTTGGTACTAGACGCCACCAAATGATGTTTTCCTAAGTGCTTTTATGGTAGCCCAGCCAAGGGCCGAGCCTTCAATCCCGGGAGGGACTTCTTCTAGCACCTCCGCAGTGCTTAAAGTGAAAGCTTTTCAGGTGTGGCATTTAAAGGGGATAAGATATCTCTTCAACGGCGCAAAATTCAGTTAAGTGTTCGTTCCGAAAAATTTGAGAGTTCTATAAGGAAAAACTTTTTCCCACTAATCAGAAACGAGTCTCATACCTCCAGCTTGATGCCCATCCAGAGTCGAGATCATCAACTGTGGTTGCTGTGGGGGAGAGGGTCGCTTACACTAGCCGAGGCGCCCCTTTTGGTTGAAGTGATCTGCGACACCAAACTTCTTCGTTGGCGTTTTAGAAGGTTTATGCTCGTCAACCCCCTCCGCAGCATTTCCTGCGGATCTCGTCGTTGCCGGCAGCTATTCTGTTTCCAAGAGGCCGTTGTTTCCTCCGAAAGTTCGCAGGCCAAGCTCCTAAACGCGCTGCGGGGACGGGAGAGGCTGGCACACCAAGCAAGTGCCATAACTGCTCCAGAATCTTGGCCTTTGAAGATCCACAACTCCGTCTTTTTCGCGGTTAATCCAACCACCAGAACGCCGTCGTTGGCCTCGACCCTCAACCCTTCAGTCCTTCCCTTATTCGGCTTCGCCAGCTGCCTTATCACTTCCTCTAGTGAGGAGTTTCAGCAGTGGGACAAAGCACTGCAGATTTCTCTGGTTCCCAATGGCTTCTTATCGTCACTGAGCAGAGGCAGGGGATGACACGCTCTTCTCGGCCCCTTGGGGAGTATCAAGGTGTTTCTGCAACAGACTCGACTGGGTTCACAATCACGCAATCCCAAAGAACAATGAGGAATGCTGCATCGGGAAATCGTCGGCATGCTATGAAGCACGGCGCGAGCAAAGAGTAACCATATCTTTCTGGCACATTCCCAGGCCGTCTGGATTTTGCATCTCCTATATTCTTCGAGCTCTAAGCAGCTTCTTACATTTTTTGCGATAATCTTTTGAGCGACGATTATAATCTCCTGGTGAGGGTGGTGATACGCTTCGATCTCCAAAACTCTGGTATCAAGCTGGTCAAGGCTACTGGGCGAAGATATCCAGGATTTGAACCTGACTCATGAGCTGAGAGAGTCTCCATTTTTTAAGTCGGCATCTGTAGGTATCCATTTCTTCTCACTGATTGAGCTTCCTGTGGGGGAAGGAACCATATTGTAGAAGGGAGTCGGGGTTGACTTGATGGGACCCTCTTGCCGCTATCAATCACCCAAACTAATTTGAAATATTGAAAGCGTCTGTATTTTAGTCACGATGGCGATCGCCACTCGACTCAGGTCAATCTTTCAATCTGGATCCAAGGGCGAAAATATAAACACAACCGCAGCGCGGTCTGATGTTTCTTCCCAGGACAAGACCTTGTTCCGCGACTCGGATAGTGGAGGCGCAGACATGGAAGCCGAGAAAATACTCGAACCCGGGAAGTTGAGCTTCGATGAAGATACCAGAGGTGGATTGGGACGGCACCTTGGCTTGACGAGTACAACGTTCCTGATGTAAACCCCTTCAGCTCAAGCATTAGTGCCCAGCCACGGTAATATTGCTTGTATACTGATGAAATTAACGATATATCCAGCATTGGCCGCATCATTGGAACTGGCATCTTCTCAACTCCTTCAAGTATTACAGCCTCCGTCGGATCCGTAGGAGCTGCGCTTATGCTCTGGGTCCTCGGTGGCCTCCTATCGTTCGCAGGACTCTGTGTCTGGCTTGAACTTGGCTGTATGTTTCCTCGCTCTGGAGGAGAGAAAGTCTATCTCGAAGCGGTCTACAAGCATCCCAAACTCCTGGCTACGGTTCTCTTCTCCACCCAAGCTGTCTTACTAGGGTTCACGGCTTCTGGTTGCATCGTTTTTGCATCCAATATCTTAGTCGCTGCAGATCATGTCGTCACGCCCTGGAACGAGCGCGGGATAGCAGTTGGCGTGATTGTTGCAGTTACAATCATGCATACATTCGCACCAAATGCTGGAGTGGGAGTGATGAACTCACTGGTGGCTATTAAACTAGCTATTCTCGTCTTCATCACAATCACCGGATTTGTAGTTCTTGGTGGTGGTGTCAAGAGCGTGCCCGACCCTCACGCTTCATTCTGCAACGCATTTGCCGGTTCGGTCATGTCAGGCGGCCCATACGCCACTGCTTTGTTCAAAGTTTTGAATTCTTATTCTGGGTGGAACAATGCTGCTTACGTCCTGAACGAAGTCAAGCGGCCAGTCCACACATTGAAGATTGCAGGCCCTCTCGGACTTGGGATCTGTACATTGCTATATATGTTCGCAAACATTGCGTACTTCTCTGCTGCAACTCCCCAGGAGATTTCAAAAAGCGGGATTACGGTGGCCAGTTTTTTTTGTAAGTGCATCTCTGAGAATTTGAGATGTAAAAGAGAAATATTGAGACCCTTAGGTTGGAAGAGTCTTTGGTCTCACGGCCAGGAGAGTCATCTCCGTATTCATAGCACTGAGTGCTCTTGGAAATGTGGTCACTGTCACCTTCGCTCAATCCCGAGTGAACCAAGAACTTGCGAAGGAGGGCGTGTTGCCGTAAGTATTTCCTCGCTGCAGACTTCTCGTCCGACTGTCCCAAACAGTGGAATATCAAGCCCTCCAACTTTAATGCTGACGTCAATTTTTTTTAGATTTGGCAAATTCTGGGCATCAAATTGGCCTAAAGGAGCACCTGGTACAGGTTTACTCCTCCATTTCATTCCGTCATTTATCGTGACCGTAGCAGTTGTGAGTACCATGGGGGTCTTTGCCTCCTTTCCCTTCAACCCGTCTATTACCCCATCCCTTTCCTCTCCACAACAAATAATTTCCAACAACTTTCAAACTACCTGTCTCCACCTCCACCCACCGGCCCACTAGCTAACACCTTCACCCAGCCCGCCGGCGACGCATTCAACTTCATCCTCGACGTCGAAGGCTACCCCGCCTCGATAATAAACCTCTTCGTGGTCCTCGCCCTCTTCATCCTGCGCTATACCTGCCCCGATCTCCACCGGCCCTTCAAAACCTGGATAATCGTGCCCTTCTTCTTCCTCATCGCACAAGGCTTCCTACTCACTGCCCCGTTCCTGCGTCCTCCTGGAGGTAAAGGAGATACAAGCCTGCCGTATTGGTTGTATCCGATTGTCGGGATCACGGTGTTGGTGGTGGGAGGGACGTGGTGGCTGGTTTGGAGGGTCGTCTGGCCGAAGTTGGGGAAGTTTGAGTGGGTAGAGACTAAGGCGAGTTTGAGGGATGGGACTGTGGTCACGGAGTTCGAGAAGAGGAAAGTTGCTTGAGAGGAGTAGGAAGGTGTATTAGCAGGTATTGGCGTTTGTATTGTACGATATGTGGAATTGAATGAGATCTCCGAAATCTTCTCATCCCACTTCATGTTGGAATCGGACGAGTGGAGCTGGCTCGATCCTTGAGGCTTGACATTCCGTGCTTTAGTTCTTTTTGTGCCACACTCTACACAAAGGGGCATTCCAGCAACAATAAATGTCATGGCATCTTTCCTGGGCACTAGCTCAGCACGTAAGTCCCACACTTTTCTGAACACAATCCCGACCAATCTCATTCCCTCGAAGTCATCTCGCTTGTATTGATATGCTAAAGCCGTCCGAAAAGTTATGCAACATGCGTCGAAATAGATTTTCTTTTTCCAAACATAACGTTCGTGGCGCTCGTAAAACATTCAAGACACATCATCCCACTTCATGATAACCACCAAACCCCGATTCCGTCTAAATAGCCATGACCCAATATGCAATAGAAGTTCAAATAGCCCCACTAGCACCCCCAATGCCGAGTCCAACTCTGGGGACTGGATTCTGTTGTGTAGGTCCTATACTCGCTCCACGCTCTCTCAACCTCCGTCCTTCCATCAAGCCTCTCAGCCCTCTCTTCTGCAGCCCAATCACGGCACTGACGTCTCCCTTCCAGACCGCTTTGCCTTCATTGCTGTTCCTAGCTCCCGATTCAGAGGCACTCATACCGCCGCTAAGATCTGACTCTGATGCATCACTCGCTGCACCGGACGAGGCACTCATACTCTCTTCATCCTCTGCTTTCCTGCCACCCGCACCCGTCCCAAGATTGCCAACTGAGGTATTGATACGGAGCTGTTGAGCTCTAGAGCCATCGGCTCCACCTGATCCAAGCTGCAGAATTGGCAGGCCTGAGTCGCCAGGAATGTCCTGGAAACCAGCGGACAGCCAGTTCTCGCTCAGAGCAGAGGTTGTACTCGTTGACCTACCACCGCCAGCAGCCATAGCCGATGCGTTAAACACGGCTGCAGCATTTCTAGAATCTAGAACTTCATGCAGGCGCTCAACAACAGCTTCCAAAAGGCCATCGATCCTGTAGGGACGGGCGATTTGTAAAAGCGAGCAGAGAATCTGAGGCGTACAGAGTGGTGAAGATGATGGTGGAAGAGAGGAGGTATATAGGAAGTGTAAGAGAGACTGAAGGGTGAGTTGCGTGTGTGGAAGATACAACGTCCGAGGACGTGACGTGGGAGAGAGTGAAGTTGCATCTGGTGGGAGCGAGAGCGTAGCTAGGTCTACTGAGGCCTGCTGTTGGCCAGAACCAAGTGATGCTGAGGATGTGTTGTTCAGGGTTGAGGATGTCGATATATTTGAAGACTGCCCACCGAGGCTTGGAGTGATGGTAACGCTACTGTTCCGGCTGGGATTGTGACGGAAAATGTTGTCTGGTCTTAGCGTTGCAGTGTCGTTTCCATCTTGTGTCGCTGCACCTTCACGAAGCAGTTGAACGAAATATGGGCCCCACCTCCTGGCAACGATCCGAGAGTTAACTGGTATACGCTCGCCTCCCACGCAGAGGATGTCCATGTCTGCAAGCTCCCTCAATCCAAGCGCCGTTTGACCAAGTTCTTCTGCCGCTTTTGTAAATGAACGACCGCCTGCGGTCCATCCCGCCTTCGTACTGAGGCTCAGTGACGGCGCAGCGAACGGTGAACTAGCTGAGACAAAACCTGACATGGGAGCTACCTTCCTTGGGTTATCATACAGACCAAAGGCTTCAAGCTCCACCATGCAGACGTTGGTAAAATTGATCCGTCGGTGGTTGTAATCTTCTACCAAGCTTCGCTTCCGGTTTCCAAGGATAACAAAGGTATTTCGACGGTTCCATAGTACACCACGATTCCAACTGCCTTGGCTGAAGACATTACCGCCGGCATCAATACGACTCCACGTTAAAGTCCGCAGATCCAGGGCCCACAAAGCATATTCTTGTTTCGAAGAGGTGAGGTATGTGCCACTGACAACAAAATTCGCATCAATAACTCCTCCGTTGGGAAAGCGGAGCCCTGGCGGCGAGTATGTGCCTTGCATCGGTTTTTCGGACAAGGTTCCATCCGACGCTCGTATCTGCAATTCCAACTTGACATCCAAAAAGTTGTAATTCGAGTAAATCAACATGGAAGAAGCAGGATCCTTTGAATCCTGACTTATGCTACTGTTCTCTGGTTTCGTTGGTGAGGTTTTCCCAAGGCGTGCGGATACACCACTGGGGAGTGGTGCAACAACACTGCGGTAAGCTCCACAGCTCTTGCCTAATTGTTGTGTGGTGGTCCATTTTAAGCTTCTGAGGTTGAAAACACTAATCTGCTCAATGTAGTGGTTCGCACTATCTTGACCTCCAACTACGACCATCTCGGCGCCACCAGTACCATCAATATTCACACCAATAGTGCCTTGGTTTGGGTTCGTTCCGGGAGGGTTGTGGTGTAGTGCTGATGAAGCTGCATTGGTCGATGAGAAGGTAGCTGAGGATGGGAGGATAGTAGCACAGTGAGCATATCTTCCTTGCGGAGTATCTTGAGTGGGGATGAATGACCAAGTCTTCGCAGGCGCATCGTAGATGTAAATATCAGACATGACTACAACTTCTGGTTGCACATCCTGAGGGTTTTGTGAGGTAGCCACTGGTTGATTTTGACCTTGGGTTGGCGCAGGAGACATGCCACCATAACATACAAGCTTAGTGTCCCCCAGTGGACATACGCTGTGGAAATATCGAGGCGGAGGTAAGTCACCTAAGGTGTCCACTTTCGTCCAATGGCGCCGTATTAGATCCAATTCGTATAAATCTGCCGTCAAGGCAGGTCGTGTCCTTGATAAAATTCGTCCGCCAAAAACATACAGCTTGTCTCCCAAGATTGTGGTCGTGGCCCCAACTAATGGATACGGCTCTCGTCCGGTCGTTCGATGGACGTTGCACATGAGGCCTGAAAGATGCTGTGACGAGCCCGTAGGCGTTCCTACAGTGTTCCCATTATTACCACCAGCGGAGCGTGGCTGGGCCGGAGAGGGTCCCGCTGATGGCGGGCCATTGCTTCTGGGTGTCAAGACATCCTTCGTATCGTCGTCCACATCCTGTCTGTTCGAGCTAGCAATGCTACTTTGGTTACTGCTCGTATCTGCAAGGTAGGTGCTCGACGGGGCTTTGAATCCACTTGCATACACTTGTGTTGCGGCGGTGGAGCTCGTTGAGTCCATGGTGCTGGTCCGACTTCCACTCATAGCTGGCCGTGACATTGAAGCAAAGGCTTTCGGGGTATTAGGTGGTGAGAATGGCGTTTGTAACAGTAGTTCGATAGGAGGCGACGCTGGCGTTTTAGGCAGAGGTTTCTCGCGGTTGAGGTCGCTTGTACTCCGAGCATGCTTCTTTATTCGACGAGATATCTCAGAGCCCGCGGATGCTGGAGCCGGGTCTGGTGTGGCGGACGTTGATCGGTCCCCAGTCCGAATATTCGTGGGTCTATTTTGAGATCCAGATATCGAGCCCAACTTCTTGATGCCCCTTCGTACGCCGGAGAAGAAGTCTCCTCTGTCCGGCGAGGGAAGATTGTTCTCCTCTTCTGCTGCCGAGTCCGATGGGGTTGAGAATTTCGACTCGAGGCTCGCTGTTGGCCGCAGAGTCAGCTTGTCTGCCATGATAACTCATGCTGGGGGAGACGTGGAGGCGGATCTACGGGAGCCAGTCGAAGACATCGCCAGCAGCAACCCTTCATATATCGTACTCGGGAGGTGAAGAGAGAGGAAGGCTTACCACGGAGAGAGCCAGCTCAAACGAGTGAAGTCGCGCGCTATCTCGCCTCAAGACCTGCTGCGTAAGGATGTTCGGCGAGATCTGCTCAAGCAAGGTCTCTTCCGTAATTGTTTCCCCGTTCGTGGTGGCCAACTCGACGCCGGGGGGGGTGGAGCACGACTCACGAGTGAGCTGAGAGGGAGACGAGGCGAACGACGCTTGTGAATGGTCGACAACCGCACAGACGCGCTCTGGCTCAGTGGCCGAGTGGGCTCGTACGAAAGTACTTTGGGATGTTCGGCTGGGCAGCGCGAGGCGAGGGCAGCCCCGACTACTGCACCAGTCAGCCGCCTGATAATCTCACAATCTGACAATCTGATGCTGATGAACAATGCCTCGAGAGTCTCGGCCTACTCCGAACAACCTGAGCGCCGGGAGCCAATGGTGTCCTGGATACTGGATGCTGAAAACCCTTGATGAAGCCGCAATCCGTGTGCCCAGTGCCCACTGCCCAGGCGTCTCCCGTGCAACGGTGCCGAAAAGGGCCTGCTTCCTGCAACCTGCGTGTCTTGACTCTTCAGGCCTTCAGGCTTCAAAGTTCAGACCTTCCACTGCCCGGCAAATCACTCTGGAACTAATCTCCGTCCTCTCTGGCTGCCGGGATGAATGAAGATTCTTCTCGGCTCTTTCGACAAATTCGTCCTCCTGAGCCTGCCCGCCGCACTGTTCCCGCCCGAAGATCCTCGCCCCGATTCAGCGTCTTCGACGCTTTCAGCCTTAAGCTCTTAAGCTTCTCCTGAACGGGCGCAGAAAAGCCTCGACTAACGTCTTTTCGCCTCTCCTGCACCAGTTGCAGAACGCTGGTCTGTCTATGTCATCTGTGACTTGTTTCGCGTATGCGATTCCCGACCCTTGTCTGCCGAAAGTCCTTGCCCCGTTCGTGGGCAGGCAAGTCGAAAACGCTTGTGTCCTTGGGATCACTCTGACACGTCCGAGCGAGCGAGGACAAGCTTGGCTGTGGGTGATCGGTCAATCAGAATCCACTGTTCGTCCGAATCCCACGTGTGAACCTCGTCGATATCGCTCCACGCCCCCTTAAAGCATTCCGCGGATTCTAGAAGAGAGGGAGAAATCAGTGGAAAGGAGGCATGATGGAGGCCGTCCGCCCTTTGCCTCATGTACCGTAGATTGTTGCACTTGCACTTGCACTGGCAGTGTGCCTGGTCAGTGACCAATTAGGCCTTCGAGCTGCTGCGGCTAGAGGAAGGGCGGCAATGCGTGCTTGTGAGGGGCTGAAAAGTTCGGGATGGCAGCTCCACGTCAATATTCCTGCGCTCACTAACCTTCTGCATTTTGGGGAGGGAGGGGAGCTTTCCAGTTGTCGGGACCCTCCAAGGTATTGATATATTAAACGGTTTGTAATGGCATCGGTTTTCCTTTTTTTTTAAGTGACACACAGCCTGGAAGGATCTATATCATCACGATGTCGCGAGAGGGGAAAGGGGTATTCATTTTCTTTTTGGTATGCGGTCCTGGACTTAAAGGGCAAGTGCTCATCCACCGTCCCAAACTCATGCCGCTAGAATCGCAATGTTCTTCTCAGTATCAGAGGCACCCCCCATATCTCTTCTTGTCCCCTATCCCCCAACCCCCAACCATCCTAGACTACCCAACTAGACAGCCGCAGAAGTCTGCTCCTTTGGCAGAGGGGTGAATCGGAGGTATGGCTTGACAATGCGGAATTGCGGGAACAAAGTCTTGGCCTCCTCGTTCTTGACGCTAGGGTGGACGATAACATCATCTCCGGGGATCCAGTTGATCGGAGTGGTGATACGGTGCTTGTCGCCGGTCTGAAGGGAGTCGACGACACGGAGGACCTCGGCGGTGTTCCTGCCCGTGGAGGCTGGGTATGAGAGGATGAGGCGGATGGTCTTCTTGGGGTCGATAATGAAGACTGAGCGGATTGTGAACGCAATGCCCTTAGAATCGACGTTCGTGGTGTCTTGGTGGTCCAGCCTTCAGCGTGGTCAGCTCGGCCAAACGCGAAATGGTGAAATGGGGCAGTACTCACATGTCATAGAGATATGCAACGGCTCGCTGCTTATCACCAATGATTGGGAAGCTCAACTTGCTGCCAGAAATCTCATCAATGTCCTTGATCCATCCTCCGTGGGACTCGATGGTGTTGGCAGAAAGACCGATCAACTTGACGCCGCGCTTGGTGAACTCGGGCTCAAGCTTTGCGAAGGCGCCCAGCTCGGTGGTGCAGACGGGTGTGTAGTCTTCTGGGTGGGAGAACAAGACAACCCACTTGTCGCCAATGAACTCGTGGAAGTCGATTGGGCCCTGGGTGGTTTCGGCCTGGAAGTTGGGTGCAAGGGATCCCAAGCGGAGGCTAGAAAGATGAGGACGTCAGTAAGAGTACAGTACAGTGAAAATGACGCGAAATAACTCGATTGCATTGCCCGGAGATGAATCCATCTACAGCTCTTCGACGAGCTACAGGCCGTGCAGTTCTGGCTGAGAAAATGGCGCGATCGCGCGCCGCGATGGTGGGGGTAAAATTTTGGTTGGTCGAAGAAAAGAGGACTACTCACGGTGCAGCTCTCGCGTCAGTGGCCATCTTGCAGGAGTTCTGGGGTTGTGCGGTATGAAAAGGACTGTGGGTATCTAAAGGAGGATTCTCAGAAGAAATTGGGTTTTGGCGGAAGAGGGTGGGAGTCGAGCTGAAAGCTCTGAAGTGCTGGCGGTCTCTTCTTCTAAAATACTAGAAAGTAATCGGCGGCCGAGCACGCCATTAGGTGGCGTCCTGGTCAACACCACCACCACCTCCACCACCTCCTCCACCAAAGAGTGGGGCAAGCCGGACGAGCTTTTTATTAGTCGGTAACACAAAGGAAGGAAGAAAGACGGCCGCCTTAGGGCCTTGGGGCTTTGGGGCTTTGGGTCCTTGGGAGAACAGATGGTTTTCCATCAGGTCAGTTGGCAGGGCTGGGCACCCATTCACTCATTGCTCGTCGCAGCTGGCAGCGGGAAAGAAGGCGCAACAAAGCCGTTGGATGGCGCCACTGCTGGGAAGCAAGAAAGATTCCATTCGCCGTTGTTTGTCCCAACCTCGCAAGGCGAGCGCCAACGCCGACGCCACCGTGGCGCTAGCGTGGGTGTGAGGCAAGGCTGAAATGTTACCCCTCCTCCTGTCAGCCTCGCCATTACAAAGAAAAAGCACCCCCGGCTTGCTGAACACAAACCCGTTCGAGCACCACCAAAAAGACACAGGCACAAGCACAGGCACAGGCACAGACACAGGCACAGACACAGGCACAGACACAGGCACAGTCCACGTGCAGCAATGGAAACTACATTTGGCTTCCCAGGTCAGCATATAGCGCAGCTATTGAAGCCGCAGGAACTACAGCCTCTTCAAGGAGACGCTGACTACCCCTCTCAAGGCTCTCGGGCAGACGTGCTGGCGGCGGCCGCCCTCCTGTCGGAAACACAATGACTGATTATGCGCCCACCATCATATTAGTAATATCACCGAGGCTCGCATGGGATTCATCTGCCTCTTCGCCTGGCAAGAGGCCCAAGCAGAGGACAGGATGGAAGAGTTGCTTCGCACGTGATTGCCTTCTGGCCTCGCTGGTTCATCCGGGAATAATATTTTGCACGACATCAAACCCCACCTCTACCCGACCATTCAGCGCTAGGCCAATGAGGTTCAGAGAAAGCCGACGGGATCGTCCTCTTAACTCATCAGAGCAAGCTTGAGCGAGCAAGACCGCGAGTCAAGCATGGAGATAGTTCGCTATGCTTGTGGCTATAACCGTAGCCCATATTCCCGTCAACGGAGTCCTCGTTGACGTCTATCTCGTTCGCTAATGTACTTCCTTCGTCTTCGTCTTTCCTGTTCTGAATTGCCGCTCCTCTTTCTAATTTTTCTGTATGTACGTTGAAAGATCGCTAGCAATGGCTTCTCCAGAGATTGTTGACCTTGCCGAGGATGATCTGGGCCGTGTACCTGAGGGAATAGTCTTCGACGATGAAAGCAAAGCAAATTCCAGGGACAACTTAACAACCAAGTCAACAGAGAAAGATCTACAAGAAAATGTCCTGGACAAATCCACACCGATTATCTATCATTATTTAAAATTCGAAACAAATCTGCCATCGCCTTCAACCAGTATATCCGTGGATCCGGCAAAACCATCGCCCCCTCAGCCAGACCTCAAGAAGTTCACATCTCCCTTTGACTGGCCCGAATCCCGGAAGAATTTCATGGTCTGGTTATCGTGTATTGCCACACTCTGCACTGCGTATACAGCTGGGGCGTACTCCCCTGCAGTTGGTCAGATGACGGTCGAATGGAATGTGAGTCAAGTTGCTGCAGTGGTTGGCATTACTAGCTTCTGTTGTGGCTTTGGCATAGCTCCTATGGTTCTAGCACCATTTTCTGAAATTCAAGGCCGATATCCAGTAACCAACCTATTTCTTTCACCTATATCCCGAGCTCCCTATTTCACGGGTCAGGAGAATGGGACATACTCCCGGCTCCGTCCCCTCCAAAGAAACAGGTTGCTAATTCGTTGAAGGTTTTCGTTGGTGCTGGAATTCTGTTTCTAATATGTCAAATATGCTGTGCCGTCACCAAATCTTATGCTGGAATGATCGTCGCTAGATTTTGGGTTGGATGTGGGAGTTCCGTATTCTCAACCATGGTCGGGGGTGAGTCTGCATCCAAGAAGGAACAAGGTGATCATTGAATTTAACAATTCGTAGGGGTTGTCAGTGACCTATACCACGCCCACGATCGAAACACACCCATGGCTCTTTTCTCGGGTGGAGCTCTCCTCGGAACGGGCTTGGGTCCTTTGGTCTCAGGCTTTATCGCCCACAACACGAATTGGAGATGGGTGTTCTGGGTACAGGTTATTATTTGCGGCATCTTGGTCTCCGCGGTGACACTATTCTTCAAGGAGACTCGAGGAAGCATTCTTCTGAGCAAGAAAGCGAGGTGTCTGAACAGGTGGTATGAAGAGAGGGAAGCGGCCGGTTACATCGGTTTCGACATGCCAGTCTCCCCAGGATCAGAGAAGACCGGGAGCCAGCGAATTCGATGGAAAGTCAAGTCCGACGAGGAGCGAGAATCGATCTCGAAAATGATCGGCATTTCAGTGTGTCGACCTTTCCACCTCCTCGTCACCGAGCCTGTTGTCTTCTTTTTCAGTCTTTGGGTTTCTTTTGCATGGGCTGTTCTCTATCTAACGTTTGGGTCTATCCCTCTCGTCTTTGGCCGTTCACATGATTTCACGATCCAAGAGTCTGGAGCTGTCTTCGCGGCAATGTGCGTTGGTGCAATACTTTCTACGGTTCTTTCCATCTACCAAGATCGTCTGCTAGCCCGATACCTCACATCCTCGGCTAAGCATATTGAAAATCCAGGACGGATAAGAAGAAGCATCGACCTGAGTTCCCCAGAAGCACGTCTATATTTTGCGTGTGTTGAATCAGTATTTCTTCCCATTGGCCTTTTCTGGTTCGGCTGGACTCAGTTTCCCTCGATCCCTTGGATTGTCCCTACCATGTCGATAGCATGTGCAACTATGGGAATATTCTCGATCTATCTCGCTACGTTCAACTATCTTGCCGATACCTACCATAGGTACGCAAGCTCGGCACTGGCAGCGCAATCATTTTGTAGGAATATCCTGGGTGGCGTCTTTCCCTTGGTCACGGTGCAAATGTTCAACCGATTGACATTTCAAGGGGCGGCGAGTCTACTAGGTGGGCTAGCATTACTATTGACGGCCGTGCCGTGGGTGTTGGTACTATATGGACCCCAGATCAGGGCCAGAAGCAAGTTTGCCAGCGAGGTTATGTGAATAGACAGGGGATCGCAGGGGGATTCTGAGCGGACGGCAAACCCAGCGCTGAAAATTACGAGGGAGCTTGATTGAAGAGGAACTGAGCGATCGATTTCTCCTGAAAACGAGAAAGCTCGTGCCTTCGACTTAACATGCCAGAGGAGATGGGACAAGTGTCCAGACTGACAGTTCTTTCCGAGCTTCGGGGGTATGAAGTTCAATCGCCCGGTCATGTTGGACGTTAGCGCCCTCGTGTGGTGGCCCAACAAGGCACGACCATAACAGGCAAAGGATTAAGTGCATCAACGATATTTAAGATTCATTAGATTCAAGTGAAGAGATAAACAGAAAATTTACTCACAGCTTGATATTATTGCACATTGTTCGAGAAGAGAGCCATTTTTCGAGGGAGATATTCTCCTCGTGTTATGTTTCCTCTCGCGGGTCCCCTTAGCTCATTCAGTGCATTACAGCCTCGTATCCTTCCACAGCCTTAGCCCCAAAACCCCACTTACCCCCCTTAACCAGCCACGTCCTTGGCCATCTTGGCGACCAACCGACACCTCGTATTTAACCATCACATATTCCCACACTTCACCTCACCTCTCCTCTTCATTCCACTTCAGCCCTACCCTTCCCACGCAAAGATCGAACAATCAAGCCTAAAGAAAAATACAAGATGTCAATCGCCCTCTTCCATTTCGCAAAAGCAATCGAATCTACCGCCCATCATCTCGGTCTAGGAAAGTTCGAAGGTCAGCCTCCTTCACCATCCAACAAGAAGATAGGTTACCTAACGAAACACATTCAGTATCTGAACACTGGAAATGCCCCAAATGCCTGCACGACGACCCGGAACTCTGCACAAACTGCAAAGAATCCTGGCTCCACGAGGTGTCCAATATAGAATATTCAGACGCCTTCGAACGCCGCCTTAACATCACAGCTGGTAGTGCGGGCTGCGTAATGGGGATCACGGGAGCGCTGGCGAATGCTAGTATGGGTTTTTGGGAGGAGGGAGATGTGATGGAGCAGGTATAGCTACCTGTACTTCAACTTGAAAACTGGTTGCTAACGAATCACTCTTGAAAGATCACTGAGGTTGTCAAAGCCAGGCTCCCAGCACTTATGTTGGTTTCCCCGGCTTGGAGGATGATCTATAACTACGTCCTCATCCTCCTCTTCGTTATCTCGGTTTCCGCAATCTTCGCATCTGTTTCAGTAGCAACCTTCATCATGGCACTGAATCCAGGAGCGAAGAGGCATTGGAGACACATGACTTTCGGAGTTTATGTAGTTCTGCTTTCTGAGATTTTGGCATATATATTCCTCTTCTGTTCTGGGGTAACGATAGCAGAGATGGCGTTTGCTTTCGGTCCCTTGGTTGTCGGGGCTGGAGCTTTGCTATGTGTTGTGGCTATGAGAAAGAGTGAGATTAAGAAAGTTGATGTAGAAAAGGGCTCGTAGGTTTGGGTAAGAAATACAATAGCCTTTACCGGATATCTTACAGCTTCAAATTGCGAAAGGAAGAGCTTTCGATTTGATCAAAAACCCAACGTCTTTGGATATCTTACGGGCGACCTGTTGCTGCACTTCGAGTGACTTCAGGCACCGGATTCTTGGACTTCAAAAGAGCCCAAAGCCGCTGAACAGTAATATGCCGAGAGAACGGGCAGTAATCATTTCAATGTTTCGGTTTTCTCCGTGTTGTCTGTTTTTAATTATTAATATTCTGTGCGGGACACCCGGCATTGTCGACGCTGACCAAAATTATGCCTCGATCCTCTATACCAGCAACGTTATTATACATCTAACCCAGTTAAAGAGTTTTGACGAATGCTTGCACTTCTTCTTGCAGAAGTTTTACGGCTTCAAAGTCCTGCCAGAAGTGCCCGGCCCCAGAGACTTCAGCGTGTCGAAATCGCCCGCTCCCTTTGGAAGCCGCACTTAACTTGCCAACCCAGGATCGAAGTCTCTTGGCACCGACAAACAAATCGTCGTCACCAAATACAACGAGCGATGGATCCACTGTGAGCTTCATCTCGTGATCTGGTATTTGGTCTTTCCAAGATCTCGAACTCCACAAGGTTAAGAGGTGACTGACCAATCCTTGTAAAGGCGAGATCAACAAATACGCCGTTTGAAGTCCGGAGCCGATGCCTGGAACCTCCTTACATACAACGGTGTCCATCTTACTTGACCCGTCTTCGGGCGAGACATGCTCGAATGAAGATTGTGATCCATTTGCCTTAGGAGACGAAGCACTGTTCTGTCGTTTGGGTAAAAACCGCTTCGTTTTGCCTATTGACCGAACCCTGTCCACACTTCTGCGCACCATTTCAGGAGTTTCTATGGTGAACGAGCTTCTGGAGCGATACGAGTCATGGCTCGCTCTCCGTAGATTCTCCTCCCCACCCATGCGAACTCCACCACTCGATTTTCTTAGTTTTGGACTGTGAAGAAGGTCATCCGCGTGTAGACTTCGGCCGCGTTTATGCGAATGTGCATTGAGAAGCGACGTTATTTGCGTCTGCATCACCTCGTTCTGCTGGGCCGCGAGGCACTCAGCACGGAGACGGATCTCAGAATGGGCTGAACCTTCAGCGGGGCTCTGAAACTGGGCAATAATAGAACTGATTATTGGCGGCAGGTAGGTTGTTATAAGAGCACCGTACGAGTATCCAGCCAGCAGTAGACAAGGCCCAGTATTCGGCACCTCAACCGTATTTCCCCGGACGGCAATGGCAGGAGCAGGTACTGCAGGGTGAGGGTTAGGAACAGCCGCTGTTACATATCGAGGATCGCTAAGGCGGGGAGGAGGTAGGGCTTGCGATGGAACGGGAGTTAAGTCGTGGAGTTCGGAATCGAAACGGGTAAACTTGAGTAGGTCTGTCGGAACTGGTGGAGGGGATAAGAGATGCATGTAATAAATCATGAAACCGACAAAGGACAAATAGTCACTCTGCTCAGGCTTCGACTGGTATGAAGTTCGGCCCTTCGAAGCACCTGCTCCTCTTCAAGCGCAGAATGTTAGCACAGGTCCCCAAATACCCCGTATGTAGGTACAGACCTGAAGTTGAAGGTCCCGACAAGAAAGCCTTGTTCAAGAATCGTCGAGGAAACAAGATCCACGACTGGATCATCATAACAGCCCCCGAGCACCGCATAAGGATGAGCGACAATTGCGGCCTTCTTGTTCCATGTTGTGATCTGCAAAATTGAGGTTGGTGCAAGGCATGTCGGGTGATAGACGCGACACTGAAGGACTATATCGTCGTGGATGGAGGGGATGGTAAAGCTCAAAGTCGGCGTAGGAAGAGGCATTGCGGGCGTTCGACGGTGCCCTCGAGGGGAGGGCACTCATCCGGTAGAAAGCTGTATTATTTGGGTCGCAACAAGCGTGGTCGAATCGCCTGCTTGCGCCATGCAGAGTATAGAGAGCGAATGGTGAATGGCACAATGAAATGGGTCGTGGTGAGCGTGTGGCGATGACATCAACGCGGTCGAGGGTTCAGATTCAGCATGTGCTCGGCTATGTTTGGTGGGGCAGAGCAAGGGGAGGCCGTGACCCTTGTTGCTCCAATCAGGGGCGGAGCACACCTTCTCATGCTCCTTGTACTTCAATAGTTATTTCCAGAAAAGGTTCTCCGTCCATTTTGATCTTTAATGGTGGGAATACTCAGATGGACAGCGTCAAATTAACGTTCACAGCTGCCGTACCTTTTCCACACCTTTCCCCATTTCCCAAGTTCTCCTTTCTCGTAACCAAAGCTTTCGTTTTACCAGTGTTTATCATTCTAAGTCGTTCGAGACAATCCGTCTATTTTGCCCGCTTCGGACGCCCCGGAAATCAAATTTATCATTTCAGCAAAGAGAAGACAATGTGTTGCGGATTGGGGGCATTGAATTCCATTTTGCTTCTATAAACTACTTATCAACGCATTCTTTACGAATCCGCCTTCGTAACGTTCGTTCCCAGATCTTCCATAACCCAGTTCACAGACGAGGGGCATAAAGGGAGTTGATTTTTGCAAAGTATCGCGGCAGGAGTATTCAGGTCGCAAGTATAAAGGCCCATTAGTCAAGTCGACGAACAGACCCTTACGCCACAAGGCCGAGATTCTCTGGCTCTGCCTTGATGACACGGAGACTAGAGTTGAACATTAGCTTTGGACAGAGACATAAATAATTATTGCACTCACGTGTTGGTGTTGCCCATGCCACCCTTCCATCCCTGGACAACAACCACAGTCTCGCCCTGGGAAAGAACCTTGAGCTTCATGGCCTCAGAGATACCCCACCTGATTCTCCTGTCGACATCCTCTTGCCAGTTGACCTTCGTAAAATCGGGCTTCTGCTCCGGAAAGTAGAACGGGTAGACTCCACGGTACAGATGGCCGTACCGAGAAGCGCTTGGGTTTCTGGTGACCATGAAGATGGGACAGACGGGTCTATACTTAGACAGAAGGCGCGCGCTGTCTCCACTGGTGGATAGAACGATAATGGCGCCTGCATTCATGTCCAGGCTGGCTCGAACTGCTGCCATGGCACACGACTCGACGATGCTGACAGGACGCTTGACAAGATTGCAAAGCTCCTCGAAGTGGGAAACATATGCGATGGTGTTCTCGGCCTTCAGGCAAGTCTCGTGCATCTCTCTGACGGATTCTGTGGGATAGCTGCCCTTGGCTGTCTCACCGGACAACATGACACAATCGGCCCCATCGGTGACAGCGTTGCCAACATCACTGATCTCAGCTCGGGTTGGGCGAGGGTTTTTGATCATGGACTCGAGCATCTGGGTGGCACAGATAACGGGCTTTCCGGCGATGTTGCACATGGCAATCAGTTTCTTCTGTGCGGCAAACACTTCGGCTGCGGGAATCTCGATACCCAAGTCGCCACGTGCAACCATAACACCGTCGGTCTCCTTCAAGATCTCCGCAAAGTTGTTTAGACCCTGTCTGTTCTCAATTTTGGCAATGATCTGGATGTGCTTTCCATCCTCGCCAAGGACCTTGCGAATAGCCGTGATATCCTCGCCGCGGCGAATAAACGAGGCAAAGACCATGTCAACATTGTTCTTGACACCAAACCGAAGATCGGCCTGGTCCTTCTCGGAAAGTGCAGGGAGGTCGACATCGGTGTTTGGGAGGTTGACACCCTTCTTAGAAGAGATCATGCCATTGTTACGGGCACGCACACGGATGGTGTTGGAGTTGACAACTTCGAGGACATCAAACGCAAGAACACCGTCGTCGACATAGATAATACGGCCAGCCTCAATGACTTTGGTGATGTTCTTGTAGTCGACATACCTGGGAGAATTGTTAGCTGTAACGAGTCCGGCATATCCGGCAGCAGATACTCACATGTTCTTATCGTCGCAGCATGTCGCATACTTGTCATCAGTGGTAATGTTGAGCTCTGTTCCCGCAGAGATGGGGATGTCCTCGTCATTGGCAGTGTTGCCGGTTCTGATCTCAGGGCCCTTGGTGTCCAAGGCAATGGCGATCTGACGGCCCTTCTGGACCTTCTCAGCCTCGCGGGCATGGTCGATCACGAATTGGTGGTATTCGTATGAGCCATGGGAGAAGTTCATGCGAACGACATTGAGACCAGCAGTGCGGAGCTTGTTGATGGCTTCGACAGAGTTCGTTTTGGGTCCGATTGTACAGATGATCGAGGTACGTCGGTAGTTTTTTGTCGGCTTGAACTGGGACGAATGTTAGTCTCTGGTTAAGCTACGAGGAGACAAAGGATCATTGTACCTCTGTATTCAGGGACGAGAGCCACTCGATCTTCGTCGAGCCGGTCGAGAGATGGTCCATTGCGGTAGCCATTTTTTTGCAAGGACGCGGCGCGGAGGAGGCTCGTTACTAATAGTTGAAGGAGGGTGCAAAGATAAACGGAGTTGGATATATCTGTGCTGGACTGCAAAGTGAAGTGCCTCTCATTAGCTGGTGAATGCCTCGATTGTTACGCGTGGTGGGGTAACCTGACAACAAACGGGGAACTGGCGACCTTCTTACCACAAGCGTTTCCAATTGAGTGAGGATGGGAGGACTGAGCAGCAGATGAAGAAGATGAGGTTAAAAAGCGGCTGAAGCAAAGCAACTCACGAGGCGTGAGGGAATTCTCTTGCAGATGCCCTGGTCGTGAAGGGTCTGCTGCGATGCAAGAGGAGAGCTTTTACAAGCAAAAAGAAAAGAACAGCTCCAGCATGGCACCCCACCCCACTCAGCAGCCCACGCTCGTTGGGAGAGCCTTTCTTTGGTTTGGTTGGGCTGAGCTGCCAGGGGGGGGGGCGCGGCCAGGGTTTTTTGGTGGCGAGGGTGGTCCAACCGTCCAAGGGCCGAATCGCTTATCGGGCACTGGGCAGCAGCGGTGGGCGGTCGCTGCCTTGTTTCGGCCTGAGGCCATTTGTCGGTTGCTCCTTGCAACCTCGAGCCACCAGAACCTCTCTCGTCGCCGCCATGCACCTGACTGACCCTACTCATCCATCAGCACACCCAGCACTGTAACATCCAAACCAACCCATCCCACCGCAATAATCATCTTGGGAAGGAGTTCTCGCTGCCCACTTGCCACCCTGAAGCAGCAAGCCAAGCCAAGCCCAGCCAGGCCCAGCCCGCAAATATGGTTGTCAGTTCCCTCAGAGTTGCAAGTCTCCACGGCTGGAACCTAATCAGCTCAGCTCCTCAATTTACTAACATTTGGTTTGTGGGGGAAGGTCGGAAGACTGGCTCACTATGCATTTGATGCAGTCCTGAGTAGGCTCTTCTGTGCCCTGTCAATCAGAATCCCGACTGACCTCTGCCCAGTATCTGCATTCCTGGCGGGCATGAAACGCTCAACCGGCTTAACGTACGTTTAGATTTCGATTCCTCTCCTCCTCAAGATGCTCTCGTCATGCGCACGCAGTTGGTTAGGAAGAGTTGGAATCATACTTGTATCGTTGTCTCGCCTCGTCTGCTTTCCCGAGAGCACACTGGCTAACAACTCCCATGCTCTGGGACCGTAGACCCAGTTTCAAGAAAGAAGCTCTCACCGAGAACAAAGACATAAACCACTGGATCGATAAGTACCTAGGAGTCGGCGAATGGGTGATGGACCAATCTGTTGCCATCGCAGGATCTTCGAGCTGGTTCGAGCGAAAGCGGTAGAGTCGGGTTGTAATCGGCCTGCATGGATAAAGGCACAATATTGCAGATTGACGGAACGGAGAACATTGTAGAGTTGACTTGGAGCATGCGGACATCGGTGGAGTCTTTGGCGTTTGGGAAATTCTCGTGGCCTGCTCTAGGCTGGTTGACACCGGGGACGGCGAAAGGTGGTTCCTCTCCTCCATCGTACAGTACGACGAATCATAGCATTGAAGTGCACTAGAATCAATGAGATAAGGTCTTCGTGCAATGATGTGTATGTGTGCAGTATCCATCATCTCCATCTTGGTCCACCTCCATGCTTCACTCCTCCCGAGCCGGCCCGAACTTACCCGAAGTAGCGAGCATGGAGAAATTCACAAGTGCGCAAAAAGATGGTATAACAGCTGGATAACTTTGTTGGTTGAATCTAACGCTCTGGTATCATATGCTTCATCAAGGGGTATCATCAGGATCTCCACGATCGACTAAAAGCTCTGCGAGGTTGGGTCCATCGTCCTCACTGTCCTCCATTTCCGAGCTCTCACGTCTCTTCACTCCGTTGGTATTGCTCTCTTCTTCACACTGCTCATTCTCATTCTGCCCCAATACCCCACGCAGAATGGCCTCGCCCTCTTTGAAAGCCTCTAGCTCAGCTCCAACGGCACAGATTAGCAAGTTCCACCCCTTGTCTGCTGCAATACCAAGGGTGTCTCCCAACTTCGTAGTTACTCCTCCCATCTTTATTATTTGTTCTCGAAGCCTCTCAACATCCTGTACCTCATTGCTGTCCATCTGCTTCCGCAAATCATCTTCGAATTCCGTCACGATACCGATGCTCTCCTCCCAAAGCGTCGCACCCTCTTCTAAAGCTGCCTTCTCCTTTTGGGCCTCTTGCTTGCGGAGTTGAAGCTGCGTGACCTCTTTATTCCACCATTCCTTTGCCATGCCTAACGTCCTTCGACCTGGCGGCAGCGCCACGAATCCTTCCTCGTCTCCCATGACAATGGATACATGGATAGGTGGCCTCTTGAGAAACTCCTTGACTTCCATCTCGACGTCTCGTAATGCACCCCGATAACTGCTGAGTCTTGCTTCCCGCTTGTTAACAGTCTCATTAATCCTTTCCCCTAGCCATCGCTTCCTGGCCTTCATTTGCGCGAGCCTGTCTTCCATTTCCCGAATCTCATTCTCCACAGCCCTCTCCTCAGTCTTCAACTCCTCAATCTCCCTGCCTTCTTCTCCACCTCCTTCTCCCTCCCCAGATATTGACCCTCCAAGCCCACTGTACTCGCTGAGTTGGTTCTTCGCTCCCTCAATCTTCTGCTCGTAGACCTCAACATGCCCGAGAACCTCATTCCTTCGTACAATTTCGCCGTGTAAAACCCCCTCTTCTTCCCTCTTTATCGAAATCAACTCCTCCATATCCCTCAACATGCCCCTCCTCGCACCTCTTAGTCCTACAGCCCTTCGTTTCGGTTGTCTTACTGGCACTATCCCTCCAATATTGCCCCGACTAGAACTCCTTTGTAAAGACCTTGTAGTTGGCGTGCTACTCCCTGCATCTGAGCTCGCATCTCCTCCAACATCTCCTCCAAAACCTTGTAACAGTCCTGCAGATTGCGCATCTAGAAGGACTTGCAGGTGATTCTGTATGGCTTTCTCGGTCCGTCCTAAGGCCAGCAAAGGGTCGATCCCACCACTTCCTCTTCGGATCCGGGGGCTTGAACTTCGTCCTAGGAAAGAGCTCTCCGAGCTATTCTTCGGACCATCTGGGATGCCATGTTGGCGAGGTGGAAAGCATACGCTGCTAGCGATCGGCGGAGGGGGGGCTGCGAATTGTATTCTTCGAGCTTTCGTTCTGGGAGGGGATGGGGAGACACTGAGCCTATTCAGCTCGTTTTGAGCGCGATAAAATGACGGCGGCGGAGAAAGGGATGCTTGACGACTACTGGCTTCTCGGGGCGAGAGATCCTCAAGAGAGACAGAGTCGTTGTGCTGTGGGAGAAGAGGACTGTTGTCCCGTGACGACCGGGAGAAGAACGATGATCTCGACATCCTTCTTTCCAGGTGCGTTTGAGGGGATCCGAGATGGATCTGTGGGTGGAAAGTAAGAAATGAAGCAACTGCTTCGAGGCTTTCAGACCATGGTGTTGTCATTTAGATCAGGCGCATATCGTAGATTTCGTAGGAACATTTGTGAAATGGGATGCAGAACGGTAGTTCCCGGATTAGGTAGACGGCCGTTCACATGCTTGCATAACGAGGTCATTTGCTCTGGCTCAACGTAAGACATGGAATCTGGATCAGGTGGCCCTGTATAGGTCCAAGAGGAAACTGGACTGTAGGTGGGTGAACGAAAACAAAGAAAAGCCCAGGCTGGTGATTTTCTTGTCCTTCCTTTTGTCACCTCGGCTTAGTTTCCCAACTCCCATCGTTTAACCTTCCCGGTCGAAGAGGTTGGTGGGGAAAGCTTGACGAAGTTCCGTGGGGCAGCTCGGTCTTCACTGCGCGCCACAGACGTCCGAAAATGTATAAATATGAAAGACTTTACATTTTCAAACCACTTTCCCAGCTAACGTTACACGTTGATTTTCTCGTGTTAGAACTATCCATTGGCAATATCTACGAATTTTCCACTGTTCGGTAAATCTTTCTATGCACAGTCAACGGATCTGCCCAGTGAAACCGCCGGCAACCTCTACATGAAGTTGGGCGTCTCTAATACATGCAGCCAGACGGAGCAATCCTTAAATCGTTCTAGGTTCTCTGCGCCCTAATTCGAGCTTTAGTCCAATACTATCGGAACCACCCGTTCTCTATTGACAATAAGAGCATCGTGAACAGCCCGAATTTAGTCACGGAATACTCTCAACCCTTCGTAAACAGATATTCCAACAATTATGCAGTCAGCAACCACGACAGACCGAGACTCTTTGACATCAAGAATCCTGCCTCAAATGACCCTAAGCAAAGGTGATGAAACATCTTCAACTGGTCCACCTGCACTTCCATCCGACAACCTCAGTGCTGAGAAAAGCGCCGCAAAGAGGTTTGAAGTGGAAGGAAACGCCATGTGAGTGGTCTCTCTACGAACCAAACCATCGCTGATGATTTTGCAGAATAACTGGCGGAGGAGGGGCCCTTGGATTCGCAGCGTTGAAGGCTCTCTTGGAACATGGTCTCTCGGGTGTCATGATTTTTGACGTCAACTTAACTCAAGCGCAGCCCAAAATCGATAAGTTGCAGAAGGGTATGTTTTGTGAGAGTTCTTCTTGTTTCCACCTGTCTTTTGGCTTTCTTCTAAGATAATCTTCCAGTCGATCCCGAAACGATCTTCATGTGATTACTGACTATGGTACCCAGAATTTCCAGCCTGCCAAATCCATTCGAAACGAGTTGACATCACTGATGATTTGGCAGTTGCTAAAGCAGTTGAAGAAACAGGAAATCTCCTGGGTAGGTTTAATTTTCGAAGCAACTCTTCCTACTTCAAATATCGTTGGCTTCTTCGGTGTCATCAGACATGTGTAAGGACTGAACGGACTTACAAGACAGGGCGTCCCAGTCGGCATTCATCCACTCAGGCATACTGATTCTGACTGATGATAGGCTCCGTGGATCACCTTCTCTGCTTCGCTGGGGTCGTCGGCTGTCAACATGCCCTCGATATGACCGCTGCTGAATGGCGCAGGGTGCTCGATATCAACACGACTGGAGGATTCCTTTGTGCCCAGGCTGTAGCAAAGCAGATGGTTCAGCAAGGTCATGGCGGGAGCATTATTTTTGTAGCTTCGATTTCTGGCCACCGAGTCAATTGGCCCCAGCCACAAGTAGGTCCCCTCAGAGTATCAATTCCTTTTGTAGACATGTCCAACAGCTCTTGGGACAATCTACTCCCGAAAATACCCGAAAGACGTATGCTGACCCGAATTTCTTGAGAATAGGTAGCTTACAACGTGAGCAAAAGTGCTTTGTTGACATTGAAGAGTTGTTTGGCGGCCGAATGGGCAAGGTACGGAATCAGAGTTAATTCGCTCTCCCCGGGGTATATGGACACGATATTGAATGAAGGAGAGGGAATTGCAGAGGCACGAAAGATATGGGCAGATAGGAACCCTTTGGGGAGAATGGGAACGCCGAATGAGCTGACAGGTACCGTTGTGTTGCTCTCGAGCATGCAAGCTACATACATCAACGGTATGACCCCCGGACTAAACAAGTCTCGTGCAATGCATCCTCCCCATCCTTGTGGCAAACTTGCTGACGGTATATCAATTCAGGAACGGATATTGTTGTGGATGGAGGTCAGATACTTTTCTGACGGTGACGAGTGATGACGAGTGTTGAATTCCAATTTAGGAGTCTTCGGATATTGGTGGGTCATGTGATGGGCAGTGTTTGACAACCCACTTCTGCCATTTCTGCCACTGGGGTTTCGTTACTGCCCTGCCGTCATCGTGCAAATCATTCCAACCAAACCCATTTGCGCACTCGCAGTGGAGCGGTGCACTCTCGACGGTAGAGATATTCTGAAACTCTCGCGCAAGATCGCTCTCATTTTCGTCGACTTCATCGTGGCTTTCATGGCTTTCGTGACTTTCATCGGTTGACTCATCCAGCTCATCCTGCTCATCCTGCTCATCCTCATTCTGCTCGCCTAGAACGGTGTTGCTCGCACTTTGATCCGAGTCCTCGTCGTCTTCGCTCCCGTCTTCAACTTCATCATTCGACTCGCTCCAGGTGTCAGCAGAAAGTTCATCAATATCGCTGTCTTCATCGCTGTCCTCATCGCTAATGGTGTTATTCTGAGCGGGTCCATTCACAAAGTGCATGCCATTCGCAGCATCGGTGTCATCCTCATAGTCGATGCCGCGGAGACTAACATAATCTTTTGGTCTAATTTCGAGACGCTGGGTGATGGAGGAGTCAGCAGGTTTTTGACAAGAAATGCTTCGGGAAATCTGGGACAATGCCAATTCCCGTGCGAGAATCATGAGAGGTCTAGAAATAAGAAGTGAATCTCTCTCCCCACACCTACTATAAATTGGAGCACCTGTCGCCAGCTGCAGTCATTCACCGGAACACGTCTGAGTAGAATATGCCTCAATCGCAAACTTCTGAGGGTCTTTTTGTGTCTCTTTAACAAGTCCAATAACTCATCGCCATTCAATTGCCACATGTGCAAGCCACTGCATGTTCGCCGGATTAGTGAATTTATCCCACCAGAACAATATTAAGAGCAGGACAAAGGGGATGGACTGTGATTGAATAAGTGGAACGGGAAAATTCGTAGGCCACTGTTTCTTAGGCTGGAGACTCTGCTTACATATGCTCTAGCTTCCTGAAGTGCACATTATGGAAAACATCCCTGAGGGGAATTGAAACTGGTCGAGTGCTAATAAGTGAGATGATCAGTTCATCATATTCAGCTCGCAGATAGCCCAAAGAACCTAAATAGAGGTGCTTCAAAGCCGGTTTTCGCACTTTGGGGCAGAAGGGGCTCTTACAAACCGATATGCAGAATCCGGAGAGAGTCCAGGGCGGCGCTGAAAACCACTTGGAAAAGCCCTGATAACTGTGACATCTTTTGGTCCAAACTGACAGCGACATCAGTTTGTCGAAATTCAAATTCCAAGGCGACCACCCGGTGAGCAATGCTTGATATCGTCCTTCGTAAGCCTGGGGTAACTAGAACTGGTGTTCGAGGGTCCATGAATCGGCTCGAAAATCGATCAACACCAGAATGAGATTGCTGAATCGCCAAAGCCAATGTGGTGGCGGCATGCTCGTAAGCGCATTTCCATTCAACGGGCCTGAATTCAGTTTCAACGTCTGGATGTGCCCTTAGGTACCTGATGGTCTCGGAGTCAGCACAAAGCGTCCGAGAGAGGTAATATGGTCTTAAGAATCTACACCTACTTGTCCCACTTATCGTTTGCATCCACAACTTTCATTAGTCGTAGCTGGTGAAGATTCTTGAACCGCGTCAAGGCATACACAAGAGTCTTGACGTCTATCTTTTGCTCAATGATCTCTTGCTGCTGCTGAGCCTTCTTAAGTGCAATTTGGAGTTGCACTTCGTCTGCCTCGCCACGCCGTAATGCGGTGCGGAGTTCTTGAGCCGTTGGCTGCTGCCGGTCGACCGGGGTCCGTCTTCCTTGTGCCCTAAGAGCCAGTTTCTGCCTTGAGTCCTCGACACTCGCTCGTGCCTCTCCTATCTTGCGTTCGAGAGTTCTCACATCTGCAGACAGAAATGTCAGCATAGTGAAGCCCCGTAGCATGTTATCGTTTACCTGAAGGGTAAAAGCGAGGAATCATATATGAAAACTGTTGCACAAAGCCACGGAATTTTTCCCTCTCTGCAATCTCTCGCAATGTGCTGAAGCCATCAGAAGAGAACCGAATCCGGACTCGGAGGAGTAGACGTGGAACGCCAATTGCTGCAAATCTATGGCAGACCAATCTAAATTGCCGTATCTGAGTTGAATCTTTGGGTAGGGAAGCCGCTGTTGAAGAAAAGCTGTCCACACTTAGGCTCGCTCGTTCGTTGATAGCTAACAATTTCCCAGGTTTGACCGTCAGATGTTCCAAGATAGCGAATAGCATTTCCTTGGGAAGTCTGGTGAGTGGGCGGTTATCATGATTGTAGTCTTGATACCATTTACCGAGTTGTTTGTTGTGGGCTTTGTTCTTTTCGTCCGTGTTTTCGTCACGATATTCGTTGATTATGGCAAAGTCGAAGAACTCCTTCAGAAGGTGTGTGTTGACCACCACAGCGAAGTTGAGAATGCTTCTCAATGTATCGCTAGGCCGAGACACGGATATACGTCTCGGGGCTAGGGAGCCTTGTGGATGAGGCATGAGAGTGAGGCCCTTTTCGTCGCCAGCCAGATGCAATAAGATCCGGTCCAGGATTTTCCGCTCCCGCAGGGCAATCATTGCACTCGCCATCTTCAGCTGATGTACTCTTCTGCTAGAACCAGCACGTTAAATCCATCTGTGTAGATCACCATCAGGTTGACACACCATCTGCTTCAAGGAATGCTGTGTCCTCAAGGAAGGGGATGTCGCTCGGGGCACAATATCATGAAAAACGGTGACAACGGAAGGCACGCGGAGGCTCGAGAAGTGCCAGCACACATGGGTAAATAAGGGTCACGCATTCTGACGTGTTTATGCATCCGGCAAGAACTGGAATGGCACTCTCTGGCCGATGTGTGAGGACAGGCTGCAGTGCCTTGGTCATTCGCCGAGATGCGTTTGCTCTGCATTCAAAACGGCCTCCTACAGCAGCACTGCACGAATCAAGGGCGACGGAGGTTGGTAGCGTGCTCAGTAGCGTTCCGAGTTCTCGGTGCGGAAAATGATCATGTGAGCTGCAGGCTTCCCGCGCGAAGGTGTTGGATTCGACACGATACTGCTCGGTGCTGCTGGGTGCAGGAAAGGGCTTCGTGGCAGCGAATCGTCGAGAGGGGGGGGGGTGGGCGTCCGCTCTGCAAGGCGGCCTGCGGTCGCCGCCCTCGTAGCGAATCGCACCCGCACTGCGGCAGAAGTGCCTTCCGGGCGAGCAAACACGGCTTGGCATCGGCCTATCCTGGCGGGGCAGGACAGCAGCAGCAGGACAGCAGGACAGCAGAACGGCACAGCACCCTCTCTCTCTCTCTCCTCCACGGACATGATCGCGCAAAAGAGCGAGGAGGGCTGCCGGGCCAGGATGCTGGGGGGTGAGGATGCTGATGCCGAAGCTGGTGCTGATGCCGAAGCTGATGCTGATGCGGATGCGGATGCTGATGCTGGTGCTCGTGCTGGTGGTGCTGGTGCTGATGCTGATGGCTGATGCTGCACAGCAGACGCCAATAACGGTTTGGCGAGGGCGGAAGAGGGGTCGGGCCCAGCATCGATGAATAATCGATGGAATGATTGGGCTGCGTCGGCCTCTCGCTGGGCGCTTAATTGATGTCGCCCCCGCATGGCGCGTGTCGTGCTGGACGCGTCTCTCCCGTCCACCCCTGCGTTGGAGCTGGAACTCTTCGCCCAGCAGGTCTCGGGGCCAGGTCAGCCAGCTAGCTAGCTACCCGCGACCGGGAACGGGTCGGCACGCCGATCTGGTGGATGTGCGTGCGTCTTCTGATTCTTCATCGTCTGCCCGCCCGCCTGCTCACGATACAGCACAGCACAGGAGTTGAGTGAATGAATGACACGCCAAATGCACATGCAAAGATCTTCCCGAATCACCCGCTTGGCTGTGCCCCGAGAAACCCCCTTCCCCCCCCCTCCCCCCCTCCCCCCAACAGGCCGCAAGGATGCTTTGCATATGGATGCAGGACTGTGATAGCGCAGGCAGCTAGCTTGTGACCGCTACGATGCATCCACATGTGCTCCCCCATTCTCTGCCGGGCCGCTAGTCCGCTCTCGTAAGAGGCAGGTAGCTCCTCCTGCCTGGCCGAACCAGATCCTAGCTTGCATGTGCACTCCTCGACCTGCTGAAAATCCACTTATGCTGTGGTACATGTGTCGTGATATTGAGTGCGTTCCCGGAACGTAGTCAGGGGAAAGGGTGAGCACTACGGTATCTCATTTACTCCCGACCCCTGGCGTTTTGTTCCCGACTCCGTATTCGAGAAGTCAGTGACTTTTGTGGCATCCGTGGCCGACTAAGGCTGATCCCCAGTGTCTAAATCCCGCAAAGTGCAAGAGCATGTGAAGCACAATGAAGGAGCGGAAGGAGTCCCTTGTTACAACTGCTCTGCATATGCAATGTTTTCAAGGATCATTTGCCCTGCCCATGTTTTCAAAGGGAAGAAGTAAGGGCAATCTCTGCTCTGCGTTTCCGTATTGCCGTGCTGCTGATCTTCGACGCAAAATTTTCAGTCTGGCTTGCCCCTTGTTCGGTCTCCCCAGCATTCAAAACGTCAACCTCGAAGACATCCAGATGTTTCCATCCTTTCTCTGCTCTCTTATCGTTCACCGCCTTACCACCAGACCTTGTCTCCCCTGATACTACAAGTGCAGTAACGCTCTCATCGGTAATGGTAGGTCCGAATGGGTCTTGTATCTCGACACATTCAATGACAATGGAGCAATTTTTGAGCCTCGTATGGACTGAACGGCCGTTCGGAATTGGTTCGTCGAATGAAAGCGTTTCGATTTCTGCTTCTCGACTCCCACGAGCGAATTGCAGTACCGAGAGTAAGAAGTCAACAACGTCTTCCTGCCGCTGGGCCCAACTTCTTAGATACTCGACATATTTCTTGTTTTTCAAGAGCTCATCGCCAGTTATACCAACAATGAGCCTTCTATAGGGTGCCGAGGAGGATCTAGCTGGTTGGAGGAGCAACGCCGTCGCTGTAAGCAACAGCTTATGTCCAGCATGAAGATGATCAAAAGTTCCTCCCACAATTACAACATTGTGTGTATTGGCCGAGGCCGGTTTTCTTGTCACCTGTTCAGTCTCTCTCTGGATCAAGCTCACTCCACCGGCAACAGGCCTCACGTGACCACACAGCGATGGACTATGTTGGTTTGCAAGCTTCAAGTAGCTGGCGAATATCTTCTGGCCTTCTTCTCCGTCCACGGAGAATACAATGTTCCACCGGCGCCGTGTGACTGCAAGAGTTGGAAGGTCGACAATGGGTCCAGCCACAAATGGATCAGGCCTAAGCTCGCCTTCCTCTTCAAAGTGCCGTGACCCATCGTAGTCTAGCAAGAGGATACGGGCATCTATAGATCCAGGAGTATCGGACTCCACATCAACACCCAGATTGGCGCACACGGTGCACACCAAACTATAGAGGCCAGCCAGGGATCGCTGGAGCTCTGTATAGATCTGACATCTTGGTGCTTGAAGTTGAGCATGAACGGCCGGGCACGGTAATACAATAATCAGCTGGGTACTTGTTGGAAGCACTTTCAAGGTGGAAACGACAGCGACAAGTGATGGACGGTAAGCTGCCGAGAGCGATGCCGAGGTGATCGGAACAGGAGGCGGAGGGAGAAGCAGAAGAGACGGCAAAAGGTTCGGCATTTTGAGATGTTGCGCTCTTCTCTATAACTTGATTTGGCGTGGCGAGTGGCAAGTCAAGTATGGACGTAGGATAGGGAAAATCAGATGCTGGCTTGGATGCGAGACACTGACGTTGTTCCCGACGCGAGTGCTCCCTGAGAATCTGTAGAATGCTCCTAAGCGAATCGGGGCACGGACTCTGCGTAGCCTGACGTTCCAGGCTCAAATCAGAGACATCAACGAGGTCGACTTGCAAATTCTGTACGATATATGTGGGGAAATAATGACAATCTATAGTAAATGCAGGGAGCACTTAGAAAGGCTTCCAAAATCCTGCATTTTGTGCTTTTGTACTTTGATACTTTGATATTTTGATACAGTATTCCGTTCGTCTGACAGCCGCAAATGAACCGAGGTACCATGCCCCGCACTCCATGCTTCTGCACCCGCATTCAAAACTCCAACATCACCCTAATAACATTTTAATGATACGACCTCCGCCACTGGCTCTACAGTGACTGTTGCATTAGCAATCCTTCCTTACAGAATAAGTTCCTCGCTACCGCAACATGCCTCCCAACCCAGCTCTTGGGGCGATGAGCTTCTCAATTCCGCCAGATCTTGTGGCATACCTTCAGGAGATTGACCATTTTATAGACACTAAAATTGCGCCATTGCAAGCATCCGATGACAATAACCGATTTTTCGATCACCGTAACTAACCTATTTCTTTGTCCTATATATCCCGAGCTCCTTACCTCACTCGTCGGGAGGATGTTTTAAGCACCCTGCTCTTTCGTCCCTAAAGAAATACGTTGCTAATTCATTGGTAGGCCGGGAACATGCTAGGGTAGTGCAAAACTTCCTTGCATACATACATCCTCCTTCTGACCCATTCAACAGACCGATTGGGATCATCACGGTCTACCGCGTGACGATTGGGAAGAGCTTTTAGCTCAGGCTCGCAGATTAGCTGACGAGGCGGGTTTCTATCGTTTCTGTTTGCCAGAGGAATTCGGTGGTAGAAACGGGGGGAATCTATGGATGGCTGCCATTCGAATGCATCTGGCAAAGAAGGGGCTGGGCCTGTTCAACGACTTGCAGAACGAACATAGCATCGTTGGGAACTTTCCAGACATGTGGGTATAGGGGGAGAAACTCCTTTCTTATTTGTAATTGTCTCGTGATTTACTCTTCGAGGCAATCTCCAAGCTCCTTCAAGAATCTGTATCGAGCAATTACTAATCCTCCGTCACCCAGACTTATGGTGAAAGAATTCGGTACTCAAGGCATGAACCTTATAGTATCCGATCTTGATTTTGTGTTAACTCAAAATAGAGCAGAAAAGAGAGTTCATTCAGGGGAGACTTGATGAAAAGATTTCTTTCGCGTTCGGTCTAACAGAGCCCAATCACGGATCCGATGCAACTCATATGTTCACTCATGCTGCTCAAACCACGAGAAACGGTACGAACGGATGGGTGATAAATGGAGGGAAGATGTGGATTAGCGGCATGCACAGAGCAACACATTGCTTAGTTTTTGCCAGAACACACGGGAAGGCCGGCGATGCAATTGGTATTACAGCTTTCTTTGTTCCCAAGGGTACTCCGGGTTTCATAATCGAGTCCTATGAATGGACATTCAACATGCCTACAGATCACGCAAGTAAGAATCATTTCCAGCTTCCCTATACTGAACGCTCAATCGGTGATACAGCCTTGACCTTCACGGACGTCTTCGTGCCAGAGACTGCTGTCCTTGGCACCATCGACCACGGATTGGCAATTGCGCAGACGTTCGTACACGAGAATCGGCTTCGCCAAGCTGCTAGCTCACTTGGTGCTGCGGAATATTGCATCGAAGAGAGCATCAAATATGCAAGGAGGCGGAAGCCTTTCGGCAAGGAACTCTCCGCAAACCAGGGTATTCAGTTTCCAGTAGTTGAACTTGCAACGCAGGCAGAGATGTTGAAATTATTGATTTTGAAAACTGCCACTGAAATGGATGGTATGACGCAAAAGGAGATTGAACAAGATCTGGGCGACAAGGTGTCTATGTGCAATGTAAGCAGTCCTGGCTTCCGGGGGAGGGGGTCTGAAGCTGATTGGAAATAGTATTGGGGCAATAGGCTGTGCACGCAGGCCGCTGATCGAGCAATGCAGATTCATGGCAGGTCTAGATTCCGAGATCAATAGACCCAAGTTAACAAAATACACAGGTGGGATTGGTTACTCCAGACATAAATCGTGAGTGGTGTACAGTGTTCAATCGACTAGTGGTCTAATTAATAACTGTTACAGATTTGAGCATATATATCGGCATCATCGTGAGCGAAGGTACTCCTGCTTATACTAGGGCCGAGAACTAATATAGGACAGGCCGTTATCGCATTACCGAGGGCAGTGAGGAGATTCAAATGAGAAAGATCGCGGCATACTTATTTAGATATGTCGGCCCGAGAAAAGCTGAGCTGTCGAGGCTATAATTTATTATTAAAGTAAGGGGTTTTATATCTAAGAGCTAGTAAATATATAATTATATAAACTTTAAACCTTTTTAATATTTTAATACTCTCTAAATTTATATCTAAAGAATTTATTAATATATAATAAAGTAATAAAATTAATAAGATAAAAAATTACTAGTATTAAATTTAATATAAAACTAATTTTTATTTTTCTTATAAGATTTAAAAAAGCTTTCTTTTTTAAGATCTTGTTTTTAAAATATATTAATTATTAATATAATTATAATTATAGCTATAACTATTACTTCAAGAATTATATAACCTTATATTATATATATATTTTAATTAATAAAATAGTTCTAATTAAGTTTAGTAAATTTAGAAGAAAAAATATTAATATTATAATATATAATACTAGTAAGAATTAGATTAGAACTAGCTAGATATATAAAGTCAAAATTAGAAAATATAAATTAAAGTTATATATTATAAGCTTAAACTAATATATTGGCTTAAATATAGCCTATAATTATTTAGATTTAAAGCTTTTTTAGAATTTTCTTTTTTTCTTTAGTTTTAAATTATTAAAATAGAAATAATCTAATTATATTTTCTAGATTTTAAATCTTATATTTATAATAAAATTTAAAGCTTATTTATTTTTTAATTCTATAAAGAATTTAAATAATATTTATTTAATTAGTTTTTAATAAATATAAGTATAATATATTATAGCTATTTTTATATTAATTTACTAATATTAGAATAAAGAAAGCTTTAAAATAATTAAATAAAAAAGCTTTAGATTAATTAAGTATATAAATAAGCTAGTAGTTTTATTATTAAAAAGAATATAAAAAAGTAAGTTCCGAAATAATTAGGCAAATTAAAAGAAGTTATAATATAAAATATTATTAGTATATTACTAGAAAATAAACTAGAATCTTTTAAGAAATCTTTTAAGAAATCTAAATATTTTATTAATATTTATAATAAAAAATACTTTCTTTTAGAAAATAAAGAGAAAAAAGAATTTATTTTATTAAAAATAAAGTTCTAAGAATTATTCCGGAATTTAGAAGCTTTATATAAAGAAATTATTAAATTAATTCTAAAAATATATAATATTTTTATTTATAATATTATAAATCTAAAATCTAAAACCTAAAAAATAGAGTTAAATTATTTCTATTTTAATAATTTAAAGCTAATAAAAAGAAGAGAATTTTAAAGAAATCTCGAATCTAAATAATTATAAGCTATATATAAGTATTAATATAGCTATTTCTTTAGGAATTATATATATAGTTACGGGATATAGAATATAGAATATAGATAATAAGATATAAGTAATAAGATATAAAATACGAGATATAGTTATATAACCTTATATTCTATTAGTAATTCAACTAGTAAACTAGATCTTTTTAGGCTTAATAGATTTAGGAATTATATATTAATACTATAATATTATAATTCTTATTTCTAAATAAAAACTTTACTAATTATATATAAATAGTACTTCTATATCTATATAATAGTACTATATATTACTAGTAAACTAATACTAATTAGTTAGTACTTATAAATTAGAGAAAGACCTAGCTAATCGGAAAAGTATTTAATAGCCTAAAATAAGTAGTTTACTTCTAGTTAAAGAAAGGAATTATTATTAACTCCGGAAAAGTATTTAGTAGCCTAAAAAGAAAATACTAGCTTTTACTAATTAATAAGTAGTTAGCTATTTAATTATTTATCTATTTATTTAAACTTCTATTATCTTTTAAAATTAATTTCTTTTAGCCTTAGAACTACTTTTTTAGAAACTATCTTTTCTACTTATATAATACTTATATTTATAGAATTCTCTTTCCGAAATATATATTTTATATATATCCTTAAAGCTCTTTAATTACTACTTCGATTTTATTATTAAAATCGAGTTCTTTAAGCTTTAGATTCTTTCGGAATTATAATATTTCATTTCCTAAATTTCTTATTATAGATAAAATATTTAAGAGTAAAATATTTACTTTAATACCTTACTAGATATCTAGATATCTTTACTATCGAATTCTTTCTATAAACCTATTATAAATTACCTTACTTTTAAATACCTCTTATTATAAACTATATATATATACTAGAAAGAAACTAAACTTAATTTAGTATAGATAATAAAAAGAAAAAGAAGTTAATTAAGAAATAGAAAAATAGAATTAATACTAATAATATTATAAAAGTAGATTTTCGGAAATATCTAAATACTAAGTTATATTAGTATATCTTATATAAAACTTCTAATAAAAACCTATAGAATTTATTTAAAAATAACTTTAAGAACTTTAATAATACGAACTTTAGTTAATATAGCTATACTAAACTATAAATTCTTCGAAAATATCTTTAGTATAATAGTATCTATATTAAATAAAACCATATATATCTTACTATAATATAGTCTCTATTTAATATTCTTTAGAAAGAAATAATATATATTTAATATAAAGCTAATATTATTAAAAATAGTCTAATTAGAATAGATTTTCTAAAGAAATCTATTATATTAGTTTATTTTACTCTAAAAAGAATTAAATAAAAGGAAACCAAGTATTCTTAGTTAACTAGCTAGTTAAATTAAGGCATCTATTTATTTTTTCTAAATTAAAGTTATTTACTACTTTTATTTTTATTACTATTACTAGATTTATTATATCTGAAAAATCTCTAGTTAATTTCTATTATTATTACTAGAAAGCTTATTAGAGAAATAGTAAAGATATATATTAAGATATAGAAATATAATAGAACTAATAGTAGTTTTAACTAAAAACTTACTATTTTTCTAGATATTTATTAATATATAAAGCTTTTAGAAGAGATATTAGTAAGAGCTTTTCTTACTATATTAAAGAAACTAGTATAAGACTATTTCTATAATAACTAGCTCTTTTAATAAATATATAAAAAAGTTTATATAAATATTTATAGTTTCTTTAAAAGCTCTAGTTATTATTAATAAAATTTAGATAAATAAAATACTATTACTTTAGTAACTATAATAATAAAAGACTCTAAAAAAATAATATTTAAGCTTATCTAACTACTAATTAATAATCTATATAAATTATAATATAGCCTTATTTTTGCTTTATAAATTACTAAATTTCTATATAATAAAATTATTATTTCTTATTAAGGCTTACTAGTATACTAATATATAATCTCGAACTTTTCTAATAATCTCGATTAGCTTATTAATAGGCTCTAATTATCTATTACTATTTATTAAAAAAAATTAATATTTAGATTCTTTTTATAAATCGAAAATACTATTCTTAAAACTTTCTAAATTATTATTTATCCGGAAATTATTAATATAGATCTAGCTATAACTTCGAAATCTATAATAACTACTTTAAGTTCTATAATTATAATAATTATATTCCGAAATTATATTTTATATATAAAAGATCTAAATACTACTTATAAAAATATATATTAGAGAAATAAGAGATTTAAATACTACTTATAAAAATATATATTAGAGAAATAAGAGGCTAAGAAAGCTTAATTTAAGAATAGAAATATTTACTAATTTAGATTCCGAAATACCTATAACTTTTATAAATACTTTAATAATACTTATATATAATATATTACTGAATTTAAAAGAGAAAAGAATAATAAAAAGAATAAAAATAAACTAGTAAATAATACTTTTAAAGCCTTACTAGTAAAAACGAATAAAAGAAAGAAATATTACTTTAATTTCTATTTTACTTTTATTAAAAGCTTTCTAGCTACTTCTATAACTTCTGCTTTTACTATTTCTATAACTAATATTCTTATAAATAACCTTATATCTCTTTTCTTTATATACTAGATAATAAGTAAAAACTATATTTTAGAGTCTATTAAATAAATAAAAGATATCTAGATATTTATAATTAATAATATATTAAAATATAATATTTACTATTTTTATAAAGTTATAATTAATATTAGAGCCTTTAGATTCTTAATTACTAGTTTTAACTAATTTCAAGCTTTATAGTAAACTAATAATAGTATTTAACTTAATAAAACTACTAAAGATTAAATTAATATCTAGTTTAATATTAAATCTATATTCTTTATTAAATTTATAATAATAAGAATACTAATTAGATAAATATAATTCTATATTATATTTATAAAAAATTTATTTCTATTTAGCTTAACTAATATAAATAAGCTAGAAATCTACTTTAATAATTTTATTAATTATCTTATTATTTCTAATAAATACTTTATACTTATAGTATAATATTTTAAATACTTTTTTCTATTTTAGAATACTATTTTATAAAGCTTTATTTCCGAATTCTTTATTTATAATTCTTGCTTTTTTATAGAGATTAAATTATAATATCTATATTACTATTTTAATTATTTATTTATTAGTAAACTCCGAAATATACTAGAATAAGCAGGCTATAATATTAATATAAAAGCCTTTAAATACCTTATAAAGTATTATAAATAATACTAGAAATATAGCTAATTATTTAAATAATTCAAGTTTAATCTAAAAAAAAATTAGCTTTAATTACTTTATTATTAATAATATTTTCTATATTTCTAATAAACTTATACTTTATATTATTAATAAAAATACTTGATATTAAACTAGCTAATAGCTTTAAAATATTAGTATATTATATATTTAAAATATTCTAAAATAATATTAGATTAATATTTATTTAGGTTCTTCTAATTAGATTATAATAGATACTAGAAAGTAATTTACTAGTAAGAAGTTTACTTAGCTTATAAATATTATAGAAACTAAGATTAAAATTATTTTTATAAAAACTTATAATTCTATTAGAATTATAGAATATTATTATAGTTTAATTTAATATATTTATTTTATTATTATAGCTAAAATTAATAGAATTAATAAGAATACTATATTCTAAATAGCTTTTAAGGCTATTAATAATTCTACTAGATCTAATACTTATTTGGCCGGGCTTATCTAATTCTTGCTTAATATATTTACTAGATAAGGAA